AGGAAAAAGCAATGGGTGAGATGGCTAAAAATAGCTTTATATAATGAGCTAAGAATCCATGGGCTGCACCTCACAACGGTTGGGAGAAATGTTTTGGCAAAAATCTCAGAAACCTCATCAGGAGGGCTTTAAACTGACTAATGTGGGGAGGGAGACAGTGCTCCTGAAGGTAGGAGTCTATCAATTGATGAAGATGATCATCCAAATGTCATAGACCAAATGGAGCAAACAGCACGCAGACCTAGTGGTGGGAGGAAAAATCCTTAAATAAGAGACACGGGGGAATGATTAATGTCTGTACACTAATGCGCAAAGCATGGGAAATAAACAAGATGAGCTTGAGCTCTTGGTACAGCAAACTAAATATGACATAATAGGCATCACTGAAACCTGGTGGGATAAGCCCCACGATTGGAATGTAATAATGGAGGGATACGATCTATTTCAGAGAAACAGACCAGACAAGAAAGGAGGAGGAGTGGTGTTATATGTCAGGGATGTGTATACCTGTGAAGAGATCCAAGATTTAGAACCTCAAAGCCAAAGTGAGAGCATTTGGGTCAAAATTAAGGAGAGAAGAATAACAGTGACCTCATTGTGGGAGTTTACTATAGATCCCAAGCCAAACGGAGGACATAGATGATGCCTTCCTGGAACAGATGGCCAAGCATGCAAAAGGAAGGGAGATAGTAGTAATGGGGGACTTCAATTACCCGGATATTTGTTGGATGTCAAACTCAGCCAAGAGCATAAGGTCAAACAGATTCCTCACTGGCCTTGCAGACAACTTCATTGTCCAGAAAGTGGGAGAAGCAACAAGAGGAACAGCCATTTTAGATCTGGTCCTAACCAATGTTGATGACCTGGTTAGTGGGGTAGAAGTGGAAGGATCATTAGGCGCAAGTGATCATGCTCTTCTGAAGTTTACTATACAGCGGAAAGGAGCAGCCAAGCATACTAGGACTCAATTTCTTGACTTTAAGAAAGCCGACTTCATAAAACTTAGGGAAGTGCTGGGTGAGATCCCATGGACAGTAATACTAAAAGGAAAGGGAGTTCATGATGGCTGGGAGTTTGTTAAGAGGAGATAGTAAAAGCACAACGTCAGGCAATACCAATGAGACGGAAACATGGAAGGTGCCTAAAGAAGCCAGGGTGGCTATCTAAAGAACTTTTAACTGAGTTAAGATTTAAAAAGGATGTGTACAAAAAATGGAAAAGGGGAAACCACCAAAGAGGAATTCAAACAAATAGCCAGCACGTGTAGACACAAAGTCAGAAAAGCTAAAGCACAGAATGAACTCAGGCTTGCTAGAGAGGTTAAAAGCAACAAAAAAGGCTTTTATGGGTATGTTCGTAGCAAAAGGAAGAACAAAGAAACAGTAGGGTCACTCAGAGGAGAAGATGGTGAAATGCAAACAGCGGACACAGAAAGGGCTGAACTCCTCAATGCCTTCTTTGCCTCAGTCTTCTCCGATAAAGAAAACAGTGCCCGACCTGAAGAATTTGGAGCAAATGATTCAGCAGAGGAAACACAGCCCAGAATAACTAAGGAGATAGTACAAGAATACTTGGCTAGTTTAGATGTATTCAAGTCTCCAGGCCAGATGAACTGCATCCAAGAGTATTAAAAGAACTGGCAGATGTGATCTCAGAACCCCTGGCAGTCATCTTTGAGAATTCCTGGAGAACAGGCGAAGTCCCGGCAGACTGGAGGAGGGCAAATGTTGTCCCTATTTTCAAAAAGGGAAAAGAGAGGACCCAAATAATTACCGCCCAGTCAGTCTGACATCAATACCAGGGAAGATTCTGGAGCAGATCATTAAGCAAACAGTCTGTGAGCACCTAGAAAGGAATGCTGTGATCACCAATAGTCAGCATGGATTTCTGAAAAATAAGTCATGTCAGACTAACCTGATCTCATTTTTGACAGAATTACAAGCCTGGTAGATGAAGGGAACGCAGTGGATGTAGCCTACCTTGATTTCAGCAAGGCATTTGACAAGGTGCCCCATGATATTCTTGTAAAGAAGCTGGTAAAATGCGGTCTTGACTATGCTACCACTCAGTGGATTTGTAACTGGCTGACTGACCGAACCCAATGGGTGCTCATCAATGGTTCCTCTTCATCCTGGAGAAGAGTGACTAGTGGGGTGCCACAGGGTTCTGTCTTGGGCCCGGTCTTATTCAACATCTTTATCAACGACTTGGATGATGGACTCAAGGGCATCCTGATCAAATTTGCAGATGACACCAAACTGGGAGGGGTGGCTAACACCCCAGAGGACAGGATCACACTTCAAAACGACCTTGACAAATTAGAGAACTGGGCCAAAAGAAACAAGATGAATTTTAACAGGGAGAAATGTAAAGTATTGCACTTGGGCAAAAAAATTGTGAGGCACAAATACAAGATGGGGACACCTGGCTTGAGAGCAGTACATGTGAAAAGGATCTAGGAGTCTTGGTTGACCACAAACTGGACCGGAGCCAACCGGGTGACGCGGCAGCGCCAACAGCCAATGCAATTCTGGGCTGCATCAATAGGAGTATAGCATCTAGATCAAGGGAAGGAATAGTGCCACTGTATTCTGCTCTGGTCAGACCTCACCTGGAGTACTGTGTCCAGTTCTGGGCACCACAGTTCAAGAAGGACACTGACAAACTGGAACGTGTCCAGAGGAGGGCAACCAAAATGGTCAAAGGCCTGGAAACGATGCCTTATGAGGAACGGCTAAGGGAGCTGGGCATGTTTAGCCTGGAGAAGAGGAGGTTAAGGGGTGATATGATAGCCATGTTCAAATATATAAAATGATGTCACATAGAGGAGGGGGAAAGGTTGTTTTCTGCTGCTCCAGAGAAGCGGACACGGAGCAATGGATCCAAACTACAAGAAAGAAGATTCCACCTAAACATTAGGAAGAACTTCCTGACAGTAAGAGCTGTTCGACAGTGGAATTTGCTGCCAAGGAGTGTGGTGGAGTCTCCTTCTTTGGAGGTCTTTAAGCAGAGGCTTGACAACCATATGTCAGGAGTGCTCTGATGGTGTTTCCTGCTTGGCAGGGGTTGGACTCGATGGCCCTTGTGGTCTCTTCCAACTCTATGATTCTATGATTCTATGTCTCTATTCAGACCAGGTCTCTCCATGGTTTTAAGTTTGGTAATAAGTTGCATTTCAGCAACTTCTCTTTCTAGTCTGTTTCTGAAATTCTTTTGTAATAAGACAGCTATTTTGAGATACTTTATTGAATGTCCTGGGAAATTGAAGTGTTCTCCTACTGGTTTCTCTGTCTTGTGATTTCTGATATCAGATTTATGTCCATTTATCCTTTGGTGTAGGGTTTGGCCTGTTTGTCCAATATAGAGAGCTGAAGGGCACTGCTGGCATTTGATGGCATACACAATGTTAGAAGAAGAGCAATTAAATAGTCCTGAGATGGTATGTTGGATGTTATTGGGGCCAGTAATGGTGTTGTCTAGGTGTATGTGGCAGCAAAGTTGGCATCTGGGTTTAATGCAGGCTCTGGTACCAATGTCCATGTTAAGTCTGGTTGTTGTATTATTGTGGGTGAGGAGTTGTTTAAGATTGGGTGGCTGTCTGTAGGCAATGAAAGATCTTCCTCCCAGAGCTTGAGAAAGAGAACTGTCATTGTCTAGGAGAGGTTGTAGATCTCTGATGATGCATTGAACTGTTTTAACTTGGGAGCTGTATGTGATTACTAGTGGTGCTCTGTTACTTTCTCTTTTGGGTCTGTCTTGCAGCAAGTTATCAGTCTGGCTTTGTTGAGCTGTTGTTTAACTTCATCAGGTGGATATTTTAGTTCTAAAAAAGGTTTGCTGTAGATCTCTTAGGTAAGGGACCCCGAGGTTTTCCACTTCTTTTATGATTTTGCTCTCTAGACCTTAGCATTTCAAGGCATTAAGATTTTCTAATAATCATACGTGAGTACCAACTCAGAGAGAAAATAAATTTTGCTTTTGCTTTTTAAGTCTAAATCATTTTAAGGGGAAAAAATAATAATTCTGTCTCTCAGGTCACTGCCCAATGACTCCACTCCCCAGTGTCTTTCCCAGAAAACTCATCTGGACTGGCTGTGGAAGCTGAGCAAGTGACAAAAAGTGTTAACTCTCTTCTCTGATAGGCTATGAGCTCTGGCCACCTTATCTGAGGGACAAAGAACTCCTTGAGTATGCTCCCTAGTGGAGGAGGCCCCAAGGACAGGCAGCCCCTGCCCACTGCACACAGCAGCCAAGGCTGTGCAGACAGAAACAAGAAATGGGGGGCACTAACTTCCACCTAGAGGCAGAAACTGGGACCTCCAAGAAGGTCTAGGAAACAAAAGGATTTGTGGAGGGCAGGGTAGGTGGGGCCAGAGACCAGCCAGGCTGCAACTCAGCTTAGTGAGGTGAGGGAGGAACATTAACCCCGTGAGACCTCAGCGAATGTCTAGCCCTCCACAAAGCCTCAATGGGCTTGGCCCTTTGGAAGGCCTTTCACAGCCCTTGGCTCCTGGTTCTCTGATCTGATGTGACATTTGCCAGCATGGCACCTTCCAGCTGTTTTGTTGGACTCCTGTGCTGTTAGTGTTGAGAAATTGACTGTGAGTTTTGGTTCTGGAGTAATTTACTGGAGTTGAAGTTCAGCATACAATTCTCGTGAACTTTGGTAGAAATGGCTTAGAAGCGGGAGATCAGAAACCTTTCCCTTATAAACATTTCCAGTGATTTTTAAAGACACTGAGGCTGTTTTATTTTGAGGGAGGATTGTGTGGGGATGAGCTTCCAAAAAACGTGGTAGACAGAAAGACCCCTTTCTGAATTGGAGACACTAAAGAGGTCAGCATGTCCTGCATGGTAGCACTGCCTTCTCTTGGTGCCAAGGCCTCTGTTGCCCTCCACCACTTCTGACACATTTGTAACAGCAGCCTAGGCAAAGCCTAGAGTTGGGCCACAAGGCCAGCTGGCAGTGCTGGACAAGGTCAGTTATGCCAGTGTTCCATCGCCATGGAAACAACCCACTTTCCAACGATGCCCGGTGGTTGTCAGCCAACTGCAGCTTCCTGTGCATTTTCTACAGCCTCTCCTCTGGTCATCACGGAGGTGTGCCAGGCAAGAGTTGGGGGATAAGAGAGGCAATCATAGCACCCAGGTTAGTGAGACATCCACTGGTTTGCTGCGTTTGTGGGAGTCACTCTATTTCCACACAAGAACAACTGCAGTGCTAGGCAGTCCACAGGAATCCCTTTGAACTCCAGCCCAACCATCAATTGTGAGATTGAAGACCATTAGACCTAGTGCTGCCTTCTCCTGTGGGGAGAGTGACAGAGAGCAAGGTTTTGACCTCTTTATGAGAATGGCCCTTCAAGTGCCTGAAGGTTGTTCTCCTGCCTCTCCTCCCCAAGTCTATAGCAGACTAAACAAAGCCAGTTTCCTCAACCTTTTCTAATAGGTTTTGCACATCTTTGACCAACTTTCTTCTCCTTTTCTGAATCTGCTTCAGTTTCTCTGTTACAACCCTACCTAAAGTGTGGTGGTGCTTACAACCAAGCCCGGTCCTCCAAATTATGTCTGAATAGTTCAGAATAAAATGGAACTGTGAAACAGAAACTGCTTCTGCTGCTAGAGCTGGAGCTCCACTTTGCCTGTTTCCCCCATTCCATTACACGGTTGATTAGGGACCGGGGGTGTGGGGGTGTGGGCGGCATTGTGGTCTAAACCACTGAACCTCTTGGGCTTGCCAATCAGAAGGTCGGTGGTTCAAATCCCCAATTCCAATAAAGGGGGGGGGGGAATGCATTTTGCCAAACCCATCTTTTAAAAAGCTGTGCATGAATCCACAGCGTAAAAAAGGTAAAAAGGTAAAGGACCCCTGGACGGTTAAGTCCAGTTAAAGGCGACTCTGGGGTTGCAGCGCTCAACTTGCTTCAGGCCGAGGGAGCCAGCATTCGTCTGCAGACAGCTTTCCGGGTCATGTGGCCAGCAGGACTAAACCGCTTCTGGTGCAACAGGACACCGTGACAGAAACCAGAGTGCACGGAAACGTCATTTACCTTCCTGCCACAGCGATACCTATTTATCTACTTGCACTGGCATGCTTTCAAACTGCTAGGTTGTCAGGATCTGGGACAGAGCAACAGGAGCTCACCCCGTCGCGGGGATTCGAACTGCCGACCTTCTGATCAGCAAGCCCAAGAGGCTCAGTGGTTTAGATTTCCATATAGTTAACTCATATGGTTCAGAAGAATATTCTCTGCTGAAAAATTTAGGTTTTTTTCTGAAGTCATATTTATAAAATCCAGCACTTTCTCCCAAAATTAAGTATAGAACACTGTATAAACATATGTTTCAGGGAGGCATGGTCCTTAACACATCTCCAGCATAAAGCAATCTTAGCAAATAATTTTTTATACAGATGTAAAGGAGTCCAATAGATTCTAAATATTATTTTCTGCTGTATAAATCTTAAGTTAAGATCCATTGATACCATGGGTATAGCAGCTAAAATACTTTCCCATTGTCTAGGTAACATTGAAATTTCTAATTCTTTATTTCATTCATTTCTTAAGATCTGGATATCAAACTTATTTATGGTTAGTAAGTCTCTATAAAAAGTAATTGCAGGCTTTTTTTGTTTCAAGTGAATTACTCAATTGCTTGGTATCACAGGTGTCTCAGAAATTGAGAAAGTTGTGGCCCAAACAGACTTGTTAGGAGATGTTGTACCTGAAAGTACTGCCACTGAGCCCCATCTTAAAACAGCAAAAGTATAAAACTCATGTTCCTCATCTATCAGTTGGTCCAGAGGTAATATACCTGCTTCCATCCAGTTTTTCCATATTACCATCTTTTTATCAATTTTTAATATAAGGTTTCCCTACAACGTGAGTTTGGCATGCGAGTATGGATCAAATTGATTTGTATCATCAATCTCCTTTATTGGCATTTAAAAGTGCCAGATTAACCTGGCGGTGCAGTTCAGCTTTTGATATTGCTTTCATTGTGGAGCAAAGGAGCCAACTTCTAGGGGCCAAGGTCCCTTCAGCTCACCGTAAAATATTTTAGGGAGCCGATCCCCCAAAGTTGATGGACATTGTCATTCAGATGCAGGATTGCTATTATGTTATGTATTTTGTGTTTTTATGTTGTAAACCACCCTGTGATGGTTGGTGGTGTATAATTTTAATTAATAATAAGAGAAAATAAGAAAAGTCTAAAGGGATGTATGTTGGGGGGGGGGAATCTTAATTTCACACATAGGCTAATGGGGTCTGAACTGGCACTGGTGAACCAAGAACAGGACCGTGGGGGTCACAGCAGGTAGTTCCATGTATTTGTCTTTACCTAGTGTGCATCCATGCTATAGATCATTAGGAAAGGAATTGGAAGTAAAACTACCAATTTCATATTGCCATTATACAAATCTATGGTGCAACCATACTTTGACTACCGGTCACTCCCCACGGAAATGATATTTTAGAGTTGGAAAAGGGAAAGCAATGTGATCAAGGGAACAACTCCCCTATGAGGCAAGAGTTTGGGGAGCTTTTTAGTTTAGTAAGAACAATTCTACTTTTACAGTAACAATAACAATAATCACATTTGGCAGTGTCTAGAACCCGACCCCTTAGCCCAAGATGCCACCAAAGAAGAAAAACACCAAACCGAAGAAGAAAGCCAAGAAGAAAGCCAAGGATGCAGCCAAGGGGCAAACAAGTTCCTTGCCATACGTCAGTGAGAGGGAGATATACCTGCAGAAGGAATTTGAAACCTTGACAGAGCACATCAAAACATACACTCAGCGTGTGAGGAACTTTCAGTGGGAAAACGAGTTCCTGGACAAGGAAGCCCAAAAGATCCGAGATATCAACAAAGTCTACATCTCCTACATAAACAGACGCACCCTCCGCAACCAGAACGCCATCATTTCTCTGAATGACCAGAATCTCTCAGACTTAATCCAGATCCGGAAGCAGAAGGCAAAGCTGACCACTGAGTACCAGGAAAAGGAGAGGGATGTGAGGTCCCAGCTGATAGAGATGGAGACAAAGCTCTCCCTCGTGAACAAGGAAATTGAAGCACTGCAGCCTTACCAGGAGCTGCAATTTCAGCAGCTGACGCGGATCCGGGACCTGGAGAAGGAGCTGCTGGTCATGAAAGTGCTGCACACAGAGCAAATGCACAAGCTCAAGAGTGAACATGTACAGCAGGTGACAGACTATGAGATGCAAGCTCAGCTGAAGATCCAGGCTCTGGCGAGGCTGGCTGAAAAGGAAGCAGTGCGCAGCCTCATCCGGCACACTAAGCAGGTGAAAGCTGACAACCGGCGCCTGCGTCATGAGCTTGTGGACCTCATCAGAGAGGCCAAAGTGCTGAAATCCCTTGTGCTTCACCTGAAGGCGCAGCAGCAGCTGCTGCTGCGAGAGCACCAGTACAGGCAAGACCTTGCCCGCTTGCGCAGGTGGCTTAGGCATCGAGGGGCTCGGCTGCTCATCCCCAGTGGCACCAGCTTCAGATGTACCACACCGGTTAGGAGCAGAGTCATTGCCACGCAGGAAATCAGCTCCAGGTTTCTCACAGGCGGGGAACAGGTCCCAAGGTTGCAGCCAGGTGTCCAAGAGGCTCAAGAGAGCTTGCCTTTACTTAGGATTCCCAGTGCCTCACTCCCTACAAAATACCAGTGAGCTGGAGCTGGAGATTGCAGCTTCCTGTTTCTCCTACTTTCACTACCAAGAAGGTATATGGATAAGGTAACATACCCCTTAAACATGTTCCAGGGTCAATCCTGTGCTGCAGGCAGTCCAGTCATACAAGGTGCATCTCATGCCAACCAGGGTCCTCTTCCACAGAGCCAGCTAAGCCCCAGGCCCTGTGCAGCTGCTAAGCATCCCTCACATTGCCTTGAGATGACACCCTTGGTCCCAGCACCTGGCCCCAGGGCTGAGTTGTCCCACTGCTACCAGGCAAGCACCCCGAGGGATTGTGACTGCTGCTGATTCCTCTCAGAGAGGCAAAGCCCAGGTCAACGGCCAAGTCAAGATGGCAACAGAAAGGGGCAGAAGCAGTGCCAGGCACACAGCCCTCCTGTCAGCAGGGGAGGGCAGCAACATCGCTGGTCTTTGTGCAGAGTTTTAAATGTTTAGCTTGTTGGTTGTCTTAGTGTTATTTTTGTTCTTACTGTTTTGTTCTTGTTGTAAGTTTCCTTGGGAATTTTTGTGCTAAAGTGTGACACAGAAATATATAAAATAAATGTCACTTTCCCAGCCTCTGTCTCCTTGGTGACACATTGATGGACGCGTAGTCTGGTTAGGGAAAGGATCTCAGAAACAGCTTTGACTCAGTAGTGCCGGTGTGCAAGTGTGCCTACTCCCAAACACAGAGGCTTACTTCTGATAGCACATGCCCAGGCCTCTCTCCTTAAATGCAGGTCCCAATGTGCACAGAAGGGTGTTGTAGGATTGCAGCCTAAAGGTGCCAGGTGCAAACCCTTCCAGGTCTCATTTTGACAGCCCCCAAGTTTCCCAGTGCAGCAGCTCGTTTCCTAAAGAGCCTGGCCTCAGCCCCAAGCAGTAGAAGCCCCTGGGTTAGTCAGGGGGCTGGGAGCAAGGCAGTGGCATCTGGCTCAGCCTGGGCCTAAGAAGACGGGGGGGGGGGGGCTAAAACCCAGATGCCAGTCTGACCCCATCCCATGAGCGTGCAAAACACTTTGGGCACACTCAGTTTAGTTGAATTACTTGTACCTTGCTTTTCTATTAAAATAATAACCAAACAGCTAACAATTAAAAAGAAAATTCAGTGTAATGGAGGAGCAATTGATTTCCTATGGGAAGTTTGTGGTTCACTATTGGGGCATGTTTTTTTCCTGGACATTGTCCCTCTGCACACACACAAGCAGTTCAGAATCCAGATGCACCAACACCCAGAAATGCTGCAGGCGGGGGTGTGGGGACAACTCCAGCTGTTCAGCCTTAGAGCAGAAATCAAAATTATTGTATTTATTCCCCTCTACAGCAGATAACCAAGAAAGAGTCCTTTCTCATGGATTATTTTAAGATGTTTTTAAAAGACTCCTTTTATTAAAAACCCTTACAAGAATAAGTCCACAGGCTGCAGCCATGGGCACAGAGAGGAGAGTGCAGAAAGGCGTTGGCAGGTGGCCCAGGACCCCAAAGGCACACAGGGAGGAGGGTCAGGGGTCTCAGCCAGCACTTTCTCTGTCTCTGGTGGTTCCCAGAGTGGTTTTACACTCAGGGCTTGAAATGGGGAAGAGAAGCAGGTCTTAGTCAGGAGAGCAGAGACTGTGCTGCAGCAAGAGCACCCTGCTCAACTGTCCTGAGTGACAGGGTAGGCGGTTGCCCGTCTTCCCTCCCTCCACCTTTCAGGCCCTGGGCAGTTGCAGGATTGGCTCTGCAGTTTGGGAGCAGGCTGAGCTGGGCTGGGAAGTTCAAAGCTGCTGGGTGTTGTGGTCTATTGCCTGCTGGCAAGTGTCTGATACAGGCAGACTCTGAAGAGCAGACTTGCAGATGGTCCCATAGGACTGGGAGTAACTGCCCAGGCAGGCCTTTGGGTCCCCAGCCATTCCCACGTTTGCTGTAGCCCGGAACATCTTCTTACTGGGCTTAAGAAATGAGCGAGCTTCCCTGCTGTGGACCTCGGAGCTCCCTGGATTCTGCAAAAGAGACAGGAGAGCTGTGGGGGCACCGCAGATGGGAGCAGGAACACTTCATGGGACGGGGAGCATCCCTCAACATACCATTTGGGACAACTGGAAAGGTCTGAGCTGAACCCGGCAGCTCCCAAGACTCAGCCCCTTTGTTTCCTGACCAGTCTTGGACTGGAGAGCTGGAGCTGGCCAGACAGCTGCACCTTATAAGCAGCCCAGTGTCAGAGGAGTCAGCTGCAGCCACGGTCACAGCTGGAGTCCCAGACCTGTCAAACCGGTTGCTGCCTCCCTCCTCTGCCTTCCTGCCAGACCAGAGAAACCTAGTCCATCGCAACCCAGTCTCCCCACGTAGAGGAGCATAGTCTGCCTTCTTCAGTTCCTCACCCCTGCCTGCTTTGCACAAAGCTCTCCCAGCCTTAGAAGTCATCAGGAATCAACTTGCAGCCTTTCCCCAGATCCACCTGTAGCCCACCCTGACTGCCCACTCCACCTGCAGCCCACCTGGCTGGTTGAGCTCTTGGTCTAGCGGCTCCTTTCACACAAGGACCCCAAGCTAGGAACAAAGTGTTGGGGGGGGCAGGAAAGAGGCTCCATTTCACTCACCAGGCCAGCAGCCACCTTCCTGGGGGAGCCCTCCTTCCTCATCAGGTGGTGGTGAAGAGCCGCCTCCTGGGCTTGAGCACACAGTGAAAGGGGCCGGGGAAGGAGGCTGCCTGGCCTCTCCCCACCTCCAGGCCTTTGGGTACCTGCTGAAGCAAAGCAAAGTGGAGTCTGAACCCTGCCTGACTCAAGAGTAGAGAAGGGGGAAGCAAAGCAGCTGCAGCAACTGGGAGGAGATTTCCCATAACAACGGCCATCACTGAGAAAGGATCAAGCTGCCCCTCGCCACCCATACACCCTCCTGCCACAAGGCAGAGATGCTTCATGACCCCCATGCTGCAGGTGGGGCCGTGTGCTGGGGCAGAAGGGGATGGAGCAGAAGGGCTTTGGAGAAGCGGCTTGGCATTTAGGAGGCAGTGAGCCCAAGAGGCGGAGACCTCATTGCATCTCCCTTGCCTCTCTAGCATGGTAGGGGTGGGGTGGGGGAGAGAGGGAGGCAGGTGGGCTCATTCTGCAGCAGCTGGAGCGTCAGAGAGCTGCTTTGTGCGTGGCTCCTGCAGCTGGCCAGCTGGCCGCCTGCTCTGAAGGGGCTGCGCACTGGAAGAAGAGGAAGATAACAACCAAGTTACTCACGCCATGGATAGTCTGAGGAGCTGCTGCAGGGGGTGGGCTGCTGGCTAGTACGGCGAGCGCCTGCTTCCCCACTTTCTGGCTGAGGGCAGCAGCCGGCTGCTGCAGGAGTGGTGCAGAGCGATTCCTGGCCATGTTGCTGGGAGCCAGGCTATGTGCTGAAATGAGAGAGCCTGAATCACAACACTCAGGAAGGAAAAGGCCACAGAGAAGGCTCAGTGCCCCAGGCAGACTGGAATGATCCACCGGGGGCTGGGGGAGGCTCCTCTCTTGGTTCTCCATTGGGCACCACCTATGCTATTTTGGCAAAGGATGATGGCATCCAAACAACTTATTCTGAGCAAGCCTGAACAAAGGTCCTTCCTGGACTGGCAAAGGAAAGATGGGGTGTCTTGGTGGTCAGCAGGAACCCCAAGATCTTTGTAAGGCAGATCAGGCAACCCAGAAAGCCAAGCCAGTGGGGAAATCCCTATAGCATTATTTCACTTTTAAAATTTGCACTCTGCTAACATACACACAATTGAATTATTACACTAAACAGAATAAAAGGACGAGATAAAGCCTGCCAATAAACTCATCACAGCCTGTCCTGCCAGAACGCCCACCCCGAGCTTCTCCTGGCACTAGAGATGCCCAGACAGGACAAGGGCAAGGCTTCCTGAGGTGCAGGTGTTCTTTTTGCACACACACACCCCAGGCACCCTCTGCTCCTGGTCTCCTCCTTCCTAGAAGGCAAGCCAATTCTGTCAGTTTGCATTTCTTAGTGCAGAAAGTATTGATCTCATTTGTAAAGATCTTTCCTTTTTTTGTATTCTGATTAATTCTAGAAGCTACTAGAAGCTTCTCTGTGTGTGAGAAGAAGAGGCAGAAGGGTTAATGATTGTTTGGGTTATACCTTCAGAGAAGCTGAGTACAGCTGCTTTGAATTAGTTCTCTTCCAATTAAGGTCATGCTGACTATAAATATAAGCCAGAAGGGGCCTGTGTTTTACTCTTCTTTTCTCTTCTCTCTCTCTTCTTTCTGGTGTGGTGTTTCTGTTTCTGTACATAGGATGCTTAGTGCTAAGGTTTAGTCTTATTATGTGCTAAGTTTATAAATGCTGCAACTGGATTTTGCATGGACTGAGCCAATCCTGATTGTATTGGATTTGATAACCATTATGCTTTATTTGCCTTCAGCACAAGGAAAGCTCTGCTGAATGAAGTACTATTGCCTCTGGTCTATTTTGGGGAACTCTGCAACGTGTTTAAGGTTTTCCTCCACAAGTATGACACACGTATGACAACGTATGACAAATTCCTCCCTCAATAGCCTTTGACTAGTGGGAGTCCTGGGACACCGCTCTGCTGCCATCCTCTATTTCCTGGCCTCACAGAAACCCTGCGGCTGGAGGCTTTTCAAGCACAACCTCGTGGTGGAAGCTGGCTGGGAACGGCTGGAGCCCCACAGTCCTCCACCTCTCCACCCGCCTCTCTCAGCGATCTCACAAGAGGCTGGCCAGCCTCACAAGCCGAAGGAAGGTGCTCTGAGGCACTGTGTCCTTCTCATTCACCCCAGCCAAAGGCACAGTTGCACGGGGACACCTACCGTGGCTGGTCATGTGGCTGGCGGGACTGCACAGGGGGTGTGTGATCCCTGGCCTGAGGCGGCCAAGGCTCCTGGTCTCCTTTGCCCTCTGCTGGGAAGCTTCACAAGGTGCCAACAACTGGGGGGAGCCCCTTGATGGGAGGGGCGGTGACACCCCTTGTGCCTCACAACGCGTTTTGGGAGGGGGACTGGGCTGGAGGTTCTCATTTTGGGGCTGCTGATGCTTTTGAGGGTGGCGGTTCCTGGCCCTCCTTTCCAAGATCATCTGCAAAGAAGATCTGATCAGGTTTCAAATCACTAGTATGGCAAGAGCAGATAAGAACTTTCTTTCGCTGGATCATAGAATCCTAGAGTTGGAAGAGACCACAAGGGCCATCGAGTCCAACCCCCTGCCAAGCAGGAAACACCATCAGAGCACTCCTGACATATGGCTGTCAAGCCTCTGCTTAAAGACCTCCAAAGAAGGAGACTCCACCACACTCCTTGGCAGCAAATTCCACTGTCAAACAGCTCTTACTCTCAGGAAGTTCTTCCTAATGTTTAGGTGGAATCTTCTTTCTTGTAGTTTGGATCCATTGCTCCGTGTCCGCTTCTCTGGAGCAGTAGAAAACAACCTTTCTCCCTCCTCTATGTGACATCCTTTATATATTTGAACATGGCTATCATATCACCCCTTAACCTCCTCTTCTCCAGGCTAAACATGCCCAGCTCCCTTAGCCGTTCCTCATAAGGCATCGTTTCCAGGCCTTTGACCATTTTGGTTGCCCTCCTCTGGACACGTTCCAGTTTGTCAGTGTCCTTCTTGAACTGTGGTGCCCAGAACTGGACACAGTACTCCAGGTGAGGTCTGACCAGAGCAGAATACAGTGGCACTATTACTTCCCTTGATCTAGATGCTATACTCCTATTGATGCAGCCCAGAATTGCATTGGCTTTTTTAGCTGCCGCGTCACACTGTTGGCTCATGTCCAGTTTGTGGTCAACCAAGACTCCTAGATCCTTTTCACATGTACTGCTCTCAAGCCAGGTGTCACCCATCTTGTATTTGTGCCTCTCATTTTTTTGCCCAAGTGCAATACTTTACATTTCTCCCTGTTAAAATTCATCTTGTTTGTTTTGGCCCAGTTCTCTAATCTGTCAAGGTCATTTTGAAGTGTGATCCTGTCCTCTGGGGTGTTAGCCACCCCTCCCAGTTTGGTGTCATCTGCAAATTTGATGGCAGGTACAGAAAGGCATTGGCAGTGGAAATACTTAGGGAGAGGACAGGCAACCATTCCACTGAGCAGAGAGGGGACAGCCTAGATGACCTGGATTTCTCCCCACTCATGTGATGCTAGGAATACTGAGCAGAAGAAACTTGTGGCAGGAAAAGATCAATTCAAGCAGGTTTAAGAAGAGGAAGAAAAGGTCTGGTGCATGCTTCATCTCAACCGCAAAGGTCCAGGAAGAAGACAGGTGATGGGGCCTGTCAGGGTAGGCAGCTAGATGGGCCAAAGTGCCCTAGGCTCATTTCCACCCCCTGACCTGCTGGGGCTAAGCACAGAGGCGGACCTGTAGGAGGCGTTCTCAGTGGCTGCCCCTCAACCCTTGGAACTCCTTTCTGCTAGAGACTCAGCAGAGGCTGCACATGCCAGAAAAGCCATGCACAATGTTGGCATGCACAGTAGTTACCAACCCAAGTCCCTTTGGAGGATGCCGTGGTGACCACAGGTCAAGGGCGCCAGCAGCCCATTCAGTCTTAGGGGTGCACGAGGAGTCTTACCTCATAGAGCTTATTGCGATACTCAGCCACAGAGAGCTGCACATCGTCATCCAGGGGGAGGACCACACTGTAGTCAAGAGCAGGCTCTTTGCTGGGGCAGTGGAACCTGCCAAGAGCACACGGAGTGAGACAAGATCCTTCGGCTGGCACCAAGGAGAGACGCTGGCCCTTGGCCAAGCACCAGGATCTGACCAGCTGGCCCATGGGCTGCAACTTGCCCAAGCATGTCTGTCTGACCCTTCAGAAGATGGGCAACCCCCCACCCAGCACAGGCCAAGATGCCTCCACTGCAAACCAGTCCTCAAGACACTCACCGTCGCACGTAGGGGTGCTCCAATGCCTGTTCCGCCGTCAGTCGCTTCTCAGGGTTGAATACCAGGAGCCGTTTCAGAAGGTCCAGGGCTTGGGTGGGGGTGGAGGTGGGCAGAAGCTCCTCAAAAGCCACCTGTGGCCTGCAGTTGGAGAAAAGGCACACAGCAGCTCCCCACCTGCAAGCAACAGGCAGACCACCCCACCCAGTCCTGGAGGGCGTGTTCTCAGCAGGACCGTGAGCAACTGGCTGCTCAACCCCCCTCCCCGAATGGGAGGGAAGGACAAGACACTCACTGGCAGCTCAGTCGGCCGATAATGGAGGCTCTGTAGTCGGAGTGGAAGGCGGCCACATCTGCAACAGCAAGGCAGTCAGTCAACCTCACCAGGACGGGAGGCAGGCGCTTCAGCCAGGGAAGTGCCACTCACCCGTCCTCTGCTTGCTCTCTCCCTCCTTCCCAGCGGAACACCACACACAGTGCAGCAGCAGGAGCGCAGGGCTGCAGAGGTGGGCCCTGGGAGTCAACCAGCCCCTCAGGACTGGGCCAATGACACAGATGTTGTAAAATTAGCCTCACCAGTTCATGGAATGACCATAGATGTTCCTGCATATGATCTCAGGGACTGAGCTGGGTTCTAAGGGTTCAGGCGATGCCTGAGGCACCCTGGACCCAAGTACTTCAGGGACCTTGAATCTCTCTGGGTAGCAGATGGGCAGCCAGTGCAGCTCTTTTAACAAGGGTGTCACATGCTCTCAATCAGATCTCCCCATCAGCAGTCTAGCCGTCACATTCTGCACCAGCAGCCCTAAGGGCAGTCCCATATGGAGCTGAGTTCTTTTGGTGCTGGCTTAAAAGTATAGTTCTGTAGCTGCAGCCGGAAAGGGGGCTGGCACCTTTTCACTCCTTTGCCACACTCTCGGCAGCACCCACAGAACTTCCAAAGGTCCCCCTTTCCTTGAGCTGGCTCTCCTCCTCCGCGAAACCTTCTCACCTTCTGGGGAGGGAGCAGGAACAACACGCAGAATCTGCTCTAGCTGGTTGACTGTGGATGTGCCAGGGAAGAGAGGCTTCCCCAGGAGCATCTCGCCCAAGATGCAGCCCAGGCTCCACATGTCCACACCCTTCGTGTAGCTGCAAGCAAGGAAGAAGACATCCATGTTGGGCCTCAAGAGTCAGACATCCAAGGGCTCCTGGCATCCCTCAACACAGATATCCAGACCTGATGCCCTGAAGATGTGCTTGATCCTGCTTTCTTCCTTTCCCTTTCTTCCTTCCACATCACTCCTATTCCCTGGTGTTTGTGTACTGGCAAAAAGTTGCTCACTTCAGGCCCCCACCAAACAAGGGATAGTTTGGGGCTGGATCTGGACCTGCCAGTGCCCCTTGGGACTGGCACCCCAATGCCACTAGTGCCCCCAGAGGAAGAAATGTATTTCATTGTTTTTCTAGACCACCTTTCATCAGGGCAAAGCACAAAAGATCATGAAGTGACATATAAAATCAAAAGCAGTAAAACTGTTCAAGAATGAAAACAGTTCAGCTGCACTTTAATTGTAACGTTCCTTCCACAGTCCTCACCACAAAGCTGGTGTGAAGAAGAGCATTTTCATTCACCTTCTGACAGATGGGAGGTGGGGGGGGGGTCACCATCTCCATGAGGGAGGGAGTTCCTCTGGTCAGGGCACTGCAGAGAAGGCCTGGTCCACCACCACTGGGCACCAAGCCACGCCCGTTGATGGGACATCTGAATGGCCTGCCCCACCAACTGCAAGGCTTGGCTGGGCCAATGTGAGAACAGACTGACTTCTAGGGACTTGGGTCCTCTTGCTTTGGGACTAACACACTCATGTGGAGCCAACAGCAAGCAGGCAGCCAGCTCAGCTCCCCAAGGGGAGGTGCCACGGCTCTGGATTGGCATGCCACCTGCAAAGCCAGCAACAGCACACTGCACCCAGCATGACAAGAGTCCGGCTGAGGGGTCACCAGAGCGTGGCAAAGGCAGCTCAACCCAGGAGGAGCAATGGTGGCAAATCCAGACCAAGGAGGACTGCCAAGCCACCACGCTGCTACTTCAGGAGTGGGCAGCTCCATTGAGAACAGGCTGGCTCCCCAACTCCCTGACACAGGACCCCCCCACTCCCATTGCCTTGCCAAGATTCAACTTCTATCCGTTGGCCCTCAGCCAGCCTGCCTGCCTATCGCTGCCTCCAGGCACCAGCCCAGTCCCTGCACAGCCTCACCTGTCTCAAAGGCGAGGAAGTGAGGATGGGAGGCTGTGAGTAGCAAGCCACAGACTCAAGCTCCTCAGCCTCTCCGAGGCTCCTGAGGCACCCTCCTTACCTGTGAGAGGAAAGCAGAATCTCAGGGGCCCGGTACCATCGAGTAGCAACATACTCTGTCAGGGCAGGGCTGTCTTGATCCTGGTGGATCTGACACAGGGAACGGGCCAGTCCAAAGTCACACAACTTGACAAAGCAGTCTGCATCCAGCAGGATGTTTGAAGGCTGCATGTGGAAAAGGTATCAGGGAGTGAAAGAACACAAGAATCAGCCATCCTGTCTGTGTGGTGGTTGGAGTCCTAGGTTACAAGCAGGGACACCCAAGTTCAATCCCTGCTTGCCCAGGGAATGCACTGGGTGATCCAGAGCCAGTTACTCTCTCTCAAACCAACCTACGTCACAGGCAAAGAAAGAACCAAGTATGAATCCTGAGCTGTTTGGAAGGAGATGTAATAATGTAATAAAGATAAAATTGAACGAGGGAGACCCACCCACTACAGCATTTCACCCCCCCCCTTTAATTCAACGTATGGCTGGAGCCCAAGTCCTTCCCACACATGTACCTTCTGGTCCCTATGAATGACGTTTCCTGAGTGGATGAATTTGGTGGCTTTTAACAGCTGATACAGGATGTAACACTTATGAATATCTTTCAGTAAATTTCCCTTCTTGATCACCGCATGCAAGTCGGTCTCTGAAACGGGGAACAGCAGAGAAGCAGTGGGTGCCTGGCACTGCCTTGACCATTCAGCCCAAGACCACAAACCCTGGCCCTTCTGCTAGACCGCCTCCAAACCCAGGCCTGCAAGGACTACCCCAAAAGTTTCAGCCAAGAGGGTCACAAATATCTCAGAGCTTAACCCAGGACTCTGAATGACAACCTGTGAGCAGATTTAACAGCAAAATGGAGTTGGGTGTCATCAGTGTAGTGATGACCCTGTGCCCCAAACTTCCGGATGATTGCTCTCAACACCTTCATGAAGATGTTAAATAGCACTGGAGTAAAATAGTGCCCTGTGGCACTGCACAGCTAAGGTGTTGGGAGGTAGACACACAGTGCCCCAAGGAGACTCTCCTAGACTAGCTGTAAAGCAGTGCCTCCAGCTCTCAATCCAGGGAGGAATGCCAGGAGGTATTGCAGTCAATTGCCTCAAAGGCCACTGAGAGATCCAACAGTGGCAACAGGGCCACACTCCCCCTGCTTCCCCCTTGAGAGAGGTCATCCATTAGGGCCCCCTGTAAACCATCCACGGGTCTCCCCTCACCCCAGGTATAACTTACGGATAGCCAGTAACAGGATGACCATGCCCCCTAACCATGTTTACTCCAACACCCCCACCATGCTGCTACTATACTTGCACCAGACGTAGCTGTTTCCTAGCTATTCATGTGTGTAGCAAAGAGCCACTGATTGAAGTGCTCACCAGAGTTGCGCACACAGACACTTAGCACAGACTCTGCAGTGTCTGCCTCCCACTCAGGGAAGACTCCTCCAGGTCACGATCACAGAGGGGGAGCCCTGCCCTCGCTATTCCCAAAGAGCCACCCAAAGGGGACCTTCCTTTTGGCATCTCCCCCTTTGGCCTTGGTGGCCTGTTTGTTTACAAGCCTGTGGGTCAGCTGCTTTCAGCCTTCCCTCCCTTGGTAGCATTTACCCTGCACTCAAAATGTTCTGCTCAACATGCACTTTTACTCTGGCTTCCTGCTCCTCATTGTCAAGGTCCTCTCCACAAGAAGGAAGCCTAAGTTACAGTCAGGAAACACTCACCCATAGACTCAAAAACCAGGTAGATGTCCTTGTCATTCTGAGCTCGGATGACATTCAAGAGTCTGATGATGTTTGGATGCTCTCCAAATTCCTGCAGGAAGAAAGACCTGCCCATCAATGGCGGCTACTCTTGAGGACTCTTCACAGAGCTTGCTGGCAGAGCCCAACATACTCTAAACAGAAAACCACCACTGGGACTGTGGGCTGAGTCGCTGTTTGCATGCAGGAAGACTCATCTGGCGGCTGCAGAGAAAGAGCCTGGCACTGACTCACAGGTGTTCCCATGAGAAGGTACCCTCCTCAAGTCTTGGTTACTCATCTGCAGCAAGATGGTTTTCTAACTCCAACTTTGGTGTAATAAATATTCTGCCAAAGCGAATATGCTTGACAATTGTAATGTCGTCTTCTTCCCCAACCTGGCGCACTCCAGATGTTGTTGAACTCCAGCTCCCATCAACCACAGCAGCCAGCCTGGGCAACGATCAGGGATGATGAAAGGAGTTTGACTCCAACAACATCTGGAGGGCACCAAGTTGGGAAAAGCTACAACAGAGGGTGTTTCAGACACCTTTCTGAGAATACTGTGCCCAATTCTGGGCACCACAATTTAAGAAGGATGTTGACAAGCTGGAATATGTGCAGAGGAGGGCAGCCAAGATGCTCAAGGATCTAGAAGCCAAGCCTTATAAGGAACGGTTGAAGGAGCTTGGTATGTTTAACCTGGAAAGAGGACACTGAGAAGGGATGCGATAGCCATCTTCAAATATCTTAAGGGCTGTCACATGGAAGAGGGAGCATGCTTGTTTTCTCCTGCTCTGGAGGGTAGGACTCAAACCAATGGCTTCAAGTTACAAGAAAGGAGATTCCGACTAAACATTTGGAAATACTTTCTGACAGTAAGCTTCTCAGCAGTGGAACAGACTCCCATAAGAGGTTGTGGACTCTGCTTCCTTGGAAGTTTCTAAACAGAGGTTGGATGACCATCTGTCATGGATGCTTTAGGTGAGGTTCCTGCATTGCAGGGGGTTGGACTAGATGACCCTTGGGTCCCTTCCAACTCTAAGATTCTATGATTGTATATTGCTTTAATTACCACTCAAGTCAATCATGTACTTGTTTAACGTGAAAGTTAGTTCAAAAGCATAAAAAGTTTGGTAATAGGCAGGGAAATATCTCTGTGGTACCTGTGTGAGTGAAAATTTGTGTAGCGGAGACTCTTTGTCTCTGGTGTGGAGAGGCAAGGCTCATGGGGGGGTGTCTCTCATCCCCCTTCCAATTTCCCTGTAACAAATACATGTGTAGCCACAGAAATCCAGTGTTGTCCCCAGTGACACGCAGACAAAAGGGCATTCTGGGAGAAGCAGAAGCGCGGGTCAAAAGCCAAGAGACAGTCATTGCTTACCTGAAGGAACATAATCTCCCGGAAGGTTCTCTGAAAAGAAACACATACCATTGGCTGAGGACGGAGTAGCTTCTCAGGGTCCCAGTAAAGTCATGCAATAAGCACATCAACGTTCCACAATGCCCCACATGTTCTATGCCCTGCAGCCATATTGGCCAAGCTGGGGATTATTATTATCACTTAGTAATAATAACCACGATTCTATATACAATAGTAACTGCAAGAATAATAATATATTATTATTTATTTGAGCCTTTGGATTGTTAAAAAGAGCTCTAAGACGCTGCTGCAGAAGCTGTCCTTCTCATCCCTCCTCGACTCCCTCTGGTCACTTTCGCTCAGAGGGTCGTTTGTTTCCCAGGCAAAAATACACGACTCTCCCAGCCCAGAATCAAGGTTCTGCCTGGAGGACCCTCGGGTCCCTTCCAACTCTAAGATTCTATGATTGTATATTGCTTTAATTAGTTCAAGGACCTGCATTTGGCCGCCTCAAAGCCTCAGGCGCCCGTGCCCTTAAGCTCCTTCCGATCTCTATGGCGACAAGTCTCTCCCTCTCCCTTTCTCTCTCACAGCATCCGGAAGGGATCCGGGGGGTCATCTAGTCGAGCCCCTGCTGCGCCTCCATCAATTGTGGGCGTCTCCCGGGGGGGGGGGGCTTCACCTGAGCGTCAGTCCGGTTCCGGAAGGCGTCGAAGATCTTCTTGACGGCCACGACGGCGCCCGTCTTGCGATCGACGGCCTTCCAGACGATCCCGTAGGCCTGCGGGGGGCGAAGAGGGGCGTCAGAGGCGTGGCCAAAGGGGGCAGCGCCCCCCTCAAGTTAATCAATAGGAAGACGGGGGCCTCTGAGCTCCTGGCTCCGCCCGCGCCGAGAAGGGGTGTTAGGGGGGCTTGTCCTCCAGGCGGCGACCCCCCCCCCGCCCCGCCCCACGCACCCCCTTGCCGAGGCGCCGCTTGATCTCGTAGCGCCGCGCCACCTGCTCCTCCACTTCGGCGGCTGCGCTCATTTTCGCCCGGCGGCCCGTTGGCTGCGGCTGCCATGGAAACGCCGAGGCGGGAGAGCGCGTGCGCGGGACGCAGCGTCCTTCCCCGCCCCCTCGCCCTCTGACCCCTCGCGGGCGCCAATCGCCGAGAGAGCCTCTCAAGGGCGCTTCGCGTCTGCGCCCGCTCTCGCCCCGCCCCCTGACGCAGCTCATCAGCCGCGCTGGCATCCTCTTGTCCCGGTCTCTTCCCTGCTCTAGTCTCGACTTGCCGGCTGAGCGTCTGCTCTTGTGCTTGTGAACACCACTCCCCCCCCCCCAGCATTCTGCGGAGACCTGTACATAGTGGGGTAAAGGTAAGGGACGCGGGTGGCGCTGTGGGCTAAACCACAGAGCCTAGGGCTTGCCGAGCAGGGTTCAAATCCCCGCGACGGGGTGAGCTCCCGTTGCTCGGTCCCTGCTCCTGCCAACCTAGCAGTTTGAAAGCACGTCAAAGTGCAAGTAGATAAATAGGTACCGCTCTGGCGGGAAGGTAAACGGCGTTTCCGTGCGCTGCTCTGGTTCGCCAGAAGCGGCTTAGTCATGCTGGCCACATGACCCGGAAGCTGTACGCCGGCTCCCGCAGCCAGTAAAGCGAGATGAGCACCACAACCCCAGAGTAGCCCGCGACTGGACCTAACGGTCAGGGGTCTCTTTACCTTTATCTTAGAGCTTGTCCTTAATGGAGAGCCCTACGTATGGCTGACAGCAATTGTGTGTGTGTGTGTTTGAGAGAGACAGAGAAAGACAGTGTGTTACTTTGATACTTGATCTTTTAAGAGGCCTTTTCAAAGTGCTTCCGATCTTCAGGAACACAAAGAGCCCCTGCTGGATCAGGCCAGAAACAAACCCAGCAATGCCTCCTCCCAGGAGTCCGGGGCTGGATTAAGCTCAAGGCCAGGGGTCCCTTTACCTTTTAAAGGACCCCTGGGCGGTTAAGTCCATTCGAATTCGACTGTGGGGTGCAGAGCTCATCTCCACTTTCAGGCTGATGGAACTGGCATTTGTCCGCAAAGCCTTCCGGGTCAAGGGGCCAGCAGGACTGAAGCGCTTCTGGCACAATGGGACACCACAGCAGTGCCTGTCTCCTGGCACTGGGATGCTTTGGAGCTGCTAGGTTGGCAGGAGCTGGGACAAAGCAACAGGATTCAAACTGATGACCTTCCAGCGCCACCAGCGTCCCATACAGAATAGTCTGCTGCTGGGTCAGGCTAAAGGAGGCCCATCTAGTCCAGCATGCTGTTCTCACAGTAGCCACACAGGCGCCCATAATCAGAAACCCGCAAGCATGACCGAGCGCAAGAGAATCTGTCCCCTCTTGCAGTTTCCAGCAACTAGGACTCCGAAGCCTCACTGTCTGTGACCTGCTTGCCTTTCACCTTCTGATTTTTGAGAAGTTTCCTCTTCTGAAGTAAAGTCTCTTTGGACTTCCTTGCCAGTTGTCTAAGTAAATACTTGTTGAATTGGATGGCGCTGTGGCTGGTTTTGAATCCCCCAACTGCTTCTCACCCCAGTCCCAGGCACCACTTAAGCCCCAGGGCAATGTCCTTGAAGAGGGCTGGAAATTTTGCCATGAGCAGAACACACATTTGCCACAACTCTTCTTCCTTTGAATGCCTCCTTGATTTCATTCTCCATAATCTGATTTCTTATAGTTGGACATGAAATGCTAACTGTTGAAGTGGAGACAAATATCTATTGAATCCTGTCTTATGCATTTGGGATGGGCACCACTGGCACCTCCTTAGAAGTCAGTGTGAGGCTAGCCAAGGTCTCAGAGGAGCTTACTTGCAGCTTGGATGCGGTGGTGGGGTGGGCAGTCATGAGTGAAAAGCTCATTTGTTCAGGATGGATATCAGTGGCTCTCACTGGAGTGCCAGAGAAACAAGCACTAGGTGGCCTTTGCAGGTGGAGACCCTTTCCCAGCAATGCAGCCTCCCACCCTTCCATTTCACCTAGCCAGGGGCCAGGGAGCGTGTGGCCCTCCAGACATTGCTGAACTACGGTCCTCATCATCCCTGGCCAGACAGACTGGGGCTGATGGGAGCTAGAATGCTCTGGAGGACAGGACTCAAACCAATGGCTTCAAGTTACAAGAAAGGAGATCATGACTTAAGTATTCGGAAAACGCTCTGACAGTAAGAGCTGTTCAATAGTGGAACAGTCTCCCTCTCCTTCCTTGGAGGTTTTTAAGCAGAGGTTGGATGGCTATCTGTCATGGATGCTTCAGCTGAGATTCCTGCATTACAGGGGTTGGACTAGATGACCCTTGGATCCCTTCCAATTCTATGATTCTATGAAGAATCAAACCATGCATGCAGGACGACAGCCACCCCCATCCCTATTCCTGAGCCACACAACTCTTCCCATTACTTGATCCAAAAAACAACTCAAGCTTCGGAGCCCTTGTTCTCCTGTTACTGCAATCTAAATATATGACAGACTCCAGAATTGTATGTACATTTGCATAGTTTATTCCAGTCACAGAACTTATTACTGCCTTTAGTGCAGAATGTCAACCCTCCTGATACAGTATTTCTGTGCCCCCTCCTCTCTGCTGTGGCTTTGGCTGGGTGGCCTCCGCCTGTCACCTGCTCCAATTGCCAGTCCTGTGGGCCCTGCTCCAGAAGTAGCTTCTACATTTCAGTGGACAGCTGAATGCTACCCAGTTGGCATTTTAAGCAATTTTAAGCAACTATTTCAATTGATGCAACAAACAGAGAGGGGCAAACTGTGCTTCAGGACTAGCAGAGGCTTGTGGCTCTGCACATGAAGCCAAAGGGTCACGCAGGACACTCCACAGGCTTGGGCCTGTCTGCAGTCATTCATGGTCCCCTCTGCTATTCAGTGCAATATTCCCAGCCTTCTGGGAATCATCTACTTTGATTCTTTCGTTTCTTCACTTCTCAAGAGATTCACAACCCAAACCAACTAGCATCTGGCACAAGGCAATGATGTCCAGAAGAGACAGAGAACCCTGCAGCGGAATTGGAGCGGGGGGGGGGGACCCTTCAGTCCAGCACTGGGTTCCTTTCAGAGGCCCAGCAGATGCTCCTGGGAAGCCCGCAAGCAGAACATGAGCAGAACAGCCTCTCCCTGTGGCGACTGGTGTTCTTGGAGGCGGGACACGGCCCTCCTGACTGGCAGTCACCTTACTCTCCTCCATGAATCTGTAAGTTCATACAATCGAAACCATGAGAAATGCTCCAGCCTGGTGGCTGCCCATGCTTGCGGGTAGCATCCCCCTCACCCTGAGATTTGGGGAGAGGCCCCTTATGTTTGGGGAAGCAGTAATGGAGTGACAGCTCCCAAAGGGACATGGCAATGCTGCTTTGCATGCTTCCATGGAAGTACTGCTCTGCTTCCTCGCCAAGAGAACCTGTCTTTCAAAGGCAGCATGCAGAGAGGCAGCGCAAGGAGGAAAGGGAGGGACACCAGGTTCTCCCCGTTGGCTGCCAGCTTCTAACAACCTGCGTGGGTTTTGCTCTCACCCTGAAAACCATCCTCATAAAGCAGTGGTGGTTTACATGCCTATTGGTTTAATTCCAGGGGCATAAATAGTTGCCTCTTTTAAATGCTCCTGGTCCAGCATGTGTGGGCAGTGGTTTTCATGAGACCCTCACTGCTGCACGGGGGGTGGGATTTCTGGCCAAGACCTGGCTTGAGTCCCCTTGCTGGCAATCCTTTCTGCAGGGTGGGCAACTTGAACCACAGCCATTAAACATGATTTGTGTGTCTGCTCCCCTTGCCGGCTGCTTCTGTCCGTGGCCTGATTTGCCTCTGCTCTTTCTCCAAAGCCTTTCCTGGCTGTGCTGCTCACTGAGACTGGTCTAACGGGAGGCACCAGGGACCTTCGCTGCCCTGGGGCATCCCTCTTCCACTCAGCCGCAGTTCCTGCCCCAGGTGGGCCAGCCGCATCTTGGCTGCTGCAGTTCAGAATGGAGGTCAAAGGAGTGAATGCTCCTCCCAGGGAAAGGGTTCCCTGCACATAGACAACGATCATTTCAGGAAGACTAAGCCAGCGAGCCATTTTCTATGTGGAAGGAAGAACATTTACTTATGAAGGAGCATTCTATCACATGAACCCCGCCTGGAGTCTGAAATGGAGCAGCCCACTTGAGTCTGCGCACCTCCAGACTCATGGGAGCAATTCATGCCGTAAATTCAGGTTTGCACAATTAAAATGATTCAAACCCCTCTCTGTCCCCCCAGCACCACTTAAAAGAAAAAGCAGCCTTTGAGCAATTATGAAAGTGATAGGGAAACCCACTGAAAAGTGGGGGGGGGGGGGATGAATGAATGAATGATGAGCAGCAAGATGTCTAAACCAACCAAGATGGATGATCACTGTCGTATAACTTCCCAGCAAGCAAATGAGAACAAATGCCCAATGAAGGCTGGATGCAGCCTTGTCTCCTGTGCAGGAGCTTTGTGGAAGCAAGTCAGGATGGAGGATGCTCAATAAATAGGGTGCCTGGGGGAACCCAGGGTGACAATGGAGGGTATCAGGATTGGGGCGGGAGGGGAAGTGTCAGAAGAAGGGTGGTGCAGAAGCAGCTACCTATGTGACGCAAAAGCCCCTGTCCTTCAGCAGAGCAGAACTGCCGTCTCCTCTTCCTATCCTCACCCTGCCCAGCAGGGTTGCTTCTTCCTTCCTGCCAGTGCCTGGAGGAAGCCTCATCTGCCTTGCAACGGCGACATGTGCAGTGGTGGAAGTCAGCACCCAGCCAGCTCTACCAGCCTAAGTCTCAGCCTACCCTGCAATTGCAAATGCTGCTGTTTACACAGATCCCCTTGGCACCCCCAGCCCCTCAAGTGCTTTACACACACACAAGAGAGAGAGAGAGACAGAGAGAGAGACAGAGAGAGAGAGAGAGAGAGAGTAGAAACAATCTCTCTGAGAAAGATCTGGTTAAGTGGTGGGTCCCCAGCGCTGGTCAAGTAGGCATCTTCTAGTGCTGCAAAGGCTGCTGTAGAGTGGCCAGTGATGCTTTCGCTGAGGTTGGCACTAAGCCAGAGAAAGGCTGGATCTTAACCCAAAAAGCAGCTTGGCACCCGCCAACTCCTGACACTGAAGCAGAAAGTTTGTCACAGAAAGCTGCTTTGACAGATGGTTACAGAACTCCATGTCAGCTGGGCTCCCCTCCCCCGACAGTTTGGTGTGAAGCAGCGCCTTCTGGTGCCCCTTTTGTCCCCCCCCCCTTCCAGGGGCCCAGAGCCCCCCTGCCACCAGCCCAGCCACCCGCTCAACCCATTCCACAGCTGGGGGGGGGGGTCAACACAGCTGTCCTGACAGGAGGGCTTCCCACCAGCATTTGTCCCAGGCAAAGCGGTTCCGGACCAGAGAGGTGAAGGTGAGCAGCAACATCAGAGTCACTTTTTTGTTTTGAATGTGCCCAGGAGCTTGGGCATGAATTTGCCCACCTTCTTGTCTTTGGCATCGGGCTCACCTTCCTCTTCGCCATGCTCATCCTTCTTGCAGAAGACCTCAAACCGGCTGTAAACCCGCTTCTCCTTCCTCATGCTCTCCATCCTTTTCAGGAGGGAGTCCCTGTCCTCCGAAGGGTCCCTCTGCAGATTCCGCCTGTGGCTGCCAAAGCTCTCCGACCGGAGGATCCCGGTGCTTCTCTCCTCAGCTCTGTGGTCCAGGCTGGTGGCCGACTTGGACAGCTCTGGGTTGCTGGAGCTCGGCAGCTGCCTGGCCAGCTCCGCTCGGTTCTTCTGGCTGTTAGCAGAAATCTGCTCAAGAATGACCTTTGTGTCATCCCGGAGGTTGCTGCTGTAGAGGACATTGGATGTGGATGAGGAAACCGATGCTGAGGGGACTGGCTGCCTATGGGGACAAGGGGGGAAGGAGCCGGCTTTGGAGACTTCTCTTCCTCTATCGCCTCCTGGAAGTCACCTTTGGACAGTCGCTTGAGGCCTCCTGCACTCGGCTTCTCTGGCTTCCAGCTCTCAGGGGTGGCGTCTTCTTCTGGCTTCTTCTCCCCTTTGGGGTTCAGCAGCTGCTTTAGCCTGAGAGATCCTTTCCTGAAAAACTCCCGTGGGCTCTGCTCCTGCTTACCGCTGTCTTCCTCTGGCTTATTGAGGGAGCTGTTGGAGCCGTGAGCCTTGGAGGGAACTTCCACAGTCTGGGCTTGTTCTGCTTTCTTGAATTCTGTCTCGGGCAGATTCTGAGCTTCCCCTTTGAAGCAAAGCTTCTCCTTCCTTTCTGCAAGAGCTCGTTTCTGAGTTTCTCCAACAAATATGAGGCTCTCCTCTGGAAGACTGGGCTTGTTCTCTATTGGGTAGAACCGAGAAGCGAGCTTGTCCGTTTTACCGCTCATCTGTGCAATGGGATCCTTGCCAAGCATGTCAGTGAGCTGCCCGGCCGAGGTGGACTCTCCAAATGCCCTATCTGACTCCAAATGCAACTTGTAGCTGCCAAGAGAGTCTTTGGAGTCTGACACGTGGCTCTCCAAGATCTTGTACTGCACCGACTTGGTGCATTTCCTCTCTGCATTCTGGGACTCTTCCTGCAGGAAAGAGGACATGGCCTTTGTGTGACTGACGGTCGTACTTTCTGAGTCTTTGCCCACTGTCTTATACTTCTCAAGTAGCTCAGCTACTTTGGAGGCGGTGGTGGTCTTGACTGTCTCGCTGTCCTTCGTCACCTCGCTGGATGTCTGCTCTTTTGAATCATCTGGACTTTCTCAGCCGACATGTTCTGCTGGTCCAATTTGGCAGCACTAAAAATAAGGGATGACCTGAGTCGTGAGCTCCTCTGAATCAAGGGGTTGATCCTGCTCCTGAAGGGATCCTGCTTCACCAAAGCGGCCTCCTCAGCTGGCCTCTCAGCTCCTGAAAGTGGCAGTGGGGCTTTGAAAGAGGGGAGGAGGTCACTGGGGAACCGTGGGAGGGGCTCTGTGGGGCCAAGCACCTCGTTGTAGGCCTCTGACTCCATGGGCGTCGGGAGACCCTCCTCTCCTGGGTCAGACTGGTACCCACTCAGGTAGGAGGAAATTCTCCAGTTGCGCAGGCCAGCTCGGTTCTCTTGCACTTTCTTGCCTTGATCTGAATCCTGGTCTTGGTCCTGCAGGAACAGCCTTTGTTCCAGGCTCTGCTTCTGGGTTGGGGAGGTCTGGCACATGAACTTTTGCCCCATGTTCTGTGTCCGGAATGAGGGCAGCCCAAGAGGGCCATTCCCAGCCACATTCACTTGGTCAGAGCCATGTCTCACTTCCTTGGAGGAATTGGAAGGCACGTAGTCCAGCCGCAGAGGGTAGCCCTCCTGGGGGAAACCGGATTCTACTTCCGGGCACCGGAAGCCGTCGGCGTAATCCTCCGCTTCGTTGAACCCGGGCCTGCCTCCCCTTATTCTCTCGAAGAGCCCCTGGGGCCTGCTGGCACCCTGGGGATGCTCAAACTGATACTGGTAGAACTGGTCTTTCTGAAAATGGCTGGACTGAATTTTAAAATCATCCAAATTGTTCATGAACATCTGCCTGGAAAACTGCTTTGAAGAAGCAAAGTTCTCAAAGGTGCCTTCTGCAAAGCTGTGCCTTTTGAAGGAGTCCATCTCCAGCTGCTTCGAGCGGAGAAAGCCCCGGATGGGGTCCAGCTGGGAGTTCTCCATCTCCACCTTCTTGGAATACATCCGCATCGCTGACCCTTCCAAGGTGTGGCGCAGCATGTCGTCTCTTCTGAAGGAGGACAGGAAGTACCTGTCTGGGTCAACCCTGTCCATCAGCGGCGAGAAAAGGTTGTCTTCCCGGGGGAAGAGCAGGGGTGCTTCTTGGGGAAGAGGGGCAGGTTGCTGCCGTAGGGCGCCATGCCAAAGGGTGCCATGAAGCTCTCTGGTGCCTTCATCAGGACATTGGCAGGAGGAACCAGCGGGTCTGACTGGGCAAAGAGGATGCGGAACTCCTCGTCAAAGCTGGCCACCAACTCTCCCTGGAAGATGTGAGCGATGCTCCGGTGGATCTTCTCAAACGACCACATGAAGCTGTGGAGAAGCAGGCAAGAGATGGGCACGTTACTGCTGCGAGTGGCCACTCTGCCTCGCAGGGCAGGCACGAGATGCCTCCTCCTCCTCCCTGTACCCACAGGATACTGTGGGCACCACTCCCAGAGGGTGACATCCCCTTTGTGGAACTCCCTCCCCAGAGATATCAGGTGCCAGGTTAAAATAACTCTGCCTGTGCCTTCAATGGCCTGGAATTGGGGAGAGGGCTCCTTATTGCTGCCGTTTCCCTTTAATATCTTGCTGATTGCCTCTAGTTCCAGAGGGCCCTGAGCAGTGCCTGCTTTTAAGCAGAATAATGTCTACCTGTTAGTGATGTTGTATTAATGCTGAAATCCCTTTGGATGGTCTTTCAAATTAAAAGGCAGAATATAACTATTCCACATAAGAACGTACAAAGCCAGAGCCTTATAATCTAAGAAGAATTACAGTTGGGACGGGTTGTTTGTGCGAGTCACATCCAAGCCCAAGGGACCTCGCAATGAGAACTGGAGTCCTGGAACAGCAAAAGGCAGACCTACTTCTGCTATTGCTCTTATGAACCCCCCCACATCCTCCATAAGGTCTCTGTGGGAACTGGACAGGGCCTCCCCACTACTGTAACCCAAAGAGCTCTGGCCCAGCAAGGGGAATGGGAAATGCCTGACTCCTGCTCTGCCTTGAGAGATTCTGCCTGGACATCCAAAGTTTGCTGCAAGGCCCAGTTGCTCCAAGAGTGGATGATTTCTGCTTGCCCTCCTGACTTAGGATCCTGACCAGCTTCCCCACCCATGGCTGGCCCTCTCCACCCCAAGGCTCCTCCTTTGGGGCAGCTGGGTGGCCATTTGCACTTCCTCCTCCCTCCTAAGGCTCATCACAGCCCTCAATTGCCCAGGCGGCCGTCTCGGCTGAAGTCTGTTGCAGCAGGAAGGAGTCAAGCCACCTGTGGCCTCTGCCCTGCCCTCCACTCACCTGTAACTCCCGCTCAGTACCACCATGCAATCCACCAGCAGGAACTTCTCCTTCACATGCCCCTTGAAGGACTTCCCGGTGCGACAGTAGTAGGTGGGGCCGGAAACTGTTCTCACCCGGAGGAACTGCAAGGCAAGAGAGGTATCAGGCAGCAAACTCCCCAAGGAAGCCACTGCTCCCCCCAACCCAGGCCGTTTAGCTGCAGGCTCCAAAGAGGCAGAGTTGGAAGGGATCCCTGGGGTCATCTAATCCAACCCACTGCAATGCAGGAATCAATGCAGGAGGGGGGTGCGCGCGTTGCTGCATGGTTTCCTCCACTCTCTCATAGAGCTTCTACTTATGGACACCCAGTGAAGCTGAATGTTGGAAGATTCAGGACAAAAAGAAGTCCTTCTTCCTGCAGAGCACTGTTAAAACCGTGGATAGTGACAGCCTCCAACCTAGATGGCTTTAAACAAGGAACGGACAAACTCCTGGAGGAGGAGAGGGCAATTGATGGCTCCTGGCTGTCGCATGAAAGATGGAACAAACTGTTTCTTGCTGCTCCAAAGGTCAGGACCCGAACGGATGGATTCAAACCAACAGGAAGGGAGATTCCAACTAAACCTTATGAAGAACTTTTTGACACCAGAACGGATTTCCTCAGAAGGTGGTGGACTCTTCTTCCTTGGCGGTTTTTAAGCAGAGGTTGTGTGGCCACCTGTGAGGGATGTTTCAGCTGAGATTCCTGCATTGCAGGGGCTGGACTGGGTGACCCTCGGGGTCCTTCTATCTCTGCAGCTCAACCATTCTATGATTCTAGAGCCACAACGGCTCAGCTTGGCCTCCAGAGCCGGAAGCAGCAATGCTTCTGAATGCCAGTTGCTGGAGACCCCAGGAAGGGAGTGTGGCCGTGCTCGGGTCTCACTTGTGGTCAACCACTGTGAGAACAGGATGCTGGACCCAATGGGCTCCCCTGGGCCTGATCCAACAGCCAGGCTCTCGTGGTGTTCTCAGAGCTGCCTGCACTGTTTGGGGGGCTTGGGTTTTGGGGTACCAAAGGGGCGCAAAATTGCACCCTGTGTCCTAGTGCCACGTTGCCCCATGGGAGCCCCTGCCCCCTCCTGCTGTGCTTACTTCCACGTAGTTGAGGTTGACTCTGCACTTGGCTGCCATGTCCAGGAAGAGCTGGGAATTCATCTCATCCAGCAGGATGTACACAGGAACCCTGCGGGCTGCGGCATCAAGCACTTCGCCCAGCAGGTCCACATCAGTGAATATGTCCATCACTATGGCAACCACCTGGAGGGAAGGCAAAAGGGCAGGTTAACACCTCACAGGACTCTTTCCATCTTGGGAAGCCAGAGGACTGACTTCCTGGGAGCATCCTCAGGTGCCCTGGCAGGGCTCAGCCCCTCTCTCCCGCACCTGCCCTGTGAAAGAGCTGCCAGCCCTTGGCCTCCCATTCCCTGGCCAGAGCCAGAGCTCACAGGAAGCAGTGTAAATAAAAGCCCAGTCACCCTACGGGGGCCTTCTCTGCTGGGCCCCTTGGGTGTGGAAGGCTTTGTTTTTGGAAATGTCAATAGCAAAACGTTAATAACAAAAGAAGGATCTACTGATAATAAGCAGTCTGTACATGGAAGCAATGAATAACTGACGAGATTCAACGGTAGCCCCAAAGCTGACAGCTTTGTGCATAGCAGCCTGCCCCCCCCCCCGGCCCAAAACCCCATTTATACCTAGACTGAAAAGGCCAGGAAGTCCCCCTCACAGCTCTCATATATAATCACATTCCTATCTTGCTCTTCCTTCCAAAGAAGCCCAGGGCAGCAAGCAAGAAATGATAGCAAATAAACATCTCTCAAAAACAACTCCAATACAATTGCAGGCTTGGAAGAATCTCAATGTGAAAGGCTTGTTGGAAGGAGGAGGTCTTTGGTAGGTGCTGAAAAGGAGCCTGTCTTGGTCTCCAAGTTGAAGGAATACCAAGGGCTGGGGAGCCACCACAGCAAAGGCCCGACTTCTGCATTGTGTGGAACTGACCTCCGGACAAGCCAGAATCTGCACCAGGGCCGTGGCAGACAGTCGAATCCGTAGGAGGGCTCCTGGGGTGGGTGGGGGAGGCAGGCAGGCAGGCAGGAAGGAAGAGGGACCCCCCCTTCAACAGCACATCCCTCTAGATCAGCACCACCTCTTGGTGGCCCATAACTAACAAGCCCAACTTTATTACTATTACTATTATTGATTATGATGATTAGATTTCTTACCTTCCCTTCATCACTTGGTCCCAGGGTGGGTTACAACAATATAAAAATGCAATGTTAACGTCAGTTGAAACCATTTACAATGGATCCTTTCTTCTAGCTAGCTAGGCAGCCCCATATCTTCCTTTACCTCTGAAGCCCTTGCTTAGCACCCTCCAAATATCTGGAAGCCCTGTGTGCATGTTCCGTCTCTCTCCTTTGTAGCCTCAGGAGGTAAAACCCCTTCCTGTATTTCTGCTTTGCCAGACTGCTGTCATTTTGCAAATCTTCCCTTGTGGAGTGTTCCTTCAGCCTCCCCTCCCCTTGGGAGTCTTCTGGGCAGCTGCCGCTGCCACCCCGCTATCTGAGCTGCCTCCCCCCCCCCACCCCCAAGAGAGGTGCCTCCTCACACTGCCCTATAGGGGCCTGGGAAGCACCCCCTGGCCAGCCCCAGAGGCAGCATTCGCCTGGGGAGCTTGTAGCCAGGGCTGCTGAAACAAACAGCTGTACAAGCCTTGGGGAGGCAGAGACAAGAGAGGGCATCAGAGGAGGGAGGGAAGGATAGAGGGACAGAGACCAGTGTTGCCTGCGGCACCTCTGCCCATCCTTCAAGGCACCCCAGGGTGCCACGGCACACTGGTTGAAAACCACTGTGGTAAGTGCATCTGTGCCCTGCTGGGCATGAGCAGACTTTGGGCGGGAGGATCTGATCTGCTTACTACTAGAAGACAAGATGGCGGTGGGGGAGAGTCAGCCTGGGAAATCTCAGGTGCAACAGATCTCACAACTTTTTTCAGAGGGAGGTTTTGTTGTTGTTGTTAATTTTCAGTGGCTACCAGGGTCAGAAACCTCTGAATGCCGCCTGCTAAGGAGCACGGCAAGGAGTGCTGCTGCTGCTGCTGCTTTTTCCTCTGCTTAATGGACATGATAGGACAGGCATGTACAACATGTGAGTTAAGGCGGTGTCAGCTCTTCCATTACAACACTCCTCCATAACGTTCCTCCTTTATTTATTTCTTTTTATTATTATTGCAAAAGGTGCACATAATAGTCTTGGAACAGATCTCTGTTCCGATCTCGAATTTCACCAATAAGCTTTAAAGGGAAAGTGTGAGGCTTGGGAAGCATTTTTTTAAAACAAAATATTGTTTTTTTTATTTCCTATTACACTTTGGGGTGGATGTGTATACAAAAAGTGGAAATTGTGGCCTTTGATTAAGCATTTTTAGGACAGAACGAAGCAAGTTCCATGGAGCCTTAAGGTGGAGGGGGACAGATGAAGGCAGACAATGAGTGTGGGAGGAGGGAGGCGGATGCAAGGAGTGCAGGGGACTCCTGCAACTTCCTTTAATCACTGCATAGAAGAGGGAACTGCTGTGCCTTGGGGGGGGGGGGCAGCTTGATGGAGCGCCCTCTCACTTGAAATCCGGCAGACACCGTTACTGCTATGTTAAAACTGTTTTATTTGAGAAAGTCTTTGCACCATGAATGTTGTTCTGATGTTTTAATCTATGATGTCAATCTGTGTTTTAAATTTTGTAGACTGTATGTTTCCATTTTGAAAACTGCTTTGAGCCCTGGATTCAATGAAAAGCAGGCTATAATATTTTTAAAGTAAAAACACAAGCTTTTGGAAGTGTAGCTGATCATGCCATCTGAAATGCCCTCTTCCACCACTAAAGCATAGCAGCCCCTCCTCCTTAGCATCTGGCCACGCGGGAAAAAGAGGGATACTCATTCAACACAGAGAACAACCCTGTGCAGCTTCGCTCAAGCAAGTTCCACTGCTCTCAGGCTCTTGGGCAAGTTTCATGTCTCTGAGTCACACCACTTTGCCTTCTGTGAAATGGGCTTTGATAACTGGTTCATCACAGCAGCAAATGCCGCTAGCTTTTCCCACCGTGACCCCTGGTCTTGCTTACCACCAACTGCTGCCACGTCTGCTGCCTGGCCAGGCCCATAAAGCATTCAGTGCCCTGTCTGAATTGGGAGCCAATGCAGCTCCTTCTTAAGGACTGGCAGCAGGGACATCATGGAGCCCCCAAAGGCTCAGGGCAGAGAGCTTTCACGGCAGCAGTCATGTCAGAAACTGCTGGATCCTGCCCACCACCCCCTTCCTCCCGCCCGCCCACCTTTGGGCTCCTGCCAGCGTCCTTTTCCCACAGCCCCCTTCCTGATCTCTCACCTGCTGTGCCGCCCGGATCATCCTGCGCGCTTCCTCCTTGATGCTGGGGTTGTCTGGGGGTGGGGGCTGCACCAGAGTGGTCACCTCCGTCCCTCGAAACCCAAAGACCATGGGCCAGCCCAGGTCCAGCTCTGGAACGGCCAGGTCAGAGTTCATGGGCCAGTAAGTGCCAGAGGAGCCGTCCATGTCTGTGTCGTGGGGGCCGGAGTCTGTGCTGCCACCCCCGCCCTCCTGATGGGCATACTGGGGCTTCTGGATGTGCTGGGTGATGTGCTCCACCTCCGAGGGGCAGAGGAAGTCCGGGGCGCCCTCCTCGGCCAGGAAGCGGTGGTAGTTCTCCTCCCCGTCCTCGGCCAGCGTGTCCAGAGCGAGGCGGTAGTACTCCTTGTAGTGGGGTGGGAGGTAGTTGGGGTCCAGGGGGTTGTCGCCCTGCGAAGAGCTCTGAGACCGGCGAGCCATGGCGACAGACGGGGGCACTGCGGAGGGAAGAGGCAGCCGTGTCACAGCAGAACAGGCCCAGGGCGACTCACAAAACGTCCCACCGTCCCCTCCCTCTTAGGGTGGGATCCTAAGAGCAGGACAAAGAATTCTGAAATGGGTCCGTATCTGCTTTTTAGGTAATTATAATTTTGGCATAATTCCATGAGACAGATATTTTACTCACAGAAAGGATGACCCTCAGTCCCCTAATCAATGACTTAACTACTGTTTTTACACACTGTTTGCAAAACTCAACAGGGAGTGCATCTGGCCACAACTACGTCCCCATTCAGCTCCCTGGCAATTCGTTTATGCTATTTTTAAGATCTGTATCCTAATTTTCTTCATAAAATAAACTCAAAGAGGCTTATAAAAGCCATAAAGTACATAAATGCATAAATGCCATAGTACATAAAATACACAAATACATAAAAGCCATAAATGCACCTTATGCACACAATACATGGAGTTCCAAATTACTGAAATAATTTTCATTCATAAGTACCAAGAGCAAGATATAAATATTCAGTATAAAATGGGGATACAGCTTGATGGGAGCATTGCAGGAAGTTGGACTGGATGACCCCTGGGGGTCCCTTCCAACTCTAATGTTCTGTGATTTTATTATTCTATCCTGGATGGTATGGAGAAAGAGGAGGGCAGAGAGCACGTCTCCCTCCCTCTCCTAATCCAGCATCCGGCAGGATCACCCATGACGGAACCTCCCAGCAGGGGGGAGGCAGCTTCCTCCAATGTAGCCGGCCCAGGAGGGGCAGAGGGGCAGGCCCAGGTCTCGCCTGACACAGGGGCTCTTCCTGACTATAGTGCATATAAGCAAAATCACACAAAGCCAGAATGGTCCTCCATGGGAGGTAGAAGAAGCTCTGCAACGGAACTTGAGTCGAGCATGGATATTAAAGCATTTTAGATCTTAAAAGGAAAATAATAGATATGAAAAAATATATGAACGACAATGCAAAAATAATTGATGAGAAACTTGATAGAGTGGGAAGCAAAACTGATCAAAATGCCAAAATTATTGTGGAACTATCAAGTCAGATGAATGATTTGGTAACAAAAAAGTGGAATTAACAAAAATAGTCCAAGACCTTAAATGCAAATCCCAAAATCTATAAGAGGCAGCTAAGAGGACCCAGAATGAGAGTAAGGAAGTGAAAAGGGAGTGTGACAAGATAAAAAAGAGACCGCAGAACTGAAAGAAACACAGGAAGCAGCACTGGATGCAATAGCAACATTACAGATGCAAAGGAGGGGGAGGATTTAAAGATTCAGAGGTGTCCCAGAGGAGCAGATTGAGGAGAAAATTATGAAAGAGTTGGCCAAGAGGTTAGATTTGGATGAACAGGTGACGTCTCAAGGTATAGAAAAAATATTCAGAATTAGATTAAGTGTAGCCAGAGCTAATAAGTGGCCTGGTGAGTGCCTGGTGTCCTTTACATCAATTGACATCAGAGACAAAGTGCTGCAAATGAACAATAAAAGGAAACTGAGAATAGATGAAAGAGACATTGTCATTCTTAAGGAAAACCCTGTTAGGCTTTGGAAAAAGAGACAGCTATAAACCTCTTGCTGAAGCCCCAAATGCAAACTCTATAGTTTACAGAATTCCCAGAGGGTATCTCCTTTTTTAAAGGAAAGAGACAAAGGTTCTTGATGGCGGAAGACACCAACAAATTCTGGAGGAAGTATTAGAAGGAAATGGGAGGGGGAAAACAACTAGTGGGAGGAGTGGATGACACGGACGCGGCAATGTCAACAGAAGGAAATTAAAGAGAGAGATTGGACAAAAGAAGTGATTTAAGCATCACTCAAGGGTGTTAATAAATTGTTTATATTGTGTATTTACTGTTTTTATTTCTGTGAAGTGAAGATACATTAAAGTATGAACTTAAAAGATTGTCACCGGGAATGTAAATGGACTTAATGATAAAGCCAAGAGAAACAGAGTAGAACATATCCTAACTAAACAAAAATGGGAAGTGATATGGGAAGAAATTGGGAAAAATGAAAAAGAATTATTTAATAACCCGGACAGTGAACTAATCAAACAAAATATTAAAATGCTCCAGACACAATTCTCAATGATTATTAAGAAGAAGAAGAAGAAGAGTTTGGATTTGATATCCCGCCTTTCACTCCCTTTAAGGAGTCTCAAAGCGGCTAACATTCTCCTTTCCCTTCCTCCCCCACAACAAACACTCTGTGAGGTGAGTGGGGCTGAGAGACTTCAAAGAAGTGTGACTGGCCCAAGGTCACCCAGCAGCTGCAGGTGGAGGAGCGGAGACTCAAACCCGGTTCCCCAGATTACGAGACTACCGCTCTTAACCACTACACCACACTGGCTCACAAGAGATTGAATGGAAAATCAAGTTGCTAAAACATGGAAGCTTTAAGTTTGCAAATAAACCTGGCAAACTATAGGCTTGGCAACGTAAAAAACAAAAGCAGAATGGAAGGATAATAAACAAAATTAAAATCAGAGAAAAGAGTAACAGATAACCCAAGGAAATAAACAGAAGTTTTTTAAGTGTTTACAGAGAGCTATACAGGGAGGGAACAGAAAATCACGACAAAAAAGAATACCTAAAGCAGAACAACTTACCAAAGATTCTAAAGGAGAAAATCAGCCTCCTAAATTCTCCTATTACCGCATTAGAAGTTCAACAGGCAATTTAAAAAGCGAAATCAGGGAAGGCCCTTGGCCCAGATGGCCTACCAGCAAGCTATTATAAAAAGCTAGAAGAACCCCTATTCCAACCATTAAAGGATATGATGAACAACATAGTAAAAACTGCCGGAATCATGGACAGAAAGTTATATAACCCTATTTCCTAAGCAGGGAACTGATCTAACAATTGTCTCAAACTACCGGCCAATTTCCCTTTTAAACAATGATTATAATTTGCTGACATACTTTCGGAAAGACTGAGAACGATTCTTAAATACAACATTCACGAAGACCAGGCCGGCTTTCTCCCTGGACATCAGATGCAAAATAACGTCAGAAATGTTATCAATGTGTTGGAATACTTAAAAATCAGAATTGACAAACCAGCAGTATTAATGCTGGTTGACACAGAGAAAGCCTTTGATAATATCTCATGGAGATTCATGAAAAGAATGATGCAACTAATGGAGTTTGGTCAACAGTTTTGTAAAGGAATGGAGGCTATATACTCTGATCAACAGGCCAAGATTATTATCAATGGCAACATTACAGAAGACTGTGTAATAAGAAAAGGGACAAGGCAAGGGTGTCTGCTATCCCCGCTAATATTCATTCTGGTAATGGAAATGCTGAATAAAAAAATAAGGGAAGACCAAAACATAAAAGGAATAACATTAGGAGAGAAAGCATATAAACTAAAGGCGTTTGCCGATGACCTTATTATAATGACAGAGAACCCAAAAGAAAGTTTATTAAAGGTATTAGAAACAAATTTTGGGTAGGTAGTGGGGTTCAAATTAAACAGTTCTAAAACAAAGCTCTTGGTCAAGAATCAAACTAAACAGGAAAGAGATGATCTAGAACAAGCATGGCCAAAGTCCGGCCCACCGGTCGACTCAATCCGACCCCCATAACTTAGGGGTAAAATGGTAAAAAAAGCTCAAAAACTTTGGTTGGCCTTCATGCATGTTCACTTCATCAAATCTGGCCCTCTTTGGGAAAAGTTTGAGCACCCCTGATCTAGAAAATGTCTCGAACTTGAAGATCTGCAAAAAGAGAAAATATTTGGGAATATGGATCTTGGCAAAAAATAATAACCTATTTCAAGATAACTACACTAAGACCTGGATGGAGATAAAAAGAAATCTAGAAATACAGAGCAGATTAAATTTATCTTTCTGGGGGAGAATATCCACCATTAAAATGAATGTTTTACCAAAAATGCTTTTCTTATTTCAGACGATTCCTGTGATTGGGGAAACAGGCAACGAGACATCTCAAGATATATCTAGCAGGGGGGAAACCCCAGGATTAAACACAAATTATTAATTGATTTTAAAGAAAGAGGAGGCTTTTCCCTGTCAGATTTGAAACTCTACTATGAGGCAGCGTGTCTCTCCTGGATCAGGGAATGGTGTATATTACAAAACACAGACCTTCTAGATATGGAAGGGCATGACAATCACTATGGCTGGCATGCCTACTTAGGCTACGATATGGTCAAGGTACACACAAAAATTTTAAAACCACATTATAAGGAAACCCCTATATATGATTTGGGCAAAATACAAAGGTCTGCTCAAACCTAAAAATCCATGTGCATATTGCCCCAGAAGCATTGGCAGTGAAGAAAAAAAATATGAAAGGGAATTGGCCAACATATAAAGTACTGTTAAAAGAAGAAGAAAATCAGTTGAAATTTAAAAAAAATCGAAGAAATCAGGGCACACCTGTCAGGTTGGTTACAATATCACCAACTTCATGAGATATTTAAACTCAACAAAAGAAATGGCTTTGAGACAGAACCCTCCAGATTGGAAAAAGAACTGAAGCTCTCTCCAAAATGGACCGACTCCTCCTTGACTGGGAAGTCAAGAAAGAGGAGGCAAAATCAGTAATGGTTAAATGGGCTCAAGACTTTGGTCACAACATCCCTATGGATGCCTGGGAAAAACTATGGAAGGTAGACATGAAGTTCACCGCATGTTACGCTTCAAAATAATATTTTATGAAGATGCAATTCTGCTGGTACTTAACGCCACTAAAACTATCTAAAATGTATAAAAATACCTCGAGTAAATGTTGGAGATGTGGGGAAGTGGAAGATTCAATGCTACATATGTGGTGGAACTGTAAGAATATAAAGGAATTTTGGGATGTCATTTACAACAAGCTCAAAAAGATGTTTAAGGTTTCCTTTATAAAAAAACCCCGGAGGCTTTCCTCCTGGGGATACTAGGCACAGATATACCTAAAAAAGCAAAGGAAATATTCTTGTACGCCACGGTAGCTGCAAGAATATTAATCGCCACAAATTGGAAAGGAGGAATTGTTTCGAAAATTAAGGAATATTGTAATAGCATGATGTCAATGGCAGGCCTTTGAATGACTTCTGTGGTAGGGTGGATAATGATTAAGGAAAATTAACAAAAGAAAATGAATAGTGCATTAGATCGAATAAGCGGTGGATGCATGATGGGGTGATGGGAAGTCGCTATAGATGCAAGAAGAATTCAATGTGATTTGATTTAATTACTACAATTCTTTTTTCTGGATAAAACTTTGTTGTTTCTTTTTAACTTCAATACAGCATAAAAAGAAGAAGTTAACGGTTTCCCACAAACACATTCTTTGACAAAATAATAATAATAATAAGAAGAAGAAGAAGAAGAAGAAGAAGAAGAAGCGACTGGAATGGTTCTCCCTGACCCCCCCCCCCAGTCATCCCACTCTGGAGGCCTCTGGCTGCAGCAGCCACTGGGGCAGCAGGTCTCAAGGTTGAGCTTTCTTTCCTCCTTGTTCCTAATGGAGCTCTTCCTTCCCCCTTCTTCCCTGGCAGTGAGAAGGGCGCCATTTTGTGGTCCACCTCAGGTGTTCAAATGTATTGGGCCAGCCCTGCCAGTTGGGCCATGCTGCCCCCTGTGCCCACCAGGGGAATGGGGAGGTTGCATGAGGACTCCTGCAAGCTCTCAGTCAGCCCTTCTGGATGGGGTGGGTGGGTTTTCCTGCTCTCCCACCCCTTTTAATGTATTATTTTAATTTTCTGCATAAAGTCGTCATTGTGTATGAAAAACCAGCATAAGGTGAGATCTGGCTGTATGTGAATTACAAGAGAGAACTCTGGTTGGCGTGTGAGTCCCTGGGGGCAGGGAGCTGTGGGTGAGGGCGGGTGTCCGGCAGGGGGGCCGCCACCACCAGCCCTCCTCCTTCACTGGTGCCTCAGGTCCATATTTCTCTTCTGATCTGGTTCAGAGTTCTGCCCCTCCCACCCCATTTCATTGCATGCTGACGCTGGCATCTCCTGCCATATACCAGGTGGGGTCTGTGAACGCCCCTCAAGGGCAGAGGTCCATATTCTAGCGTCCTGTCCTGGTCCACACATCTCAGAGCCACAGTTCTGACAGTCCGCGGGGCTCCCAAGGCTTCCCAGACTGGAAGATGCAAGGCAAACTGGTTCCCTGGCTGCTCCATGGAGAATTTGTGGGGCCCATTTGGACGTCACAGCACTGAGACAAGCACAGCACAATTTTAAAACTGGAAAGTTAGGGGGATGAAATGGAGTCCAAGTCTGCAGCAACAGTCACCTTTTTTCAGCTGAAGGCAGTTCTCCAATTGCTTTCCATCACTGTTGGCTCTATTGGCCTCTGAGCACACCAGGTCTTCTTCTTCTTCTACTACTACTACTACTACTACTACTACTACTACTACTATTATCATCATTTCTCTACCGCCCTTCATCTGAGGATCACAGGGCGGTTTACAATACTTTTGATTCTGAATGGCCCAGGGAGAGACAGGCATATAATGTTGACATACAAATGACCCGGGGGCTGTTCCAAGAGGGTCCAGAAAGGTTTTGCTGTTCTTCCAGCGAAAGTGCCCCCACCTGTCTCTTATCTGCTCACACCAGCTGAGGTGGCTCTTGGCCATGTTCAGATTCAGCTCCTTACAAGGGAGGGAGGCAAAGGGGGGGGGGTGAGGGGACCAAGTGGCAGGTTGGGAGACAGTCAAAGCCGTTTTGAGACACTTTGGGCAGAATGTCCCCTTAGTTCAGATCTGAGGACTCAGTATCTTGAGCCCCCAATGGGAGGATCAGTAAGAGCCCCCCCTCTAAGCAAAACTTCATTTGTACTGGCTGGCACTGATTATCACATGCCCCATAGGACTGCTAAATATGCCCCACAGGCTACAGAGAAGCAAAGACTTCTGACTTCCTCCGAAGATCCCCACTGATTTATGAGGCGCTGCTTAGAGCCAGCCTCTTCTGGCACTGCACGGCTCACGTTTTTATTCTGAGGCTCCGTTTCTGGTTTCAGCAATACGTGTATCAGGGAGGGGGGGATGCGCACCCTATTTGGCCAATGAGAAATGAACGTTGCTGTTTCATTAAAATTTCATACCTTATGAACATCTTGTTCTCACCTGAACAGCCAGCTACATTTCCCCATGGCCCACCATAAAGGGGGAGAACTATACAGTGGTACCTCGGGTTAAGAACTTAATTCGTTCTGGAGGTCCGTTCTTAACCTGAAACTGTTCTCAACCTGAGGCACCACTTTAGCTAATGTGGCTTCCCGCTGCCGCCACTGTGCAATTTCTGTTCTCATCCTGAAGCAAAGTTCTTAACTCGAGGTAATATTTCTGGGTTAGCGGAGTCTGTAACCTGAAGCGTCTATAACCCGAGGTACCACTGTAGTACCACAGGGGGTGCATTCATGGTTAGGGGGCTTGCTTTTTTTCTAACTAGAAGCCACACCTGCTCTGCTTGCCATTAGCTAAAGGAAGCCCCATCCCTCACGCCTGCACCACCTGACCCTTGCCAAGGGTCTCCTGCCCTATGCCTTGCCCACCTCAGCAGGAGCCCCAGGAGCCCAAAGGATGATGACTTGCCTAGTGAGGTGAGGCGAGAATATGCTCCGGAGAATATTCTCCACAAACTATAAATTCTAATGTAAGAACCAGTTTTACACCCCACATTTTAAAAATCTAGTAAATAATAAGTCAAGCTGTGATATTGCCAGTGTATGTAATGAATAATGATTTTTTAAAATTCAGTTACATTACTGAGCACTTTGTCATTCACCATTGGCAGTTCTGAAATGTGAGCTACAGAAAACATTTTTTGTTTGTTTTAAAAATGCTATTCATTTAATTTGGTGAACATTTTAATTCGTATGTATTTCAACTATATGCAATAGCTTTTTTTCTATTTTGGTGTGACCTTATTTTTAGCAATTCTATACCCTTGGCCATACAGTGACCATACATATTTATTTTTTACAGAAGGTAGTTTTAATGCTTTATACACTTAAAGTACCTAGGCCTATGTGCAACAGCATGTGAGGTGGCCTTGATTTAAACAGTTGACATTTCTATATTTTTATTTAGTGCCAGTAACTGGTTTTTGCAATGCCATTCAATGGTACATGGTGATATTTATCAGAGACTGGCATACTGAAATATATTATATAATGATAATGTATTTAATGTCAATGGCTTCTTTTTTATATGTATGCATATAGTTTTATTTAACAAGCTATGTTTTAGTCACCAAAACAGTTACTGTGTTAGAACTATCAGAAGCACAAGATAGCCTATTACTGAATTTACTTGTATCAAACCTTAACATGCCAATTGTATTTTTTGACTTGTCATATAACATGTATATGTTCTAATGGAAGAATAAAATATGATTTAACTACTGAGTTTCCTCATACGAAACCTTAACATGACAATTACTGGTGCCATCACCTTATTATATCATTTTCAATGCATTAAAATGAATATTCTCCTATTTTAAATGAAAATTCACTAATATTCTCATTGATTGAGAATATTCTCAAGAATATTCTCCAAAAGATTATTCTTGAGAATTTAACATCACTAGACTTGACCAACAGCCCATTGCTCATGCAGCGGCTTCCCTGGCCATGCACTGGCTAGCTGCCCCCCCAAAAAAACTCCTCCATTCCTTTCCTGTGTTCCCAGAAGCCTCTCAGACCTTGCCATCTCCAGTGCACTTAAGACTGGGAGCTCCAGGTTTTCCTCAGTGCTCAGTGTTGCTGGCACTAAATGTACACCCAGTGAGAAAGGAGGGGTGTTGGGGTGGGGACACACAAAGCGCAGCCCCTCCTGATTCTGGCTGCTCACCTTCCAGCTTGCCAAGAACAAGAGGAAACTGCTCAGCGCCAGGCTCTTGGGGGAGCCAAGCCAACTCCGAGTGTTGAAGGCAAGCTCCAGAGGTGCCCTGTGCCCACCGGAGGGGACGCGCCTGGCTTTGCTGACTGGGGTCCCGCTGGCCTCAAGCAGAAAGTCTCCTTCCGCCTCTGGCTTGGCTACCTGCTCTGGCAAGTGATGGTCGTGCAGTGGGCTCCCTCCTGGCAGCCCCTCCGCCAGCCCCAGAGCCCGGGCTCTCGCCAGGGCCTCGTCGGCTGGGCTCTGGAGCTGCTCCTTCCTGTCCCGGCCTGTACCAGCAGGGCCTGTTGCTACGTGCTGCAGCTGCTGCGGCTGGTTCCCAGCACCACCGGGTGCTCCCTTGCGAAACTGGCTTGGCAGCTTCAGACACACCCAGCTGCATGGAAACTGAGAGAGAGGGTGGGGTGGGGGGAGGCAGCCCTTGGCTGGGCCCAAGCACAGCCAGAGAGAGGATCGCTGGAAGCCAAAGGATGGCCTCCCCTCACACCTGCCTCTAGGCGTGCGGCTGGTTGGCCTCAGCAGCTGGGGGAATCTCCTGACCCAGCAAGTCAAGCTTCTTCAGGAATACAGGCTGCCTTGGAAAGGCCAACTTGCCAGCAAATGCCACTGCCCCACAGAAGACAGGCGGGCACCTGGTGGCCGGAAACCCCCCAGTCCCAGCACAGCACCAAAACGCCCCCCTCCCAGGTGAGGGTGGTCCTGCTTGCGGCTCAGGCTGGCCTTGAGCTCTTCATCTGAAGACGAGACATAAGGACATCGGACCAGTGGCCCATCTAGGCCACCATCCTGCTCTCACAGTGGCCAGCCTTCTGCCCTTGGGCTAGGGACATGGTAGGCATGGGGTGAGCAGCTGCCTCGCCATCCTTCCAGCAATACATGTGCCAGGGCTGCCCCTGGGAGTGCGAAATTCAGCTCCCTGCTCTTCCTCCGAGGCAGGAGGCCAGGGAAGCATGTCTGCCTTGCTCTGAGCAGGGGGCTCATGGAGCAGCCCCTCCCCCGCTGGGCCTTTCCCCCACAAACACAGCCCTGCATTCCTCTGGGTGCTACTTCCTGTGCAGCCACATGCTCTCATACCCCTCTCTTAGAAATTCCCCCAAAGGGGGGCAGAGCCCCACTTCCCACCAAGCAGGGGTGTGATGGGCAAAGGGGGAGTGGGATGCCGCAGGACTGCTCCAGACCTCTTACATGAGGGTCTTGGGGAAGCAGCTGGTGGCCAGACAGAGACCCCCCCCCCCGGTGGGACAAGCAGACCCCTCTCCGCCTTCCTCACACACAAAATGAGCTCACCCAGCACCTCTGAAGCCAATGGCCTAAGCGGGGGTTTGCTTGGGTGCCTGCATAGAGAGGGAAGAATTATCCCAAGGCCGCGTTAACCACAGAGTTTCCAGGCAGCCATGACACATATAACTTCTCCATTACTTTAGAGGCCTCCGCCTACATTCTGTGGACACATTTGAGGCTTCACATTTCAAAGGCTGGTGCAGAATTTGGCACCTTAACCACCTCAGCTTTGGGTTTAACACAACAAGTTGCTAGCCCCCAAGGAAACGCGGGCTCTTCTGAACGGGGTGCACTTCCCTCTTGTTCTGGGGCTGAAGGGGCACAGTCTTGGTCCCCCACCAGGCCACGCACACCCAGGTGCCAACTCACACTGGCTCCTCCCACCCAATGACTGAGAGCAGGATAAGAGCAGCCTGCTGGCGGGTGGTGGGCAAGGAGAAGGGTGCCAGGCCAAGGTGGGAGCCCTTGGCAAGTTCCCTGTAACGGTCGGGTGTCCCTCCAAGCTCCAGTTTTAAAACAGATGAAGACCTCTCCCTATTCACTTCCTCCCAATGCACATAATTTTATACCCCTTGTTCAAGTCTATCACTACTCCCCTTTCGCTAGAAAGCCCCAAATATTGCAACCTTTCCTCCTAGAGAACTTGCTCCACCCCCACTCTTCTCTTCTCTTTTCTTTTAGAATAATTTTTATTAAGTTTTCAATTTTACATTTCAAAATAAACATTTTACAAACTTCAAAATATCCAAAGACTTCTCTTCTTCTCCTTGCATGGTTCATTTTACATATCATATGTTCCTGCATATTTTACTATAACCATTGAAATCCGTTTTCCACTTTTACATCAATCAAATATTATATACACTGTTGAATTTCTCTGAATGCTGCCTGCGTTTTCAGCTGTGTAGTTATTTCCCATATATTCAATAAATGTTTTCTACTCTTCTTTAAATATATGTCCTTCTGGCTCTCCTATTGATATGTGATAAATCTGCAAGTTCTGCATAGTCTATCATCTTAAGCTGCCAATCCTCTTTAGTTGGGACCTCGCTCACTTTCCATTTTTAGGCTAACAAAACATGGGCCGCAGTTGTTGCACACATAAATAACTTTTCCTGACACCTAGGAATTTCTGTCTAGATTATTCCCTGTAAAAAGGACTCAGGTGTTTTTTTTTGGGGGGGGGAAATAATCTTAAACATTTTTTCAACTCATTATAAATCATTTCCCAATATACTATTACCTTTCTACATGTCCACCACATATGAAAGAAGGTTCCCTCTCACCCCACTCTTTTCTGAACCTTTTCTAGTTCCACAATATCCAGTTCCACAAAATATCCTTTTGACTACCTCACAACACAATCCTAAAACATTATTTTTTAAAACTGAAATTGAAAACCAAGCATAAAACAAAATCATCACACAACACATGTATGAAATACTGGTGTGGAGCATAGACAAAAAGGTGGCCAAATAGATCTGGAATACATTCTAGACTTTGGGTCTAAGTGGTACCTTGGTTTAAGAACAGTCCGGTTTAAGAACGATTTGGTTTACAAACTCCGCAAAACCGGAAATAGTGTCCCGGTTTGTGAACTTTACCTCGGTCTAAGAACGGAATCTGAACGGTGGAAGGGCACCGGCGGCGGGAAGCCTCATTAGGGAAAGCTCACCTTGGTTTAAGAACGGTTTTGGTTTAAGAACGGACTTCCGGAACCAATTAAGTTCGTAAACTGAGGTAGCACTGTACTAGAAATTACAACTAAAAAAGTTAAAAAACCCATAGGGGGACTCTGTTTTCTAATCCGGCTACACAGGAGATGGCAACTGCTATGTTGGCTCCCAAAGAAAGGGGCACAAATGCAATGGGGCAGAATGGGGCCTTCCAACCAATCAGCTCAGGTTGGCTCCAAAGTGTGCAACTTGTGCATTTTGCAGCTCTCACCAAGACAGAAAACTGGTGTTAACTTCAGGCAATGGCTCCTCTTGCGTGAATCTCCCCCTGCCCGTGATAGTCTCTGTGGAAGTCCTGCTCCAAAATGCATCTTGCAGGGGGCGAGTGGGAGGGTCTTGGTAGCAGCCCCAATGTTCAGCCCCAGCCCCTGTCTCTGCTCTCGCCTGGGACGACTAGGACACTTGCAATCAGATCAGAGCCTCAGCTGGTGACCTTGAGAGCAGGCTGCTCAGTTTGACTTTTCTCATTGTTTTGTGATTGTTTTTCTATCATTATACCCATTTCTTGTTTCAATTCAAAAATTAAATTACACTCAAGACACCACTACGGTGGGCCCTGTTCATTCAAAGTTAGCCAGAGCAAAATGACGTGGGGGGGGGGGAGAGAAAGCAGGTGAGGGGACTTCACAGGTGCCTGCAGGGGGCAGGCCCCCCTTCTTCCCTCCTCCTCCATCTTGGGAGACAGACCCACCATTCTCCCACTTCTCTGGCTAGAAGCTGAAGCCCAGATAAAGTGTGTGTGTGTGCCGGGGGGGGGGGGGGTTTGTTCAGAGGAACACTGGCCTGCAAATGTTTTGGGGAGCCCTGGCAAGCAGAGGGGGGTCCGATGACCCCCAGGGCCAGCTTTGCTGCTGCTCAGCCAGGCTCTGCTGGCTTGAGGCTGGACAGGCGGGTGGGGGGGGGCCGCACCCAAGCGGGCCCACCTGCCCTCCTCCCGGGACAGCTCCTGCCCTGGAAGTGCGGAGGCCAGGAAGGAAGGAAGGAGGCAGGCAGGCAAGCAGTTCCTCCTCCTCCTCCTCCTCCATAGAATCGTGGTTTGGCAGGGAGCCCAAGGGTCATCCAGCCGAGCCCCCTGCCCTGCAGGACCCACAACTCCAGCATCTCGGACAGGTGCCCCCCCCCCCGCTTCCCGAAGTGCTGCTTGACCTGAAGTCGGCGGAGAGAGGAAGGCGCTGCGCGGAGTCCCGGCCGGGAAGTTTGCGGCCGCTCCCGGGGAAGGGCAGGCGGGGCGGCGGCGAGCTTCGCCGAAGCGCGGCCGCACCCAGCTCGCCGGGCCAAGCACCTGCCGGAGCCCGGGCCCCGATGGGCGAACGAGCCAGCGCCGGCCTGCCCCGGCACGTGTCGGGACAGGAGCCGGCCCGGGAAGCTGGCGCCCCTCCGGCCTCCCGGGACCCGTCGCCTTGCGCCCGGCGGAGGAGCCCCGACAGTCCAGCCCCGCGGCAGGCAGACGCTCCTCGGCCCTGCCCAGCCCCCGCCCGGGACAGGCTCCTTCCCTCGGCCCGGGAGGGGGACGGACACCCCCGCGCCGCGCCGACCTCCGCTCCCGGCCTTGGCCCCGCGAGAGCACCGCCCGTCCGCCGCGGACCTCGGCCCGTCGCCCGTGCCGCGCGGCCGGTGGCCCCGTTTCCCCGACGGCAAACGGAGACGCCGCGAAAGAGGGGCCCCGGGAGCCCCCTCGCCGGCCCGCCTGGCAGCGCCTACTGGAGCGGCCTCGACGGGGGCGCCCGCCTTACCTTGCCAGGTGAGCCGGGGCAGGCGCGGGTCCTCTTTCCGGCAAGCGGCGGCGCTGCCTCTCCTCCCGCGACGCCTGATTCACCTCGGCGCAGGCGGGAGCCAAGCTCCACCCAGGGCAGCGCGGGGCGCGGAGCGAAGTTGGTCGGCCAAGTCGGCCCGAGGGGGAGAGAGAGATAAGGCGCGCCTCCCTCGCTCGCTCGCTCGCTCGGCACATTCCTGATGCGCCGCCTCCGCCTCCCGCGCCTCCGCCCTCGCCTGGCCCGGCTTGCCCTGCCCTGCCCGGCCCTGCCCGCGGGGGACGGGGCTTCGTCGCGGGCCCTCCGCCTCCGGGGACCCCTCTGCCCCGCGCCGGACCCCGCTCGAGGGGAAGGAAAGCGCCGGGCAGTCCCTGAAGGGGGAACCCCCTCGCGCGCTCCGGCGGACGTGAGGCTGTCCTACAGGGAAAGTATTCCCAAGTAGAAAAACACGTGTCGGGCTCCGGGGGGGGGGCGTCTCAGGGCGAGATCACCCACGTCGTGGGGAGCCAACGATCCTGAGGCGGGGCAAGAGTGCTTTGCTCGGAGGAGGAGGAGCGTTTGCGAGGCTACCAGTCCCGCATTGCGGGGGGTGGACTAGATGAGCCTTGGGATCCCTGCCAGCTGTTCGCGGCCCATTTCACGTGCCCAGTGTCCCATTCCACGAATCCTTACAAAGGAGACTACTATTGTTCCCCGCGCAAAACCCCTTTCTACTTGCAATATATGTTTTATTGGTTAAAGCTCTCTCACGCAGGCGAGGGGCTGGCTCCGCGGCACGTGGACAGAGGCAGCAGCCGGCAGGGGATTCGAGCGGGGCTCCCGGCCAAGCCGCGCCTCCCGGGCAGGAGCCCCAGGGCTTCCGGGGCTGCCGGGCGGACCTGCTCGGGCTCCGTGACTCACCCACCTGGCCAGCCCCGCCCCGCCGCTGGGGCGCCCGCGGGCCGAGCCAGCGCTCCTCCGGCCCGGGCAGCAGGAGGCGCCCTGGCGCCGGCGCGGGAGAGCCCAGCCCGGAGTCCCGCCGCGCAGCCCTGCCGGGTCTCCGGCGAGGCAGGCGGGCCCCCCGTCCGCCCGGGCTCGGGCTGCTCCGGGAAAGGGCCACGACGGGGGCCGGGGCAGGGTCTCCGAAGGGCCGCTAAAAGGCGCCCGGAAAAGGGCTGCCGCGCCCCCAAGCTCGGAGGCCCCGGCGGAGCTGCCCCCGTCCCGCCCCGCTTGGCTCGCGAAGGGGCTCCGCGGCGCCGACACGGATTCCGCCGCAGCAGCGAGGCGGGCTGTTTCGTTCGCGAACATCGCCGCGTCACGTGCGCAGGTGCCCGAGCGACGGCTGCGCGGGAGAAACGGCGAGGCGGGCGCGAATGTCACGTCGGGACGCGCCCGAGGTCTCCCTCCCAACTCCGCGCCCGGGAAGGGGCGTGGCCTCTCCGCCCGCCGGGCGAGCCGCACATGCGCATTCCGCCCCTTTTGCCGTTGCCCGGCGACGCCGCGCGCGGCGAGAGGGTGAGCGGCGAGGGAGGAGGGGAGGCCCCGGGACCCCGGAGGCAAAGGATGAGGAGGATGAGGAGGATGATGAATCTCCGGGAGGCGTGTCTAAGCTGCTTTGCTTTGGGCAAGACGAGGCGACTAACCCGTGTCGTGACTCCTCAGCAACGCGCTCGTGACGGGTCTCCATCCCGGCGGGCGGCCCCTCTCCTCTCTCCGGCCCAGGAGCCTTTCTCGCGGGCAGCTTTCCTGGGTCCTGGGCCCGCTTTGGGCGCCCGGCAGGGGCCCCGTGTCCGAAGCCAGAGCGCCGTGAGCTCGGGGGGATGAGCGACCGGGGCGGGCGAAGATGTGAAAGCCCAGCTGCTTGGGGGGAGAAATCCATTGGGGGTTAACACAAGGGAGGGGCCCCTGGGCAAACTCAGGGCACACGCAGAGCGGGCACATGCCCGTCGCCAGTCATGCTCCCTTCACAGCATCAGGTTTTTTTATTAAAATAATTTTATTGAGTTTTTCATTTTTATCATAGTAATATACCAGATAACAAAAAATAGGAATACAGTTCCCCAAATTCCCCCCACTTCCCTCAACTTCCTCTTCTGTTTTTTTAAAAAAAAGTATTACCTTCCCCTGCTTGCTTTATTACTGTATATCTTAATATTGAGTTCTTTGTATCAAATGTTGTTGTTCTCTTATCATTTTAACATCATCTTTATATTTTCTGTGTTTTGTTCATTGTAAGTGTTTACTCAAACCCTGCCACTGAGTCCATTTCTTTTTTTTTTTTAATATAATATTTATTGGTTTTACAAAAATTCCAAAACATACAAAAATACAAAAATTCCAAAGACAAAAAACAACAATAACAGTGACAAAGGGAAAACAAAAAATAACAATAACCATAACAAAGAAAGAAAAAAGAGAAAAAGAAAAAGAAACAGAAAAATTTAAAAATTTATACTTTCCTTTAACCTTCTTATCTTTCCTTAGTTCTTTGACTTCCCCGCACCTCCCCACTTGTATTTCCATTTAGAAACTCCTTTCAGCAAATCCTTACCCTCCTTCCTTTATCTTAACTCAAGAAACTTAATCTATTTATAAATAGATATTTTTACAACCTTATCAATCAAATATTCCATACTCTTAAACGCAAGGCTTTTGCCAATACCAGTTATTTTCAATCAGACCTCAATTTAACATTCATTAATTTTATAGTATTTCTGTAGATAGTCTTTAAATTTCTTCCAATCTTCTTCCACCGACTCTTCTCCCTGGTCACGGATTCTGCCAGTCATTTCCGCCAATTCCATATAATCGATTACCTTCATCTGCCATTCTTCCAGAGTGGGTAAGTCTTGTGTCTTCCAATACTTTGCGATAAGTATCCTTGCTGCTGCTGTTGCATACATAAAGAAAGTTCTATCTTTCTTTGGCACCAATTGGCCAACAATGCCCAGGAGAAAGGCCTCTGGTTTCTTTAAGAAGGTATACTTAAATACCTTTTTCAACTCATTATATATCCTTTCCCAGAAGGCCTTAATCTTTGGGCACGTCCACCAAAGGTGAAAGAATGTACCTTCAGTTTCATTACATTTCCAACATTTATTATCGGGCAAATGGTAGATTTTTGCAAGCTTGACTGGGGTCATGTACCACCTGTACACCATTTTCATTATATTCTCTTTTAAAGCATTACATGCTGTAAACTTCGTACCTGTGGTCCATAACCGTTCCCAGTCAGCAAACATAATGTTGTGTCCAACATCCTGTGCCCATTTAATCATAGCAGATTTTACCGTTTCATCCTGAGTATTCCATTTTAGCAGCAAGTTATACATTCTTGAAAGTGTTTTAGTTTTGGGATCTAGCAGTTCTGTTTCCAACTTTGATTTTTCCACCTGGAAGCCAATTTTTCTATCCAAATTATAGACCTCTCTTATTTGGTAATAATGCAACCAGTCTCGCACTCTATCTTTTAGTTTTTCAAAGCTCTGCAATTTGAATTTATCTCCTTCTTGTTCCAAGATCTCCCAATATTTTGGCCACTTGGCCTCCATATTGGACTTTTTCAGGGCCTTTGCCTCCATTGGTGATAGCCACCTTGGGGTTTTATTCTCCAATAAGTCTTTATATCTTACACTGAGTCCATTTCTTTGCATTGTTTCTGTAGATACAACATAAATGGTTCCCAGTCTTTTTTAAAGTCTCTATTGTCTTTGTCTCGGAGTCTTTCTGTTAGCTTTGCTATTTCAGCATATTCCATTAATTTTTGTTGCCATTCTTCTTTTGTTGGTATTTCATCGCTTTTCCATCTTTGTGCTAGCAGTATCCTGGCTGCTGCCGTAGAATCATAGAATCATAGAGTTGGAAGAGACCACAAGGGCCATCGAGTCCAACCCCCTGCCAAGCAGGAAACACCATCAGAGCACTCCTGACATATGGTTGTCAAGCCTCTGCTTAAAGACCTCCAAAGAAGGAGACTCCACCACACTCCTTGGCAGCAAATTCCACTGTCGAACAGCTCTTACTGTCAGGAAGTTCTTCCTAATGTTTAGGTGGAATCTTCTTTCTTGTAGTTTGGATCCATTGCTCCGTGTCCGCTTCTCTGGAGCAGCAGAAAACAACCTTTCTCCCTCCTCTATGTGACATCATTTTATATATTTGAACATGGCTATCATATCACCCCTTAACCTCCTCTTCTCCAGGCTAAACATGCCCAGCTCCCTTAGCCGTTCCTCATAAGGCATCGTTTCCAGGCCTTTGACCATTTTGGTTGCCCTCCTCTGGACACGTTCCAGTTTGTCAGTGTCCTTCTTGAACTGTGGTGCCCAGAACTGGACACAGTACTCCAGGTGAGGTCTGACCAGAGCAGAATACAGTGGCACTATTCCTTCCCTTGAGCTAGATGCTATACTCCTCTTGATGCCGCCCAGAATTGCATTGGCTTTTTAGCTGCCGCGTCACCCAGTTGGCTCATGTCAAGTTTGTGGTCAACCAAGACTCCCAGATCCTTTTCACATGTACTGCTCTCAAGCCAGGTGTCACCCATCTTGTATTTGTGCCTCTCATTTTTTTGTATATTTTGTATATTTTTTTGTATATTTTGTACATTTTTTATATTATTTTTTTCGTAGCGTACATAAATAATTTCTTCTTCTCTTTTGGCAGATCTTGACCTGAAACACCTAATAAAAAAGCTTCTGGTCTTTTAACAAAAGTTATCATAAACATTTTTAAAATTTCATTATAAATCATATCCCAATAATTTTGAACTATCTCGCAATTCCACCACATATGAAAAAACGTTCCTTTTCTTTACATTTCCAGCACTTATTGTAGCCTGTTCTATATATTTTTGCAGGTGTGATATACCATCTATACATCATTTTTATATAATTCTCTTTTAACAATATACAATCAGTAAATTTTAAGTTCATTTTCCATACTTTCTCCTAGTCTTCCATTTGTATATTGTCCTAGGTCTTGTGCCCATTTAATCATTACAGATTTAACCTCCTCATCTTTTGTTTCCTATTCTAGTAGTAAATTATACGCTTTCTTCAAAAGTTAGGTATTATCCTCTATTTTTTCTCTTTGAAATCTAGAGATAGTATAACTAAATCCCTTCTTTTTGTCCTCTTTATTTATTTATTTTTTTAAAGTAATTTTTATTAAAGTTTTAAACAACAAAGAAATAAAAGAAAAACATACACAATACATATAACAAAAACACACAAAAAAAGTAAAACAAAAGCAAGATTCAACAATAAAAAGACAAAAAACATAACAATTAAAAACAATATCTCTTTTTCATTTCCGTTTTTTAGTTGCTTATTTTCTGGACTTCCTCATACCTCCCTCTTTTGTATTCCAATCCAAATTATTTGTCCAGCAATTTCTTTTCCACTTTTTTAATCCCAATCTTTAACTTTAATAAAATATTGAAGTATATAACTTCAACTTCTTTAAACCTGATCTTTAATCTTAGTATCATATAACGTTAAAATTTTCCCTCTTAATGTCAAATTTCCGTTTCTTAAAACATTTTTATTTTTATTTTTTTAAATCATATTTATTAAAGTTTCCAAAAATATAAAAATACAAAGAAAAAAGACAAAAGAAAGAAGATATTTAAAAACCTTACTTTCATTCCCTACTTTCTGGGACTCCCCCTCCCCCAATTGTATTCCCTTTTCCTTAATTTTGTTCTTAAAGCTCTCACTCCAATTTTAAAGAATATTTTGTTTAACCCACTATCCAGATTGAATTGTACAAATCTTACCACCGTACCACATCATTAACAGAAAAAGTAAAAAGATTTTCCCCAATATCAACCCCAGTTCCTTCCACAAATTCCCTTTTTTAAACACGTCCGATCAAAGTAAAATAACATGCGTAAGTTATGTAAAGAAATAGAAAATAAGAGATATAGAAAAATTCAAAAATGGTTACACAGCCTTTGGATTTCAAATCTCCCCCCTTCCCCGGTTTGAATTCCCATGTCCATCAGTCTATACATTATCAGCTTGGAAGTCTCATTTCATGACCAGATTTCTCCCGATTCCATCTTGCCGGTTTTCTTTAGTTTATTAATTTAAATAATATTTGACTTCAAATGTCCAATCTAACAAAGGCCTTTAATTTCCTTGATCTTTACCACTCCTCCCGTTGTTCTTTCCGTGTCGTAATCAGTCCTTTATTCTTCTTATTCCTCACTTTCTCAGGTTTCTTGTCCTGTTCAGCTGCTAAAACTTTCTAATTCAGAAATCTAGTGTCTCTGCAGAGGTTTGTTATTCAGGAACAAAACTTACGTCCAGTCCCTTTCTTTCTTCAATAAAAATTCCATTGTCTTCCTCTGTAGACAAAATACTCTTTCAGTTTTGCAGCTTTCCCAGAAGATAACAAATCCTGTGCGAATCCCAGGGTATTTTTCCACTTACGACCGTTCTTGTAGTATCCCGAAACCCCTCTAGGGGGATTGTAATAACTTTGTATCCTCTAATCCAAAAGTCAAATTGTTGCTTATTTTCCAACAGTTTATATCCATATTATAGCAAATTGTAACAAAATTAACCAGCAAGGTCCTCATAACAAAGTCCTCTTTATATTCTCCAGCTTTGACAGCCACTTTGACAGCTGTCAAAGTCTCCGTCTCTCTTCACCAGGCTCCACGAATCGCCCCGGTTCCCAGGGGGGGGGTTGCATTTTTCTTCTCACCCTCCACTCTTCTCCTCCAGCACATTTCTTATAATTTCCCATCGTGAAATTAATGATTTTTATCAGAGACATACTTCCCTTTGGACCTTGGTTACCCAGTCCTTGTTTTGGAATGCTTACAATAGGGGGATTGACTTCCTTTTAAATCGCCCCGCTCGTGCCAAATCCAAAATTTTGAACCCGGTTTCCCAATTACTCACGGGTTGTTGTTAATAGTCCAAATTTTCAATAGAAGAAGTCAGCGCTCTCCGTCGAATGGCATGCGGCTGCGCTCGGCAGGGAAAGCAGTGGACTCAGCACCACGCCACTCCCGGCACTCCGATCCGAAGCCTTTAAAAAGGCTCCTTCACGAGTCGGGAGGGCGCTAATGGTGCAAGCCGAGTCACCCATGTCCACGGACTCCGTGCCCGTGGTTTTTAAGGGTCCCCGCGTCGCCGGCGCGGTAGGACCCAGCCCCTGCCGAGCAGACTCCCTCCGGAGCTCGGAGGGAGTCCGCCATTCGGCGATGGCGCTAACCCGGAAGTCTAAAACATTTTTAATCCTAATCTTTAATCTTAGTCTATCATTAACTTTAACCTGTACAGCACGAAACCGCTTATTTTCAGTCCAACATCACTCTAACATTCTTTAATTTTGCAATGTTTCTGAAGATAGTCTTTAAATTTCTTCCAATCTTCCTCCACCGACTCTTCTCCCTGGTCACGGATTCTACCAGTCATTTCCGCCAATTCCATATAGTCCATAAGTTTCATCTGCCATTCCTCCAGCATGGGAAGTTCTTGTGTCTTCCAATACTTTGCGATAAGTATTCTTGCTGCTGTTGCTGCATACATAAAGAAAGTTCTATCCTCTGGTTTCTTAGGGAAGGTATACTTAAATACCTTTTTTAATTCATTATATATCATTTCCCAGAAAGCCTTAATCTTTGGGCACGTCCACCAAAGGTGAAAAAATGTACCTTCAGTTTCTTTACATTTCCAACATTTATTATTGGGCAAGTGATAGATTTTTGCAAGCTTGACTGGGGTTATGTACCACCTGTATATCATTTTCATAATATTCTCTCTTAAGGCATTACATGCCGTAAATTTCATCCGTGTGGTCCATAACTGTTTCCAGTCAGCAAACATAATATTATGTCCAACATCCTGTGCCCATTTAATCATAGCCGATTTTACCGTTTCATCCTGAGTATTCCATTTCAGCAGCAAGTTGTACATTCTTGACAAATTCTTAGTTTTAGGTTCTAACAATTCTGTTTCTAATTTGGATCTTTCCACCTGGAAGCCAATTTTCCTGTCCAATTTAAATGCCTCCATTATCTGATAATAATGAAGCCAGTCTCGCACTTTGTTTTTTAGTTTTTCAAAACTCTGCAATTTCAGTCTATCTCCGTCTTGTTCCAAAATTTCCCAATATTTCGGCCATTTGACCTCCATATTGACCTTTTTGTCCTCTTTAAATACCTCATTCAACTGGCGATATTGCAGCCAATCATATACATGTTCTCTGATCTCTTTAAGAACTTGACAGCATCAGTCTTAAAAGCGCAATAAAAATAGTCACGGCGCAGATATCCAAGATCCAAAAGACTTGCTTTGCTTCAGCTTTGCCCAAGTTTCCTGGAGATTTTACTAATGATGCACCTTGGGATAAAAAGCTTGACTGTTCTGAAAGGACCGAGCCTTTCTACAAGAACACATGACCTGTGTGCTCAGGACGTGTTGGGCCGCCTTGGGTTTCGCAGAGCCCCCTCTTCCTCTCTGCTCACCTTGTTGCTCTTCTCTTTCCAGGGGGATGAGTGCCAAGAAGGCGGCAGCAGCAGGAAAGCCTCCACTTCGGAAAGGGGCAAAGCCGGCAGCTCCAGCAAAGGGGGTCCCTGTGAAGGCAGGTATAGTACCCATGGGGAGGAGGAGGGCAGGGCTGAGGCTCTGCTGCAGAGCCAGCTGTGAGGATCTACTGCACAGTCCAGGGTGTGGAGCAAGGGGTGCTGCAGGATTTCTGCTTGTCTTGAGGAGTATACAAAATGTACTATGCTATATATAATATATTCGGGGCAGCTCAAATGTATTTTGTGGTTCCGCTTGCCTAAGTGCAGAACCTCGCATTTGCGCCTGTTGAAGTTCATTTTTTTAGCTTGGGCCGAGTTCCCCAATCTGTTAAGGCAGGATTCTGTCTTCTGCAGCACTAGCTACCCCGGTGACAATTAGCATTTTTTGAATTTGGTTTCTCTTTTATTTTCCCGCTGGCTCGGGGCCCACAATTGATGGAAAAGATGCTGCCCTACCAAGCAACAGCACCAGACCCCAAGAAGTGTCCCTGAGCAGCCATCCCAAAGGTAGGCAGCGGCACAGCAGATGCTAATCGGGGTGGGTGGGTCTGCAAGGCCTTTGTGGCAGGGACTTAATGGTGGTGAAATATGGCGGGGGAGGAGAGCAGAGACTCTCTTGAACAGGTTTGGTGCAAGATTTTCCTCTGAGCCCGACTCCTTGTAGGCAGGCTGGCTTATTCCCACAGTCAGCCCCACCACTGTTTGTGGCACTTCATGGAGAGCTGTTAAGCAAGAACAAAAATGAGGCAGGCTCTGACCCCCCCCCCCCCACACCTGGAGGGATGGCAGAGGAAGGGGGACAAGGAATAGTGAAGAGCAAATGCAGCTGTTGGGCTCAGCCCATTTATTTAATGTGTTCATTTGTTGTTTAGTCGTTTAGTCGTGTCCGACTCTTCGTGACCCCCTGGACCAGAGCATGCCAGGCACTCCTGTCTTCCACTGCCTCCCGCAGTTTGGTCAGGCTCATGTTTGTAGCTTCGAGAACAATGTGTTCTTAGACATGTGTTCATAGACAGCCATTAAAGGCAAAACCCCTCACAGGGGAATGAGGACCAGGAGCAGCACTAAAGTTTGTTACTTTCTTGTGAAAACGATGAGGGTTATGTTTTATTTACGAGTTAGGTGCCTCAAAAAATTAATGTGCCAGAATGATATACAGCCGAAAAAACAAATTTAAACATAACAGCACTAATTCCAACAATGTCATCCTAAGAAGTCAGAAACAAGGCCAGATGGACTCCAGAAACAACCAGAGTCTGGAAAGGCTCCAGATCTCTGCATTCAAAATACCTGTTTGAGGGGAACACCCTGCTGCCATCTCCTCCTCCAATCTGCGTTGACCAGCAAAAAATGTTACTTCGACTGACCTTTTCATGTTGTGTAGAATTTCTTTTCTCTGCAGGAAGTTTGTGACTAGGTTCCCCTCAGTTTTTTTCACCAGAGTTGAAGAAGCAGAGAAAAGGAGCAAGTAGCTCAGCCTTGTACCTACGCCCTTGCCTGGTAACTGTAGCTCTGTGTGAGAGCTCATGTCTGCTGCGAGCTGGCTGGCTGGGAGGGGAGGGGAGGCCTGCCCCCTCCCTCCTGTGGGCCCAAGTCTCCAGAGATATGGAATTGCCCCCCTCTTTTGCCAGCCTCCAGGCTAGTAGCATTTGGAGGCTCATTTACAAGGCTGAAGTACCTCTCTGGCTCAGTGCTGCAAAAATGCTTCGCTGGTGTGGCTGTAAAGCAGGACTGAGGTAAGGCAAGACAATAGACTGTACGTGGGGAACCTTCACCTGGAGAGCCCCCTATCCCTATCCCACAAGCGCCATCACCTCCTAGGACCTAAACCACCAGCAAATCCCTTGGGATTCCCTTTTATGGCCCTACACTTCTGCTTTCTGCCCTCAGAGCTGACGCGTGAAGCAAAGGCTGCGCTCACGTTGCAGAGTGCCTTCCGCCGCATCTTGGCATGTCGCGAGAGAGCGAGGCGATTGCAAGAGCGACAGGAGTACAATGAGTTAATGGACCGCCTCCAGAGAGAGGTGAGGTGACACTTGGCTTTGGGAACATGAGAGAAGCCCCCTCCAGGGGGAAGGGAAGCTGGGACAGACATCATCAACATGAAGGCATTGTAGACGAGACAGAAAATCCAGTCCAGGGCTCGCTTGTGAGGGTGGTTGCTGGGGAAACATCTCTGGCTTGAAGCTCAGGCTAAAGTCCTCCAGATCTTCCTGTGGTCTCCCCGTGCTTTGCATTCTTCTGGATGCTCTTCCGCTGCCCATCAGTGTGGAAAGCCTTCCTCTGTTTTGCCTCTCCGTGACTTGGCCTGTTGGCTCCATGGGCTTCTGTCCTAGGCCTTTGCTGCGCTGGTGAAGAGGGAGCGAGAGGAAGCTGAGCGGGAGAGAAAGAAAGAGGAGGAAGAGAAGAAGAAGCAGCGGGAGGAGCAGCAGAGGAGGAAGCGGATGTTGGAAGCGGCCTTTGATGGGGACGTGGAAGAGATGAAGGCCGTCCTGAAGGAGGTGGGCAAGGCCTCGCTGTAGTCAGAATCACTCAGCCCTACCCTCAGCTTGTGGCTTCTGAGCTGTTTGCCTGGCAGCGCCTGATCTCATGGCCTGTGCAGGCAAATTAGAGTCTCAAAATGAGGACAGAGGGACCACATGTGCACTTTGGACAGAGCGGGGGTGGCTTCAAGGAAGGCACAGAGGCTGCATCAGGTGAAACCGACTGGACAAAATAACCTCGGTAGCAGCACGGGGTACTTCAGCTGGAGTCAAGCTCACCCTCAACTTTATACTCAAAGTGCATAGCCGGTTGCTCATAGGGCGCCCTGGGGAATCCAGAGGTTCTGCTCTTGCACTGGGAGTCAGTAACCTCTGCACCGTCCAAAATAAGTTTGCCAGCCGGCTCCCGGATGAAACCATGTGAGCTGCAAAATGAGCCTTTTTCGCAGCCTGCGCTGCCACGTGGTAGGCACGATTGTGTGTTCTTACCAGTGTTTGGTCAGCTTCAGAGTGAGACTTGTGCCACTTGGCTCCAGGCTTCGTCCACCCTGTTTCGTATTCTGGTGCTCCTCAAAGTACCAAGTAGCAGCCAGGTGTTTTTTGGGCAGGAGTTGTTCTGATTGTTTCTCTCTTCTTCCACAAATCCTCTCCCCGCACCCCACCCTGGGACCTGCACTCTGCAGCCTTCCCACATGCCCTTGTTTCAGTGAAGGCTCAGCAGAGACACCATGAGGTCACGTCCCCCTCAGGGCTTGTTCATATCAGAAGGAAAGGCCTGCAGAGTGCGGAAGTAGTGTTTACTGGGGGTGAGGACCCCTGGGCCACCCTCAGCCAACTTGCAGCAATAAGGTAATCTCACTGCATCCACTGAAAATCTAAAGTGCCCTGAGAATGAGGCAGAAAAATAGAAGCCTCTCTAGCATAGAAAGAAAACATTTGAGAAATTGAAGGGCAGATTTTGGCACATTACTAGTTTTACCACCCTGACTAATTAGGTGTTGTCAGTAATCTGGGCCTCACTGTGTTCAGCCCTGACTCCAGACAATTTGCGGCCCTGATGTCTGCCCACATGTGAGGTTTTTGTACCAGTCCAACAGCCAGGTTCCCTGAGCAACTGAACCTTCTGTGCTGCCACCGCAGCTCAGCCCATCAGTGTCAGCAGCAGCTTCATAGCACAACTCCAGAAGGTCACTACACCGAGTTGGAGACTTCTTTGTGCCTTTTCTAAGCTGCAGGTTCAGGCTTTGCAGCCAGAATTTATGTGTGAGGGAGTAAAGCACAGGGGAGTTGCTGTTGTTGCTGCAAGGTTTATTCAGCACCAAAAATGTGTAAAAGCCATGCCGTGGCTTTGCTCAGAGAAACAAAGCAGGGAGTGGAAAAAGGACCAGATTGCTAGAGTGTAAGAGCTGCCTTCCTGGATTGGGCCCAGGTGAGCCTATCAAGCTCAGTATGTCCTGTTTCCCGTCTCCGCCAACACAGCACGGCAGAGCTTCCTTTAGTTTGTTCTTTTGGCCTGCTCTCTGCGTGGGGCTTGTTTTGCCAGCTCTTGTGTTCTTTCTGAAAAGCCACTGAGGTTGGGGGCCACTGCCTGAGTGTGTGGGGATGGATTTTTTTTTAATGATATTTATTAAAATTTCAGAGAATACAAGAATTACACAAAAACAAAAAGTAAAAATACAAGAAAATACAAAATACAAATTGCAAAAAAAGAGTAAAAGACACTTAAAAAGGAAAAAAAAGAAAAAGGAAAATGGATCATTCTTTCCATAACTTACATTCATATCCTTGTTTCCCTGACCTCCTCATACCTCCCTTTCTTGTATTCCAGTTCAATTAGTTAAGTCAGCAATTTCTTTCCCTCTTTGTTTTCTCATGATTCTTTAACTTAATATAATATAACTTTAAATTTTCATCTGTTATCAGTCCTTTTTTACCTACACCTTTATAACATTACTGCTTAAACCACCTAGCTTCATTCCAACATCATTCTAACATTCATTAATTTTACAATATTTCTGTGAATAGTCTTTAAATTTCTTCCAATCTTCTTCCACCGACTCTTCTCCCTGGTCTCGGATTCTGCCAGTCATTTCCGCCAGTTCCATGTAGTCCATCACCTTCATCTGCCATTCTTCCAGAGTGGGTAGATCTTGTGTCTTCCAATACTTTGCAATAAGTATTCTTGCTGCTGTTGTGGCATACATAAAGAAAGTTCTGTCCTTCTTTGGCACCATTTGGCCGACCATGCCCAGGAGAAAGGCCTCTGGTTTCTTTGGAAAGGTATATTTAAATACCCTTTTCATTTCAGTATAAATCATCTCCCAGAAAGCCTTAATCCTTGGGCACGTCCACCAAAGGTGAAAAAATGTACCTTCAGTTTCTTTACATTTCCAACATTTATTATCGGGCAAGTGATAGATTTTTGCAAGCTTGACTGGTGTCATGTACCACCTGTATATCATTTTCATAATATTCTCTATTAAGGCATTACATGCCGTAAACTTCATACCTGTGGTCCATAACTGTTCCCAGTCAGCCATCATTATGTTATGTCCAACATCTTGTGCCCATTTAATCATAGCAGATTTCACCGTTTCATCCTGAGTATTCCATTTTTTTTCTTAAGATATTTATTAAGATTTTTTAAAATATTACAATAAGAATGAAAAAAAGAAAAAAAATGACAAAAATACAAAATAAAAATAATTAAAAACACACAGATTTTCCATTACTTATTTTCCTTTGACTTATTTCCCGGACCTCCTCATACCTGCCTTTTTTGTATTCCACTTTAATCTGTTGGTTCAGCAAATCCTTTAAAAGTAATAATATTAAATTTTTACCTATTTATAACCCTTTTTTCATATTCCCTTAAAGCATTACAGCTGGAAACCACTTAATTACTATCCAACATCATTCTAACATTCATTAATTTTACAATATTTCTGTAGATAATCTTTGAATTTCTTCCAATCTTCTTCCACCGACTCTTCTGCCTGGTCTCGGATTCTGCCAGTCATTTCTGCCAGTTCTATATAGTCTATCACCTTCATCTGCCATTCTTCCAGAGTGGGTAAATCTTGTGTCTTCCAATATTTTGCAATGAGTATTCTTGCTGCTGTTATGGCATACATAAAAAGAGTTCTATCCTTCTTTGGCACCAATTGGCCGACTATGCCCAGGAGAAAGGCCTCTGGTTTCTTCAAAAAGGTATGTTTAAATACCTTTTTCAGTTCATTATATATCATTTCCCAGAAGGCCTTAATCCTTGGGCACGTCCACCAAAGGTGAAAGAATGTACCTTCAGTTTCTTTACATTTCCAGCATTTATTGTCGGGCAAATGATAGATTTTTGCAAGCTTGACTGGGGTCATGTACCACCTGTATATCATTTTCATAATATTCTCTCTTAGGACATTACATGCCGTAAACTTCATACCTGTGGTCCATAACTGTTCCCAGTCAGCAAACATAATATTATGTCCAACATCTTGTGCCCATTTAATCATAGCAGATTTCACCGTTTTATCCTGAGTATTCCATTTCAACAGCAAGTTATACATTCTTGACAAATTCTTAGTTTTGGGTTCTAACAGTTCTGTTTCTAATTTTGATTTTTCCACCTGGAAGCCAATTTTCTTGTCCAAATTATATGCCTCCATTATCTGATAATAATGAAGCCAGTCTCGCACTTTATTTTTTAGTTTCTCAAAACTCTGCAGTTTCAGTCTATCTCCATCTTGTTCCAAAATTTCCCAATATTTCGGCCAATTGGCCTCCATATTGAGCCTTTTCAGAGCTTTCGCTTTCATCGGTGACAGCCACCTTGGGGTTTTATTTTCCAACAAATCCTTATATCTTATCCAAACATTAAACAGTGCTTTCCTAACAATATGGTTTTTAAATGCTTTATGCGCTTTGACCGTGTCATACCACAGATATGCATGCCATCCAAATACATTGTTAAAACCTTCTAAGTCCAAAATGTCTGTGTTTTCAAGAAGCAACCATTCTTTCAACCAGCAAAAAGCTGCTGATTCATAGTAAAGTTTAAAGTCTGGCAGGGCAAATCCACCCCTTTCCTTTGCATCAGTTAATATCTTAAATTTTATTCTGGGCTTCTTGCCCTGCCAGACAAATCTAGAAATATCTCTCTGCCACTTCTTGAAACAGTCCATCTTGTCCACAATTTGCAATGTCTAAAACAAAAAGAACATTCTAGGCAATACATTCATTTTTATCACAGCAATACGACCCAACAATGAAAGCTTCAAATTTGACCAGATTTCTAAATCTTTTTTTACTTCCGTCCAACATTTTTCATAATTATCTTTAAATAAGTTCCCATTTTAGGCTGTCATGTTAATCCCCAGGTATTTCACTTTCTTAACCACAGTCAGGCCTGTCTCATTCTGAAACCTCTCTCTTTCAATCAGTGTTAAATTTTTCTCTAAAACCTTAGTTTTTAACTTGTTCAGTTTAAATACTGCCAGTTGACCAAATTCTTGAATTAGTTCTAAAACCCTTTTAGTACTAGATTCTGGCTCCTGTAACGTCAATACTAAGTCATCTGCAAATGCTCTCAGTTTGTACTGTTTGGCTCCGACCTGTATACCTTTAACCAACTGGTCCCTTCTAATCATGTTCAGCAGAACCTCCAGGACCGATATAAAAAGCAGTGGGGAGATTGGGCACCCCTGTCGTGTCCCTTTTTCTATCTTAAATTCTTCCGTCACCACATTATTTACAATTAGTTTAGCCTTTTGTTCTGAATAAATTGCACTTATACCATTTTCAAAACCTTGGCCTACCCCCATCCCCTGTAGGTTCTTCTTCATAAAACTCCAAGAGATATTATCAAAGCTTTCTCCGCGTCCACAAATATCAAAACTGCTTTAGTATTTATGTTCACTTCTAGTTTTTCCAAAATATCAATTATATTCCTCAAATTATCGGACAAGTGTCTTCCCGGGAGAAAGCCCGCTTGGTCTTTATGAATCTCTTCCATCAATACTTTTTTCAATCTCTTGGCCAAAATGTCTGCAAAAATTTTGTAATCCACATTAAGCAATGAGATGGGGCGGTAGTTCTTAAGTTGCGTCTTTTCAGTTTCTGTTTTCGGTACAAGTGTAATATACGCTTCTTTCCACGACTCTGGTGCCCTTTTCCCTTCCAATATTTCATTGCAGACTTCCTTCAAAGGTTGTACCAACCATTCTTTTAAGGATCTGTAATATTTAGAGGTCAGTCCATCCAGTCCTGGAGATTTACCTAGTTGCATATTCTGAATGGCACCTTCTACCTCCTGTTCAGTTATTTTATAGTTCAACATTAATTTATTTTCTTGAGAGATTTTTTGTAATCCATTTGTTTTCAAAAATCGGTCTACGTCAATTTCTGTGGCCCTTGTATATATAGTTGTTTAAAGTACCTCTGGAAACAGTTTATAATCTCAACTGGGATCTGTATATTCCTTCCTTCCACTTCTAAATTTGTAACAGTATTTAATTTTTGTCTTTTTTTCATTTGCCAGGCCAATAATTTCCCACATTTATTGGCCGACTCAAATGTCTTTTGTCTCATTTGTTTAATTTTCCATTCTATCTCCTGATTCATCATTTTCATATATTGTACTTGATATAACTTTATTTCTCTCAATATCTCTTGCGACTTTGGTTTTGCTCTCAATTTCTTTTCACTTTCCTTTATTTTCTCCAATATTTTATCCTTCTTTTCATTTTGGATTCTCTTCTTTAATGCATTCTGTTGTATCAAGAACCCTCTCATAACAGCTTTGCTTGCGTCCCAGATTACTCTTTTTCAACATTGGTGTTCATATTTATCTCAAAATAGTCTCTCAAGGTTTTTTGGGCCTTCTTAATCACTTCTTCATCTCTGAATAAGGTGTCATTCATCCTCCATCTGAAGGAACCGGTTGGTGTTAGTTTCATCTCCATCTTAACAGCATTATGGTCGGAGCAGGTTTTTGGGCAGATTTCCACTTTTCTTATCTTTGGTGCCATTCCTCTAGTTACCCATATTTGGTCAATTCTTGTCCCCAAAATGGAGTTTTAAACTCTAATAAATTCTTGTACCTATTCCATACTTCAATCAGCGGACCTCGGAATATGTGATTTTCAAAACCTTTGTGCACTCTTTTTTTCTCATACCATAAATATGCGTGCCAACCAAATCTATTATCATAACCTTCTAAATCCAACAATTCTCTATTTTCTAACTTTATCCATTCTTTCACCCAGCAAAGACATGCAGCCTCAAAATATATATGCCAGGAAAGTCTTGCTGCTAAGACGCTTGGAGGTGGCAGGTGCGGGGGGCCGGGAGGATGTCCCAGGCTGGTGCCATGCTGGTTCTGGGTGCGGAGCCCATGCTCCCTGCATGGCAAGGGCCCCCTTTCCTGCTCTGCAGTGGCGCAGGGCAGAATCGCCATGGCCCTTCCCCACTGTGACCCACAGATTTGGTTTCTCAAGGTGGCAGAGCTGGACACCAAGAGCGGCCTGGGGACAGACGAGAGGGGCAAGGCTCTGCGCCTCCAACATCGCCTCAACATGGTGGACTGCACTGACGCCAACGGCAACACGCCCCTCTCTGAGGCTTCTGGAGGGGGCCACCCTGACGCCATCCGGATGCTGATAGAGAACGGAGCCAACCCCAACAGCCGGGTGAGAAGCAGGGTGAAAGGCGTTGTGGCCTTGAGCCAGAGCCAAGGTGGTGCTTGGGGGGCAGAGTGATTCCGTGTCCCTGACCAGCCGCCTGCTTTCCTGGAGGCTGCTTTGCAGTTGACATGAAGGGTGGTGGGCCAGCACCTCAAACCTCCCTCCCCTGGGATTGCCAGCAAGGCTGGTGCCACAAGTGCCACTGGCTCACCTCTCTGGTGTCTCTGGCTTGGCAACTGGTGTGCAGGTGAGGCAGCCAGCATACCTAAGAGGGTCACAGCCTGGTCTTCAAACTGGCTCTTCAGCAACCAGCAAGGGAAAGAGAGGGCAGAGTCCTGGGGAGGCAGCCTTGCACCCCACAGGGTTGGGGCCACAGCAACCAAAACTCAGTTTGCTTGAGCCAAATGTGCTGCTGGAAATTCTGCGTGGCAAATTAATAATGTGAAGGAGTCTTGCTTGCTTTCTGTCTCCCCCTTCTCTCTGTGTATTTAGCCCATGCTGAGGGATTTCACTGTTAAAACAAGATTTTTTTTTTGTAACCTGATGGGCCAAAGGCCAAGGGTTCTGTAGTCCCATGTGTAATGTCACTTCACGGACCAAACCCTTGACAGATAAGGTCAGATAAAATAGCATTGTGGTAATGACTTATCAGGAACAGCTAAGCTGTGGGGAGGATCACCTGGCGCCTTCATTACATATCTTTGGGCACCAGGCAAAAATGATTCTTTTTAACCAGGCCCTGGCTGACTATGGCCTTTTAAATGTGTTTGTGGGACGGGGTTGTTGGTTGGTTTTATTTTGTGTTCTCATTTTATTTTTATGTTGTGAATATAACATATGTTATACTCAGATGAAGAGCGGTATACAAATTCAGTTAATAAATAAAATATATTGCTGCATATCTATAATTCTTTCTCTAAGCAGCTTAAATTAAGAATAAACTGATGAATAAGGGGTTGGAGACAGTTAAGATTTTTTTCCTGTGTGTGTGGTTGTGGTCGGGTTGGTGGCGTGTGGAGTCCTGTCCTTGCCAGGATGGAAAAGTGTTGGGGAGGCAGGAGGCGCTGCACCTGTTGAATTGCCTTTGGACATAGGAAGGTGTGGGTGGGAGGCAGGTGGGTCATCCTGGGTGATGGGGGCATGGATGGTTGCCACAATCCCTGCATCAGTCTCTGTGTACCTGGTTGCTTCCCCATGGAGCTCCCTGCGCCTTCTTTGTGCCTTGTTAGTTTGGGGAGGAGACCTCTTGCTTGTGGCTGAAGAGCCTGCCTGCTGGACAGATGAAAGAAAAGGTCTTCACACAGCATGGGGGCTTCCCAAAAGAGGTGTCTGGCTGGCTACTCTGAGAACATAGATGGGCCTTTGGCCTGATCCAGCAGCTGGGGGGGGGGCAGGGCAAAGCCTCCACCATACCTAGTAGCCACGGATAGCCTTGTCCTCCATGCTGTTGTCTTTGACCACTTCCTGGGTCTGGGAAATATGGCTGTTGCCTGTTGTGGATGGAGTCACACTCTCTGGAGGAGCAGCTATGCAGGCGGAGGACAGGTCTGTCTCCATCTTTGTCCCTGGAGGCAGAAGTGGATTCAGGTGCTGGGAGCACCTTCTGACAATATGGCCCTGTGACAGCTGCGGCTGTCCCTGGATTGGGAGGTTCCCTTTGGTCCGCTCAGAGCTGCATCTTCAGTGTGGCAGCTCCCGCCCCTGGCCAGGCATCAAAAGTATCGGCATGGAGGCATCAACGTAAAACTCTTCTCTCTTACCCTTGGCTTTTCCTGGTGGCATAGAAATATTTGTAAACCAAGAATTAAAATAAATATGACAGGGCATCTGAGTCAGTCCGAGGGTGAGCAAGAGCACCTCTGGCAATAGGAGGAGACTCCACCTCTGCAGCCCTGAGGGGCCATGCTGTGCTGGAAGAGCAAGTGCAGAGCAAGTGGTGAAAGACCCTCCTCTGATGTCCTCGAAGAGCCTGGGATGGAACCTCACAGGGAATCCATCTTCCTAGTTAGTCTCTTCTCACCATCCAGCCAGAATGCACAAGGGAGGCAGTGGACGTCCGTGTCTTCAGTCTGTGCTGAAGATTCACTCCTTGGTAACAGGCAGCCAATAACTGTCGTTCTAGCAGATGGTATATTGCAAGTCCAATTCTCCCCCATTCCAGAGGCAACCAGAACTCATTTTTTAAAGAGTAAAAAGTTCTCAGATGCTTTCCCTGCATTGACAGAATTAGAGAACTGTTGGAGTGTACTGTAAAGAGATTGTTAGTGGCATGAATGTGCCTCCTGCGGATGCTTCGCTTCCAGCTGCCTTCCTTCTGTAAACCCTGTTTGATCTTCAGCCCCCTTTATTTTTAAGGGCGCTTTTAACCGGACTCCTTTGTATCGTGCTGCCTTTGCGGGCCACCTGGCAGCAGTGGAGCTGCTTCTCCAGCACGGGGCTGACCCTCGACTCTATGCTGATGACGGCAACACCCCAGAGCAGGTACCAACCCCAGCCGCCTCCCCCAGCAGCTGCTCTTCTCCTTGGCCTTGAGCTCCAGGTAGGCTGTTTCCACCAGGCCACCTGGCAAGAGAGCAAAGTACCGTATTTTTCGCCCTATAGGACGCACTTTTTCCCCTGCAAAAATGAAGGGGAAATGTGTGTGCGTCCTATGGGGCGAATTCAGGCTTTCGCTGAAGCCTGGAGAGCGAGAGGGGGCGGTGCGCACCGACCCTTATGGCTCTCCAGGCTTCGGGAAGCTATCCGCAAGTCTTGCAAGCCCGGCGGGATGTCCCGCGGGCTCGCAAGGCTTGCGGGCAGCAGCCTGCAGCCCAAAAGCTCGGGGGACAGCGGGGAGGCGGAGCGCCGCCACCCTGCTATTCCCCGACCTGATCTGGAGGCTGGCGGGGGGGGGGGAGAAGCAAGCTTGCTTCTCCCCCCTGCCAGCCCCACAAGCTCGCGGGATAGCGGGGAGGCGGAACTCTGCCACCCTGCTATTCCCTGACCTGATCTGGAGGCTGCGGGGCCCCGCCAGCCCCACAAACTCGGGGAACAGCGGGGCAAGCCGCTGCCCCACGGAGGCTAGAGAGGCTGTCCCTGAAGGCAGAAGAGGGAGACGGAGCGTTCCGTCTCCCTCTTCTAGCTTGGGGATGGCTGTGCAAACCTGGGGGGGAAATAAAATTTCCCCCCTTGATTTCCCCCCCAAAAAACTAGGTGCGTCCTATGGGCCAGTGCGTCCTATAGGGCGAAAAATGCGGTAACTGAAAGAGAAGGGGAGCTGGTGTCCCTGAAGAAGCCATGGAGAGAGAAGAGAGCAAGGGTGAGAGCGAGAGTGCCCTTGTCACTGCATGCCAGGCCTGGTGGCTTGGATGGGCATTTCAAGCCCACAGCCCTTTTGTCTCTCCCAAGATTGCTTCCCTGGACAGCTTGGTGGCTGTGCTGAACTCCTGGGACATCAGCCTGACAGAGTCCATGCTCCAGAAGATGGAGGCAGAAGAGCAGCGAAGGGCGCAGCAGGACAAGAAGCAGAAAGAAGCAGAGACCCGACGGTGAGCCCTGCCAGGGAAGCTGCAGCTTGTGGGCAGCTGCTCTTCAGGGCTCAGGGCAGGATCAAGCTGTAGGAGCTTTTGCAAAGGCACCCACTGGCACCCCCCCATCCCACTGCAGCCATTGTACGGCTCACCTGCTGTCACCTGGAGCCACTAGGTGCTGGCTCAGCCTGGAAGGTGACCCCATAAAAAACAACCCCAGTGGAGCCAGTTGGATTCCAGGGACAGCTCAGTCAGTAGACTCAAGGAGGGGGGGGGGGCAAGCTCATGGTGTCCTGTATCAGGCAGGGAGGGGTGCTTGAGCAAGCTGCTGATGGATTAGACCACAGGCAACCTTATTCACCATTCATGTGTCTCCAACCCAGATTGGCGGCCATCACTACATCTGGTGTTTCTTTATAAACTACTTGAAGAAGTTGTCTTTCCTTTGGTGTGTCCTCAGCCTCCCACATTCAGCTTCATGGAAAGCCCTTGCTGGGCTTTAGGATTGAGAGGGAGGAAAGAGTTTGCTAAAGCACCTGGGGAGTGGCAGCGAAGGGAGTCTGGCTGCAGCCTGTTGGCCCCTTCTCACTGCCAGCACATGCCAGAGCCCACCAGGGCACCTGCCCCATGGGAGCCAGAGATGCTCCTGCCTGCCAATGGGGAGGGAGGCTCTGGGGGCAGAGCCCTCCCCCTTCCCACCTTGGGCTCCCAGGGGTCCCCATGGCCAGGGCAAGAGGGAGCAGGAGGAGGGCAGAAGGCGGTGGCTGGTGCAGGGAGGCTCTCCCCTTTGCCAACTGTTACTATGACCAGTGACTACCATGAATCATTGAGTGGCTGCTCTCAGAAGGAGGCTGCAGTTGCCCTCCGCTGGACCCCCCACCTGCTCCTGCTGCTATTTCTCCTCAGACAGCTCACATGGCCGTGCCAGCTGCTTCAGATCTTCTGGTTTTCTTAATAGAAGGAAAGAGAGTACTTACTTTGTTTTGGCAATTCATGCTATGATTTTACATTTAATTTTGACTGAATGGTTACACTTTGTTCAAGAATGACTTGCTTATTGCAACAAACACTTGGAGAAAAATCCTTTTCTTGTTAAATTTGTTACGCGCTTACTCTGTTGTTTTCTTTTTTATAATACTATTAATTGATAAAAGTTTCCTTAACAGAAGGAGAAAGATCAGGAGAATTAAATGTATATTGCCAGCAATTACAATGATAGAATTGTAGTTGGAAGAGGTCCTTAAGGGCCATTTAGTCCAACCCCATTGCATGCTGGTGGGGAAGGAGAGGCAACTTCTTGAAGAGGGTCTCTGCAGCCTCTGACTCCTCTTTCCCCTCCCCAGGATGACAGAGGAGGTAGAGCAGCTGGCCAAGGAGCACGAGAGATGCAGCAAGGAGGTGGGAGCCAAGAAGCTCTATGCGGCCATCCCCTTGTCTCTATGGTCTTCCTTCCCAGAAGGCCCTCGGGTCTTGCCTGCCTTGGCACCTGCTGGCGCTGGGGTGGATTTCATGCCCTCTCCTTGAGCCATGAGGGGGCTGTGCAGCAGGGCCCTGGCCCTCCCCGCTATGGGGAGAAGCCACCCAAGGCTGGGCCCTCCCGCAGCCCCAGCTGTGTGGGTGTCCTCGTTCCTCCCTCTCCATTTGCCAAAGGCTGGGCCTGCTCATCCTCTTTGCAGCTGCAGCAGGCCTACTGCGAGCTGAACCGGAGGATCACAGAGCACGACAAGTGCCAGCGGAAGCAGATGGACAACGCGGAGATCACCCTCCATGTGAGCACCACCTTCCTGTAGCCTCTCTGAGCAGGCAGGCTTCTCTCTCACAGAGCCATGCCCTTGCCCACCAATGAGGATGGCATCCAAGTGGGTAGGAGAGCCTGAGCTCTCTGCCTTCTGTGCAGCTGGGGTCGAGGGCTTCCTGTTCCTTGGCCTGGCACCTTGGCTGTGTGCTGTTGAGCAACCCATAAGCTGGTGGAGGGAGTGCCTGCTTGGCCTGCAGAAGGTGTGCCTGGGAAGATTCCTGCCTGGCATCCACTGCAGGCCACCCTGAGGGAGAGGAGGCTCTGCTGGGCACCCGGAGGCCAGTTCCCACAGGGCAAGGCCAGCCACACTCAGCACAATGAGGGCTTCTCTGACAACCTGTTTCTGCAACAGGCTATTGCGGACGCAGAATCCCTGGTGCAGAGGCTGCGCACGGCTGCCGAAGATGCTGAGGAAAAGGTCTCCCTAGCCCGGCTGAAGCTGCGGGAGCAGATGCAGGAAGGTCAGTCCTGTGTAGTGAAATGCTGTACTTGTTCCTGGGAGAGACGGGTCTACAGAAAAGTCCTGCCTAGCACTCCCACACCCTGAAGGACAAAGTGAGCAAAAGGCATGAGGCTCCTTCTCAAGCAATCAGAGGTCATACAATCATAAAGTTGGAGGGGACCCAAGCGTCATCTAGTCCAACCCTTGCAATGCAGGAATCTCAGCTAAAGCACCAATGACAGATGGCCATCCAACCTCTGCTTAAAAACCTCCAAGGAAGGAGAGTCCACCACCTCTCGTGGGAGTCTGTTCCACTGCTGAACAGCTCTTACTGTGAGAAAGTTTTTTTCCGAATGTATAGTTGGAATCTCCTTTCTTGTAACTTGAAGCCATTGGGTTGAGTCCTACCCTCCGGAGCAGGAGAAAACAAGCTTGCTCCCTCTTCCCTGTTACAGGCCTTGAGATATCTCCTCTCAGTCTCCTCTTTTCCAGGCTAAACATACCCAGCTCCTTCAACTGCTCCTCATAAGGCTTAGTTTCCAGACCCTTTATAGCATCTTGGTCACCCTTCTCTGCACCCCTTCCAGCTTGTCAACATCCTTCTTAAATTGTGGCGCCGAGAACTGGACACAGTATTCCAGGTCTAGTCTGACCAAGGCAGAATAGAGTGGGACTATTGCTTCCATTGATCTGAACACTAGACTTCTGTTGATGCAGCCCAGAGTAGTGCTAGCTCTTTTTTTCCTGCTGCATCACACTCTTAACTCAGGTTAAGCTTGTGGTCCAGTGCCAGCAGGTGGGTGGTTGGGAACAATTCTTCTGGGAGGGGAGAAGAACTGCCACTTCCCAGTCTGATCCAGTCATAGAGTCAAGAGAATTGTAGAATTGGAAATGTCCCCGAGGGTCATCTGGACCAAGCCCCTGCAATCCAAGAACTGGGATGCTCCAGATGGCCGTTTTTTGTTTTTTTAAATGATATTTATTAAAGTTTCACATGAAAAGAGACACATTAATAAAAAAAAAGAATTTAAAAATAAAAAGAAAAATACACATTACAGGTTACAGAATACAAAAAGAAAAAAGAAAAAACAGTTAAAAACAATTCCATCTTTTCATCACTACTTTTACATTTACTTATTTCCCGGACCTCCTCATACCTCCCTCTTTTGTATTCCAATTAAGTTTGTTTGTCCAGCAATTCCTTTCCCTGCTTTTTATTTTTATTTTTTTTTTAAATAATTTTTATTAAAGTTTTAAACAAAGAAAAAAGAAAAAGCAACACACACACAAAAAACAATACAAAATTTAACAATAGAAACACACAACATAACAATTTAAAACAAACTCTCTTTTACATTCCCAATTTTGAATTACTTATTTTCTGGACTTCCTCATACCTCCCTCTTTTGTATTCCAATCTACATTATTTGTCCAGCAGTTTCTTTTCCACTTTTTTAAACCCAATCTTTAATTTAATGAAATATTAAACTATATAGCTTCAACTTTTTTAAACATAATCCTTGTTCTTAATGTCATATACCTTTAAATTTTTCCCTTTTATTATCAAATTTCCATTTCTTTAAACATCTTTAATCTTAATCTTTAATCTTAATCTATCCTTAGCTTTAACCTGTACAGCTGGAAACCACTTATTTTCAATCCAACATCACTCTAACATTCCTTAATTTTGCAGTGTTTCTGAAGATAGTCTTTGAATTTCTTCCAATCTTCCTCCATCGACTCTTCTCCCTGGTCACGGATTCTGCCAGTCATTTCCGCCAATTCCATGTAGTCCATAAGTTTCATCTGCCATTCCTCCAGCGTGGGAAGTTCTTGTGTCTTCCAATACTTTGCGATGAGTATTCTTGCTGCTGTTGTTGCATACATAAAGAAAGTTCTATCCTTTTTTAACACCATTTGGCCCACTATGCCCAGGAGAAAGGCCTCTGGTTTCTTGGGGAAGGTATACTTAAATACCTTTTTAATTCATTATATATCATTTCCCAGAAAACCTTAATCTTTGGGCACGTCCACCATAGGTGAAAAATGGTACCGTCAGTTCTTTACATTTCCAACATTTGTTATCGGGCAAGTGATAGATTTTCGCAAGCTTGACTGGGGTTATGTACCACCTGTATATCATTTTCATAATATTCTCTCTTAAGGCATTACATGCCGTAAATTTCATACCAGTGGTCCATAACTGTTCCCAGTCAGCAAACATAATGTTGTGTCCTACGTCCTGTGCCCATTTAATCATAGCCGATTTTACCGTTTCATCTTGAGTATTCCATTTCAGCAGCAAGTTATACATTCTTGACAGATTCTTGGTATTGGGTTCTAACAATTCTGTTTCTAATTTTGATTTTTCCACCTGGAAGCCAATTTTCCTGTCTAATTTAAATGCCTCCATTATTTGATAATAATGAAGCCAGTCTCGCACTTTGTTTTTTAATTTTTCAAAACTCTGCAATTTCAGTCTATCTCCGTCTTGTTCCAAAATTTCCCAATATTTCGGCCATTTGACCTCCATATTGACCCTTTTCAAGGCTTTCGCTTCCATTGGTGACAGCCACCTTGGGGTTTTATTTTCTAGCAAATCCTTATATCTAATCCAAACATTAAATAATGCTTTCCTGACAATGTGGTTTTTAAATGCTTTGTGTGCTTTGACCTTATCATACCATAAATATGCATGCCATCCAAATACATTATTGAAACCTTCCAAATCCAAAATGTCAGTGTTTTCAAGAAGTAGCCATTCTTTCAACCAGCAAAAAGCTGCTGATTCATAGTAAAGTTTGAGGTCTGGCAGGGCAAATCCACCTCTTTCCTTTGCATCTGTTAGTATTTTAAATTTTATTCTAGGTTTCTTGCCCTGCCAGACGAATTTAGAAATATCTTTCTGCCACCTCTTGAAACAGTCCACTTTGTCAACAATCTGCAAAGTTTGAAACAAAAACAACATTCTAGGCAATACATTCATTTTTATCGCAGCAATACGGCCTAGCAGTGAAAGCTTCAAGTTTGACCAAATTTCTAAATCTTTTTTCACTTCTGACCAACATTTTTCATAGTTGTCTTTAAATAAATTCCCATTTTTTGCTGTCATATTAATCCCCAGGTATTTAACTTTCTTAACCACTGTTAACCCTGTCTCATTCTGAAACCTCTCTCTTTCAAACGGTGTTAAATTTTTCTCTAAAACCTTGGTTTTTAATTTGTTCAATTTAAATCCTGCCACTTGACCAAATTCTTGAATCAGTTCTAAAACCCTTTTTGTACTAGATTCTGGCTCCTGTAACGTCAATACTAAGTCATCTGCAAAAGCTCTCAATTTATAGTGTTTAGTTCCGACCTGTATACCTTTAACCAACTGGTCCCTTCTAATCATGTTCAGCAACACCTCCAGAACCAAAATAAAAAGAAGAGGGGAAATTGGGCACCCTTGTCGTGTCCCTTTTTCAATTTTAAGTTCTTCCGTCACAACGTTATTTACAATTAGTTTAGCCTTTTGTTCAGAATAAATTGCACCTATACCATTCTCAAAACCTTGGCCTACCCCCATACCCTGAAGATTCTTCTTCATAAAATTCCAAGAAATATTGTCAAAGGCTTTCTCCGCGTCTACAAATATCAACACTGCTTTAGTGTTTATATTCACTTCTAATTTTTCCAAAATATCAATTATATTCCTTAGGTTATCAGACAAGTGTCTTCTTGGGAGAAAGCCCGCTTGGTCTTGATGAATCTCTTCCAACAACACTTTTTTAAATCTCTTCGCCAAAATATCTGCAAAAATTTTGTAATCCACATTAAGTAATGATATTGGGCGGTAGTTCTTTAGTTGAGTCTGAATGGCACCTTCTACCTCCTGTTCAGTTATTTTATAGTTCAACATTAATTTATTTTCTTGAGATATTTTTTGTAATCCATTTGTTTTCAAAAATTGGTCTAAGTCTGTTTCTTTCACGGGCCCTTGAGTGTATAGTCTTTTAAAATACTTCTGGAAACAACTTCTAATTTCTGCAGGGTTCTGTATATTCCTTCCATCCACTTCTATATTCGTAATCGTATTTAATTTTTGTCTCTTTTTCATTTGCCATGCCAACAGTTTACCACATTTATTAGCCGATTCAAAAGTCTTTTGTCTCATTTGTTTAATTTTCCATTCTATTTCCTGATTCATTATTTTCATATATTGTACTTGATATAACTTCAGCTCTCTCAGAGTCTCTTGAGATTTAGGATTTACTCGCAATCTTTTTTCGCATTCATTCATTTTATTCATAATTTTATCCTTCTTCTCGTTTTGAGTTCTTTTCTTTATCGCATTCTGTTGTATTAAGAACCCTCTCATCACAGCTTTACTTGCATCCCAGATTACTCTTTTCTCCACGTTGGAACTAAGATTTATCTCAAAGTAGTCTTTTAAAGTTTTTTGGGCCTTCTTAAGAAATTCTTCATCTCTGAATAAGGTGTCATTCATCTTCCATCTGAAGGAGCCAGTTGGCATTAGTCTCATTTCCATCTTAACAGCATTATGGTCGGAGCAAATTTTTGGGCAGATTTCCACCTTTGTTTTTTTGGTGCCATTCCTCTAGTTATCCAAATTTGGTCAATTCTTGTCCAAGTCATTTTGGCTTCAGAAAAGAAAGTTCCTTCTTTTGCCAAGGGGTTTCTAATTCTCCAAATATCCACTAAATCCAAGTTGTCTGTCATATCAAAAAAGGTTCTCGGTAGTCTACCATCTTTGGTGACTACCTGTTTTTGTGCCTTGTCCATATAGGTAGATACCACTCCATTCATATCTCCCATCAAAATTATGTTGTAATCCATATGGTCCATCAAGGTCTCATGCAACTTCTTAAAAAAATTGGATTTCCCATCATTTGGTGCATAAACTCCTACGATCAAAAATTTTTCTCCTTGTGTTTGAATTTCAATTGCCACAAATCTTCCTTGGTCATCCTTGAAAACAAATTTTGGTGATAAATTATCTTTTGCGTAGATCACAACTCCTCTCTTTTTAACTTTATCCGACGAAATAAATTCCTGACCAAGTCTTTTGTTTGTTAACAATTTCCTGTGTAGTCTCGTTATATGTGTTTCTTGTAAACAAATTAAATCTAATTGTTCCTTTTTTAATATGTGAAATACTGACTTCCTCTTCTGAGGGGAATTCAAACCCCGACAGTTCCATGTTAAAAGTTGCAGGGCCATGATGTTATTGTTTTGATACTCCTCCTACTGCACCTAGTGCCTGTTCCTCGTCCGTCGGTGGTATCCCTTCTTTCGAGCGATCTTTTGGTTCCGGAAATAGTTCTTTTTGTAAGTCTTCTCCGTGGTCTCTGTAGAATTTATCTTTATCGTCTTCCGATCTTATTTTCCTCTTCTTTCCCTTGTAGGTAAAAGACAGGCCTTGAGGGAGTTCCCACCTGAAATTGATGTTGTTCCTTCTCAGCAGGATAACCAGGTCTTTATATTTTGATCTGAGATCCAGAATATATTTCGGAATGTCTTTGAATATTTCCACCCTTTTCTGATGAATTTCCAATGTTTTCCTGAAGTGTAGGCCCAAAATCTTATCCCTCTCTTCTTTTGTTCTAAAAGTAATCAGACAGTCTCTCACTTTCTTTTCTCCTTTTCTCCCAAGTCTAAATGCGTTTACTATTTTGAAACTGTCTTTTGCCAGTTCTGGATCCCAAAAGTCCAAAAATTCCTGCGTGAGAAATTCAGCTAAATTGTCCTTTTCCACCTCTGGTACTGATCTGACCCGAAGATTCACTTGCTTCTCCCTCAAATCTATCATAGACAGAGTTAGTTTATGGTCTTCCAATTGTTTATGCAATGTTGGTAATTCCTCTTGAACCTCCTTAACATCCGTAGCAGAAGTTGTAGCAATTTCTTTAGCCTCTTCAGCAATCTGGCGAGTTGCGGCCGATTCCTCTAATAATTTCTGAATAGTCTCAGTGTTGGTATTTACTTTTTGGCCCAAATTATTTATACTTGCTGTATTTTGATCAATCTTCTCACAAGCCTCTGCTACTTGTTGACTTATTTTACTCAAAGATTCATTAACTTTGGCCAAAACTTGAGCAAAGGCTTCTTCACTTGTCGAGCTTTTTACCTTTGATTGTGCCGATGAGGCTGTTGTTGAGGTTCCAGAAGGGCCTGAGACCGAAGCTCTCCTTTGTAATCCTTCTTCTATGCGAATATTCCTCCCCGATCTTGTAGTCGAAGCCTCCGTCTTCTCTTTATCTGCCATTCCTTAGATAATTCTCAAGGTCAGACACGTAGTTAGAATTGTACAGTGGAAATTTCCTTCCAAATAGTGTGAGAACTCCTCAAGCCTGCTACAGTTACAGTTGTAATAAGTTGCAACAGTTCCAGGTTCCACTAGGGGACACTGTAACAGTCCTAAAAGTTCTTGGATACTTTAATTTCCTTTTAAGTCCCCTAGTTTGTTTAACAGGGAATCAATCTATCACAGTTTTCAGCTTAAGACCAGGAGATATATATTCACAAGATCTTATCCAAACTTTTTAACCAATGCAGGACTAGCTGTCAAAATATATTACATGACAGTACCTCTTTTTCCCCTAGGATCTGGAGAGTCCTTTCCCAGGAAATTGAGTGATGGTTTAATCTCTTCTTTTCCACTCTTTATAAAGAAATCACCTCCAAAGATCTCCCCTATTTTCCCTCAGTTTATAGAGGGAAAAGTCCAGGTTCAGTGATTGGATTAAAGTCCTCTAAAAGCGTCCTTTCCAAAAGCTTCCGTTTTCAAGTTCAATGCTTTAAGTCTATCTACAATAGAAGGAGGTTGACTTCCTTTTAAACCTCCTCCGTTTTCAGCCTGATTTCAGATCTAATTTGTACAGTTCCAATTTGAGTAAATCCTACTCACGGATCGTTGCTTTCCAAGTCCGAATTTCAAGAAAGAAAGGCAGCGCTCTCCGATTGACAGCTTGCGGCTTCACTCCACGAACGAGCAGACAGCCCACAGCACCGCGCTCTCCCCCGCTCCGATTTCAAGCCCGTTTCTGGGCTTTTTGCCGGGTTGGGGGAACACCAAATGTGCCCGCTGGGTCCCAGGTTCACAGGCTTCCCCGCCGGTGATTTTTAGGGGTCCCCCGCTGCGCCGAAGCGGGATTCGACCCTTTTTTCGTGGGGCTTATTCCCTCTGACCGAGGGAATCCGCCATCAATCGCTGGCGCCGCCTCCGGAAGTCCTCAACTAAAGAACTTTCCCTGCTTTTTAATCCCAATCCTTGATCTTAATATAATATAACATTAAATTTTTACCTATTAAAAACCAGTTTTCCATTCTTTTAACCTTTTTAATCCTAATCCTTAATCTTGATCTATATATAACTTTAAAGCCTGTACAGCTAGAAGCCACTTAATTTCAATCCAACATCACTCTAACATTCTTTAATTTTGCAATATTTCTGTAAGTAATCTTTGAATTTCTTCCAATCTTCTTCCACCGACTCTTCTCCCTGGTCACGGATTCTGCCAGTCATTTCCGCCAATTCCATATAGTCCATCAATTTCATCTGCCATTCCTCCAGTGTGGGTAGCTCTTGTGTCTTCCAATACTTTGCGATGAGTATTCTTGCTGCTGTTGTAGCATACATAAAGAAAGTTCTATCCCTTTTTAACACCGATTGGCCGACTATGCCCAGGAGAAAGGCCTCTGGTTTCTTCAAGAAGGTATATTTAAATACCTTTTTTAATTCATTATATATCATCTCCCAGAAAGCCTTAATCTTTGGGCACGTCCACCAAAGGTGAAAAAATGTACCTTCAGTTTCTTTACATTTCCAACATTTATTATCAGGCAAATGGTAGATTTTTGCGAGCTTAACTGGGGTTATGTACCACCTGTATATCATTTTCATAATATTCTCTCTTAGGGCATTACATGCCGTAAACTTCATACCTGTGGCCCATAACTGTTCCCAGTCAGCGAACATAATGTTGTGTCCAACGTCTTGTGCCCATTTAACAGATGGCCGTTTTCTTTGTGTTGGGAAAGTCCTCTAATGGCTTTGTTTTCTCTTCCAGTCTGTGAGGCCTGTTAGAGTGAGGTCTGCCCACATCTTGTGCTTTGCATTGCCCTGCTGTTCCAAGGAGCTCATAGGGGCAACTTTGCCTCAGAGTAAACCCATAAGAACTTTGGAAGCGCATTTCAGCAGAATCAGGCCAAATGGGGTGAATCAGGTCCATCTGGTCTGGCCTCCTGGTCTCAGTGGCTCAGCAGGTGCCCCCAAGCAAAGTCCACAAGCAGGACTGGAGCAGCAACTTTCCCCACTTGTCATTCCCAGCCATTGATCACCTGGCCATGAAATTTTCTAATCTTTTAAAGCCTCCTTAGGCAGTGAGTTCCATAGTTCAACTATGGGCTGTGTGAAGAAGTCCTTCCTTTTATCTGTCTGGAATCTTCCAATATTCAGCTTCGTTGGATGTCCCTGAGCTCTAATGTTTTGAGAAAGGGAGACAAACTTTATCTGTTTTATCCATACCATATCCATACAATGAATAATTTTATGCTTTTCTAGCATGTCACCTCTTACTCACTAAAAAGTCCCGAGCGCTGTAACCTTTCTTCATAAGGGAGTCGCTCCATCCCTCCCCCTTGATCATTTTTGCAGCCTTTTTCTGAACCTTTTCCAATTCTACAGTATCCTTTGTGAAGAGCGATGACCAGAACTGGACACAGCATTCCACATGCAGTCACACCAGAGATTGGTATAAAGGCATTATGATATCAGCATTTTTATTTTCATAGAATCCTAGAGATAGAGAGTTGGAAAAGACCTAAAGGGTCATCTGGTCCAGCCCTGTGCAATGCAAGAATCTCATGATCATGCAACGTCTGCTTTAAAACCTCTGCAGCTGAGTCCGCTCTCTCCAAGGGTTGAAAGTTCTTCTACATTTAGCTGGAATCTCTTGTAACTTGAATCCATTAGTTCAAGTCTTACCACCTGGAGCAGGAGAAAACAAGCTTGCTCCATCTTTTATCTGGCAGCCCTTTGGATATTTGAAGATCCTTGAAATATCCATTTTTTGCTTTGGTCCTTGCTACTGTCGATGCTGCAGCATCAAGGGGTGTCTGGAGCCCGCAGTGAGCCATGTCAGGACCACAGTGCAGCAGTGCTCAGAGTTGTGCTGGTTTTTCAGGGTCAGCAGAAGAGTTCCATGGCCTGAAGTGCTCTGTGCAGGAGCTGGATGATGTGCTCTTGAAAGACGTGGGTGGGAAAATCCATGCAGATGGACGGTGAGTTGAAGGGAAAGCACTTTCACTAGACATTGGGGGTCCTGGCCAGCATCTCCCACAGCCTCCCCTTCCCTGCACCAAAAGGCCCCCTCTTTGGCCTCACAGTCTTAGCCCCTCCCATTTCGCAGCTGCTGAGGCCCCTGCCCATGAAGTTTCAGTTGCTGGGCAGTGTGGAAGACTTGCTCCCTCTTGTGCTTTCTCCCCATAAGGTGGCCACTGGTCATTGACCCTTCTGGGCAGGCAGCCATCTTCCTGCGCTATCGGGACACCAACTTTCTGAACACGGTGAACCCCAGCGACATGGCTGAGGAGACCATTCGCCTGGCATTGCTGGGCTCTCTACGGTAGGGACACAAGCCAAATGCCGGGCAGAGAGGCTGCCCACTGCCAGGCAGAAACACCTGGGGGAGAGAAGCACTGCTGCTGCTGCCACCTGATGACCTACAGCCGTGGCAGGAGTGAGGTAGCATCCAAAGGCATCTGGTCCACTGAGCAAGAGGCAAAGACTTGCCCTCTCCTGTCTCCTCCAGATATGGGAAGCCCCTTGTCTTTGACATGATGGAGGTGAACATGTTTGACACAGTGAAGAAGCAGCTGGAACGGCTTAAACCAGGCTTGGCAGAGGCACTGCTGGACAAGAAGATCCTACAGAATGAGAGGTGGGACAGTTGACCTTCCAACCGCTGTTTAAAAGCCTCCATGAAAGGAAAGCCCACCACCATCCAAGGGAGTCTGCTCCACTGTCAGACGACTCTTAGCATCAGTCCTGTCAACTGACAAATGGGTGCCCAAATCAAGAGAGCCAGTGGTTTTCTCAATACCTTTAGTGCCTCCCCGCCTCCTACCGAGAGGGTGCTTGCTCCCCCTCCTTCAGTCTGCTCTCTCTCTCATTCCCATCTTTCTCCATTCTGGGCACTTGCTTCCCCCATGACCCTTCTAATGCTCCAGCCAGGCTTTGGGCAGCCTGCCATGCAAGTCCCAACCCCCCACCCCAGGACCGATGGGAGATTTATTTCAACCTGCTCTTGCAGCTTCATTCTTTTGTGGGTTTCTACCAGATTTTTTATTTCTGCAAAATTCCAGACTTGTCATAGCTTTTTGCCACCTCCCACTTGGGTGCGGATGGTACTCTTTTTGTTGTATAGTAAGTGGCACAGAAATGAAGAGCAGGATGCTTTGGGCAGAAATTAATGGCCCTGTGCTCCGTGAGCAGATGCCCCCAAGCCCCACCGAGCGAATATATTCATTGCCCAGAGCACTGGTCCTGCTTTAGGAAGCCAAGAGGCAGCGTGGAAGGTCAAGGGTCCTCCTCCCCCTGCCCCCCAAGCAGCAGCAGCACAGGGGCCGCTTTCTATGAGACTTACTCCCGCCTTGCTCTGTCTGCAATCTTGCAGGTATCTCTCCCTACGGAGGCCAACAGATGGGCCTGAATATGCAGAGACAGAGTTTCAAGCAGCTCGAATAGAAAAATTCAAACTCTTCATTGTAACTAAACAGCAGCATCCTCCCGAAGAGATGCTGCAGCGGCTCCTTCCGATCCAGGTCATCCTGTCCCGGTAGGCAATGCACTGCAGGCGGCCTCATCCAGTGCTGGACATTAAAGGAAAACCTGAGCAGCGGGTTTGTGTCCTGTAATGAATCTTGTAGGCCCAGCACCCTGCAGGTTCTCTGCAAAGAGCTGGCTACCTGCAAAGCAAGGGGGCAAGTGGTTGCCAGCCCCCACCAGTGGCTGCAGGTGCTGCTGGCCCCCAAGTGAAGCTGTGGCCCTTAGCAGGCTGCAGCCTCACTAAGACTTGCTTGTTTTCCCCCCTAGAAAGCGAGGCTTTCGGAGAGCCCCCTTCTCATACCAGCGTCCCTTTGCCCTGTGAAAAGTACATCCCAAAGCCTTGGGGCCAGTCCTCACCTCAGCCATGAAGCCTTTTCTTAGCACAACTCATTCCCCTTGACTCTTGCAAGCAGGCAGGCAGGCAGGCTTGAATGCAAATAAAGGTTTCCTTGAAAAGGTGCCTCTTGAGAATTTCTACTACACATCAATGCACCAGGCCTTGCAGGGGTCTCTCCTAGAACAAATTTAGGGAGAGTGCATAGAGAGGAAAGGGAGGGAAATGTGTGGGGTGGAGACACCAGACATGGTTGGCACTCGCTCACTTGGCCCAGGACTTCCCAAGAAAGAGGCAGCCTTCCACAAACACCCTACTCCTGCCCTTGTGGTTGGTCAGTGTGAGAGCAGGATGCAGGACTCAGTGGGATGAGCCTCATGCCGCTGAAAGCCCGAGTCCTTGGAGTGGCTTGAACAACCTGGACAACACAAGGTGAGTGAGGCAAAGGCTCTGCAAGCTCAAGAGAGAAGCATCATTTCTAAAATGTAAAGTAAACTTTATTGTCCTTGAACCACAAAATAGATTTCTTTGGTTGTACAAATGTCACTAGTTACAGTCTTGATCTCCCTCGGAGTGTTCTGGGAGAGGAGACAGACAGAGAGACATGCCACAGCCCAGCACCTAGAGAAGTTGTATGTTAGTCACGGAAACCCTGCCTGATCACTTCCCAAATTGCTCATTAAAAGCAAATGCTAAAATTAGATTAAAATCAAAAAGCTCTAACTGCTGCTGTGGAAGCAGCCACTGTGCAGCTTGAGAGAGGCAGGCAGAGGGAAGCCTCCCCTCTCGCCCTCTGCAGACAAACACAAGTTCTGTTAAAATGATCCTCTGATTTTGGCATGAGGAGCTGCTGCATCTTGTCCTTTGGCAGAGGCTGCCTGGCAAGTTTGCACACGTGATGAGCACACACACACACACGCCAGCCAGCACCACCCACTGCTCACCACCACCCAGCCAGGAGCGAGGCAAAGCCACTGCCCACACAGGCAGCGCCACTCTTCTCAGAAAGGGGCCCGAGAGGCTGGAGCCAGCAGGCAGAGCAAGCAGCAGCCCTGGCCCTCGCTGGAGCACCCTCGGCCGCCAACCTCTGCCCCAACATCTTTGCCCTACCCTGCACTACCCCTCTCCCTGCGCCCCAACCACCAAATCCCCCCTTTTACCTGTACCTTCTATCTGCTTCACCCCATCCTAATGAAACTAGCCTGCTCCTACTCTTGCTCCCACGCTGCTCTACGTTTGCTAGCACCAGGCAGCTCCCAAACGTTCCCTCCGGCCCTTGCTGAAGAGGCAGAAGTGCCCATTTCTGCCCATGCCCCCTCACGGCATGGATGGCCCCCCAGAAGGAGAAGGAAAATGGCAGCACTTGGCAATAACTCCCCCTCTCCCTCCCCATCCTGCACAAGGGTGCTGTCCCTCTGCTGCCCTTTGCCAGGGAGGGGGTAGGACAGCTGGTGTTTCCCAAGTGGCCCCCTCGCTGTTTGGCAAATGTCAGCTGGGCCCGGGCCCTCTGCAAACAGTGGTCAGCCTGAAGCAGCTGCAGACCTGGGCACCCCCGCCCTCGCACGCACGCACACACTCCCACCCAATATTTACACGCACACATGCCCTGCATGGGTCCCCCCGCCCCTCTCACTGCTCTCTTCGGCCCCCGTTTGCTCACAACCTGCCCCTCTGGGTGAGGAGGAAGGGGAGTCACAGCCCACAAGATGCCAGCTGAGGCGCCAGGGAGCTTGTTCTGTCCAGGCCCACCTGGGAGCCCGCTGGCCACATCACCACACTGTCCACAGAGCGGACCCCCCACTTGGCTTGGTGGTGTTTCTAACAGCCCCCAAGGGCAAGTCTACTATGTGGGGACAGCAGTTTCCAGGTTGTGCTGGGTTGGTCGGAGTTTGCGCTTGCCGCTGCTGCTGCTGCAGAGCCCCATCTCTTCCCGAGGGGGAGTTGCGCTGGGAGTCGACGGGTCGTGAGCCCCAAGGGGCTCCTGGGCTGCTGCCTGTCCGTCTTGCTCCTGGCTCACTGGAGGGGGAGAGCAGAGGGAAAGAGGTCATGGAGGGCTGAAGGGGCGGCAGCATCTGACCCCAATCCCCTGCCTGGCTTGATTCAGGAGGTGCCCAGGGCAACCTCTGCCCCCTGCCCCCTTTGGGCACTGCCTGCTGCAGGAGGCTCTGGAGCCCCCAGGCTGGGCCCTTCTGCTGCCTGCACTGGCTGTGGCCCCCAAAGGGGGTGGGGAACTGGGAGGCCTCCGCTTTCCAAGCAGTGTCTAGCCAGCTTCAGGTGGGCTGAACTGAGGCGCGCAAAGCCTGCACTGGAAAACGGGAACAGCAAGACCTCAGGAACACCCAGACAGACAGACAAACAGGCAGGCAGGCAACCCAAGGCAGGCAGAGATCCTTCTGCTTCACTGGTGGCGGAGCAGGAGCTCCTTTCGAGCAGTCAGAAGTGGGGGGATCCTGCAGAGCCATCAACTTCCCCGCTGACACACCTCCCAGGTCCACTTGCTGTGCCCAACACACACACCCCGGGGAAGAATGGGAGCCAGTTGCTCCAAAGCAGCTTCCTGAGACCAGAGGTGGCAACTTGGGCCCCAGACTGTGGGTGCCCAGTGGTGCGTGTGCATGGCGTCATGACGTCACATCGCTCATGACGGGGCTGGGGCAGCGGCGCCTGGGTGCCCATGGCCCCATGGAGATGGCACTCCGGCGCCCCACCCCCGCCGTGGCAACCAGGCCAAGACCTCTGCTGCAAGTCCTCCACTGCACCCCAGAAGCACGTCCGTGGCCGCAGCAGACCCCAACAGGGCCCCCACGACAGAGGCTCCGTTTCCACTTGCAGTGCCAGAGAGCCAGCAGAGGTAAGGCTGGGGGCAAGGGGTGGGGGGCAGCGGCCAACAGCAACGCGAGGGCGGGGCACCCACAGCAGACACTCTGTGGGTGCCCAAACCCTCAGGACCCCCCAGAGATGGCACCAGTGCCTGAGACCTAGAAGCAAGCTCAATGCTCTTCCACAAAGCCCCTCATCTTTTGAGAATACTTCCCCCCTGCTGCCTGCCAGACACATTCATGCCTTGCCTGGAATTAGGCTTCCAGCATCAGGGTCCCTGAGGGTACCCCCAACTTCTTTCCAAACCAAAATGGGAGGCGGCTGGGCATGCTCATTGGGCCACTCCCAGCTCCTTGGGCAGGATCTGACCCGCCCCCCGACCCCACCAACTGCATGCTCATCACAGCACTCCATTCCTAGGCAGTGCAAGGGCATCCTACCCACTGCTCCTTGCTGCTCAGCTGACCATTCACTCTAGAAAGGAACAGAAAAAGCAGAGGCCTCAGGAGAGAAGCGCTGGTGGCAGCACCCAAGGCCGGGAGGCTCCAGCTGGGCACTCACCTGAGCTGCTGGCATCGTTGAGTCTGCAGGTGCTTCCGCCATCTGGAGTCTGGAAGGGCAGTGCAAAGCGGGATCAGTCCCTGCCTGCTCCCCACCCCCTGCCCCCCAGGACATAAAGCACCCCTTGCCCGTTCCCACGTGGTTGGGGGTGGGGAGCAGGTGCTGAAGAACAGAGCATGCGGTGGGAGGGGGAGAAAGGGGGTGCAGAGAAGAGCAGGCAGGAGGCCCCAGAGGCAAGAGAGGAATTCCAGAGCCAGGGCGCCTGGTGCTAAAGTGCCCATCACTCAGCCTCTGGGCCCCCTGCCCACCCGCCAGGCAGAGGGACAGAAAAGCAGGTCGGGCATGAGGTGGGGCCAGGGAGATCTGGCAAGAGATCCCACCAGAGCCCGTTACGTATCTTGTGTGGTTCACATGCTCCCTATCTGTGAGACCCCCAGACCCCAAGACACTGCTGGGAGGAGGGCCTCCTAAGGGCCCTGCTGGCCATCGCTGGCAGACGGAGGCTTCCCAAGACAGAGACCAACTGGTCTCTGGAGCCTCCAAGGAGACGGCTGGAAAGGCAGAGGGGCAAGGCAGGCAGCAAACGGCCCCCTCGCCACCAGCGCTGCAGAGCCAGCCAGATCATGAGCCAGGATGAGCCCAGCAGCCTAAAGCCGCTGCCAGGCGGGATCCAGCACAACACCTGCCTGGCTTGAGGGTGTCCTTGTGACATGGCCTGGAGATGGCAGGGAGGGGGCCAAGAAGCCATTACAGGGCAGCCTGGCCTGTCTGAAAGGGGTCTTCAGTAGCCTCTCCCGTCACCTCCCCCCAACAGACCTTGGAAGGAGGGGCAGCAGGGTTCCCACAAGGCCTGGGACTCTGCTCTGAGTTGGGGGCAGCTTCCAGCCTAAGCCCCAGTGGCTGCCAATGACCCCCCAGGACTCTACCCTCCCCCCGCCCAGGCTAGATAGGGGCAGGAGGTGGAGCATCAGACCCCGACTGCCAGGGGTGTGTGTGTTCCTGACTGCCCCCACCACATGCAGCTTGTACCTGGATTTCATAAACTGGTTTGGAAGAAGGAATGGCAGCAAATTCCCTGTAGAGAAACTTCTTTTCAGGCACAGACTGGAGGGCCAAAGGAGTGGCAGAAAGAAGGGAAAAGGCAGAAAGAGAGAGGGGGAAAGAGGATGAAGGAGCATGTGGGGAAGCAGGAGGGGAGGCTCGGGGGGGTGCAGGCGGGGCCCTTCCTGCTGCTCTTCTTGGCAGGCTGCAGGGCTGGACTGGGGGGGGGGGATCAAGGGGCTCCCTCATGGTCAGTGGATCAAGGGGCTCCCTCATGAAGTTTCCCTGTGGCAGCCATCTTCCCACCTCCTCAAGGGTCTCACTCCCTAAAAGACCCCCCATCTGCCCTGGCCAACAACAGAGTGCAGCAGCAATGAGGTCATGCCTGAGGCCCACAGAATGCCCCGCTGGCTGTGCTGGTCAGGGCAGGAGCAGAGACTGGGTGGGGGGAGTCAGAGCAAGAGGGAGCACCAGGGACCCCCCAAGACAGAGGGAACAGTGTGGGAAGCAAGGAGGGAGCCTTCTGGGCCACGGCCAGGCGCACCCCCGACCTGAAGAGCTACAGGGACCTCCATGCTCACAGCCCCCCTCCTCTGAAGCATGACTGGCGCTGGGTCCCCCTCCTTACCAGCCTGCCTGGAGAAGTCAGGATCCGGGTGTTGCAGTCTGAAAGAGAGACAGGATTTGGAGAGAAATGAGAGGATAAATTGTGCAAGGGGGGAGGGAGACATCAAGCCCATGCCTCCTCTCTGAGCCGCTGTGGGCTCCCCTTCCTAAGCCAGACTGCCATGAAAGAAGGTGACCTACCCTCCAGGGGGGTGGGCGAGGGGGTGGGGGCGGGCGAGGGAGACTCCGCCAGCTGCTCCAGGGTGGACCTCTTCTTGCCCTCCTTGGACTTGGCAATCACCATCTGGGCCTTGAGGGCATCCTGCTCCAGGGACTTCATCCTGCCAGGCGGGAGGAAGAGAGGTTGACACACCTGGGGTGGGCTGGCAAGGCAAGAACCGTCACCCGGGGCGGGGGGGGGGCATTGCAGGGCCCTCCTCACTTGGCCAACGGAGGAGGTGCTGAGTGGAGTCGCCCCCATTGCTGCAGAGAAGGCAGAAACTTGGTAGAGAGCAGAAGGGCCCCCCTTGCCTCCTTCATCCAGGGCGGAGGCTCTCAGGAGCAGCTGAGGGTGCAGATCTGCCCCAGCCTGGTCTCTTGCTTGGCAAACACGCCTGTCCAGCACAGGAGGAGCAGAGGAGGCAGAGCACGGACTCTCCAGTGGCGGCACAAGTGTGGCCCAGCTGCCCCTCTGGACCTGGGGGGCACCTCTGGGGCTGTGCGGGCCCTGGGGTGTAGGTGGGGTTGTGTGGAAGTTCTGCACACCTGGGGTGGCCCCCTGGCCCAGGGCTTCTTGTGGTGGCGGCGGCAGCAGCAGCAGCAGGGCCCTGCCCCCCCAGTGCCTGCTGGCGGGCTTGGTAGAGCCTCCTGGCCAGATCCTGCTCATACTCTTTCATGCTCTCTTCTAGGGTGGAAGAGCTGAGGAGGAGGAGGAGGAGGAGTAGAAGGGAGGCGCCGAAGACGTCCCGACAGGCAGGAAGATGGCAGAGAGAGAAAGAAAGAAAGAAAAGGAGAGGGAAGGAAAGGGTGGGCAGGAGGAAGAGGCAGGTGCCAACGGGGGGGGGGGGCGGACCTCACCTGTCCTGGTCAGTGGAGAAGAGGGCAGACCCCCCTGCCCCCCCCAGATCACAGACAAGCGAGTCCCGCCAGGTGCATACAGATGGGTGGAGGGGGGCAGGAGGCAGGGGCTGCCCTGGAGAACCCCACATGCACAGCCAGCTACAGTGAGGGAAGGGGACTCCAAATGGGGTGGGTTTCTGAGGGGTGCAGTCACACAAGGGGAGCTCTCCCTTCCAGATACTGGAGACAAGGAAGGCGGTCCCAGAGCCTCTTCCCAAGACACCTCCCAGCCTCTCTCCTTCGATGCCCGGCTGGCATCAGCAACTGGCAGGGGGCACTTTCCTGAGAGAACCAGCTCTGCTTTGAGGGGCTGCAGGGGGATGAAGGAGGGAGGGATGCCAGTTCAGGGTCTTTATCAGGGGTGGGGCTGCCTGAGGTCCCCAGAGCCCTGTGGAGATTCGGAAGGTATGGCTCAGGGCACCGCTGCCAGGCTGAGCCCCTTGCAGAAAACCCGGCCTCTGTGTTCCTGGGCTGCGTTCGCCAACCAGACCCTGAGCAGCAACGGAGAGGAAAGAGGAAACAGCCTGGGAGGCGAAATGGGGGCCACTTAAGGGCAGAGACTGAACTGAGCGGCAAGCAGACGAGGCTCCTCGTCCTGCCGCAACAGAACCAAAGGCCAAGAACCAGAGGGGGGACTTGAGAGGTGGAAGAAGGGCCCTTGGAGCTGGTGGGGCAGCTGTCCCTCTGGTGATGGCAGCCGCCATGGCATCTCACCCAGGAGAGCTTTTCTGGGCAGCCTCAGGTATATTTAAATATACCTTTCTGAAGAAACCAGAGGCCTTTCTCCTGGGCATGGTCGGCCAATTGGTGCGAAGGGAGGAAATGAAATGAAAATAAGGTTAGAAGGATTTGCTGGAAATACGATCTGAACTAGAATACAAAATTGGGAGGTGAGAGGAGGTCATGGAAATAAGTAAAGGGAAAAGGTTATGTAAAGGTTTAATCTGCTTTTGTTTTATCTTAACTTAATGTATTTTTATATTTTTTGTTAAGTTGTCCTTGTTATTCTATCTTACTGTTTTGTTTTGTTTTTACTTGTTTATCTTTTGCTCTGTTATGGTTGAAGTTTTCTTTGTATTTTGTATGGTTTTCTTTTTCTTTTTTGTTTTTTGTAACTTTAAATTTGGAATAAATATTATTAAAAAAAAAAAAGAAACAAATGATTCTGAGACACTTTGACTTAAAATAAATACTGGATTGATATTATCAGGGACTGAATGTTTTAAGTAATCTTTCTTCCCTTTTTTATGCAACCAGCAGATAGAACATTTCTTTCCCTTTTGTCTTTTGTCTTTTATCTTTTCTTTTGCTTTTATCTATCTCTCTCTTCTTGTTTTTTTTCTTTTCTTAGTCTTCTTCATGTTCTTTCTTCTTTGGAGTCGTACGTTTGGGGACTTTGCTAAGGTCCAGGGATTGTGCATTCATGGGGTGGGAGATGGTTGATGGAGGGTCCTGGGCGGGAGACGGGGAAACGGTCTCCCAGCATGAGAAGCTGGGAGAAGAAAGGGAGGCCCCTCAGGGAGAGCTGAGAGGGACGGCTACCTTCTCTGGGTGGTGGGGGCTGACAATTACCTTCAGGAGAGGACTGTGTATTTCTTTGTAGTTGTCATCTTATTGTATTGTGTAAAAATTGACACCTGTCCACTTTCAAAATGTTGACTCAGGTTAAGCTTGTGGTCCACAAACCCCCTTGATCCTTTTCCAATATATTACTGGCAATGTATTTTTAATCTCTGTTGGAAGTGGCTGGGGAAACCCAGCCAGATGGGTGGGGTACAAATAATTTATTATTATTATTATTATTATTATTATTATTATTATTATTAGCCAGGTGTCCCCCATCTTACATTTGTGCACCTGATTCTTCCTGTCTAAGTGCAGAACATGACATTTGTCCCTGATGAAACTCATTTCATTAGCTTGGGCCCAGTTCTCCAATCTGTCGAAATCCTTTTGAATCCCGATTCTGTCTCCTGAGGCATTAGCTGCCCCTCCCAGTTTGGTGTCACCTGCAGTTTTGATAGGCATCACCTCAATACCTTCATCCAAGTTGTTTATGAAGAATTTGAACAACAACGGGCCCAGGACAGAACCCTGAGGTACCCCACTTGTCACTTTTTGGGGGTATATATCTTAAGAGCATGCTTCTTTCTTAATTTTTTTCATCCTCTTCAGGGGGTCTCCTCCTAAGCCAGCCATTGGGTCGTATTTCAAATGAACCTTTTAATCAGCAGAGAGAGTGTTTCAGTAGTATTTTATAGACGTTTCAGAAGTAATTAAAGGAGGCTTTGCTGGTCTTTGCCCCAGGGACTGACCTCTAGGGCTATTGAGTGGTGCTGGGGCAAGTTTGTGGTTCTTCCGCTCCTAGGTCACTCACCCCATCTGCCTGGGTCTTTTGAAGATACCTCCATCCCACAGCAGGGGAGCAATCCTTCCAGAGCATTTGGAAGTTAATTCCTGTTACTTTATGTTTCTTCCTCAGAGATAATACGATAGACAGTAGCTATGTTCATCACCACTTAATTGCCTCTGCTGACAGCGTGTCGACGGAGGCAACTAACCAGCTATGATGCCTCCCTGGAAGTCCTCCTCCAAGGGTGCGTGATGCAGGGCTGCCACCTCTTCAAGTGCCTCACGCAGGAAGGGACCACTTGTCACTTGCCAGTATTTGCCTAACGCTTCTGGGTCCAGGGAGGTCTTATTAAGTGGGGAGACATCCATGCCTCCTTCGACCCCCAGCCAGCCACTGCGGCTAGTTCTAAGAGGCCAAGATGGGCAGGGGCCAAGGCTGGCCACACTTCTTCAAGCCACTTGTCCATATCCTCAGGCTGCTATAATCAAAACTGACGCAGTGCAGAGGGAGTAGACAGTGTGCTAGATGCCTCTGCTAGATTGCTCTGAGGTGGCATCCCTCTGTCCAAATCTGAGTCATTTTGTTCCTCAAATGCCTGGCAGGGATCTTGTGGCTGGCCCCCGGGGGTGTCAGGGCAACGGTCTCTTGGGCAGGGAACACAAGTCCATTCACCACTCAGAAAAGCTTGGCCACACGGCTACTTGTGGAAGCCACGGTGGTGGTGAAGTCAGATTTCTTTGCTGCAGCCACCACCACACGGCAGGTGCAACGGTGCCACTTCACCTGTTTTGGGTCAGGCTAATTTATGCCACCCCAACGCAGTGGGTGCCCCACCCTGGCAGGGCAGAGAGCTGCCTTCTGCCCAAACCTCACCAGGGAATGGTCCATGCAGGGTGACGGAGTCCCCCACTCCCCCTCTGCCAGCTGTGTCCGGGAGGCGGGCAGAGGGGGGGGATGGGGCATTAACCCCACCTGCATTCTGTTAGGACTGGGGGCGAGGCAGTGGGGTGAACATTCAGGCCACAGGGACCCACGGGAGCAGAAGGACCCACAGAAGCAGAGCAGAGGCACCCACGGTGGCCCCCTGGCCTCCCACACGCCCCCCCTGAGGACCCCCGGCTGGCCGTGGGGCGAATGCAGGGCCCACCCTGGCCTGATCCAGCAAAGGCAACCGATGAGCAAGGCAAGCAGCTAAGAAACCCAACATGCTGTGAGCTGGTGCTCCACAGCCCCCTTCAGAAGCCGTGCCTGGGGGGTGGGAGAGGGATGCGGCCCCTGCCCGCCCCTCCCCACCTACCGTGCTGCTCGCCACATGGCCCTCTTCTCGGCCTCCAGTGCCCGGCGCTCGGCTGGGGAGAGCTCCTTCCTCTCCTGGGCGCTGAGCAGCTCTGTGCTCTGCATGCGGAGGCGCTCCTGCTGTCGGCGCTCGGCCTTCGCCGTCCTGACGGGGGCCCCAGGCTCACTGCCACCTCTGGGGCACACGGGGCTCAGCCTGGCCGGGAGAGAGCGTGGCTCAGTGGGGCAGACCCACCCTCCCTGCCCCACAGGCCCCCCCTCCGCCTGCCCTCCCATCTTACCCAGCCATGGAAGTGGGCCGCACCTCCGGCCTCCGGCCCTCCTCCAGGGAATTCCTCTGCGAGGAGCCATTCTGCCTCTCCGGCTCTGGGAACCTGGAAGGGCGCAAAGCTCTGTGAGCCCCAGCCAGGGCAGAGACGGGGCGGAGCCCAGAGACCAAAGGGGACCCCTGGGGAGAGGAGTCTGCAGGCGGACGCTAGAAGCCCCCAGGCCAAGCGCTGGGACTTGGGAGGGCAATCCCAGGGCTGTGGACGGAGCAGGGAGAAGGCTGCTCTTTGCTTAGGGTCCTGTCTGTGGGCTTCTTCCCACCAGCATCCCTGGCTGGTTCCTGGGAGAAGGGGACGCTGGGCTAGAGAGACAGAGCACGCCTGCGCTCTCCGGATCGAGCCCTGCCCCTCCCTGGCCTGGGCACAAGCGCAGGGGGCGCGGCACGCAGCTCACTCACCAGGGCGTGGAGGGCATAAGGCTCTGCCCATCCAGCTTCTCCACTTTGTACTCCACACCCTCGATGAAGATGCTGGAGGGGACGTCTGGGGGGCGTCTCTGCCTGGCGGCCTCTTCCTCTTCCTCCTCCTCCTCCTCTTCCTCCAGCAGCTGAGCTCGCTTCTGCTGGAGTTTGCGAGCTGCCAAGTGAGAAGCCGGCAGGTCAGCCTCCCCACAGCCCCCCAAGGGTGGAAGGACCCCGGCTGGGCAAGGGAATGCCTCCAAGAGGGAGCAGCCGAATGAGATCCAAAGATGAACCAGGAAGACAGGCGGGGGGGGGGGGGAATCCACCTGAAAGGCATGAGGGGACCCCACCCCATCTTTCTGTGTCCTCCTCCTCCCCACCAGGCCGGCGCTGCTTAGCCAAACATGGAGGGGGAGAGGGGTTTCACTATAGTGTTTCACTATAGAGCAGCTCCTCCCCCCCCAGCAGTTAGCGGCCTCTGGGCTAGTAGCCCCTGGGGGGCGGGAAGAGTGGGGGGCCTTGGCCTGGCTAACCCCATGGCACGCACCTTCCTCCTCCTTCATCTTCCTCAGGTCTTCCTCCCCAACCAGCGACACCCTCTTGGGCGGCTTCTCGGCCGGCTGCTGCTTCAGCTCCACCTCAAAGTACTTCTGCCTCTCGCGGAAGGACCTCTGCTCCGGGCTGTGCAGGCCGCCCCCCAGCAGTGGGGCCTGGCCAGGAGAAGCAGGGCCCCCCGCTCCCCTGAAACTCACCTCAGAGGGGGAGGGAGGCTGCTCTGCACTCTTCTGCTTCTGGGACTCCTAAGGGAAGAAAGGGCAGGCAATGGCTGCATCCGCAAAGGGCACTCTGCTCCCCAAGGGCCCCCCCAAAGCCGCCCCCACTCACCTCAGGCTCCAGGAGCAGATGCGGAACTGGGACAGCCGCAAAGGCCTTGTAGGCCTGCTTGGCGCTGACGGGGACGTCGCCTGGCGAGGGGGGCCTGGGAGAGCGTGGCTGGGGGCAAGAGGGTGCAAGTCAAGAGGGAGAGCGGCCCCAGGCCAAGGGGGTGTCACTCCAGCCACCAGCACCCCCCCCAATCAGCCCCAGGGCAGCAACTTACAGAGTTGTGGGTGCTGGAGCAGAGCTCGGGCTGCTGGAATGGATTGGGGCTGTCCCGGCCTTCCGAGGTCGCCAGGGCTGGGGCTGGGCGCATGCGGGTGACGGGCTGGATCACGCCCGGCTTGGTCTGGCACAGGTGGGGGGGGGGGAGTCAGCCAGAACAAAGGAGAGCAAACTCAGCCTCCAACCCAAAGGCAAGCAAAGGTCAGGGCAATGGCTACACAAGTCTGATTGACACCCTCTGATAACAAGGGACAAATTGGACAAAATGAATTAAAGCAAGATGTCCCCAAGCACGGGGGCCGCCCACAAACTTGTGTATCAAACTATCCCCCCCCCCCCTGCTCTGACTGCACCATTTCAGAGTCCTGCTGATGCCAAGAGGGGCTGGGCAAGGCCCCTTGGAGGCAGCAGGCGCCCAATGGTCACAGCCCAAGGCCCACATGGCGCCAGAGGAGGCCAGGAGAACTCACCGAGGACTTGCTTTCACTGTGGCTGGGAACAAAGTGGACGGCAGCCTGGAAGGAGAAAGTCAGGAAGGCATTTGGGGCCGGGAGGGGCGCTGGGGGCCCCCACCCAAGCCCAGGCACCTCCAAGCTGGCCATGCCAGAACCAGGAGCCCCTCCCCAAACTTACCCCACATTAAGCTCTTGCCCCCGCTCCCAAAAGAGACGCCACATCTTGAACTATGCTGGAAAGGGCCCCCAGTGATGCCACAAACTGGCTCCTCCTGCCCCTCCCAGACTACAGCTAGAAACCACTCTTGCAGAAGCAGCCAAAAAGACCAGCAGCAGCGGGGGGGCGAGTAGTGAGGGTCCCCTGCCCAGCCCCACAGAGCATCCTCCCCAAGCACAGCCTCAGCAGCCCCCTCCCCCCACCCAGGGCAGAGGAGGAGAGCGGGCACAGCACACCAAGGGGGCACTTACAAAGCGGGTCTCTCTGCCCACCAGGTGGGCTGGCCGGGGGGCAGCAGGAGGCTGGAAGGCAGCAGTGCCAGGGAGAGAACCAGAGAGAGAACCAGAGAGTCTGGCTGACTGACAGGCAGGATAGGCAGAGGAAAGACCCCCCCCAACACACACCGTAGCCCCCTCCACCCCCACTGCAGCACCCCTTACCTGCTGGCTGCCAGGAGAGTAGGGAGCGTCTCGCCAGGCGGCTACCTGTTCCCCTTCCCCTGAGAGGGCCTGAAAGGGAGAGGAAGGACAGCTGGTGAGCGGGGGGGGGGGCAGTGGTGTTGAGGGACCCCAAGGGTGCCCAGAGAGACCAGCCCCTCCCAACCCCCAGGCAGAAGCCCCTTCCCTATGGGATCTGCCCCCTAAAAGGGGCTCTGGCGGGTCATGAATCTGCCTGATCTCCCCAGTTGGAGCCAGAAACCTGCCAACACTCTTCCTCCACCCGAGCCAGCTGCCCCTCAGAGCAGCGCCAGCTCCTCTGCTGCCCCCCCCCCCGCCATGCTCAGGACACCCCTCCCTCTAGTTTTGCTCACACTAAGAAGCCCCCCTGCTGCTAAGTGCTGAAAGAGCATCTCTTCATTGGCTGAGCAATGCTGGAACTCTGCCCAAAGGCAGGGAAGGAACAGCACCCTCCGTTCCCAACGCAGCACATGTCTTCCTCTGCACAAGCTCCTAGTCCCCATGAATGCACATTATAGGATCCGAACTCCTGAACCCGCTTCCGTGCCAGCTCCCAAGTGGCTGGATCAGTCACGCAGAGAGGGAGTTGTGTCAAGATGGAACTGTGCACACTGCAGAATCCCACCCTCTTTGGACATTTAGAATTACTACTTTTCTCCTGTTTTGCTGCCCACAGACACACAAAGAGGTTGACAAAACTGGCACAACAAACCATGAGCACAAACTGTCAAAGCAGTGTCTGCATGTTAGTGGCTCAGGGGCTCCTCTCACGGGGGCGGCAGCCCAAACGCTGCCCAAATGAGCCAGGCCCAAAGCAGGTTAGTAGCCAAGCAGGACAGAAGAGCAGCCAAAGGGAGGAGCAGCCCAAAGACTCTGCAGGGAGCCAAGGGGGGAAGGGGCCAGCGGGGGCCCTCCTCTCCAAGCCCACTGCCTCGTCCTCCTGCCCTGCAAAGGCACGTCCCCACGGCAGAAGCTTGAGCTCGCCTGCCTCGTCCCCCACCTGATTCCACTCCACACACACACACTTCCTGCATGCAGTGCGGAGCAGCTGAGCCCCCCTCAGGCAAGAGATGGGGGGCGGAGAGGGTCCCAGCCCAAACGTGAGCCTTGGCTGCCTTCTCCCCCGCTGCCCCGGCATGCAGCAGAGGCACAGCACACAGCAGGCCAGGCCACAAGGCCGCTTGCCTTGGTGCAGAGGCTGGTCTTCAGCACTCCCCCCTTGCCATAGCCAAGGGGAGGCCCCCCCAGACACGCCTTGCCCTGCCGGTTGGCCAGCACAAAGGGATTGGCGCTGAAGGGGATGGGCTGCGAGTCCACCAAGCTCTCTTCCTCCTCCACCTCCGCAGTCGGCAGTGAGAGGGCAGCCCCGCTGGGGGGGGCCGTGGCAAGGCTTGCCTGGCCCAGGTCCAAGGGAGGGGGGGCCGGCAGGGGAGGCGCCCGTGGGTCCCTTTCCATGGCACCAGGAGGGACAAGCTGAGGAAGAGACACAAGAACTGCGTTTTCAGGGGCCACGGCTGGTGGGGCAGCTCTGTGGCTCATGGGAGGAGCTCTCTGCTGTGTGGCCGGGGGGGGGGGGACCCTAGATGCCTGCAGGGCCCCCAGGGAGGGGGAGACAGAGACCTCCCCGGGGTGCAGGAGGGTGTGGAGATGCCTCCCTGCAATGCACAGACATGGCAGGCCACATGCTGGACTGCCACTCCCAGTGCTGCCACCACCAGCAGCAGCAACCTCTGTGGTAACTGGCCTTGCTGCCTGGGGGAGGGAGGCCCCCCCACAAACCCCGTCTTCCTTCTGGGCACAAGCCAGAACCCCAAGACGCAGCCACGGAACAGCCGGGCTCTGCTGCAAACCATCCGGGACAGGTTTATTTTTTAACATTGAGAGGCAGAAGGAAACTTCAGAGAAACAGAGCGGCCTCCAGCTACGGCAGAAGGGGCTGGGAGTGCCCCCCCCCCGCAATACCCCCTCCCCATTTGATCCCAGCAGTGGTGGAGTCTCAGGATGGGACCAGAAGGAGAGGAGGGGGCTGGGAGGCCCCATGCCTCTGCCCAGGAAGCCCCGTGGATGCAGGGAGGGTGGCAATAAGCCCCTCTGTGTTGGCCGGGGGGGAGGCAGCCAAGGGGGCGGAGGGCCAAGAAAGACCTCCATGGGGGAGACAGGGTCACCTGCTCTGCTCAGCAGGACAGAAGGGCCTCTCCCTGCCACCCTCCTTCCAAAAAAACCAAGGGTCTCCGCACAGGGACCCCTGTCTGGGACGCCCATCCCCTTGTCCCCCGCCATCCCTGGCACACCCAGCCAAGGGAGGGAGCTCCTGCCCTTTGGCACCCACCGCCTGCTGCACCAGGAGTAACATGGCAGGCTGAGCAACATCCAGAGGGGCACAGCTTGCCTGCTCCCCCCCCCCCCATGAAGGCAGGCACAGTAGCAGAGCCCTGGCCCTGACCAAGCCTGAGGAAGCAGTTCTCCCACTTGCTGCTGCCCACCAGCTGCCCGCTCACTTGTGCCCAGAGGAAAAGCCCTGCAGGTGCCAGGAGAAAGAGAGAGACTCACCGCTCCTGCCAGCAGCCACAGACAAAGGAAGACCCCCCCCCCCCGCCCAGCCCCTTCCTCCAACGCCCACCAGGCAAGCCCAAAATAGCCCAGAGCTGGGCTGGCTCAGGAATCTCACTCAGGCAGATCAGATTTCCAGAGAAGCAAAAATGGCCCCCAAGCAGCCCACCTGCTCCCTCCTCACCCAGCCAGGCCAACTGGGTCTTGGGCAAGTGGGGGGGGCAAACACCCCACTGCTCTTCATTGCTGCTGAGGGCAACCTCCAGCCCCGTCCCCCCAGAAGCAGAGCCCCCCCCCCTCGGTCTGCTGGCTGCCTCCCGGGTCACCTGGTGCTCCCATCTCTCTTCCAAACTCTGGGTGCTTCTCTCCTCAGCTTCTCTGCGCTCCCCCCCCCCCGAGAACCAGCCCTGAAGCCAGCAGCTGCTTCCAGGGCATAGGAGCCCCCCTCCAAGTGACAAGGTCTCCAAAGCAGCTGGGGAGACTCGCCAGGGGCCCCAATCCACAAGAGCCATCGCTCGGGTTGGCTGAAGGCAGAGGGAGCAGCCGAGGCTGGCTGGGATCCAGCCCGCCCTTCGCCAAAGCCAGTGGATCCCCATCACTTACGCCACGGGTGGCTTTCTGGAGGCCGCTGTTGGGCAGCGCTGCCAAGGTGCGGTAGTCCAGCTGCAGGGGCTCAGCGCCAAGGTCCTGTGGGGAGGGGGAAGAGGGTCAGGGGGGTCTCAGGAGCGTGCCCACCCAGCCCAGCCCCCTTCCTCAGGCCCTCAGCCCAGCCGCCCCCCTCACCTCGGCCTCCTCCTCCTCCTCTGCCAGGAGCTGCGTGGCCGTCTCTCGCTCCCGGCGCTTCCGCTCCTTCGCAGAGGCAGCAGGCGGGTGGCACAAGCAAAGAGAGAGCAAGAGGGGTCAGCAGCAGAACCCGCAGGGACCCCAGAGCAGCAGGCAGAGTCCCAGGCAGAACCCACAACTTCACAGCCAGAAGCAGGGCCCAGGGGGTCCCCAGAGGGTGCTCGGCCTCTCAGCGGGGTCTGCAGCAAAGCAGGCAGCCAGGGCCAGCCAGAGGGGCCCTTCCCTTCCCAGGCTCTGCCCCGGGGGGTGGGGGGCTGGGGTCTTCCCTCTAGCCCCCCTCCTGCTTCTGTGACAAGAGCATCAGAAGAGCTCAGCCCCAGGGGGCCCATCTAGCCAGCCTCCTCTGCTCGCAAGAGCAGCCCTCTCCCCCAGGGCAGAGGCAGCTGCATCTGCCAGGAATTTGCTCAGTCCTCTTCTGAAGCCATCCCTGCCTCCTGCAGCCAGCAGTTCCCCACTTCAACTCCTGACTCTTCCAGCATTCAGCTTCACTGGGTGTCCACAAGTTCGATCGTCATGAGAGAGGGAGGAAAACTTTCCTCCCTCCACTTTCTCCAGGTCAGGCATCATGTTATAAACTTTTTTCAGGGTGCCTATGACCGGCTTTTTCTCTAATCCAAAAAGTCCCTGATGCTGCAACTTTTTCTTCATAGTAGTGGCACCCACACCGTGGAACAATCTCCCATCAGATGTCAAGGAAATAAACAACTACCTGACTTTTAGAAGACATCTGAAGGCAGCCCCGTTTAGGGAAGTTTTTAATGTCTGATGTTTTATTGTATTTTTAATGTTTTTGGGGAAACTGCCCAGAGTGGCTGGGAAATTATTATTATTATTATTATTATTATTATTATTATTACCATCCCTCCCTCGATCATGCTCATTGTCCTTTTCTGAATCTTTTCTAACTCTACAATTTTTAAGGTGAGGTGACCCCACCTGTGCAGCGGACTCTGAATGCAGTTGCATCACAGATTTGTATTATATTAATCGCAGTTTTATTTTCAATTCCTTTCCTAATGAAGATTAAGAGGCAAACTTTGAAAGCAGGGAAGAGAAAACTTTAACTAGGATGATGAACACCACTGAAAGCCGGGGGAAATAACCCTTTTTTTCTGCCCCCCTAAAAACTGTCCTTTTCAAAGAAAGTAAACTACAGACCCCCACGGCCAGAGTCAGGTGCCGGGGAAAGGCCCTGGTCTTGGGCAAAGCTCTCGCCGGAAGGCAGGCAAGCAGGCAGGCAGGAGGGCGGCTGCTCCAGAGTCATTTGCTAGTTTCCAAAATCTGGCCCCCTCCTGCGGGACCCCAGCTGGAGTCACTCCCACCGGAGGCTCTTTGCTGCTCCTTCCCCTTTGCCCCCCACCCATTTCTCTCTCTCTCTCTCTCTCTCTCTCTTTTCCTCCTGTGCTGGTGAATGGCTGCCTTTTCCTCCAGGCATGAAGGCGAGTGTCCCCCTGCCTCTCACGTATGGAGCAGCCAAGGAAGGAGGCCACAGCCAGAGGCTTGGCCCCCTGGGGAAGGAAAAGGCACCCGGCTCCTTGGACCTCGGCTTCGCTCTGACCTGAGGACTAGCTCAGGAGTTTCCTCACAGGAACTGGCTAAGATGAAGCCTGGAGGGAATTTTGCACATCTCCATTTGGAAGTCGCCCCAAAGCACAACCAGTTGCAGCGGCTGAGGAGCTGGACTGAGGGGCTGGGGCCTTCTTTCTGCTGGAAGTCCGGGCTCCAGGCGCCACAAGGCACTCCCCAAACCCTCCGCCGGATCCCCCTGGAGGACCCAGCCTGGCCCTGAGCACCAAGATACAAGCAGCCAAAGCCCAGAGCCCAACTGCCTCCTCCAGCCTCACATAAAGGGAGGAATGAGTGTTTGCTCTCCTGGCCAAACCAGGCCTCGTCTCTTGGGCCATTCCACGCCCACATTCCTTCCCAGAGCAAATCCAGACTCCCAAGATCTCACAGAAGGAGGTTGGCCAAAGGATTCTTCCTCAGAAGGGAATATCTGAACTCAACAGGTACGGAAGAAGCCATATGCTTGGCCGGGACCCGTCTGCCTCTGCCTCGCACAGACTCACAGAGGGGGGCTTCCCTCCCTCCCTGAGTGGCCGGCACTGTGCCCACAGGGAGCCAGAGTGTGACCACCTCACCCACCGTGGGTCCCCCTGGGAAGACCTACGGGGGCCTCCTAAAACCGCCTTGTGGTGAAGAACCTGTCTGGCGGATCCTGGTCAAAGAGAAAAAGGCTCCCAGCCCCTGTCGCTGCTCCCAGAAGGAGAACGCCCCAAGCCCTGAATCATGGCCAGACAAATGACAGACTCCCCCTGGTTTCCACTAGACAAAAAGGGCCCATTGCTCAGAGATGGAGCAGCGCAAGCCCTGAGATCGAATTCCAGAACCTCTTGGCAAAGGGCTGAGGAAGACTTGTGGCCCTGCTGGGGAGCCAGGCACACAAAAGGGGCCGACAACACTCTGCTGAGCACAGTATCTCAGCAACGGCTGCGTCTCCCCCCCACGGAGCCAAGGAAGGCGGCACAGGCGTTATGGGAGGCCCAAGTCACCTGGCACTGCAGGCAGAGGGCATGGGCTGGGCTAGAACCAGCAGCCTCCTTCGGGCAAAGGCAGGCAGGAAGCTGCCCAGGCACTCGCAAGGGGGGAGAGGGAGACAAGAGCAGGATGAGCAGGAAGCAGAGGGAAGGTTGCCAGGACAAATGGCCACTCCCTGCCAGACCTCTCCCCTCACCCCCGGCCCAAAGCAAAGCGCAGCTTCTAGGGGCAGAGGAGACCTTAGCGGAGTCAGCGGTTGGGGGGAAGAGCCCAGGCCCCAAAGCAGCCCCAAAGCAGCCCCAGCAGGAGCAGGAGGGGGGAGGGAAGGGGGCTGCCAGGGGGACTGGAGGCCCCGATCCAGGCAGCCCCCTTCCCTCACCCTGGAAGGGTAGAGCAGGGCCATCACGTCTCACCACTTTCTCCGTCTCTTCCCTCTCCCACTGGGTTGTCTCCCTCACCATCTCCAACTCCTGGGGACACAAAGGAGGCGGTCAGAGCTGAGGGCACACGCCAGCCAGACTCCTCAAGGGCTTTTCTCCAGATCTGGGGGGCGGGGCGGGGATTGGCAGCCTTGCCAGAGAGAAGGGGCACCTAAGCCTGCCCTCCCCTGGGAACCACAGGCCTTACCTTCTGAAGGACGTCCAGCTCCTCCGGACTGAGGTCCCGGTCAATGGAGGAAATGCTCTCCAGGCTGTTCTTGCGCCCGATGCCGGCCGCAAAGGGGTTGGCAATGATCCCTGGAGATATCTGGGGGGCAGACGAGAGAGGTGGGGGGGGGGGCTCTGGTCCCTGCCCAGCACAGAGGCAGGCAGAGGGGGTGTCTGGGGGGACACACCAGACCCATGGTGTACCTCGTCTTTAAGAAGCTGCCCTCGCCACAGGGCTTCAGCAGGAAAAGGCACTGAAGGCAAACCTCCCGTCCCTGGCCAGGGCCCCCCTCCTAGCACCCACCTCAATGGCCGCCACAGCCTTGGGGTCAAACCCGTCGCAGACCAGCACCAGAAGGGTGTCTCCCACAGCGCGCAGGATCTGGACCGCTTCCGTGTGCGTCATGCCCAGCAGGCTCTGGTGGTTCACCTCCAGGATGCGCATGCCCACCCTCAGCCGCCCGTCACGGGCTGCAGCCCCTGTGGAGCTGACCTGCACAAAGCAGAGGAGGGTGAGGAAGGAGCCGGGGAGGGAGGGAGGGAGGCAACCCCCACCCTCAAGGCCCTGGGAGCAGCCAGAGCTGGAGGGGCCCTGGAGGCAGAAAGGGCCTCATGGTTTGGGGAGGGGGCAGGCAGGGGGTCCAGACCTTCTGCTCAAGGCTCCAGAACTCTGCTTTCCACAGCCCCCCCCCCAACAAAAGTCCTCAGAGCAACCCTGGGTGGGAGGGACGTGGTGTGGAGACACGGCTGTGGGTCCTTCCAAACACAGCTGGGACCTCCCTCCCCCACTTGGCACTAGTCCAGCACAGCAAACTTCGGCCAGGGTGGGGGGGAGTGCTACCCCGTACCTTAGAGATGAAGATGCCCTCGTCCGTGGGGTCAAAGGGATTCCCTGCGTGGCCCTTGGCACCTCCTCGGATGCTGATGCCCAGTTTCTCCCCTGGCCTCTTTTCAATGCAGATCTCCTGACAGAGTGAGCAAAAGCAAGTTGGAAGGGGGGGCTGGGCAGCAGCCCCCCCAGCCAGGAAAGAGGGGCCTCCTCCTTCCCAGTCCTGGCTGCTTCCACCTCAGCTCCAGCAGACGGGCACTGGGGAAGGCTCTTTGGGAAAGCAGGGGGTGGGCAGCGGAGGCCTTCAGGGAGGGGGCAGGAGACCCCATCCTGGGGAAGCTACGGAGGCTGCAGGCCAGAGGGGAGGGAGCTGTGGTGGGTCAGCCCAGCCACATCCCAGCGGGGCTGAAGATGCCCAATGCTGAAGAAGGCGCCTCTCCAGGGGCACAACAGCAGAGCTGCGCCCCCTACCTGCATGCCCGGGGGCGGAGGATCTCTCCGGACGACCATCCTCAGCTCCTGCGTGTTGGAGAGCAGCGCCGTCACGGCCTCCTGGTGCGTGGCGTGTCGGAGGCCAATGCCGTTCACCTCCAGGATCCGGTCTCCCACCCGCAGCCCACTGCGAGAGGCCAGGCCACGAGGAATCACCTGCCAAGGCAGCGCAGAAGAGGTGGGAAAGAGCCCTGCCTGCGGCCTGGGGGGGCAAGCTGGCAGTGTCCCCAACACCTGCAGCCAGACGGGCACTTGGCCTGGCCGAGAGGCTGAAGATGTCCGCCCCCCGCCCCCCAGAGGCACTTCTGTATGCTGATACACATATATCTCTCTTCCTTTTGGTCTGACGTGGCTGCTGTCCCTATCCACTTTTCACAGGCAAAATCCTCAATGGTTGCAGAGGTCCGTGTACTTTTAAATCACATTCCTGTTATGGGGATTAATGGAAGGCCAACAAACGTGGACTTTGCAAGCTCTTCTAGTGCTAACAGCCTGCCCACCCCCCAGAAAAACTATTATACAACAGTCTGAGGGCCTGGCTGTCTCTTGGCCACTTCTGAATGCATTCCCTATCAACGCCCATCTCAGAGGAGGCTCTCTCTGCGCCCCTGGGGGGCCTGCAGTCCACTTTTGTGTTTCATTTGAGATGGCTGCACTGAGGGGTGCTAGAACCCCTAATGGGCGGGCTGGTTCTTTCCCTGTTCTTCCTTGTTAAAATTTGCTACTAAAAATAATTTAATGAAAACAGGGGGCTCTGAGCAGAGAAAGTGGAGAATTGGGGGGGGGGCTTCCTTGCTCTTTGGGCCTCCAAGGGGGGCTCTGGAGCACACGGAATGGCAAGATTTGCAGAGTCAACGGGTTGTGTAGTAACTCCTAGGCTTCCCAACCACGGTGTTCTCAGGGGAGGGCTCCACACACAGCCCTGCAAACCTCTACCTTGGAAATGAAGACCCCCGGCTCATGGATCCCAAAGGGGTGGCTGGAGTGGTCGCTGCCGCCCACAATGCTGAGCCCCAGCGGCCCCCCCGCTTTGACCAGGATCACCTCCTGCGGGCAGAAAGCAAGAAAGCCAAGCCAGGGTCAAGAGAGGGCCTCATGGAGGAGCAGATGCCGGGACCCGACTCCAGGCCAGGGGGAGAAAGAGGCTGGAGGGACCCACATCCAAAGGGGAGCTGGCAAAAACCAGGGTGACCAGGGCACTTCCCAGGGTGGGCAGGGGCCAGACAGGAGGGGCTCCCCATGCCAGCAGCTTCCCACGGGGACAGACAGACAGACAGTGCCCCCATGCCCTTCGCCTACCTCCGTGGGGTACTGGCTCTCCAGGCTCTGGGCGGGGTGGCTCCTGTGGGGCAGGAGCGTCTCCTCAGGTGGGCTCTCCCCGCGGGTGGGGGTCGGTGGTGGCGGAGAGTGTGCCCGCTGTGCCCGCTGCCCCAAGGGCAGGTCTTCCTCGCTGGGCTGGGTGGCGGTGGGGGGGGCAGCGGGCACAGCATCTCTCTCTACCAGCAGCGCAATGGTGGGGGAGGCGGCGGTAAGCAGCGCTACGGCCTGATCATGCCTGGCTTCCGTCATGTCCACCCCATTGATCTAGAACGGCCCCAAACCAGCGTCAAAGGGGGAGGCAGGGAGGGCATGCACACAGGGCCCCCAATCCCAGGCCTGGGACCAGAGGCAAGGACCCCAGCCTCGGCAGGCGGAAGGGGGCTGGGAGGGCAAGGCGTGTTCTCCCTCCCCCCGATCAAGGCAAACAGCAGCTCAGGACAGGGGGCCAAGGAGCGCAAGCTCTTTTCCTGCCCTCGTCCCCAAAGAAAGGGGGGGGGAGAAGAGGTGTGGGGCAAAGTGTACATCACCCAGCAGAGGGCAGAGGAGAGAGAGGGAGGGAGGCAGACAGACAGGCAGACGGAAGCCAGCACTGACGAGGCCGTCTCGGGGCTTACCCCCCCATCCTCTCTCATCATGGCTGCTGAGCAGAGATCGGCTGCGCCTCGGGAGGAGGCAGAGAAACAGGCCACAAGGAGGAAGAGGAAGAGGAGCAGCAGGAGAGGGAGGGGAGGGAGGGAAAGAGCTTCAGAACAAAATGGCTGGCCCCCCACCTGCCGTGCCCACCCACCCGGAGTTCCAGAAAGGTGACTCCAACATCACCCCCTCCAAAACACAGCCCACTTCCCCCCTGGCTAGACTCAGCCCCACCCTGAACGGGCAAGCAGGGGGCAGGGGGGACCCCAGAGCCCCCTGGAGGAACCTTGCCTGGTCCTCAGGAAGCCCCCCCCCCAAGAGAGTCCACTCACCAAGATGACCCTGTCGCCCACACAGAGGGTCCCGTCCCGATGGGCTGCGCCCCCCTCTGCAATCCGAGAGATGAAGATCCCCTGGGGGGAAAGGAAAGTCAGGGCCCCTCCCTACAGAGCCCCCTGCTCCTCTGTCACCAGGCAAGGCAAGGGCCCCTCTGTCCCTCCGTCCCGGGAGCATGAAGTGCCCCCGTCAGCGAGGAGCCAGGAATAAGCGCAGAGGCCGGGATCGGGTGTCGCCGAAGCCCCTGCCAGGCGGCTGCCGGCCAGAGAGAGGCGGTCCCCCTCCCTCCCTCCCTCCCTCCCCTCCTCACCGTGTCCCCCGGCCGGTAGGGTGTGGAGCCCTTGCCGCCAGCGATGCTGAATCCCAGTCCCCGCTCGTTGCGCATGAGGCAGGTGGAGAGGCGCTCCGTCAGGGGGGCTCCCTCAGGCCTCTCTGGGAAGCGCAGGCCCACCCCCCGCCGCTCCCGGGGGCTGTAGTCGTCCTCCGGCCGCAGGGGGGTCACCGTGACGGCGTTCTCCGGCTCCACCATCCTCTCCCGCAGAACTGTCATGGAGACCGTGGTGCCCGAGCCACGCAGAGCCTCCACCGCCACATGGTGCTCCGCGCACTGCAGAGGCACCCCGTTCACCTGCCGGGGGCGCAAAAGAGGGGGCTGGCTCAGGCAAGCGCCCGGCCAGAGACCGGCTGCAGAGGGCCCCCCGGCCCCCCCCAGAGAGCCCCAAGGGGAGCCTGGCACTCCTTTGGTAGGCAGGCAGGCAGCCCCCTCCCATGGCAGTCTGGCAAGGGCCATCTTCTCCTCCCCCTCTGCAGGGCAACGCAGAAGCAAATGCCCACCTAGAGCTGCGAGGGAGCCTGGGCTGCTGCTGGCAATTCCAGCATGTACTTATTCTGACTGGTGACTCAGGCCCCAGGCAGGCAGGCAGAGACCAGCCACGGGCAGGAGGCCAAGGGAGACGCCATGGGACCTGGGGGGCAGCTTGGCCTGGAAGGGGCTGAGCAAGGCCTTCTACACCCAGGACAGGGCCTGCCAAAAAGGGGATGGCAGGAGGGAGCAGCTGGCCCTGGGTTTATGCAGATGTCTCCTCCCCAACCCACCTAAGGGGGCTCAACGACTCACCTCCAGGAGCTTGTCCCCCACCCGCACCCCTGCCTGGGCAGCCGGACCCTCCTCAGAGACGCGGGAGATGAAGATGCCCTGCAAAGAGAGGGGAGCAGTCAGGGGGGGCTTCCTGGGCAGTGGCAGCTCAGCAGCCTGACTCGGCCCCCCAAGTCAGCCACTCCAGCCAAAACGGCCACTCCTTTCCCTGCCCCACAGCTGCCCCAGGTCAAGGGGACCCCCAAACCCCAAGTGGAAAGCCTCCCTGTTGCAGCTGCCCGTACCTCATCGTCTCCCTTGTAGGGGGTGGAGCCTTTGCCCCCCGCAATGCTGATGCCCAGCCCCCCCGTCTGCCGCACAATGCTCAGGGTCAGCTGGAAGCAAAAGGGGGCAAGGTTAGGGGAGACACAGCAGCAAAGACATACGGAACGAGGGGGGCACCATGGACCAGGGTCTGAGCCCATAATGAGGGGTGAGGAAGCAGCCCCCCAAGCATCTCCTTTGGGTGCCCACAAGACCTGCAATCCACCCCTGGACCAAGCGGCCAATTCACCACCAGGGCCACCTATGTGGGAGGGGGCTCCCATACGTCTCACCAGATCCCAGGCCCCCTGAAATATCTCCCACTGCCAGCCACTCACCCCCACCCTCCCTTGCCTGAAGAGGAGAAATCTGTGTCTGTCTTGCAGCGCAAGGCCAACAGAGACCCTCAGGGGGCCCATCACCCAGGACAGGCCTGAGATGCTCTTGCTTTTCTCCACCCCACCAGCTCTGCTACGTGGGGGGGGGGGGGTCCCTTGCTTTTGCCAAGGAAAGGCCACAGAGCAAGTGCTCAGGCCCCAGGAGAGCCGGGGGGGGGGGTAATGCCAAAGCCGTCCGGCTAGCGTGGCAGAGCCTTGTGCAAAGAGGGTTGGGGGAAGCCTCTGGCCACATTCTGGGCAGGCAAGAGGCGTGAGCAGAGGTCCAGCAGGCCAAAAGCTCATGGAGGGAGCCAAGCAGGGTATGTGCGTGTGCCCCTATGGCAGGGGGTGCACAGGGGAGAAAAAGGCCCTGGAGGCGTCTGAGCCCCCCCCCCCTCAAGCAGAGGGGCATGGGGGCCGAGAGGCGGCCTCAGGGGACAGAGCAGCAGCAGTCAGGCATTTGCCAAACCTGCCAGAGCCAAGCTGGGCTGACTTTAGCAGCCCAAAGTGCTCAGGGGAGATGGGGCCCAGTGGCAGCTCTGCCTCCTCTAGCGGGGACCCTGAAGACCCCCTGGAAAGGGAGGCCCTGGTGCAAGGCATCTCCCCACCCCCAGCCCCCTCCTCTCTGGGGAGCTCAGGGGCCCTGGCTGCGCTGAGGCTGCTCTGCTGAGGAGAAGCAGCTGTGGAGTCTCTTTCTGGGCTTGCCAAAGGCCTCTGGCAGGGACACCTCTATCCAGGACGGAGTGTGCCAGACACCAGCACTTTCAAGGAAAGCACCCCCCTGGGAGCACTTGGGCTGGCTCAGGGGGCTGGGAAGGCTGCCCCAGACTCCTGCTGGGGAGAAGAGAGCTCGTCTCAGGCCAAAGCACCAGTCTGCAGCCAAGATAGCCCTCAGTTGCTCCAGGTGCCAGGCTCCACAGCCAGCTGCCTCCTCTCCTCACCCTTCTCCCTCATAGGCATGGACTAAAGCCCCGCATCACCCCCCCCCCCCCAGTTCAGGTGTGGGAAGACAAGAGGGGAGGAGAGAAGCTGCCACCACAGTGCGGAGAGGGGCAGTCCCTGCAAGCCCCAGGGAAAGGGGGTGGGGGGAGAGACGTGGGGGGGAGGCAGTACAGACCTCTTCCTCCTCAATGCGAGCAGGCTCAATCAGCAGATTATTGGCTTGGTCAAACGACACCCCCTGTTAGGACAGGAACCAGCAGAGAGGCATGCGGATTAGTGGGGGGGAGGGCCGGGTGGACCGCCACCGGGTGGGGGGGGGACACAGACAGAGGGAGGGAGGGAGAGGCAGAGGGGCAGGCCCCACCCGAGCATCCAGGAGCCCCAGCACCACAGAGAGAGAGAGAGAGAGAAAGAGAGAGAGAGAGAGAGCGCTAGCTGCCCCCCAGCTGCCCCCCCAGGTCCTTACCTTGACGGAGGAGGGTGGGGCAGGTGCAGCCCCATCCTGGGCTTGGTCTCCATCCCACCTGGCCTCCTCCTCCTCCTCCTCCTCCTCTTCTTCCTCCTCCTCCACGGGGGCGGCCTCCTTCTCCTGGGGCCCCCCCTCAGCACTCAGCCCCTGCAAAAGGGCCACCACCGCCTCTGGCCGGGGCAGCTGGGCGATCCTGAAGTGCTTCTTGTAGTGGGGGGTGTCTTTGCGGATGAGCCGCTGCTTCCCTGCTGGGAACGGGTGCTCTTCCTCCGCCTCCTCTTCCTCCTCGCTGCGCACCAGTGTGTCTTCTGCAAAGTGCACCGTGGGCTGCAGGGAAAACACCCCCATGGGGGGGGGGGGCTCTCAATACAAGCAGGTCAGGCAGCCTCTTCTGCAGGTACCTATTTCCCTCCCCTCCGTAAGAAAAGACTACTGGATTGGCCCACAGGGGACCCCCAACCAGGCGCCTCTTGGGGACAGCTGCAAGCGCCACAGCCCCTCTGCCCCCTCCAGCCCCTGGCCTTCAGCAGCAGGGCTGCCTCCGGCTGGGGGGACTGAGCAGAGCCATCCTGGCTGGCAGCCCCCAGAGCCTCCTCCGGCCGGAGCCTCTTTTAAAACCCTCTAGGCTGGTGCTTTCCCTGGCTCCTGTGGGAGAGAGTTCCACAGTTGAACGATGTGCTTCGTGAAGAAGTTCTTCCTTTTATCCGTCCTGAACCTTCCAAGTCTGGCTTCACTGGATGTCCCCCAGTTCCAGTGTAGTGAGAGGGAGGAAAACTGCCCTCTCTCCATTTCTCCATTCCAGACCTGTTTTCATAAACGTCTACCATGGCACCTCTGATTTGCCTTTTCATGGGAGAATTGCTTCACCGCCCCCCCCGATCCTTGGGGTGCCCCTTTCTGACCTTTGCCATCTCTACAATATCCCTTTTGAGGTGAGCTGACCAGAGCTGTGTCCGCCTGGGTGTGTTGGGGCGGCTGGGAGCCCTCTTGCTCTCTGGGGCAAAGGCCTGGCAAGGCTTCTCACGTGGCTGCCAGCTCTCTGTTATTGCAAGGCCTGCCATCTTTGCTGGACTCTTCTGCACACAAATTTGGGGGTCTGCCAAACAGGCAAGCCTCTCCCTTCTGAAGAGAGCAGGGGAGCCCAAGGAGCCCTCATTAAGCCGTCCTGCCCCTTGCAGGGCTGAGGTGCAGATTTAAAAACAGCACACACCCCATTTCTACTGAGCTCAGCCTGCTCTGAGTGCCCTGGGGGAGCCACAGCGGGAAGGCCCCTGGGGGAGAGGGAGGTCCACACTTCTGCCATTAAACAAACCTGAGGAACAGAGAGAGCCTTAATCTCAAATCCCAGAGATTAGTTTCCTACCATGGGTCAGGCCAAAGGGCCCCCCTCTAGTCCAGCCAGCCAGGTGCCCCCTACGCAGCCCCCCCCCCCGTACCAGCATTCAGAATGAGACAGTCCCAACGGCGGAGGCAGAACAAAGCGGCTTTGCTGAGCCAATTCACGGAGAAGAGGGTTCTCAATGGCTCCTGGCCAGGATGGCTTGCTCTGCCTCCATGGGCAGAGGCAGCAATGGGCCTGAATGCCTCTGGCTGCGGCGAGAACTGCTCTTGCGCTCGACTCTGGTTCACTGGCTTCCCATAATGGGCAGCTGACTGGCCACTGTGAGAGCAGGACGAGATGGGCCCCTGGCCTGGTCCAGCAGGTCCTTATTATGGTCTTACTAGCCCGACCCTCCTGCAATGACAAGCTCCATTGTTCAGCTGTGCACCCTGCGCAGCCTCCCAGGGACGCAAGACCCTGCTGCTGCAGGACACAGGAAAGGCCTCTGAAGGACGCAGATCCCACAGGGGCCACATGGAACCTCCACATCCTGAAGAAGGAGTGTCTGGGGGAAGCCACTGGGCAGGTGAAGTTCTGTCCTTTGAGGAGGGTCTTCAGCCTGGCCCAGTGGGGCTCTCCTTTCACTTTCCCAACCTGCTTTCTGGTGCTGACCAGCCCCTGCACAACCTCTCTGGGGGTCTCCTCATCAGCACCACCAGGTGTACTCCATCACCTGCTCTGCCTTGTGCTAACAGATTTTCCTCAGTTAAGTTTCTTTTGAAACTGCAGGTGCAACACCCTTAAATGAAGCCCCCAAGCACCCCCCCTCGATCCTCTTGGGATCCTCTGCTCCAAGGCAGCGCTCAAAGCCCCCTCCCAGGGAGCTGGCCTGGGCTGCGGCCAAGCCTGTTTCAAGCAGCCCAGGGCTAACAGCAGGTGGGGCATCTCCAGGGGACCTGGGCAGCCCCAAGCACCAGGCAGCAAGGGTTGCCCTCTGGTCTTACTCCACCACATCCAATGCATCTGGCTTGGATTATTATTTTTTATGTCTTAAATATGTTTTTATTGCCTAATCACTTGTTTGCCACTGTGGGTCCTACATTAAAACTGGTTTAAATTAAACTGAGGAGTTTTTATTGCACATAAGTATTCACAAAGGCAGCAAGACACTCCTCTGCGGCCCCTGGCCCAACATGTGAAATGAATCCAGAGTGCAAGGCTTTCCGTGGCTCCTTTGACCCCCCCCCCTTCCGCCTCTTTGCTCTGGCTATTTGGACACAGCAAAACAGGGTTCATAGAACTGAAGGGTTGGAAGGAACCCCAAGGCTCATCCAATCCAGCCCCTTGCAGTGCAAAACACTCATAAGCAAGAAAAATGCCTTGCCACTGAATTCACACAGCAAAAACATTTAATGAGGGTCCTCCATACACAACCAAGTGAAAGAAAAATTCCTCAACGTGGCAGCAACATGCCCAACGAGTGATGATGCCACCCCCTGCCACCTTCTGTGTAGAACAGAACCCCATCCATTGACCTGGCCTCCCCAGCCCCTAAGAAGCTGAGTCCCTTCATGGTGCCAACAGCCTTCCAGTTCCCCAGGAGGGGTCCTGGATGTGCCCTTCACCAGGCAAGAGGCGGGCAGATCTCCCTCCCCCAGCCCCTTGGCCAAAGGCTGCCCTGTGGGACAAATGGGGCTGCAGGGACCTAGGGAACACGCCTGCCCCCACTTCCTAACATGGCCACCAACACCATGGCATCCTTGGGCAGCCCCCCCCCATCCTCTCACAGCCCAGCAGGGTCTCTCTTCTTCCCTCCCTCAGCCGGGCTCAGCTCCCCACTCCCTGCTGCTGCTTCCCAGAACAAGGCAGGGTCTGACTTTGGCCCAAGATGTTGCCACAGAAGAAGCTCCCAGAGGCTCACTGTACCTCATTGTACTCCAGCTCCTCCTCCTCCTCAGGGCCAGCTGGGGCTTCCTCCACAGCCACCCCGGCCTCCTGCTGTTGCCGCCGCCGCCGCCAGCCTTCCTGCTCCTGCTCCTCCTCCTCCTGCCCCTCAGGGGCCCTCACTGCCTCTTCTGGCCTTGAGGCCTCCCGCACGTGCTTCGCTGCTGCTGCTGCCACCGCCGCCTCCTGGCAGCTGGCAGAGATGGTGCTGCTGGAGACCCGTGAGTCTTCACTGCGGTTGGAGGTGGCACTCAGCCTCTTCTCCTGAGGGGCAGGATGCGGAATGAGTCAGCGAGGGCACAAGACAGCTGCACTGCCTGGCACCCAGCGCCTGAGCCCCTGTGCAGGATGGGCCTGCCGCCCCAAAGGCCACAGCTGGGCCAGGTCAGGCCACCCCCTTGCCCCATTCAGAGCCCTCCAGCCCTAGATGGGCCTGCAGCAAGTCTGCAGAAGGGGCTCATGTCACCAGCTCCACCACTGCAAACCTGAGCCCGGTCTTGGCTGGGGAGGGTGGGGTATAAATAAAAATTTATTATTATTATTATTATTAAACCTCCCTCTGAGGAAGCCTTGTCCAGGCCCACTGCCCGGTCCCGCTCTGTGCCTCCCTCTCCCCCTCCTGCAACATTTTATATGATGGACACTGCCCAGAGCCCACCCCACGCCCCCTCACCTCTGAACTGGAAGAATCCCGCTGGGTGTCCAGTTTGGCAGCAGATGCCTCGCTGCGGCGCCCTTCCATCACCTTCTTCATGGACTTCAGCTCACTTGGGTGGGGAGTTGCCCTTCGCTGCAGGCCCTGTGAGCAGGAGCGGGGTTAGAGGTGGGGAAAACTCCCCCACCACCTACAGGCCCCCAAGCAACTGCAGAGGCCAGGCTCAGCTGCAGCGACAGGGCAAACACAGGACAGAGGTGTCGGCGCGCACTTGCCCTCCTCCCCCATTTCCCAGCTCTGCTCCCAGGAGGACCCACACAAGGCAGGAGCACCGGCCCAGCCAGCCTGACAGGCCAAGAGCAGCCCTGCAGCCCCCCACGCCCACTGCGGGCTCCAGAAGGACAGGGCAGGTGATGGGCACCCCCAGCTCCCAACCCCACAGCCACATCTGACAGCCCAATCCAGGCTTGGGGAGGACAGTCCTTCAGCAGGGAAACGGCCCCCATCTCCGCCCACTTACCCTCCTCTCGGCCCCCGGCTCCTCATCCTCATCCAACTTGGGCTCATCCACAAACTGGATCACGCTGACGCGGTTGAGGTTGGTGTCCATCCAGCTGTCGTCCAGGCTGTTCTGCAGGTTCTCTGCGGGAGGAGAGCAGAGTCAGGGATCCTGTTGCAGGCGGGACGGCCCCAGCCAGGAGGGTCTCCACCCAGCCCAGGCAAGAAGCCCCCCACTAGAGCAAGCCTGGCCGGGGGGTGGGGCAGGGAGCAGCATTTACCCAGGCTGGGCGACGGCTGCTGTGGGAGGAGGTAGCAGGTGAGCACTTTCTCCCCGGTCTTCTCGTCATCCTCCGCCTGGAACTTGAGCATCGGCTGCGACTGGTTCTCTGCCAGCCAGAGCGCCTTCAGGTTGAGATTGGTCAGGGCAAAGGGCAGGTGCTGCAGCCTGAGCCAGAAGGAGGAAGGGAAGAAGGATGAGGTCCCCTACCAAGAAGGCCCAGGCCCAGCCCTCCAAAGGGCTCACGGGAACCTGGCCCAGCCCCCTCTCTCCCTCTGCGCCTGCTTCCTTCCAAGGGACCCTGCACTGAGCCCACCGTGCAAGATCCAGAGAAGAGTCTGCAAAAGGGAGAGGACCACAAGAGGAGCCATCTCTTTCTAAGCCACCTTTCAAGACAACAGGTTTCCAGCAACATGCAATTTCATTTCGCCTGGCACCTTCATTCTACACCTTCAGGCGCCAGGCAAAAACATTACATTTTAACCAGGCCTTTGGTTGATTTGATTGACATCCTATGCCCTTTTAAAATGTGAGGGTTTTGTGGGGGGGGGAGGGATTGGTTTGTTGTTGTTTTGATTATGTATTTTGTGGTTTTATATTGTGATTTTATTCTGTGAACAGCTCTGAGACCTTTGGTTTTAGGGCGGTATATAAATTCAATAAATGAGTAAAATAAAACAAAATTCTAACTAACGCTACCATCACAAATAGAACAACCACTTTAAAGTAAAGCAACCACAGTAAAATACGATTCAAGACACAAGGCTAGACTGTTGACTATCCATGCGTTTCTTGAGACTCTCAAGGGAGGTTAGTGAGAGGAGACTTAACTTTACAGAAAGAAGCCTTCCTGACTCTGCTTCCAGAAGAACTGATTTTCTATACATTGAAGGATTATATCCAGTACATTTCCACCAGTATTCCTGGCAGATATGTTAGGCTAACCAATCTGTAATACCCCAGAGCCCCTCTTTTTTCCTTAACCCCCCCCCCCCAAGAGGTGTTGCTACACTGGCTACTTTCCAGCCCTCATGTGTGGAGGCTGATCTGAGGGCCAAGTTCCTTTTTACCATTAGCAAACCAGCAATTTCACATTTGAGCTCTTGAGCAATGGCACAGTGAATTGAAAAGGTCTATTTAAAGACTATTTACAGAAATATTGCAAAATTAAAGAATGTTAGAGTGATGTTGGATTGAAATTAAGTGGCTTCTAGCTGTACAGGCTTTAAAGTTATTGGAAAATTGGTTTTTAATAGATTAAAATTTAATGTTATATTATAGTAAGATTAAGGATGGGATTAAAAAGGAGGGAAAGGAATTACTGGACAAACAAATTGAACTGGAATACAAAAGAGGGAGGTATGAGGAGTAAATAAGTAAATGTAAAAGTTGTGTGAAAAGACGGAATTGTTTTTAACTGTTTTTTCTTTTTTTCTTTTCCTATTTTGTATTTCGTACTTTGTATGGTGTTTTTTCTTTCTATTTTTAAATTTTTTTCCCCTTTATTAAGATTTTTTTTTCATGTGAAACTCCAATAAATATCATTTAAAAAAAATAAAAATGAAAAGGTCTGACTCAGCTTAAGAACTACCGCCCCATATCATTACTTAATGTGGATTACAAAATTTTTGCAGACATTTTGGCCAAGAGATTGAAAAAAGTATTGATGGAAGAGATTCATAATGACCAAGCGGGCTTTCTCCCGGGAAGACACTCGTCCGATAATTTGAGGAATATAATTGATATTTTGGAAAAACTAGAAGTGAACATAAATACTAAAGCAGTTTTGATATTCGTGGACGCGGAGAAAGCTTTTGATAATATCTCTTGGAGTTTTATGAAGAAGACCCTACAGGGGATGGGGGTAGGCCAAGGCTTTGAAAACGGTATAAGTGCAATTTATTCAGAACAAAAGGCTAAACTAATAGTAAATAATGTGGTGACGGAAGAATTTAGGATAGAAAAAGGGACAAGACAAGGTTGCCCAATCTCCCCATTGCTTTTTATATCGGTCCTGGAGGTTCTGCTGAATATGATTAGAAGGGACCAGTTGGTTAAAGGTATACAGGTCGGAGCCAAACAGTACAAATTGAGAGCATTTGCAGATGACTTAGTATTGACGTTACAGGAGCCAGAATCTAGTACTAAAAGAGTTTTAGAACTGATTCAAGAATTTGGTCAAGTTGCAGGATTTAAACTGAATAAGTTAAAGACCAAGATTCTAGAGAAAAATTTAACACCAATGGAGAGAGAGAGGTTTCAGAATGAAACAGGTTTAACAGTGGTTAAGAAAGTTAAATACTTGGGGATTAACATGACAGCAAAAAATGGGAATTTATTTAAAGACAATTATGAAAAATGCTGGGCTGAAGTGAAAAAAGATTTAGAAATTTGGTCAAATTTGAAGCTTTCACTGCTGGGCCGTATTGCTGCGGTAAAAATGAATGTATTGCCTAGAATGTTGTTTTTGTTTCGAACATTGCAAATTGTGGACAAAATGGACTGTTTCAAGAGGTGGCAGAGAGATATTTCCAGATTTGTCTGGCAGGGCAAGAAGCCTAGAATAAAATTTAAAATATTAACAGATGCAAAGGAAAGAGGTGGATTTGCCCTGCCAGACTTTAAACTTTACTATGAATCAGCAGCTTTTTGCTGGTTGAAAGAATGGTTGCTTCTTGAAAACACTGACATTTTGGATCTAGAAGGTTTTAACAATGTATTTGGATGGCATGCATATCTGTGGTATGATAAGGTCAAAGCACATAAAGCATTTAAAAACCATATTGTCAGGAAAGCATTGTTTAATGTCTGGATAAGATACAAGGACTTATTGGAAAATAAAACCCCAAGGTGGTTGTCACCGATGGAAGCAAAAGCTCTGAAAAAGCTCAATATGGAGGCCAAATGGCCGAAATATTGGGAAATTCTGGAACAAGATGGAGATAGACATTATGTTTGCTGACTGGGAACAGTTGTGGACCACAGGTATGAAATTTACGGCATGTAATGCCTTAAGAGAGAATATTATGAAAATGATATACAGGTGGTACATAACCCCAGTCAAGCTTGCAAAAATCTATCACTTGCCCGATAATAAATGTTGGAAATGTAAAGAAACTGAAGGTACATTTTTCACCTTTGGTGGACGTGCCCAAAGATTAAGGCTTTCTGGGAAATGATATATAATGAATTAAAAAGGTATTTAAATATACGTTCCCTAAGAAACCAGAGGCCTTTCTCCTGGGCATAGTCGGCCAAATGGTGTTAAAAAAGGATAGAACTTTCTTTATGTATGCAACAACAGCAGCAAGAATACTTATCGCAAAGTATTGGAAGACACAAGAACTTCCCACGCTGGAGGAATGGCAGATGAAACTGATGGACTATATGGAACTGGCGCAAATGACTGGCAGAATCCGTGACCAGGGAGAAGAGGCGATGGAAGAAGATTGGAAAAAATTCAAAGACTACTTACAGAAATATTGCAAAATTAAGGAATGTTAGAGTGATGTTGGATTGAAAATAAGTGGTTTCCAGCTGTACAGGATAAAATTATAAGACAGACTAAGATTAAAGATCAGGATTAAAGAAGTTTAAGGAAATGGAAATTTGGTACTTAAGAGGTAAAATTTTAATGCTATATTACATCAAGATTAAAGATTAGGAGTAAATAAGTTAAAGGAAAGGGAAATTTGGTACTTAAGAGGTAAATTTTTTATGCTATATTACACTAAGAATAAAGATTGGGGTTAAAAAGGTGGAAAAGAAATTGCTGGAGGAACAATTTGGACTGGAATACAAAAGAGGGAGGTATGAGGAAGTCCAGAAAATAAGTAAATTTAAAAAAGGGAAATGAAAAAGTGATATTGTTTTTAATTGTTCTGTTTCTTTTTTGTTGTTGTTGTTGTTTGTTTTTGTTTTCTTTTTTTGGAATTTGTATTGCGTATTTGTGTATTTCTTTTTTATGTTTTTTCTGTTCAACTTTTTATTGAAACTTTAATAAAAATTATTAAAAAAAAAAAAGAAATTGCAGAGTTTTGAGAAATTAAAAAACAAAGTGCGAGACTGGCTTCATTATTACCAGATAATGGAGGCATACAATTTGGACAAGAAAATTGGCTTCCAGGTGGAAAAATCAAAATTAGAAACAGAACTGTTAGAACCCAAAACTAAGATTTTGTCAAAAATGTATAACTTGCTGTTGAAATGGAATACTCAGGATGAAACGGTGAAACCTGCTATGATTAAATGGGCACAAGATGTTGGACATAACATAATGATGGCTGACTGGGAACAGTTATGGACCACAGGTATGAAGTTTACGGCATGTAATGCCCTAAGAGAGAATATTATGAAAATGATATACAGGTGGTACATGACAGTCAAGCTTGCAAAAATTTATCATTTGCCTGATAATAAATGCTGGAAATGTAAAGAAACTGAAGGTACATTTTTTCACCTTTGGTGGACGTGCCGAAGGATTAAGGCTTTCTGGGAGATGATACATAATGAATTGAAAAAGGTATTTAAATATACCTTCTTGAAGAAACCAGAGGCCTTTCTCCTAGGCATAGTCGGCCAATTGGTGCTAAAGAAGGACAGAACTTTTTTTATGTACGCCACAACAGCAGCAAGAATACTCATTGCAAAGTATTGGAAGACACAAGATCTACCCACTCTGGAAGAATGGCAGATGAAGCTGATGGACTATATGGAATTGGCGGAAATGACTGGCAGAATCCGAGACCAGGGAGAAGAGTCGGTGGAAGAAGATTGGAAGAAATTCAAAGACTACCTACAGAAATATTGTAAAATTAATGAATGTTAGAATGATGTTGGATAGAAATTAAGTGGCTTCCAGCTGTAATGCTTTAAGGGAATATGAAAAATGGGTTGTTAATAGGTAAAAATCTAATGTTACTATTTTAAGACCAAAGATTAGGATAAACAAAGAGGGTAAGGATTTGCTGAACCAACAAATTGAACTGGAATACAAAAAAGGGAGGTATGAGGAGGTCCGAGAAACAAGCTAAGGAAAAATAAGTAATGGAAAAATTGAGTGGTTTTTTATCATTTTTATTTTGTATTTTGTATTTTTCTTTCTTTTTTTTCTTTTTTGTCATTTTTATATTGTAATGTTTGGAAAATCTCAATAAATATCTTATAAAAAGAAAAAGAAAAGGTCTGGCTGGTGAGTTCTTGAAAGGCAAAATGGGACTTCTGGGAGACTGCTCAGTACTTGCCAAGACCAGCAAAAGCAGAATCAGGACAAGAGAAAAACAGCCCTCCGCCACACACACACACACACACACGGGAGAGGAAGAGAGGATCTTCTGCATGGCCATTGACTCTGCTCGCACCTCCTCCTGTGCAACTGCAGAGTCCAGCTAGCATCTGGCCAAGGAGCCCACAGGTGAAGCAAACCCCAGAGCAGAGGCCCCAAAGAGACATCTCTCTGCACACCTTCAGGGTGCCCCCCCTGCCAAGAGGGGAGGGGGGACTCTGAGGCTGTGGGACCCAACTTGTGCAGCTGTTTCGTCAGTGAGGCATGCCTGCTTATCGCCTTTCTGGCACCTGGCAAAGTTTTCCATTTGCCCTGGCCTTTGAGTTCTGATAATACTTTATGACCGATCTTTGTATTGTAGGTGAGAGATGGGGTGGAAATTGTGGGTGGAATTCAGTGGGGCTCTGGGACCAGCATTTGTGCAGCACAAGCGCTGCTGCCCCTCTTGCCCCAGCCCCCTGAGCCCACTGGTAGGTGGGGCAGAGGGAGAGGAGAGGGCATGCAAGGTTATTCACAAGGGAACAGGCTGAAGGAATGGAAGTTCTGGACACTTAAAATCTCTTTCCCCCTATAGCAGGAGTAGGGAACATTCCGGGGGGTGAGGGGAGGCCCCAGACGCTGTGGGTCTCCTGCCCCCAGCATGGCCCGTCAGGGATGATGCTGAGGGTGATGGTGATGCAGCCGAGGCCTCAAGGGCCTGCTCCCCCCGGGGCCTGCTTCCCCCCAGGCCTGGCCACAGAGCTGCAGAGCTTCCTCTCTGTCCCAGCCCAAGGCACCGAGGCGCAGCTGAGAGCCCAGAGGCCCAGCACACCCAGCGCACTCGCTCACCTGTTGCCAGCCACGTCCAGCACGTGCAGCTCCACGGTGCCGGCCAGCTCAGGAGGCAGGAACTCCAGGCAGTTGTCCCGCAGGGAGAGCACGCTGAGGCTGCTGCAGCCCCCAATCTCGGGGGGAAGCGCCATCAGCCGGTTCCGGTCCACATTCAGGTTGGTCAGCTTGGTGAGCTTCCCCAGCGCCTTGGGCAGCACCTGAGAAAAAGCCTCCGGAGTCAGAGAGGGGAATCCCAGCTCACATGGCACCCAAGGAACACCAGCTGCCCCTGGGGCCACCCCCGGCCAAGACCCCAGGGAGAAAAGCCAGTGGACCAGGCGAGGGCTGAGCACACTCACCGTCAGCATGTTCTCTGTCAGGATGAGCTCTGAGAGGTTTTCACAGTCCCCAATGGCCTCCGTCACCTCCCCCAGCCGGTTCTGGTCCACTTTCAGGATGGAGAGCTGCTTCAGCTGGCCTGGGCAAAGGGCAAGAGCGCCATGGGCCACACACACACACACACACACACACCCCAGACAAGGAGCAGGGGGAGGTCCAGGCACAGATCCAAATCCAGCTTCCCACTGGCACATCCCAAACAATTCTGCATACCAACTGGTTATTCTAACATTTGCTAACAGCTAATCACTTCTAACAGCTTTAGCAAAAGTGACGCGGTGTGCTGCTTGCCAAAGAGAGAACCCGACACCTTTTGCACGAGTTAGAAACCAGGGGAGGCCCAGCAGTGCCTGGGGAGGGCAGCGTCTCTCCAGCAGATGAGGAGAAAAGGCCCCCTGAGGAAGTCTCAGAGTACTGAAGGAGGACGCAGGATCACCCAGGCTGGTCTGCCAAAGGGGTCTCTCTGCTGACAGTGACTCTTCTGCAAGAGCAGCCCCCCCCCCCCGCTTCTCTTTTAGTCTCCTCTGCACTGTCTCTCCCCACTCCCCAGTCATTCCATTGGTGGGAGCCAAATCATCAGCTGAGCAACATCACTGGGTGCAACGCAAAGGGAGAACATTGGGTGGTCTCAATGCTGGATGGTGCCTCCTCCAGGCAGGGCCTAGCACAGTGGGGGGGCTTGCCAACCCCAGGTCCACAGGATCCACCCAATAACCACCTGGCACGTGGCCTCCCATGCCAGACGTGTAATCCTGAGCCTCAAAGACAGGTACCGTATTTTTCTGTGTATAAGACGACCCCCTTTTTTTTTTAACCCAAAATTAAGTTGCTTAACTTTTTTGGGGGGTGGGGGAGGTCACTTCCACCAATCGCTCACCCGCCTGCCCGCCACTGCCGATCACTTGCCACAGCCACTGCCAATCGCACACCTCACCGCAGCTGCCAATTGTCTGCCTGCTCGCTGCCATCAACAGCCCACCTGCCCACTTGCTGCAGCCGCCAATCACCTGCCCAACTGCCAATCTCCTGCTTGCTGCTGCCATTAATTGCACATCCCCCCTCTGCATTCACTATCCATGTATAAGACAACACCCAATTTTCGCCCACATTTTTTTTAAGCAAAAAGCATCATCTTATACATGGGAAAATACGGTATGTTCCTCCTGCTACCTCAACTACTGAGAAGCGTAGCCAGCCAGGTTTAAAGAGAAAAGCAACCTGCTGCGCCTGAGCTGCTTTTTGTTTCCTGAGTCAGATTTGTCTGCCCTCTCCCCACAGCACCCCACCCAAGAGTAGGTAACTCTTCCCATGTTCCCCAGGAGGTGCCCACTTCCCAATGGGGCCTCCCCCCCCCCCGTGGCCCCACAACCACCCGACTCACCAATCCCATCCGGAATGGACTCCAGCAGGTTCTGCGAGAGCAGCAGGTCTGTCAGGGCCACCAGCCCACTGACCTCGCCCGGCAGCTGCTCCAGCTTGTTCTCAGAAACATCCAGGCACACCAGGCGGCGCAGATTGCCCAGCTCCTGCGAGGGAAGACCGGCAGGGTGGGCGGCGGAGTCCTGCAAGGACTGATAGATGCCTGCCCCGCGGGGCCCTTCCTCTCCCCCTCCCCAAGGGCCCAGCTAGGCTCCTCCAGCCTGTCTGCTGCCTCCCTGTCTTTTGCTTTGCCTAGCAAAGCCCCGTGAAAACCCTCTTTCCCACTTCTGTGGTTCTGGCTTCCTTGCCACGGCAAGACATGCAGGGAAAGCCTCCTTGAGGCCAGGGGGCCAAGGCGCTGGAGTCACTTGCAGAACGCCAGGTTCTTTTGTGTGTGGTGCCATCCACCTGCTGTCCTGCTTCCATTTTCAGGATTCACCTCAGAACGGAAGTGTTGGCTTGCTTGCTTGCCTGCTTTTCCAAGTGCCTTTTAGGACAGCAAAGACAACCCCCCCAACCCAGAATATGGCCCGGCCAGGGGCTTGGTGGGGGCACTCACTGGGGGCAGCGACGACAGCTGGTTCCTGTCCAGCCACAGCTCCCGCAGATTCGGCAGCGCGCCCAGTGTGTCCGGCTGCGGATGAGACAGAGCAAGCGGTCACTCAGGAGGGCGGCTGCTCAGGACGCCCTGCTGTGCCCGGCAAAGAGGCTGCCCTCCAACTTGGGGGCCCCTCCCTGAGTTGAGGGAGGGGAGTGTCTGGTGGGAGGAGGCAGCCAGTTCACAAAAAGAAAATGAGATGAGGAGGGAACAGCAGGGTGCTTCTACAGTCCCGAGTGCAGGTGCAGGGGAAACTCCCATCCCAAGGCCATGTTCCCGCCTGGGCAACCTTCTGGGGGCCACGTGCCACTAGTGGGTGGGGCCACAGGAAAAAGCCTGCCGAGCCAAAGATGAGACTCTTCCTCCCATACCAGAGGCCACAGCAATGCCAGATCCATCTCTCTCCAGCCAAGCAAGGAGCCAAGGAAGAGCACTCGAGAAGGGAATGGAGCGTGGCATGGAGGGGCATGGCCTGGAAGAGCCCAGAGGACCAGGCAAAAGCAGCCTGGAGGGTAGCATTCAGCCCCCCAGTGGGAGGGAAGAAGGGGAGACCCAAGTTCCCACACCCCACAGCACTCACCAGGACCTCCAGGTCGTTGCCCCCAAGGTCCAGTTGCTCTAATTTGACCAGGAAGGAGAGGGAACTGCAAGGCAGAGAAGGCGTTCAGTCAGGGGGCTGGGAGTCCTGGGCACCAAGAGGGAGGGGCGGCAAAGAATCTACGCCCCCCCCCCAAAAAAAACTCCAAGAAGGTGCTGAAAGCTGGAGTGCCGAGCGATCCTCAGGCTGCCCGCTTCCAGAAGTGCTGGTCCTCCACTTAAGGGGGTCACCCACCCCCACTGCCCAGCAGAGGCAGGCAAGAAGGCAGACACCCCCCAAGGCAAACTGGGGGCCAAGCTTGCACACACTCACGCAGGGAGAGACTTGAGCAGGTTCTCGCGCAGCTCCAAGGTCACCAGGTTGGCTAAACTGCAAGAGAAAGAGGGAGGTTGGCAAAGCAGGCGGGAAGAGGCGGCCCCTCCTCTCCCCCCCCCCCAGCCAAGAACTCACTTGCCAATGTCACTGGGCAGGCTTTGCAGGGAGACATCGTTCAAGGCCAGGTGGCACAGGCTGCGCAGCTGGGTGAAGCCCTCCGGGAGCCTGGGCAGAAGCAGAAATGACAGGCCTTGGTCACTGCGCCCCATGCAGCTCGCGCCCCCCCCCCCCCAGCCTGCTCCTGCGCCACAGTCCATTCCAGCAAGACGCAAGGAGAGGCCTCCACCTGCCTGCTGCTGGTCCTGGGGAACCGGCTGGCACAGCCTGGCAGGTGGGAGCTCCAGAAGCAAGAGAGCCCCACCTTGACAGGGGAAAGGGACCAGAAGGACCCTGGGATACTCAGCGACCACAGGATAGAGATCAGCCTTTGGGGCCAAGTTCCACTGCTGCCTCCGCCACGTGCAGCGCATTCCGTGTCAGGAGACCCTCCAGCAAGGGCAGCTATGAAATTCTACTGGATCAGGCCAAAGGGGCCCATCTAATCCAGCATTCTGTTCTCACAGTGGCTAACCAGATGCCTCAATGGGAAACCAACAAGCAGGATTCCAGCCCAGAGCCCTCTTGCCAGCAGCTGGCATAAAGGCACATTGTGAGCTCCAACTGGGAGGTGGAGCAGAGCTTCTGTGCCCAGCAGCCACTGAGAGCCCTTTCCTCCTCCATGAATTTGTCCAATCCAAACTGGTGGCCTGCTGAGTGAGGGAGTTCCACAGTTTAACTCTGTGCTCTGTGAAGAATCCCCTTTCCTTTCCTTTATCTGCCCAACATTCAGCTTCACTGGATGCCCATAAGTCCCAGTATTACAAGAGAGGGAGAAAACTTTAATCTCTCAATTTTCTCCATTCCAAGCTTAATGCTATATATTTTTTCCCATATTTTAAAAAATGTAATTGCGTGTTTAACACAGAAAAAAGCCCACCCATCCCCCAATCATACAACTTTCATACCAACCACGACATACAACTAAATACCGAGTGACTTCCCTTCCACCCTTTTCCTGGTTTCTTTACTTTTCTACTAAATCGCATATTCCAAATTTTTAATCATCACATTTCTTCCTCTGTTAATTTCTATTCTGCTGGATTTACTCAAGACCTGCTATGTTATTTACCTGTTAATACCGGCTCTTAAAATATTCAATAAACATTTTTCAACCCTCCTTATATTCTTCACCATCCTTTTCTCTTATCCTACTCATTATACCTGCCAATTCTAAATAGTCAAGCTTTTAACTGCCACTCTTCCTTAGTGGGTACTGTACTCGTTCTCCACCTTTGGACCAGTGAATTTTTTAGCCACAGTGGTGGCATAGAATAATAAATTATTTTGTTTTTTAGGGACTTCTGTTGTGACAGAAGTCCAAGCGTAATTTTATAAACTTCTATCATGTCACCTCTGACTTGCCTTTTTTCTAAACTCAAAGGTCCCAAGTGCTGCAACCTTTCGCCTTTCCTTTCAGCGGAGAGGATTGTTGAACCAGGAAGACCTCTCTGCAAAAGACAGGACTGGCCCCCCATCCTCCTTTTGATCCAGTTGTCTGCCTGCCTTCAAGGAGCACTTTCTGAATCCCCCCAAGACCCAGCCAGACCAACAGAGCCTTGGACCAGGAAGGACACCAGAGCCCCCACCCCACCTTCCCACTCCCACCATACCTAGACAAGGGGTTTCCACTGAAGTCCGCGATCTCCAGGGATTTGCAGAATTTGATGCTTTCAGGAATTTCTGGAATGTCTGCAGCAAGCGGGGCACAGAAGGGGCACAGTAATGAGGCTTCACCCACAAAGGTGCCACTCCTCAAGGGATTCAGAGCAGCAAAGCCATTCCCTCCCCACTGACAGGTCTTCGAAGAGCCTCCCTGAGAAGACCTGGGTTCAAATCCCCACTCAACTCAATGAGTTACTCCAAGGGAGTGTGCTGTGAGGATCCAGATGGGCCAGCCTCACTTCCCTGCCTCCAGGTGCTTGGAGGAGGGAAGGGGGGCCTTCTCAAGAGCCACTGCTGCTGGAACGGCAGGCAAGCCTGGCCAGGCTGAAGGAAGCTTCCACAGCAAAGGCCGTCGTGAAGCACCCACAGACAGCTGCCAGCTGAGCTGGTTGCTGCTTGAGCCCAGACCACTACCCTCTGGGGCCCTGTCTCTGGGTCATGGCAGCAGAGCCTGGCCTGCAGCCCTGTGCTCAGCCCCCAGCCGTCAACACAGGAAGCAGCAGCCGTCCCCCTGCAGGTGCTCCCTGACTGACGGGCAGGTCGCTCTCCAGCAAAAGACCTCCTGCCAGCGGGGGCAGCGTGGGGCCCTTCTGCAGGCAAAGCGGGTCCTGTGCCCCTCGCGGAGTGGAGGGCTCAGGCTCCCACTGCAGGGAATGCCCAGTCCAAGAGGCCTGTCTGCCTCCCCCCTCCCCAGCATCTACCCACCATTGCGGGAGATGTCCAGCTCCACAAGCTGCATAAAGTTGGCCACCTCGGGGGGAAGGCGCTGAATCTCATTGTCGCTCAGCCCAAGCTTGCGCAGGTTCAGGAGTCGGAAGAAAGGCTGCGGGGGGAGAAAAAGGAGAGAAGTTAGCCGCTCTGCCAGAAAGGGCAAGCCCACCTCAGTGCCTGCCTCTGGGGCAAGCCTGGCAGACAAGCTTCCCTCCAGACCAGATCTGGGGTCATGGACACAGGACGTTGGGGAAGGCACAGGTGTGCCTTGGCTACGGGGAGTAAGGATGGCAGCAGCCCAATAGAGAACCGCCTCCCCCCCCCCCCCCCGCCAGCCAAGTGGCTTCTCAGGGAGAACCTGAAGGGAAGGGAAGGAGGCAGCAGCAAGAGGAGCCTGAGGAAGAGGAGGTCTCTGCATCATTTCCCATGAGAGGGATGCCAGCCAGGCAGCTCCCAGGAGAAACACTCCTTTTGGGCAGCACTGGATGGAAAGAGCCCCGCAACCCTTGGGGAAAGACGTGGGTTTGCCAAACACAATTTCAAGGCCCATCCCAAAGAGCATCACCTCACTTTCCCCCAATTGGAAACAGTGCACACCTCTTTCTTTTAGTCCTAAAAGAATTCTGATGCACCATTTTTAAAAACCTGCCAGAAAACACCGAGACTCATCTGAGGATCAAAGGCAGCTGCAGCTGCAGCCATCACTTGCCAATAAAACCAGCCAAAGCTCAATGGGTTAGAAGCACCTTTGCCTGGGGCTGAAATCCCAGTGGGGGGGGGGAGCTCTGCCCAGGCATGGCGGGGGGGACGGGACACAGAGCAGGGCTTCCAGGAAGCACATTAACGCGCAGGTGGGATTGATCACATAGCGGGAGGAAGCCGTCTGCCACAGAAGGGCGCTCAAGGTCCAAACAGACCATTTTGAACTGGGCCACCCAGGAAAACAGCTGGAAGGATGGCAGCAAAGAAGCCGTATAGTCAGGGCCTCATGTGCCCCCTGCAGCCCAGCCCAGTTTAACATTACTGATAATAATCAAAGTTTGAACAAAGCTCACATAATGCTTGATTGTAAGAAAACTTCTAAGCATTTTACTAAAATATAAAATACAACATCAAGATTGTGGATTAGAAATAGTATAAAATATTGAAAAGATGATTAAAATCAACGGTACCTAAAATGAAATAAAGCCAGAGAGATGTCTTGCCGAAAACAGAGGGAGGACAAGAAAGCCCCGAGCAGCAGAGGGAGCAACCCCAACCACTCTTGGTTCTAGGAGGATCAGGAGGCTGGGAGTCACGCTGGGGAAACTGAGCAACAGAAGCCAAATCCCCACACAAGATGCAGAAGCCGCACACGCCAGACCACAATGTGGAAATGCTCCCCAGGTCCCTGTTTCCATGAAAGTGCAAACCAGGTTGTCCGTGGGATATTTGAACCCATAAAGTGTGGTTTGCGAGATCCCTCCAAACTAGGATTGATCCAGTTAAGGCATCCTGGCAAACTGTAACTGGAGGAAACCAGAAAGTCTCCTATTAAGGAGAGAAGGAGCACCCGAGACATTTCTGATCCTCCAAATCACATCCTGCCAGGTTTGAGTGTCAGTTCACTGGGAGCAGACATTAACAGCCTCGCTGAACAAGCATGTGGTGATTTTCATCAAAAAGAGTATTTTAGTGTGAAGTGGAGGATTAAGTTGCTTTTATTTGTGTTTTAAACTGTTACTCAGTAGGAATCTTTACTGGCTCATTTTCAGCCTTGCATTTAAGCACTAGCCTGGCAACCACAGGAATTGCATGCAAGGACCAGGAGGGGGACAGGCCATAAAATGCCACCGAAAATGTGGCCAGACTCAGCCCCCTGGCACTGCTTGGGGGCCAAGCAAAGGAAGAGAAATAACTCAGAAGGGGCGCAGGACAGGCATGGGCGGTTAGACCTGCCCTATCTGCCCTCAGTAGGGTGGCGCTGTCGCCTAAACCACTCGTCATCATCCTTCATGCGCCAGTAGCGGTGTAGTCATGCTGGCCACATGACCCAGAAAGCTGTCTGTGGACAAACGCCAGCTCTCTCAGCCTGAAAAGCGAGATGAGCGCAGCAACCCACGGTCATCTTTGACTGGACTTTACCTTTACCTTTACTTTTTACCTGCACTAGCATGCTGCAGGCTAAGGCTGGCCATATCTCCCTGCCCTTCTCAGGCCAGTAACATGTGTGGGCTTATTTGCAAGCCTGCTTTATAAAGAGAGATGTGGCTTTGGATACAGCCAGTGGACACTGCAGAGGCAGGAGCGGAAATGGAAGAGGTAAGGCCGATTACCTTTTCCATCAGAGAGGGAGGGGGGTAAGGTTGTCTTACTGCCCTGAAAGGATGAAGCTAAGTATCAGCCAGAACTGCAGTCAAGTCTGCAGAGGAGACCAAACCACTGGGGGTGATGGAGAGACCACCAGGCTGGCCAGGAAACCAGCCCCTTTGAGAGGGTCTCTCTGACGCAGGCAAAGGAGCCACAATTCTGCCCTTATGCTTTCCGGCCGTACTGGCTCCCAAATAAACTGGCAGTTTAAAAGTCATAATAAAAGTAAATAAAATAAATAAATAAATAAATAAATAAATAACAAACATCCCAAAACAAGTACAGTACATCACCAGATTTCAGAACTGTCACCTCCAGCCTTTAAAAAACATTCTAACAGGGCAGGCCTTCCTTGGCCCAAGTAACCTGGATGGTCAGCCTGGACAACTCAGCTGGTTACAACGTGGTGCTAATAATGCCAAGGTTGCAGGTTCAATCCCCATATGAGACAGTTGAATATTCCTGCATTAAAGGGGGTTGGACTAGATGATCCTCAGGGTCCCTTCCAATGCTACGATTCTGTAATTCTAACCTTCTTTGAAAAGAAGTCCCACAGCAAGGGCACCCGAAGAGAAGCTGCCCACCAGCTGCAGAAGAAACTGCCCTGGAGCCTCACTAGGTGTCCTCCTTGTGGCAGCACACATGGGGGGGGTTGCTCCTATAAAGTACCTGGGCCCAGGCAGTTTGCAGCCTTGGAAGGCCGTATGCAGCAGGGGGCTGAGCCGGGGACCAGCAGCTCCTTGCATCCCCTCAAGCCAGTGACTGAGAGCAGGTAGGCTGCGGCACTCTGCCCTGCCTGCAGCCCCCAAACACTCCTCAAAGGCAGCGCCACCTAGAGCACCTTGAAGTAAGGCACCTGGCAGCTCTGCGGCTGCGGCTAAGGAAAGGGCAGTGGAGAAAGGGGTCCCTTGCCATGGAAGGCATCCCAACATCAGGATGCGGAGCCTGACAAAATGTATGCATCCAAGCTGCCAATACATCTTGTCAGGGGGAGTCAGAGCTCCAGGGTCACAAGTCCCCTCAGCATCCCCATCTCAGCCTTTTCCAGGAGGAGCTTCAGTCTCAGGGCCCTCGCCCACCGCACTGCTGGCAGACTCCCCGGCCTTCACACAGCAGGGTGGAGTGGCACATCCCGGGGCAATTCTTGTTGGGGCGGAGCGACTGTCCCCAGAAACACCTTCTGGAACCTGCCGGGCAGGTAGGAGTGGAACCACTGCAAATCCAGGCTCAGCCACAGAAAGAGCCAGAATATCAGTTACAAAATTTTGCACAGTGAGCGGAAACTGGCTCTCCCTTTCTCTCGTGATACTAGAACAGGGGTCAGCAAAATTTTTCAGCAGGGGGCTGGTCCAATGTCCCTCAGACTTTGTTGGGGGCCAGACTATATGGGGGGGGGGATGAACGAATTCCTATGCCCCACAAATAACCCAGAAATGCATTTTAAATAAAAGGACACATTCTACTGGACTGTCCGCGGGCCGGATTTAGAAGGCGATTGGGCCAGATCTGGCCCCTGGGCCTTAGCTTGCCTACCCATGTACTAGAACTCTATGGGGTCATCCAAGGAAGCACCTGGCTGGTCACTGCGAGAAAAACCTGCGGTCTGATCCACAACCCGTCTATCTTTATTGATAGCCAAGCAGTATGCAAATAAATAGAGACCATCAACTGATGCAAGGAAGTGACTTCTACCAAAAAAGTTGCCTGAAGGCAGATTAATGTGGATCCAGATATTCTGCCTCATGCCAGGTAGATCTGAGCAGGCTGTGGAAAGTCAGCTGCTCACCTTCCCTGTGACCACGTCTGAAGTTACCCCGCCCAATGCACCCAGCTGCTTCCAAGCCGGCTGCCTGGCACTTGCAAAGGACGTGTTCAAGATCAACCCAAGCGCAAGGAGACTCCAGACAACAGCGATCACCTTGCTGCCCTTCCTCCTTCAGCTGGGCTGCTCTGGAATGGTCCTGCCTCTGCCCTGACCATCCCCTCTGCCCCTTGGAGCTCCTCTCTGCCTGTCCTGCTTGCCCAGGGGCAGACCAGAGCCCAGGGCTCACTCCCGGGCTGCTTTCCCTCCTTCCCTCCAGCAAACAGCCTCCTCCTACAGCCAGCCCCCTGGTGACAGACTCCACCCAGCTTTCCCTCACTGAACCAGAATTTCACCTTCTTAAGAAAGGCAAAAGGCAGCCTGCGCTCTGCAACAGGTGGAGAAGTGAACCTGTTTTCTGTCCCACAGACAGAAATGTTTTCTAAATGTCAGGTAGTTGTTTATTTCCTTGACATCTGATGGGAGAGCGTTCCACAGGGAGGGCGCCACGACCGAGAAGGCCCTCCGCCTGGTTCCCTCTAACCTCACTTCTCACAGTGAGGGAATCTCCAAAAGGCCCTCAGAGCTGGACCTCTGTGTCCAGGCTGAACAATCGGGGTGGAGATGCTCCTTCAGAAGACTGGTCTAAAAGGAGAGAATTGGCAGCGCAGAAGATTTGTACCAGTCAAACCAGATTAAGGTGTCCCTGAACATCCAGAGGTCCAAAATCCAGACTGGCACCAAGCACGTTTTGCAACTGGCATGTGTCCAATTGCGACCATGTGGGGATCTCTGGGTGCCAGGCTGGTGACCAACATCTCCATCTGGCTGCCCCTACAGCTTTCTTAAGTAGGTAAGCAGAAGAGCTTCATTGTCGCATTGATATCCCACCTTTGTCTCAAAGTAGCACATAGTTCACCCCCTCCTCAGTTCATCCCTGCCATGACCCTGGGAGGGAGGTTCAGATGCTGCGACAGACTCCAAGGTCACCTGGTGAGATTCATGACTGGGTCGGGACTTGAACCCTGATCTCCCAGGTCCTGGCCCAACACACTAACCACTACAGCACACTGGCTTCCTAGAGTACTTCTGCTATGGGGTAGCTCGATAAATTAAGGAGCTAAAGAAATACGGGGAAAGCAAAATGTCACTTAGAGAAGGATCTGAAATACTGTATGTTCCTTGGAGCTAGGATTGTTTTATTGGATGTTTGAATGTGTTGTAAACTGCTTTGAGATTTTTTTATTTAAAATACAAAGCAGTATAGAACTGAAAGGAATACAGGCATCTTCCCTCTTGCACGCAATCAGCACACATGCTCCTGCTGACACACACCCCGTTTTGGGCACCGAAAGAGAGGGGGGAGGAATTCACACACCTCTCAGTGATGCAAGCGGCAGTCAGGAATCGAACCCCCCCCCAATAAGGAGAGATTCCCTTGTAATAATAAAAAAGGTAAAGGTAAAGGTACCCCTGCCCGTACGGGCCAGTCTTGACAGACTCTAGGGTTGTGTGCTCATCTCACTCTAGAGGCGGGAGCCAGCGCTGTCCGCAGACACTTCCGGGTCACGTGGCCAGCGTGACAAGCTGCATCTGGTGAGCCAGCGCAGCACACGGAAACGCCGTTTACCTTCCCGCTGGTAAGCGGTCCCTAATTATCTACTTGCACCCGGGGGTGCTTTCGAACTGCTAGGTTGGCAGGCGCTGGGACCGAGCGACGGGAGCGCACCCCGCCGCGGGGATTCGAACCGCTGACCATGCGATCAGCAAGTCCTAGGCGCTGAGGTTTTACCCACAGCGCCACCTCGTCCCACAGTGTAATAATAAAGTACAGTGCAAAAAAAGACGCCTAGACATTTCATTGCAGCGACTAGAACCTAGCTTTAAGGTGCCATTTGGCAATTGGTTTATACCGTATTTTTCGCCCTATAGGACGGAATTTTTCCCTTCCAAAAATGAAGGGGAAATCTGGGTGCGTCCTATGGGGCGAATGCAGGCTTTCGCTGAAGCTTGGAGAGCGAGAGGGATCGGTGCGCACCAACCCCTCTCGCTCTCCAGGCTTCAGGAACACATCCGCAGCCTAGGCAGCCCTGCGGGAATTCCCGCAGGGCTCCCTACGCTGTGGATAGCAGCCTGCCGCCCGGCGCAAGGAGCGCCCTGAAGCAGAGTGCCCCGCCCACTGGACAGACATCGGCCAGCCCAAGCTCGGGGGACAGCAAGGAGGCGCAGCGCTGCCATCCCGCTGTTCTTCGACCTGGTTCGGTTTCCCCGACCTGGTTTTGGGGGGGGAAATAAAGGAAAATATTTTTTCCTTTATTTCCCCCCCCCAAAAAACTAGGTGCGTCCTATGGGACGAAAAATACGGTATATCTGAGTTTCTAACTGCTTCTGAAGGATGGCAATGGGCTGCCTGCCACACAGAGCAAAATGCAAGGAAAGGAGGGCCCTCACCCACCCAAGCTGAGATGGACCAGCCCTTGGAAGCCAGGAGGGGGCACAGTGCCCCTTCAGCACCTCCACCAGCTCCAGCCTGCGGCCAGAATCTGCCCCTAAAAGACCTGAACCCTCAAAGCCAGGGCATTTCACAAACAAGAGGGTGGGAATAAAGAGGGGAAACTCCCCTCTCTTTTTCAAAGAGCAACATACAAACAGCACAACACGTGTGCTCCAAGTTGTTTGTGTTGAGAAACAAGACGGCCCTCTGCTGCAAAGGCAAGACTGGATGGGAGGTGGCAAAGTGGGTCAGGATGAGGCACCAGCAACTTCTTCTGCCCCCCCCCCCCGGCACAGACTGTGGAGCACCTTAAGATTTAAAAGCCAGGGTCACTGTTTCAGGGCTGCCTGCTGCCCACAGGCACCTGGCATGGGGGGCAGCTACATCCCATGACCTGAGAGCCACCCGCAGGGGCTTCCCCCCAGAACGGTGTGTCAGTGCTGCCTTCCTGTTCTGAGTAAAAAAAGCCATAAGTTCCTCTAGGCAAGGCGGCAGCTCAGTACCACCAGCGCCCCCAGCACTGCCCCTGGCGCCTTCGGCAAAGGATGTCAAGGGAAACCAGTGCAGCCTTGAATGGGGTCAGGTGCCCATCTCCTCCCAAGACAACTCTGATGCTCATGATCACAACCTCCCACCATGCCTGGCACCTCACATGGACTCGCAGGGCTCTTTCCAGGGGCAAGGAACTGGGCTCCATGGAGAGGCTGCCCCAAGCACCGTCCTGCTTCCAGCCGAGGCCAAAGGAAAGCTTGCAAGCAGAGCTTGAGTGCCACCGTCCCCCCCCCCCATGGACTGCCGTTGGCCCTGCTCCCCCCACCCTGCCCAGCGGCCCCTCCACTGAGCCACGGGCAACTGGCGCAGCCAGTACACCCCCAGGGGAAGACGCCCAGCAAAAGGAGAACGGGCAGGAGGATCAGGCAGGGAAGTGCCAGAGGGGCAGATGAGGCTGCAGAGGAGAAAGTGCCAGGTGGCGTGTGGTGGGGGAGGGGGGCTCAGCATGAAAGCTTCAGGAAGGGTCTTCTGAATGGGTTGGTTTCTGGGGTGGGGACAAATTCAATGTACCCCACACAAACACAGATGCTTGAGACAAGGTCCCTTGCCCTCTTCGAACCTCAGAGGGACTGAAAATGGACCACGGCTTTCCGAGGGCAAAATCTGGAGAAAATCTTCTTCCCAGGAGAAGCCCCAAGCACTGCCTGGAGCACCCGGCCCAAGCCTTGCAGCAGAACAAAGCTCCCCCCCCCCCCGCACTCCCCACCTCCAGCCCACCCTGGTCCTCCGCTCTGAATGGCAGCACCATCACCCAGGCCAGGGAGGCCCAGGCAATACCTGCTCCCAACACATTTTGAGGCCGCCACCCCGGCAGCCACTCAACCACATCATCAGAGGGTTGGAAATGAAAAGGAGGAATGGCTGGAGGATAAAAGGATCAGAGCCAGGAGGCAGCTTCTCAGCAGCAGCAGACAAAGCCCCCGGCAGGAGGAGGTGGCTGTGAATGGCTAGCCAGGATTAGCAGTGAGCACCCGAGGCACCACCATCCTCACGCCCCCCCCCCCCCAGGACACCCTGTGCCCCTCCCCCTGCTTCCCAAGATGGCAGCTCCCAGAGAGCCAGCCCCTCTCCCCTATGCTCAGTGATGAGGGGGTATTCAAGCATCACAATAGCCATCCCCGCCCCTCGGTCCCCAAGTGCAGCAGACGCCCCCCCCCCCCCCGCGGGTCAAGAATAAGAGTGGCTTTGTCTGTCCGCTCAGGACTGCCTCTCCTCCCCCTCGCCCCATATCGGGGCCTGGGAAGCACTGTGCAGGGCCTCACCCAGCTCCTGGAGGAAGCGGGGCAGGAGGGGTCTTGCAGGGGGCGACAGGGTCCCTGAGCAAGGCCTCTCCTGCTCTGCTCAAGGAAAACTTCCCCAGACCAAACAGCTTCCCACCCCCCCCCCTCCAAGGCAGGGGCGGCTGTGCCAGGAGAGGGAGCCAAGCTGACTTCCAGCACCAGGGAGGGCAGAGCAATTCTTGCAAGGGGTAGAGGGCTTGCAATCAGCTCAGAGAGAGGGGCAGTCCCAGCACAGGGAATGGCTCTCGCAGAGCAGGGCTGCCTCCTCCTGCATTAGCTCTGAGAACAATGGGGGGGGGCAACATGAAGCTCTCCTGGCCTTGGTGGCCTCCAGCGGGCCCCGCTTCTCTCCCCCTCTGCCTAAGGGGAGCATATCCTACACAAGGCGCAGCCGAGGAGACTGAGGAAGCCAGCCAGGCCCTTTCTATCCACACACACCTTTCCTCTGCTCTTCCCAGGAACGCATGGGAATGTCCAAAGGACACTTGAGGGCTAAAGTGTTGTGTTTTGCGGGAAAAGCTCCAGGGCTAAAGAGGGGGGGTGCTTAGAAAGAGCGCTAACAACAACAACAACAACATCAACAACAACAACAACTTAAAGCAGGGGCCTGTGCCTGGAAAGAGTGGGACTAAGGGTAAGCATGGCTAAGCCCAGAGGCAGCAGACCTGCCAAGCTGCCAATCCACCGTCCTCATAACACCCACCTGGCTGAATGGCAAGCATCAGTAGAACAGAAGTAAAGGCCACAGCTAGAGTAGGAAGTAAAAGTAGCGCAGCAGCAGCCTGGTCAGAAAAAGACCCCCTACTGCCTCACAGGCAGGCAGGTAAGCAATGAGCAGCCGCCAGAACAGCCACTGCCGCCACAGCAAACCCACACAAACAGCAGCCCCTTTGGCTCCTTGGCTGCTGCAGCCGCCGCTGCCTCCTCCTCCCGCAAGGCAGGCTAGCCGGATTTCCTGCTATTTAACCCTCCATTCTCAGGCCCCAAAGAATGCATATCAAATGCCTCAGGAAAAACACTCTGGCTGCCATTCCACAACATGCACACAGAGCTCAGGGCCCAGCCCTACCCTGGCCAGTGTGGGGTGGAGCACGGCAGCTGTGGAACAGTTGCACAAGGGGCTGGTGCCTGCCTGCCTGCCTGCCTGCCTCCCTCCCTCGGAATTCGGGGAAGCCCTGGGATTTGGCCAGGGCTGGGGGTGGGGACTGATGGCACCCCACTCAAGTCTCAAAGGATAGTGGGTGCTTGCTCAGCTAGATGTCCAGCTCTCCAACCCACACCACTAGGAGGCAAAGGAGGAGGGCACCAACCCGTCCCAGCCAGAGTTCCTGACAATTCTGCTGTTTGCTCTTCACTGGTGTCCAGAACTGCTTGGTTTGCACTTACAGAAGGAATCCCCTCCCCGCTCTGCAGCTTCCACAGCCAGCAAAAGCCACAGCAAAGCCCTGGGGGAAACCAAGGAAAGGTCCACAACCTTAGTCTCATCCTGAGGGAAACAACTAGCTGGACTTCTGGCAGTGATGTGAGTCACTAAATGCCCTGGGATCTACACTCTCCTGCACCTTTGGGACTGATCTAGAGATAAGCCATCAGTGCCTCACAAGCTCCAGAGTCAAGCCCATCCCCCTTCCAGAGGGACTGGAAGACCAAGGCCAGGGTCAGGGGAACAAGGAAGCTTCAGACAACAGCACTGTGTGCTCCAGAGGGAGTGTTTAGTGCTGCAAGTTTCACTTGATTACATTTAACATGTCATTACCAACCTTAACTGTGCCCTAAAGGCGAGGAGGGTTAAAAAAACAACCCCAAATGCATCAACACAGCTGGTAGGGGGAGCTCAAGAACCGCTGGCCCAACTGGAAAGCGGCAGAAGCGGAAACACCTGAAGGCATCCACATGCTGCAAGGAGGCTGCAGCTCAGCTCTGCCCAAGGCAAGAGGCTGCACTGGGGCCTCAGATGGTGCAGCAGCACCTGCTCACCTTGACTGGGAGCAACCATTGCCAAAGGGCTCACCCAGAGGCTTGTCTGGCTGTGGCATCCGCCTTGCAGCATCCACCGGTCTTGTGCGCTGCCTTGAGAGCACAGCTCACCTGTCGGCTTCCCATTGGATTTCACACTGAGCCTTGCACACTTAATGGTTCTAAATGAGTCCAGCACTCGCATAGATGGCGTATAGTTGCGCTACAGGCAGAGGAGAAGGGCAGCTCTGGGGGGTCCTGGGTGCAGGCTGAAGGACAGAGTGCCGGACCAAAGAGACTTAGCCGGGCCACATGTGTCAAAAGGGCCCCCCAGGGTCATCCAGTCCAGCCCTCTGCAACGCAGGAGTCACAGCTGAAGCATCCCCAGCAGGTGGCCTTGGCCCTCGCCCTCTCCTTGCTGGGCAGGCAGGATTCCTGCATTGCAGGGGGCGAGGCGACATTGGAGGCCCGGCTCCTCCCCGCAGGGTCTCTTCTCGGGGCTGACCCCCTGGGAGGCGCCTGGCCTCCCTCGCCCGACTCCCCCGGACCCCTCCCTCCCGCCCGCCCGCCCCCGGCACCTTGGGCAGCTCCCGCAGCTGGTTGGCGTCGAGCAGGAGCTCCTCGAGGGAGCGGCTGTAGCGGTAGACGTCGTCGGGCACGGCCTGCAGCGAGCAGTGCCGCCGGTCCAGCGTCTCCACCTGCCGGTTGCAGCGCCACAGCGGCGGCATGCAGCGGAGCATCCTCGCGGCGGCCTCGGCCTCTCGCCTCACGCGCGCGCTGCTCTCCGGGGAGGCGCCCCCCAGGGCCGAGGCGGCGGCGGAGCCATGAAGGGCGGCGCTGGCGGAGGGGCCTTCCTCTCTCTCTCGCTCTCCCTCGCTCCCTCTCGGCGCGGCCCTCCTCCCGAGACGCTGACCGGGCCCCGCCGGCACCTGGCGCCGCCCCGCCCCCGCGCCAGGCACGCCGGGAAAGGGCGCCCGCCTCGCCCTCCGCCCACGACTACCACTCCCGGCAGCCCCCGCGACCCGAGGCGCGGCGGAACTTCCGGGCCCGCTTCCGGACAGGCCCCGCCCCTCAGGCTCGCCGGCATCCGCAGCTCCCTCTCTGGAAGTCAGGCTTATTTGGCACGGCGAGAAGACGACACTTCTTGTTTCTTAAGCCGCTCCAAACCCAAGAGGCTTCCGCCTGCAAGGGCGACGACTTTGGCCCCCAAGACGCCTGAGCGGCCGAGTTGAGGGAACTGACATTCGCTGCAGCTCGAGGGGGGTTTTGCTGCACGGCGTGGGGAGGGAGGCGGTTCAGCGACCGTCCCAAACCTCCCTCGGCCCATCATTTCCTGAGGGTCAACTCTAAGGTCATCCTCTCCACCCCTGTCCCTAAATTACCAAACAATATTTGTTATCATTCCACCTCTTGCCTCAAAGCAGCTCACAGAATGAGAATTTGAAAACAGAATAAAAGAAACTTGTTGCTGCTCAGGTTGGGGAGGGGACACTTCAGAGCAAAGAAACAGGAAGGAGACACAAACACCCACCCGCCCCAGGTTGGGGGAGGAAGAGGGCATGGAAGAGGCACATCCACTTGGGGAAGAGGCACCCCCAACTACGGCCAAGCGGGCGCTTGGGAGCCTAGTCTCCAGACCCCAAAAGAGGACTTCCTTCTTCCTTTCCATTCTTCTTCCTCAGCAGGGGTTGTCCTTCTGTACATTTGACAACTGTAGCCTTGCATATATGTTTTGTACCAGCAAAGCTTGGTTGGAGGGACAGATCATTATTTTCTAGGTGGTACTTTATTCTGCTGCTCTCACACCCACCTTGAGAACCTTATGAGTTTGCAATCTATCCTCTGGGCCAGCCTTCCACCAGCTTGGTGTCCTCCCCAGAGGTTTTGGACCTAGCTCACATCATCCCTGACCACTGGTCATGAACTGCAGCCCAAAGCTAGATGGTGCGCCTGCCATCTTCATTTTCCCCAGAGTGCTGTGGCTTTGGCCCTATGTGGCTCAGGGGCAACGTGCCTGCTCTGTAGGGGAAGAGAGATGCTGGCCACAACTGCTGCCACCATCACCAAGCAAGGGGTATGGAGAGAGGACCAGAACATTCAACAGAAGGGTTCCTCATAATTGCCAGAAAGGGGGTGAGGTGGGGGAATGAACTGGCCCCCTTTCTTCATTCCCACCCCATAACTAAGTAAACACAGCCCATTCACTCCTTTCTGGCCATCTGATAAAGGACAGGGGAGAAAGAGAGAGCGCGCGCAAAGTCTCTTGCCACTGGGAAGGGAATGCCCCACCACCACCACCACAATGGTAGAAAGGTTTTTCTCCTTGCACTTTTATCCGAAACTACAAATACATGACAGGAGCAAGAGATGCTGGCCCAGAAGCATCCCTGAACACAAAGGGGGTTGAGGAGAACAATAACAAAGTCTCTCTGGAGCAGAGTTCATGCGGAGAGGTCACTGTTGTCAAATCGCTCCTGATCATACACCTCGGCCACCACCTTCCGGCCAGCAAACCAGCGGCCATTCAGCGCCTGGATGGCTTTGTGCGTCTCTGAGGCCATGGAGAACTCAACAAAGATCTTGACAATGATTTCAGCATCCTCCTCCTCGCCCTGCTTCTCTTGGTAGATGATGACCCTGTTGACAGCCCCAAACTTGCCACACTCTTCTGTCACTTCCCCTTCCAAGTCATCGTCAATGTCTTTGGGGTCCACCATATTGCGCAAGACCATCACAGTTGACTGCCAGGAGAAAAGGAGAGCAAAATGTCACAACTCCACAAGACCCCTCCCTACCCACTCTGGGGTGGGGAAATCATCTGGTAGCTGGCTCCCCACACCCCAGCCAAAGGGTGTTGTCAATCTCACCCTGCACCACCTTCTACCACATTTCGTGTCCTGTCCCTTCTCCTCCCAGTCCCAAGGCAGAAAGCCAAGTGCAGCTAAGTTCACTGCCCTGGCCCCAACTCACCTCCTGCTTCCGAAGCAGCTTCTGCATGACCATGTGACGGGCGCTGCTGCCAGAGATGCTCATGTGCTCCTGCTCACTGAGCATTTCTGGCCTCTCAGACTCCTGGAAAACTTCCTCCTCTTCCTTCTCCTTCTTTACTTCTAGCAGGCCCAGTGTTGGGGGGCTGGCCAAGATGGGGTTCACCACACCCACCTGGGGAATGGTGACGGGAATGGGTGGGCGAGCAGGGGTCACGCCTGAAGGGAAAGAAACAGACCAAGGCATGAGCAAGAGCAGTGCCAGGCAACTCATATGCTCCAGGACCCTCCCTCCCTCCCCTAGCCAAGGAGCAGGGCACCCAAAAAGGGGGAGGCCAAACACCACCTGGGAGAATGCAGTAATGACAGATCATGGGAGGGAGCTCTGATTCAGGAACATAGCAAGCTGCCCTGATACCAAGTCAGGCCACTGGATCCATCCACTTCAGGACTGTCTACACTGGCTGGCAGCAGCAGCTTTCAAGTATTTCAGGCAGAGGCCTCTTTCAGTTCTAACTGGAGATGACAGGGGTTGAAGCTAGAACCTTCTACATGCAAAGCAGCTGCTCTACCACTAACTGTTCTACCTCTTTCTCTGCCCAAGATCTTGGAGTCCTTGTCTGCCAGTCAGAAAAGACAATACTGGGCTATGTATAGGGTTGTGTTCTGACTTGATACAAAGCAGCTTCCCAATCCTCCTGAATGCAGCCTTGCTCAATCAGATCAAAGGCCCACCTAGTCCAGCAACCAGTTTTTCAAAGAAATTGTGCTGCTTTGAAAAATCACAAGGCAGGCATACACTCCACAACATGCAATATTTGTGAAGGTTCAATGACCATCATAGCTTATAGTCACTGAGAAAGCTGGCCTACACCAAATCTTCTATTAAAGGAAATATGGTCATTGGATGCCTTCTAACAGCGAGTTCCATATTCCATTAAGTCCCCTCTTATCTCTGCTGAACCTACTACCCATGCCTCTTGCTAAGGTAATCTAAATTATTATTGCAATGAAGAAAAACTGCTTTCAGTCCACTTTCTCTATGCCATGAAATCATTTCAAAAACCCCTCATATGCCTCCTTGCTCACATTTCAATACTACAAAGCCCGAAACATTTCTGTTCCAGCTCTACAGTACCTTGTTTGTGGTAACGTGGCCAGAGTTGTACACAGAGTAAATGAATTAATGTCCCATCATCTACAAACATGACTTCATTGCTCACCCCTATCTCCAACAGGTGTGGGCAAAGGGACAAAACACCTTGAACTGAGGTTGTTTTGAGACTCTCCCCAGAAGTACAAAGGCTACAAAGTACCTCCAAGTTGTAGCATGAGATTAACAAGTGATTCTGGAGGTGCATGAAACTGATGTGCTGCAAGCATCTGGGGAGAGGGTGGCTGCAAGAAATTAGTGACTTCTTGCACTAGGCAAATGCATCCCCTGACATGATCTGTCCCCCAAACCAGGCTTTGCTGGTAGAAAACATATATGCAAGGCTACAGTTGTCAAATGTACAGAAGAACAACCCTTGCTGAGGAAGAACCAGCATGGCTTCTGCAATAAGAAGTCCTGTCTCACCAACATTTTAGAATTCTTTGAGAATAGCAACAAATATGTAGATGGCTTTCAACAAACTTCCTCATCAACGGCTCTTGAGAAAGAGGTCAAATCCTCTTATGCATTATTTAACTGAATGGTTTAAAGACAGGAAGCAAAAGGCAGGAATTACCTGTTTTCACAAGGAGAGCCCTTCTGGAAAATAAGAAAGGCCTGTGGAGCACACTGCTCTCAGTGGCCAGGCAGATGTCTCTGGAGGGGAAGCCCACAGTGCTCTCCCTCTCTGAGATTCCCAGCAGCTGGCATTTAGAAGAATACTGCTTCAGGCACTGATGGCAGAACACAGAGCCATCATGGCTAGTAGCCACAGAGCATGGCTAGTAGCCTTACCCACCCGCCAACACGACATTTTGTGGGAGCAAATAGCATAGTTTAACTATTCACAGTATGAAAAAGTACCTGAATCTGTCCTAAACGTGCAACTTCTTTGGAAGACCTCACTGGGTTCTGGCATTACGCGGCCAGAAGAAAACCTTGTCCTTCCCACTTCCTCCAATTAATGCATGCCTAATACACTTCTATGATGTTTCCCAGACTTCTCTTTCCCCCGCTATACTGGAAGGCCCCAAATGCTGCTGCTGGTCCAGCCCCTTGGTCATGTTGTTCGCCCTTTTCTGAACTTTATACACCGCCCCGGTTGTTTATGATATAGTGGTTAAAAAGTACCGTATTTTCCGTTCTATAGGACGCACCTCGTTTTTTTGGGGGGGGGAAATGAATAAAAAAAATTATCCCCCCCCCCCTGCGGCTGCCGCCCCAAGCCTCGCGTGCTTCGGGCTGCAGGCTACCGCCCCAAGCCTCGCGCGCTCGGCGGGACCTCCCACCGGGCGCGCAAGGCTTGCAGACACTCGCCCGAGCACGGGGAGCCCTCCGGAGGGCTCCCCGTGCTTCGGGCGACAGGCTGCCGCCCCAAGCCTTGCGCGCTCGGCGGGACCTCCTGCCGGGCGCGCAAGGCTTGCGGACACTCGCCGGGGCTGCAGGCTGCTGCCTGCAAGCCTTGTGAGCCCGCGGGAACTCCCACCGGGCTTGCAAGGCTTGCGGATAGCTTCCTGAAGCCTGGAGAGCGAGAGGGGTCGGTGCGCACGGATGCCTCTCGCTCTCCAGGCTTCAGCGAAAGCCTGCATTCGCTCCATAGGACGCACACACATTTCCCCTTCATTTTTGGAGGGGAAAAAGTGCGTCCTATGGAGCGAAAAATACGGTACTTTTATAAGCCAACAAACCTTTGACATCTCTACAATATCCTTTTGAGGTGAAGCCACCAGAACTGGACACAGTATTCCAAATGTGGTCACACCATAGATTTTTGTAACAACATTATGAGATCAGCTGTTTTACTTTCAGTTCCTTTCCTAATGATCCCTAGCATGGAATTTGCCTTTTTACAGCTGCCACACACTGGGCCAAGCTCTTCACTGAGCTGTCCACTGCAGCCCTAAGGTCTTGGTCCTGGGTCAGTCACTGCCAGTTCAGACCCCATTAGCCTATGTATGAATTTAAGATTTTTTGCTCCAATGTACTTAACTTTCCCTTTGACTGAACAGAATTGCATTTGCCATGTTAAAACCCATTTAACAGTTTGGAGAGATCATTTTGCAGCTCCTCACAATCCCTTTTCATTTTAATCAACTTGGAACATTTGGCATCACCAGCAAACAGCCACCTCACTGCTTGCACCTAACTAATGAGTAAATTAAAATGCACCCATCCCAATACTAATCCTCGGGTGACTCCACCTCCTACATTGGTTCTACTCTCTGCTTCCTCTTCCTTAATAAGCTACAAACCTGCCCTCTGACCCCATGACCGCTAAACTTATTCTGGAGTATTTAATGAGAGACTTTACCATCAGCTTTTCCAAAGGTTCAATGCACAATGCTGACTGGACCACCTCTATCTATAGGCTTGCTTACACTTGCAAAGAACTCTAAAAGGTTAGTGAAACTTTACATGTCCTGCTTGAGTCACAATAAACACATCGGGTTTCATGAGCAATGTGAGCAGCGTTTAAGCAGCAGAGAAAAGGGCCATTTCAGGAAATCAAAACCAGAACAGCCATCATACAGAGATGCTGTGGATGCCTCATCTTGAAAAGAACATCATGGAACTGAAGCAGGTGGAGAAAAAGACAAGCAAGATGATGAAAAGGCTGGAGCATCTTGTTTAGAAGGTTGTTGGCTTACTTTAGTGTAGATACATGATGGGAAAACACAGAAAAGAATGTTGGTGTGGAGAAGTGAGAGCAAACAAAGTTATTTTTGTTCTCCAATGAAATTAGACTGGCAGCAGGTTCAGGACACAAAAGGAACGACTTCTCCACACAACACACCTATGGAACTCGCTGAAGGCTTTAAAAAGATGATTCAACAAATTCAGGAAGACCTCCAGCCTCCAAATGCCAGGGCCACCCTCACCTCCACACCCAGCATGTGAGACTTTCAGCGCCCTGTCTCCAGACTCACCTGTGATTACACCTGGTGCTTGGGCAGCCATCACAGCCTGCGGCAAAGCGCCCAGGGGCTGTGCTAAGGTCAGTGCCGGCGTCACCAGCCCTGGAGTTGTTAACGTGCTGAGGACGGCAGCTCCTGTCACACCTGCCACAGCTTCCTACGGAAGGAAAGGCAACAGCACCACATCAGACCTGCCCAAGGAGCCCTGGCCCTCCTTTTCCAAGCACCCAAAGAGGCTTGAGGGGCCCACAAACTGTCTTCAGCGCTACACCCACCAGCACTCATGGCAGTCCGAAACAAGAGAGTCCAAGCAGGTCACTCCAGCCCCTAGAGATGCTCTAGGCAGGTGCAAGAATGTGATGGAAGAGATGTGTGCACATGTGTGCAACCTGTGCCTGCAAAACCCAGACCACGGAGCAGCACACACGGCTCAATGCTAATGCTCAACTCCACTTCTTACCTGAGCTGTGATCTTTGCTGTGGCAGCAGCGGCTGCGACTGCTGCTGCTGGGGGCAAGCCTCCTGGAGTGGCAGGAGTCAAGAGCGGCATAGGGGGCGTGACAGCTTTGCCCACTCGGAGGTACTGGCCCCCCAAGTCAAAGAGGTTCATGGACGAGACAGCATCTTGCGAAGATTGTGCCTTCTCATATTCTGCAAGAAGAGAAGATGGCGATTAGAGGGCAGCTGCCCCATACCAGAGTGGAGTTTGCCCTCTCCACTGACAGCCCACTTACCAATGAATCCGTAGCCTTTGTGCTTCCCTGTCGTGGGGTCCCGGGCCAACGTGCAGGACTTGATCTTCCCAAAGGCCTCAAAAACACTCTTGATGTCATCATCCGAAAGGTCCTGGTGAACTGAGGCCACGTAGATGCGGTTGAAGGCCCGTGCCTCCTCCGCCAGCTGGTCGATGATGGGCTGGGCCTGGCCAATGTTGCTGGGCCTCCCCACCTGCAAGCAAAGGGCTTTTGTCAGAGGCGCAGGCGAGGCCTGGAGGGCAGCCTCTCAGGGACCACTGGCCTGGCTTGCCCAACAGACGCCCCTTGCCTCGAGGGGGACAGACATGCATGCCACCCACCCAACACTCTCCCGACACTGCTGCACACACAATTCTGCAGGGAGCCCCCCAGAAGACAGCGCTGGGTACAAGTGACTGCTTCCCTCTGGACAACAAGCAGGCAACTAACGGGCCAGAGGGGAGGGGAGGTGTGCTTGGAGGTGAGGGAGTCCAGCCCCTGCTGAAAATCCAGGTGAGCGGGGGGTGGGCACCAAAGCAGATTTCCAATAGGGGGAGGGAGTCAGCATGGGGCTTCCATGCCTGCAGAGTCCTGTCCTGTCCTGGCAGGGAGAAAACCGAAACAAGTGAACCGAGAGGCAGTCAAACGGGCAGCAACACCACCCTGTCAGGGCCAGGGAGAGCTACCTGCTGGCACTTGTGTGTACCTTGATGTTCCGTCCCCCCAGCATGACGGAGTTCATCTGCTCCAGGGCCAGCTGAGCAGCTTCAGGCACCTCATATTCCACAAAAGCAAAGCCCTGCAAGGAAGGAGGGGGAGAGAGTGTTGTTCACAACCCATGCCAGGGTCCTCGCGCCGCGCCCCTCCTGAAGGGGCTCACCCAACTGGCTGCAACACAGCAGCACCAACCTTGTGCTTCATGGTCACAGAGTCCCAGGACATGTCGATGCTCTTGATGGGGCCGAAGGGGGCAAAGGCCTGACGGATCGTGTCCTCTCCAAGCTCATAGTAAATAGAGCCCACGTAGACCCGGCACATGATGGCCAGAGCCCGCTGCCTCTGGGCTGCCATCTGTATCAGAGAGAAGGTCTGGCTGGTCAGCTTGGGGGGTAGCTGGAGGGGCAAGGACAGCTCTTCCCCAACAACCCCACTTTCCTTTCCCGCCCCCAACACCCCCCAGCAGCGAAGGGAAGCTCCGAGTCTCAGCAGCCCCAGCCCAGCCTGGCCCACCCAAGCCATCTCATCTCACTCCTGCAAGAGGAACCTGCCACATCCTACTGCAGACAGAAAGGGGTCAACCACCTCCCATGGGGCAGCAAGAGATCCAGCTTCAGTCTTCACCTGACAAAACCCTCATCCCCCAAGACAGGCCCCATCGGAAACAACCAACAGTCCACGTGAAGGGGTCATTTCCGTTGCCTGCGCTCCAAAGAACGGGCTGCTGTCCCAAGCACGGGCCGTAGTCATGCGTCTCCCTGCCCCTCCCCTCCACATACTGTCTTGGCTGGAGCCCTGAGCCAGACACCCTCAGCTGGCGTCCAATCCCAGGTTTGCCACCACCCAGCTGCTGGCCTGCAGTGGCACACAAGGCTACTGTGGAAACCCAGCCGGACCCGGAAGCAGTTGCACTCCCGCGCCTGCACATGGGGCCAGCAGAAGGAACTGCTCTCTGGGATCAGGTGGGGAGAGGAGAGTCCAATGGCCAGGGACACGCACTGGCTGCCCAGAGCCACATGGACTTTGTGCAACGGTCAGGGCTGCCCTGGGGCCCCCAAGGGGCCCCGCAACGCTTCCCTGGCAGGAAGGAGCCTGCATGATCCAGGAGACCAAAAGGACGCAAATAAGGCCCGCCCTGATCACTCCTTCCTTCATTGCTCCCTCCCTCCCTCTCTTTGGGACAGAGGCTGAAGACCATGCTAGAAGAGAACTGCATGGGTGAGGCAGTGGACAGCTGGAAGCCAAGCCTGCCTTCCCTATGCAAAGTGAGCCGGTCTGGGGCCTGTGGGGCCAGCAAAGGGCCCCCTCTCTGGAATGGGGCTCCCAGCTGCAGACCAAGGAAACTAGAGCCACAGGGCAACCTCGAGGACCTCATCACACCTCCCAGCATTCAGGAGCCAGCAGAGCAAAGAGTTAGGGAGAGATGCTGCATGCACTCGCAAGGGAAGCACGTGGGGGCGAGGACAACCATCCCCAGCCCGCCCCAGGACCTGCCACCTGGGCTGCCTGCTCCCCTCCCAACATAAGCAGGGAAGCGACGGGCAGCTCCTATGAGGTGCCACGGGTGGGTGGCCAGGTGCACTGCAAGGCCGCCAGCCAGTTACTCGCTCCCGTGGAGACCTTGCCCCACCAATGCTAAGCTAAACCCAGGCTCCCAGCCCCAGAAGAGCGGCCGGTACCCTCCGTCAAATCCAGAGGCCAGCCCTCAAGGGCATTTCTGCCCTTCTGTGCTCAAAGGCCGGACTCTTCAACGGCTCCTGGAGGGCTCAGTCTGTCTTCTGCCTCCCTGTCCACCACGCAGCAGTAACCGGGGTGCCTCAGCAAGCTCCACCCCCACCCCATGCCCAGGCACAGTGTGGCACAAGGGCCTGGCAGGAGTCCAGGCCCTGCCAAGCGCTCAGGCTAACCCTGCCGTGCCTCAGTACAGCTGGAGGAGGTCTGTGCAGTGCTTAGGCTCCAGCTACAGGAGCAGGGGCGGGTGCCCTACCAGCCCGAGCCCTGCGCATGGCGAGGCAGAGGGAGGACTGGCAACTGCCACCTCTCTCTCTCCCACCCCCGTAAACACTGTCCTAGCAGTGTTCTCCCGGGAGAGCAGTCCAACTTGCCCAGAGGGGCCTTCACTGCCCCAACACCCAGCAGCCAGGCCTCTCGCGTCCCGTGCTGGCCCACTGGTGAGTTACCTTGGCAGTTACTTTTAGGTCAGGACCTCAGCATCCCTAGAGAGGTGGCTCTCCCAGCTGCTTGGCTCTAAAGCTCTCTCGCTCTTTCTCTCTCTGCCCAATGCCTCCAACGGCCCCGGCTGCCCCCAGCCCACGGTCTTCCTTCCTCTGGGGAGCTAACACTTGGCCTGGGTTGGTGGGGCGTGTCCAAAGCAGGTGGGTATGTGGAGGGAGAGGGAGGGAGGGGGAGGCCACAGCTACGTCCTCCCCTGTGCTAGGCCCTGACTAAGACCAAGTGCCCCAGAAGAAGTGAATGTGTCTATTGACCGATTGTAAAGGTGAGAGAGGATCTCCAAAGCCCATTGTCACTGCTGCCATCTGAAAGACAGTAAAGACAGAGTTCAGTCTGTGGGAGCTGAGCATACGACGGCTTTTCGTCAAAACTCAAGTGGAAGAGGCCTCTCCTTCCTTCTTTCCTCCTTGCTTGCCTGCCGCTGCCGCCTCCACCTCCTCGCTGCACAGCCCCTGCCAGCCCCAGGGAGCGAGGGGGGTGTTTCAGGACAGGCGGGGCTCCTCTTTGACCCTCAACAGCTGCCTAATTGGAGGGAGGTGCCCCCACCCAGTAACCCAGAGCTGCCCAAAGGGCCTGGCCCCAGTGCCCCCACCCACAATCTGTGGCTCTTGAGCAAGAGGGCTTCACCAGCAGCTACAGACCCCTCTTGCACTGTAAGGCGACTGCCACTCCCTACCCCTGTCAGTGTGAGGACGATGTACCCAGCAACCCCAGGCACCCCCTTCTAGGCAGGCCAACAGCAGGACTCCCAGCTGGGAGCCCAGCTCTCCTCCTTCAGCAGCTAAGCTTCCCCTACCCAGGCAATGAATGCAAGCAAGTGTGTGGGCCTGGGAGCTAGCGGGGGGGGGGGGGGAGGGAATACAACACACTCCAATTTCGCAGCGGAAATGGAAGCTAAAGTACCTGGCTCCAGTCACATCTGAGGGCTGTGCAGTGGCTCTAAGTGCATAAAGGGATCCACCTTGGGGGAGGGGGGAGGAGGGAGAGGCAAAGGCAGGGCTTCCCTGGGTGGTGCCTCACCTGAAGGTTGGTGAGCTGCTGCTGTTGGTGGGCAATAGTCTGCTTCACCAAGACACTCTTGATGCTCTGCTCCATTGCATACTTCTTGGCCTGAAGGGGACAGAAAGCCCAGAGTCACAGAACAGACATCCGCAGCGACAACAAACTGGGTGTGCCACACCAGCATCCTCAAAGTGTGAGGCATTTCCCAGCACTGCAAGCACAGAGGACTACCCCCTCCTCCTCCAGAGCCCACCTGCCTGAGACCAGTTCCCCTCCATCGACAGGTTGGTAGTCAGTGGCTGTTGCCCAATGCTGACTGAGAAGCTCAAGACCCACCCCCCATCACCTTCAAAGCTATTGGAGTTGTTTGCCAAGGGGGCCTAGACGCACCAAGTGGACATCTAGGGATGGAGGAGCGGGCTAGCCTGCCTTCTACTCCCCATGAGCTGTGATGCTTTCTAGCCTCATTACAGCTAGCCTTGAGAGGGAGAAAAAGCAGGCAAGCCGCAAGGCCCCTGCTGGTCCACTCACCTTCTGAAGAGCCTCCTGCTGCTCTGGGGTGAGAGGAGGGAGTCCCAACTTGGCTGCTGTGCTTTGTCCATTTTCTACCTTGACGGTCTCTGTGCCCTGCAACGAAAGAGACACTCATAAAAGGTGGCCAGGCCTGAGCAGTGCTGCAGGGAAAGTCTGTGCTGCTTCAGCAGGGAGAGCAATGAGAAGACAGAGGGAAAGTCTCTGAGCCTCCCTCAGAGAACCCAGCTTTCTTCTTCTAGGAGTGATTGCCCACCCCATCCCAAAAGGCTGCCATGTGATCCCGATGTGTTGCCATTGTATCCTCACCACTGCTGCCACCCTCCAACTTTCCAGAGTGCCTCTGAAGAACAAGCTCTAGTTCAAGGATGCACACATGGCCCCACAGCCCAGCAGCAGCACTCAGAAAGGACCCCCACTGCTTAGCCACATATGTGGTAATGCAGCAACTGCAACACCCAGAGGTCTCATCAGGCAAATACTTGTTGGAACAGCAAAGGAGGCTGCTGTGCAGCAGCACAGAGCAAAAACATTTCACTTTCGTATAAGAGCTGCACATATCCTGTGGAAGTTTCCAAACCACTCAAGACAGAGAGAGATGTGGCTGCTTTACACACTGTGGGGCCCTCACCCAAATTGTTCAGAACATATGGCAACCCTGAACATGTAACCAGATCCAGGAGGCAAGGAAGTGAGTGGCAATCTACAAAGCACCTTGTCTTCAAGATGCACACAGGATCCTTAAAGTAGCATGCAGAGAAGGGGGCTGGCATGGTGACCCAGAAGGTGAGATGGAGGCACGCAAAGTGTTTTGAGAGAGACAGGCCAGAAGCTACCTTGCAGGACACCAGAAGCAGATCAAGGGAGACAACTGATCCACCTAACTCAGTATGGTCTACCCTCACAGGAGGGCAAAGGTTGGGCAAATATATGACTTGACTGGGAGCTTGAAAAGGTGCGAGGAAAGCGGTCCAGGAGGATTTCCTTAAAGACCTTCCAGATAAACTGAAAGAGGTTGAGGACAAAAACAAGAGGATGGTAGGTAGACTTTCCTCTTAACAAAGGAGAAAGGCAGCCTTGGGAGGGAGCACTAACACAAGGACTAACAAGTGAACTGATGGTGACTGCAGGATTAGAGCAAGTGGTTCCATGTAATCCGGTGTTCCACTCTCACCTACCTAGCTACTCCCCTTTTACAAGCACCTGAGCCAGGCACAAGCGCATCTTGTGGCAATGACTTAGTAACATAGGTGCAACCTATCAAGTTGGAGGTACATTTATACCAGACTGTCATAAGAATGCTCCTGCAGGATTAGTCTATGAGGCCCATCCTGGCCTTACAGAGGCCAACCAGATGCCTCTTCTGGGAAGTCTGCAAGCAGGATTTGAGCACAAGAGCTTTCTCCCCTCCTGTGGTTTTGAGCAACTGGTATTCAGAAGCACTGCTGCCTCTGCTTGTGACTCTATTAAAGCCAAACCGGTCCAAACATCATTTCACTTCTTCAGCTGTTCTGTGAAATTTTTCCACTGTTACCACGTTATCACTGCTTGGGAAGCGACATGCCTGTGTTATAGCACCACAAAAGAAGGAGAAAAAACAGCAACCTACGACATGTGTGGTAACAGAAAAGGGTAGGACCTGCCATGACAGTTTGCTCCAGAACTCTTGCAGGTGCAGACAGTGCTGGAAGGGGGGGGGGGTCAGGACACAAATACACAGCAAATAAAGGGGGGTCTGGAGTGCAACATCTTAAAAACATAGGATCCTGGCTCAGCACAGCATCCTCTTCTCACAGTGGCCAACCAGCTTCCCCCAAAGCGAAACGCGCAAGCAGGACACTGTCCCCTTATGTGGTTTCCAACAGCTGGCATTCAGAAGCACTGCTGCCTCCAGGACACAGAATAAGCATCCTGGCTTGTAGCCATCGATAGACCCCTCCTCCTCCTCCGTCAATTCGCCCAATCCTCTTTTAGAGCCACCCAGGTGTCCAGCCTCCCCTGCTGCGGGAATGAGTTCCGTAGTTTCCGCCGCTGCTCCTGCAGATGGCGAGGGGGCTTCCCCCCCCCCCCGCACCTGATAACGGCTTCGCTCTAGAGCCGGGGATGCCGCCAGCGGCTGACTAAGGGGGGGCAAGAGACAAGTCCCGCCATGCCCCGGGGAGGAAGCATTTCCTCCGCCGCTAATTAGTGGGGGGGGGGGAGTGAGAAGCGTGCCTTCCGTCCCCCCTCCAGGCGGGGCCACGGAAAGGGCCGCTCCTCCCGGGGGGCCGGGATCCCTTCGCTGCGGCAGTCAGCGCGCGCCCTCCAGATGCGCATGCGCCAGGAGGTCTCCTTCTCCTCCCTCCCTCGAATACCCCGGAGCGCTGGCTTCTCCTCAGCGACTGGGAGGCCAAGAACTACGCGCCCCATCGGCCGCGGCAACTGTGGCCCCGTGCGCCGGGCGGGAGAGGCGCGGGGCATGCTGGGGGATGTAGTCCCGCCATCTCCCCCCCCCGCGCCCGCTGCCCGCGCCGGGATAACTCTGAGGCTCAGGCGGGGGCACTTCGGCGGCGGCGCCCCCGCGCCCCGAGCACGACGGCGGGGTATTCTCCGCGCCGCCCACCCTCCTTCCCGCCCGCCTAGCCCTCACCCGCCGGCTGAGGAGCGACTAGCTCACCAGAGAGATCGCCGTCGTCGCCGCCATCTTCCCCGACTCCTCCTACCCCGAGTGCGAGGCTCTCGCGAGAACTAAACTGCGCGAGAGAGAACGGGCCGACCGACTTCCGGTTACTGGGGGGGGTCTCTCGCGGACGGGGCGGGGGGCGGTGACGACACAGGGGGGAGACCGACCGTCTGAGAGCGCGACGGCAGACGGGGAGAGCGGCGCTCCGCCCCGCCGGGTGGCCAGGCTCCCGCTCCGAGACTCGGCACCGCGTTCGAGATTTGCCTCAGCGGTGACCCTGGGCTCCGTTTCGCATTTTCCCGCCCAAAGACAGGCGGCTGCGGCCCAGTCAGAGCCTTCGGTCTCCGATAGGACGGGACACCAGGAAGTCCCGCCTCCGAGTGATGCGTTTGACAGACCGCGGCAGACTTCGGGCCTCGTGGGCTCTCGCGACAGCTGGAAGGCTGCTGCTGCTGCGCCGCCTGGCTGTTCCCCGTCCTCTTCTCGCCATTCGCTGGAAGCTTAGAAGAATGTTGACTTTTTTTAAAAAATAAGTTTTTATTAAATGTTAAATTTATATGCAACATATTAATCATATCAAAGAAAATACAATAAAACAAAACACCCCCCACCCGGTGACTTCCCCTTCTGGCTCTTTAACTATTTGCTACTTCTGCTTAATTTTATCTTATTTTTCATCTTTTAGCCCAGTGCTCTTATATTCTTAGCATTTTTATACCAAATTTCCTTCCAGTTCCAACATCTTACATTTAATTAATTTCCATATTGTTGAAAGTGAGGAGGAATTAAAGAACCTTTTAATGAGGGTGAAAGAGGAGAGCGCAAAATATGGTCTCAAGCTCAACATCAAAAAAACGAAGATCATGGCCACTGGTCCCATCACCTCCTGGCAAATAGAAGGGGAAGAAATGGAGGCAGTGAGAGATTTTACTTTCTTGGGGTCCATGATCACTGCAGATGGTGACAGCAGTCACGAAATTAAAAGACGCCTTCTTCTTGGGAGAAAAGCAATGACAAACCTAGACAGCATCTTAAAAAGCAGAGACATCACTTCCGGAGGCGGCGCCATCGGCAATGGCGGATTCCCTCTAGTTTTGAGGGAGTAGCTCCGCAGAAATCGGGTCTTGCCGCTACGGCGAAGCGGGGACCCCTTCGAAAATCACAGGCGGGTGAAGCCTGTGACCGTGGGACTTGGCGGGCACCCTTAGCGCCCCCCCCAATCTGCGAGGGAACCCTGGAAAGAGTTCCGGAGCGAAGCGGGGAGTCTGGCGCGGTGCTGAGAGTCAACTGCTTCTTCCGTGGAGTGAAGCCGCGCAGCTGTTGCCGGAGAGCGCCGACCTTTTTCCTGTGACAATTCGGCTAAGAAACAACTACCCGTGAGTAGGTTAAGTCTGAAGATCAGGGAACTTAAGGAAAAAAGGACTAATTCGGCACTGAAGCGGGAAGGTGTAAACAGGAAGTCCGCCTTCCTTTTATGTAAATAGATCAAAGCAAAGACTGTCAAAGCAAAGAGCCTGAAATTTGCGTTGAAAAAGACTCAAATCTTACATCAACAAAAGGAGAACTCCCTCCCTGTGGTGCGGGAGAGGGGAGGGAGAAGGGGAAGTATCTTTTGCCCACAAAAGAAGAGAGAAAGGGAACTAAGACCATCACTTAATGCCTGGGGACGGACTGTCAAGGGACATTTGAACTGCCGTATTGGGAAACGCGCTGTCAAAGGATAGTGCAACTGTTTGACAGCTAGCTCTGTAAGAGGGATACTTTGACTCTGAAAAGTTCCTCGTGACTTGAAACTGTTGCTCTTTTTGGCTAAAGGGGTTTTTTTTGAAAGTTGGAATAGCTATTTTATCATTACAAATTGGAACTGCTATTGTGTCCCCCTAGAGGAACTTTGAAATTGCTACAATTGGCCAGGGAATTTTCCACTCTAAACTGGCCATACTAAAGGGGAATTTTCCACCATAAACAAGTAATCGTGGGACTGACCTTGATCCTTAGATAAAGTGAGTCAAGGCAGACTTGACTCAGGAAAAAACAACAAGATCTGGTAAAATTAGACTGCAGCAGTGTAGACCATCAGCACCCGGCCTCCCTGCCCCACCAGGGGAAGACTCAGCCCAGGTGGCGTCTAAAGGAATGGCAGCTGAAGGGGGCTTAGCTTCAGCTTTAGATAAAATTTTTGAATCTTTGGAAAAGTTGAGCAAACAAGTGGCTGAAGCGACAACTAAAATTGATCAAAACACCACAAGCATCAATAACTTGGGGCAGAAGGTGAACTCAAATACAGAATCTATTGAGAAACTGCTGCAGGAATCTACCTCGAATCGAAAAACAGCTGAAGAAGCTAAGCAAAAAGCATTGGCTGTGGAGGAAAAGATAGAGGAAAAGATACCACCGATATGTAGGCAGTTGGAGGATCATAAGTCATTGCTGTCTATGATCGAATTAAAAGAAAAACAGATAAATCTAAGGATCAGGGCGGTACCTGAACTTGAGAAAGACAACTTGAGTGACTTTCTTACGCAGGAATTTACAGACTTTTGGGACTTAGACCCAGACAAGTTAGACTTCAAGATAGTAAGTGCTTTTAGACTTGGAAGAGAAAGAACAGGGTGAGAGACTGTTTGATTACCCTCCGATCAAGAAAGGAGAGAGACAGAATATTGAGCCTGCACTTCCAGAAGACCTTGGAAATAAAGGAATCAAGAGTGGAGATATTTAAGGATATCCCTAAACATCTTTTGGATCTCAGGTCCAACTACGGAGACTTGGTGGCCCTGCTAAGAGCAAATAGAACCATTTTTAGGTGGGAATTCCCTCAAGGCCTATCTTTTACTTTTAAAGGGAAAAGTTCAAAATAAGATCAGTGGAAGATAAAGAAAAATTTCTGAAAGATCACGAAGAAGATTTGCAAAAAGAAACTGAAAAAGAGCCAAGAGCTTTAAAACCAGGAATACAGGACATAGTATCACTACCTTTGGGATTGGACAAGTTAGAGAAGGTGATACCACCAACAGAACAAGAACAATTACTTGGTGCAGTTGGAGGAAAAGTAAAATAAATACACCATGTCTCTGCAACTATTAAGTTGGAATATTCATGGATTTAATTCCCCGGAGAAAAGGGAAAAAGTCTTTCATTTATTGAAAAAGGAACAATTGGACTTGATTTGTTTGCAGGAAACACATGTGATAAGGCTCCATAGGAAAGTATCGATTAATAAAAGATTAGGCCAGGAGTTTATTTCATCGGACAACGTTAAAAGAGAGGAGTTGTAATTTACACGAAAGAGAGCCTATCACCGAAATTTATTTTTAAAGATGATCAAGGAAGATATGTGGCAATTGAAATTCAAACACAAGGAGAAAAATTTCTGATAGTAGGAGTATATGCACCAAATGAGGGGAAATCTGAATTTTTTAAGAAGTTGCATGAGACATTGTTAGACTATATGGATTACAACATTATCATGATGGGAGATATGAATGGAGTGGTATCCACAAACATGGACAAGTCGCAGAGACAGGTAGTTACCAAAGATGGTAGACTACCAAAAACTTTTTTGAGATGACTGACAATATGGATTTGATTGACATTTGGAGAATAAAGAATCCCTTGGCTAGGGAGGGAACCTTCTTCTCTGAAGCCAAAATGACATGGACAAGAATTGACCAAATCTGGATTACTAGAGGACTGGCACCTAAGACTCGAAAAGTGGAAATTTGCCCTAAAACCTGCTCCGACCATAATGCTGTGAAAATGGAGATGAAATTAACACCTACCGGCTCCTTCAGATGGAGGATGAATGACACCTTGTTTAGAGATCAAGAAATTACCAAGAAGGCCCAAAAAACCTTGAGAGATTACTTTGAGATAAATATGAACACCACCATTGAAAAAAGAGTAATCTGGGACGCAAGTAAAGCAGTTATGAGAGGGTTTCTAATTCAACAGAATGCAATAAAGAAGAGAACTCAAAATGAGAAAAAAGATAAAATTTTGGAAAAAATAAAAGAGGGGGAGAAGAAACTGAGAGCGAAACCAAAATCACAAGAGATTCTGAGAGAAATAAAGTTATACCAAGTTCAATATATGAAGATGATGAATCAGGAAATAGAATGGAAAATTAAACAGATGAAACAAAGGACATTTGAATCGGCTAATAAATGTGGAAAACTGTTAGCTTGGCAAATGAAAAAAGACAAAAACTTAACACCATTACCAACTTGGAAGTGGAAGGAAAGAACATCCAGAATCCAGTGGAAATTAGAAAATGCTTCCAGAGGTACTTTAAACAGCTATATACACAAGGGCCACAGAAAGAGTGCGATTTAGACAAATTTTTAAAAACAAATGGACTTCAAAAAATCTCCCAAGAAAATAAGTTAATGTTGAACTACAAAATAACAGAACAGGAGGTGGAAGGTGCCATTCAGAACATGCAGTTGGGCAAATCTCCAGGGCCAGATGGTTTAACCTCAAAATATTTTAGGTCCTTGAAGGATTGGATAATACAACCATTAAAGGAGGTTTGCAATGAAATTTTGGAGGGGGGGAAAGCGCCAGAGTCGTGGAAGGAAGCTTATATTACTCTAATACCGAAAAATGAGTCTGAAAAGACACAACTTAAGAACTACCGCCCCATATCCCTGCTTAATGTGGATTATAAAAATTTTGCAGACATTTTGGCTAAAAGGTTAAAAAAGTATTAGTGGAGGAGATACATAAAGACCAAGCTGGCTTTCTCCCGGGTAGACACTTGTCTGACAATACGAGGAATATAATCAACATTTTGGAGATGCTACAAGTGAATATTAATACTAAAGCTGTTTTAATTTTTGTAGATGCGGAGAAAGCCTTTGATAATATTTCTTGGAGTTTCATGAAGAAAAATCTTCAGGGGATGGGGGTTGGTCAAGGGTTTGAAAATGGTATAAGTGCAATTTACTCAGAACAAAAGGCTAAACTAATAGTTAACAATGTGGTGACAGAGGAATTTAAGATAGAGAAAGGGACACGACAAGGCTGCCCAATTTCCCCATTGCTGTTTATTTCGGTCCTGGAGGTTTTGCTAAATATGATCAGAAGGGACCGTCTGATTAAAGGTATACAGGTCGGAGCTAAACAGTACAAATTGAAAGCTTTTGCAGATGATTTAGTATTGACGTTACAGGAGCCAGAATCTAGTACTAAAAGAGTATTAGAATTGATTCAGGAATTTGGTCATGTGGCAGGATTTAAGTTGAACAAGTTAAAAACTAAGGTGCTTGAGAAAAATTTAACACCGATTGAGAAAGAGAGGTTTCAGAAGGAGACAGGTTTAACATTGGTTAAGAAAGTAAAATACTTGGGGGTTAACATGACTGCTAAGAATTTAAACCTATTTAAAGACAGCTATGAGAAATGTTGGTCAGAAGTGAAAAAGGATTTAGAGATATGGTCAAACCTGAAGCTTTCCTTGTTAGGACGAATTGCTGTTATAAAGATGAATGTATTGCCAAGAATGTTATTTCTGTTTCAATCATTGCAAATCTTGGACAAGATGGACTGTTTCAAGAAGTGGCAGAGAGACATTTCTAGATTTGTCTGGCAGGGCAAGAAGCCCAGAATAAAATTTAAAATATTAACCGATGCAAAGGATAGAGGTGGATTTGCCCTGCCAGACCTTAAACTTTATTATGAATCAGCAGCATTCTGCTGGTTGAAAGAATGGCTGCTTCTTGAGAACACAGACATTTTGGACTTAGAAGGTTTTAATAATGTTTTTGGGTGGCATGCATATTTGTGGTATGACAAGGTTAAAGCACATAAAGCATTTAAAAACCATATTGTCAGGAAAGCATTGTTAAATGTCTGGATAAGATATAAGGACTTACTTGAAAACAAAACCCCAAGGTGGTTGTCACCGATGGAAGCAAAGGCTCAGAAAAGGCTCAATATGGAGGCCAAATGGCCGAAATATTGGGAAATTTTGGAACAGGAAGGAGACAAACTGAAATTGCAGAGTTTTGAGAAATTAAAAGACAAAGTGCGAGACTGGCTTCATTATTATCAGATAATGGAGGCATACAATTTGGATAAGAAAATTGGTTTCCAGGTGGAAAAATCAAAATTGGAAACAGAACTGTTAGAACCCAAAACTAAGATTTTGTCAAAAATGTATAACTTGCTGTTGAAATGGAATACTCAGGATGAAATGGTGAAATCTGCTATGATTAAATGGGCACAAGATCTTGGACATAATATTATGTTTGCTGACTGGGAACAGTTGTGGACCACAGGTATGAAATTTACGGCATGTAATGCCTTAAGAGAGAATATTATGAAAATGATATACAGGTGGTACATGACACCAGTCAAGCTTGCAAAAATCTACCATTTGCCCGATAATAAATGTTGGAAATGTAAATTCATTCATTCATTCATCCTTTTTTATTCGACCGTCAGTCAGAAAAAAGTACATTTTATCAATACACAGTTAAAAGCATCCAGGAAGATTTTAAAACTTAGCCAACACTAAAATGGGCTAAACAGATAGCCCCATATCAATACAGTCAATTATAGTCTTGCGACGCTTAAAAGCTAAAAAGAGAAATTTGGCCACCAAGGAAGGTATAGCTCTGGTGGCGTTATTCAGCAAGTGTAAAACCTGGTTTTCTCCGGGTAGGAAGCTGAATTGACATAGGAGTGGGTCTATAAAATTTTGTCTAAGCTCTGCATAAGAAGGGCAAGTCAAGAGAATATGTTCAGTGGACTCAACCACACCCATGGCACAATGACAGGTTCTCTGGGCATATGGTACCCCCCTGTACCTTCCCCACAATCATCGCAGAGTCAAGGACATTTAATCTAGCCGCTGTAAGAAGTCTACGGTATTCCACATAATGGATTTCTGCAAGGTAGGGGGCTGGTATGGTCCGATAAATCTGGTCCCCTAGGAACATCCCTGGTTTTACCTGGGCTATGTCCTCTTGTCTGGCAATGTCACTCAGTCTCCGGGAGATCACAGCTCTAGCTTGATTGTACGTCATAGACTCAAAGTAAAGGTGAGACAATCCGCAGGATTGAACCTCATTAATGACCTCCCTTTCCCACGATGATTGGAAATCGTCCCTCAATATCAAGGGGGCAATACCCACTGGTTTAAAACAAAGCTTGAGCCATAGCCAGAGCTTCGTCTTCAAGGCCACATACCGTAGAGCTTGCCAGCCGACCTCTAATCTCATAACCGCACCCGCGACCGAGGGGGGAATCCTAAGGATGGCTCTAAGGAATCTCGCTTTGGATAGAATCCAGTTTCAAAAATCCCTACGGGAGCCTAAAGAGATGCCCACCAAAAGAAGGGGAGGACTTTCATTTGAAAGAGTCTCAAAGCTATCTTCACTGATTGAGCCTGATTCTTAGCATATAGAGATCTAATCTGGATGGCTGCTTTAGATGCGTTAGTTGTTATATAGTCTCTATGGGCCAGAAAAGACCTATTTGACCGTATTACTTGTCCCAGATATTTAAAGCAGTTAACCTGCTCTAGGGGGGTCCCGTTCATCGGCCATCGATGGAGTCTCGGTTGGAAATGTAAAGAAAATGAAGGTACATTCTTTCACCTTTGGTGGATGTGCCCAAGGATTAAGGCTTTCTGGGAGATGATATATAACGAATTGAAAAAGGTATTTAAATATACCTTCTTGAAGAAACCAGAGGCCTTTCTCCTGGGCATAGTCGGCCAATTGGTGCCAAAGAAGGACAGAACTTTTTTTATGTATGCTACTACAGCAGCAAGAATTCTCATTGCAAAGTATTGGAAGACACAAGATCTACCCACCTTGGAAGAATGGCAGATGAAGGTGATGGACTATATGGAATTGGCGGAAATGACTGGCAGAATCCGAGACCAGGGAGAAGAGTCGATGGAAGAAGATTGGAAAAAGTTTAAAGACTATTTACAGAAATATTGCAAAATTAATGAATGTTAGAATGATGTCGGATAGAAACTAAGTGGTCTTTAGCCGAAATGTTATAAGGAAATATGAAAAAAAAAAGGTTTATTAATAGGTAAAAATCTAAAATTACAAATACTTTATGATTAACGATTAGGATACATAAAGAGGGGAGGAATTTGTTGAACTAATAACTGAATTGGAATACAAAAAAGGGAGGTGTGAGGACGTCCTGGAAATAAGCAAATGAAGGCTAAGTAACGGAATGAATTGTTTTTAACTGTTTTTATTTTGTATTTTTCTTTTTTCTTTTTTTTCTTTTTTTGTCTTGTAATATTCTGAAAATCTTAATAAATATCTTATATATATATAAAAAGCAGAGACATCACCTTGCCAACAAAGGTCCGTATAGTTAAAGCTATGGTTTTCCCAGTAGTGATGTATGGAAGTGAGAGCTGGACCATAAAGAAGGCTGATTGCCGAAGAATGGATGCTTTTGAATTCTGGTGCTGGAGGAGACTCTTGAGAGCCCCATGGACTGCAAGAAGATCAAACCTATCCATTCTGAAGGAAATCAGCCCTGAGTGCTCACTGGAGGGACAGATCCTGAAGCTGAGGCTCCAAGACATTGGCCACCTAAGGATGTTGCAGGAACCCCCCCCCCCATCATTCAGTTTGTACAAGCACGACATACGCGACACTTCTGTTATAAATTCTAGAAAATAACCAGTACATCGGATCTGTACCGTTCCACTTTTTATTTTACACCATGAAGGAAGGACTATCAAAGGGGGGAGACTTGACACAAGGCAGCCAACCCGTCCACAGCGAGCCCTACCCAGTTGGCATGACAACCTTGATGGTCCTAGACAGAGGATCATTACACTCACAAAGGACCTGCATATGGAAGTGGATTCAGTACGAACTGAAACAAAGGACAGTGATCAGCTCTTCCCTCTGGGGACAGGAAACGGCAAACTCCCCTTTGTCCTCTGGGAAGTACTCATGGGGAGGGGGAAAGGAGGAACCAGCCAGGTGACAGGACACTCAGGTAACCACCACAACTCCTCCCTCAACCCCTCCTTTTTGTGATGTATCAATGATGTAGTCATGATGTAGTCTTAGGGGTGTAGCATGAGGGATTAGTAGCTAATAAAAGCTGGGGTCTCCTTTTGTTCGGGGCTTCCATCTTATTCCACCTTGTGGCACCTTGTTGCGACAGTCTTCAATAAAGACCAAGCCTACTGGCTGCTGTTTTGCTCCAATTATCCTGGTTGGTGTCTTTGCTTTTTGTCCAAGGGAGCCCTTGGATTTTTCTGTTAACAAGGAGAAGAGAAGACTCCCTGGAAAAGACCCTGATGTTGGGAAAGATGGAGGGCACAAGGAGAAGGGGACGACAGAGGACGAGATGGTTGGACAGTGTGCTCGAAGCTACCAGCATGAGTTTGACCAAACTGCAGGAGGCAGTGGAAGGCAGGAGTGCCTGGCGTGCTCTGGTCCAGGGGGTCACGAAGAGGCGGACACCACTAAAGAACAACAATTGTTGTCTCTTAACCTTTGCTCTTGTTTCCTTAGTTGTGTTTACTCAAGCTCTGCTGGTGAGCCCATTTCTTTACAGTATTTCTGTAGATTTAACATGAACGATTCCCAGTCTGTTTTCGAGTCTCTATTGTCTTTGTCTCTTTGCCTGAGTTTCACCATTTCTGCATATTTCTTGAGTTTAACTTGCCATTCTTCTTTCGTCGGTGTCTCGTCATCTTTCCATTTTGGGGCTAGTAGCTGCCATTGTAGCATACATGAACAATTTCTTCTGCTCTTTTGGGAGTTCCTACCCTATGATACCTAACAAGAAAGCTTCTGGTTTTTTAAACAAAAGTTGTTTTAAACATCTTCAATTCATTATATATCATTTCCCAATAATTTTTGATTACTTTACAATTCCACCACATGATAAAACGTACCTTCTTTCTCTCTACACTTCCAGCACTTATTCGAACTTGTTCTATACATTTTTGCAAGTTTAATGGGAGTCATATACCATCTATACATCATTTTCATGTAATTCTCTTTCCAAGTTATAAAATCAGTAAATTTTAAATCCACTTTCTATAATTTTTCCCAATCTTCCATTTGTATATTGTGACGTAAATCTTCTTGCCAATTTAATCATTACGCATTTAACCTCTTCATCTTTAGTTACCCATTCTAGCAATAAATTGTTCATCTTTCTTCAATATTTTAGTGTTGTCTTCTATGATTTCTCTTTGAAATTTAGATAAAGTGTAACTAAATCCTTTATTTTTATCTTTTTAAAATACCTCATTTATTTGGAAATACTGCAACCAGTCATTGACATATTCTCAGATCTCTTCAAAATCTTTCAATTTTAATTTCCTTTCTGTTTCTGTTAATAGATCTCTATGAGAGCCATTTTTCCTTCTTGTTAATTTTTTTAATTGATGTTGCTTCTTGGGTGACAACCACCACGGAGTCTTTTGTTCTAATAAGTCCTTGTATCTTTCTCAAACTTTTAAAAGTGATCTGATTATATAATTATATAATCCTTTATGCACTTTTCCTTTCTCATACGACTAGTACGCATGCCATCTAAATCTGTTGTCATGTCCTTTTAATTCTAATATATCTGTATTTTCTAATTTGATCCAGTCCCAGATCCAAGCAATGCAAGCGGCTTCATAATATAATTTAAAATCTGGGAGGGAGAAACCTCCACTGTCTTTAATATCCATAAGTAATTTATGTTTTATTCTTGGTTTCTTCCCTTTCCATATAAATTTTGTAATATCCTTTTGCCATTTCTTGAAGCATGCTGCACTACTTATGACCAGTACTGACTGAAATAAAAAGAACACTTTTGGCAATATGTTCATCTTAATCACTCCGATTCTTCCTAGCAATGATAAATTCATTCTTTCCCATATTTCTAAGATTCCTTTTTATTTCATTCCAATTTTTTCATAATTATCTTTAATAATAATATTTTTGGTTGTCAACCAAATTCCTAAATATTTAACTTTTTTATGAATCTCTATTTCAGTATTCTGCTGTAGTTCTTTTTTATCCTTCTCTGATATTTTTTTCACTAACAGCTTTGTCTTAGTTTTATTTAACTTAAAGCCTGCCACTTGCCCAAATTCCTGTTTTTTTCCTAGAACTTTTGGAAGAGAGTTCTTAGGATCCTCAACTGTAATTACAAGGTCATCTGCATATGCCTTTAATTTATACAGTATGTCTTTTCCCCCACCGTAATTCCTCTAATGGTTTCATCTGCCCTGATGTTTCTCGTCAGGACTTCTAGAGTCAGAATAAATAATAGAGATGATAATGGACATCCCTGTCTTGTTCCATTCTGTATCTTACAATTATCTGCTACTACCTGGTTTACAATTGATTTGGCTTTTTGATCAGAATATATTACTTGAATATATATTCCTGAAATTTTCTGGCACAACAGGACACCGTGATGGAAACCAGAGTGCACGGAAACACCATTTACCTTCCTGCTGCAGCGGTACCTATTTATCTACTTGCATTGGTGTGCTTTCAAACTGCTAGGTTGGCAGAAGCTGGGACAGAGCAATGGGAGCTCACCCCGTTGCTTCCAATCACCAAGCCCAAGAGGCTCAGTGATTTAGACCGTAGCGCCACCTGCGTCCCCATACCCACTACATCACACTGGTTAGATTCAGCTGGTGAATGCAGGCAAGCACTCTTCCTCCTGGCCCGGGAGATCTCCTCATAGGAATGACAGTCCCTGCAGTGACTGTTGTGCAGGCATTCAGACTTTGGCTTTGTTTGCTCTTGTTTTAAGGCTTTTAGACTCTGTTTCATACGTTCTGGCCCCTGCATGAATTTTTGCCCTTCACTTTAACACATACACAATAGCAACATCAGAAGAGCCCTGCTGCCGCTGCTTCAGGCCAGACGGGACCCACCAAGTCTGGAATCCTGCTCCCCCAATGTCTCACGGGCTGCGTATGGGAAGCCTGCAAGCCAAACATGAGCACAACAGCACTCCCCACTACCATCACCCATGACTCCCAGGAACGAGTGCTCCATGAATGTTTCCCTTCAGAAGTTCCTCAGCCATCTTATAGAGATTGGCTGTACATGGTAACATCTGTCAGGCGGTTGAGTGAGAACTGTCTGCCTCTTCTTGGTGCAAAGGAGGCTCCTTGACTAGTCTAGCAGGAAGAAATCTGCATGAAACGCATCCTAAAGAAGCACGTTCCCCCTTCTGGGTTCTACAAGGGCAACAAAGACCAATAATTGACACTGGCATTAATGGCAGGATCTGGCCTAGATCCTGAAGGCACGGCAGACGTGGAATATTCCCTGGTGCCAAAAGCTGGAAGTTGTGGGTTATGAGGCTCAGGTATCTGAGTCAAATAAGCAGGGAAAGGACGGAGGGCCCAAGTGAAGTGGGCACCATGTAGGTGAGGCTGAATTGCTTTCCTAGTTCAGCTCCCCGGGGTCTGCAGCAGAGGGAGGCTTTTCCCAGGCCTAGGGCCAGGAGGCTTTGTGAAGAGCTGCTGGAGTTTGCTTCTGGGCCCAGCTGTGTACAAAACAGCCCACTTGCGTTCCTATGGCCCCTCTTACTGCAGCTAGAAGTTGATTTGATTATGCAAATCTAGAAGATTTATCTGGTCTGCCTGCAACCAGGGGTGCCAGTGGGATTTTCTAGGGAAAGTGCACTGTGGATTGGGTCCTCTGACCCTCTTGCAAAATAGTGCAAAACGTTACCTGTTATTGGTGTCATATACAAATAGTTTTGTTTTTACAATCAAGTAATGCTTAAATTTTATGAAATTAATTAATTAAGAATCAGTGCAAACACACATAATAAAATGTCTTGGGACACAGATTGTGAACAAGTGAAACATTGTATTTCCATAATTGAAAAGGCTTAACTTCTAGAACTTCTGTCTGCCACACAGTTGTTAAAGGCACAAGGAGCCTGCTTTCCCTCACTGCCAGCCCTAAACCAAAGCCATAGGGTAAGCCCTTTTTATCACAAATGGGCTTCTTAGTAGACATGTATACCACTGTACTGTAAGTCAGCTATAGATGACTTCTTAATGAGTGCACAACAGGAGACATACCTAAGCCTCTTGGCAAAATTTTCACATTTTGCCATTTGCAAAGGTGGGTTGTTGTTGTTGTTGTTGTTGTTGTTGTTTTTACATCCATGCATACTTACTGTATTTGCAGAAAGTAACACCACAGGAAAGATGCATCCTAACTACCAGGAGAAAAGGGTGGGCAAACTACAGAGTTTCTAAGGATTAGAAAGTGAATCACAAGCCAGAAAAGTGTGCTAAAGGAGTGGGGAAAACAGCAGTTCTTTAAGACACCAGGCAATAGGAATCTCTGGGGTCCTAAACAACTCACTCATCATTCACAGCTCTGACTTCACTCACTGGCTAAAAACCTTGAAAGGCAGAAGCAGCCAGATTGGCTCTTCTTACAGACAGTGTGTAGAAGGGGAACCTGCACATCTTGCTGCTTAACTTTATTTCCAGGAGGACTGGAGACTTACTTTTTTCAAAATAGAAATAGAAAGAAAACAGAGTCTGGGGCTGCTGGGGGCACATGGCATCCATGCCCCCTGGGCCCACTTCTGGATCTTCCTCTCTGGACCTCGTGGGTGTCCCTTGGAATGTGCATCTTACTACCGAAAAGCCTTTCAGCCTCTTACAGCACAGTAGGCCTGCACTCCCAGCAAGGGATGGACTGCGCTGGGTGACAGACTTTGAGCAAGGACACCAGCAGGATCTGAGGCTCATTTAGCCCAGCTGTCTTGATGGAAATAGGGCTTTGGCTATTTGACAAGGGAAGCCTAAGGGCAGTGGGGGTGGAAGAATATAATTACATAATTCACCTGAGCAAGCCCACCTGCAGAGAGGATCACAGCTGGCTTATCAAAGAGCAGCAGCAGCAAGCAAGGCCCCCTTGCTCGCCAAAGGCCAGGGCGCTGGCTGGCAGCATTCCTGTGCTGAGGAAATCCATGTAGTACAAGGGCCACTTGTTTCATCAGCACAAGCTCCTCAGCTTGCCAGCTGGGATGGTCTCCTCTCTTCCTCCCAAGTGCAGTTTGGGGGGATCTCCCAGCAACTGCCAGCCAATTTCTGCGGGCACAGCGGGAGAAAGGAGCCCTCATGCTGGCTCTGTTCTGCTGGCAAGACTTGCCAGTTGAATCTTGCCTTGGGGTTTGCTTGGGGGAGGGGCAGCCCAACCATGGAGGCAGCACCAGACAAGCGGCTTCTGCTAGCTCCCCACCCTCTTTCCCACAAGCGGCAAGGCTGATGGTGCTGAAGCAGGGCATGCATTTGGGTTGCGGGCTCCGTGCTGGGGCAGGATGTTGGGTGCAGGTGAAGCAGCTTTTTGGTCCAGAGAAGAGGGGAGGGTCCCCCACAGGGCCCTCTTCCTGCCTCTGCCTGCCTTTCCTGAGAGCTGCTTTGCCTCTTCCCAGGGGACAAACCATCCAGCTGACTGGAGCTGCAGGCAGTGGCATAGCGTGGGGGGTGCAGGGGGGGCCGGCCGCACCGGGCGCAACATCTGGGGGGGCGCACTCTCACTCGCAGCTCTCTGCCCCCTGCTAAAATCCACGGGTTAGGGGGCGCAAATTACTTGCCTTGCCCCAGGTGCTGACAACCCACACTACGCCACTGGCTGCAGGCACCCGAGCTGGGCTCCAAGGGAGGCAGGCAGAGCAGCTGAGGCTGCGCAGGATCCCGGCCCTCTTGCCCAGAGAAGAATGGCTGGGAAAGGGCCAGTTCTCAGAAACGGAGGAGGCAACTGTTCCCCAAGAGGCTCGTTATATTTTAATATATTAATTGCTATCATCACAGGCACTGGCAAAGCAATGGGGGGGGGGGGAGAGGTTTGGCACCGCCAGCACAAGGTGCCCAAGGCAGGCAGCTCAGCAGGCTGCAAGCAGCAAACACAACATACATCACAAGAGAGCAGAATCCGCACACATTGCCTGCCCAGAGCAGCAGGGCACAGCTGAGCAGCTCAAAGTGGCGGCGGCAGAAGCAGCTTCTGAAGCAGGGGGTTCCTGGGGCCCAGCTCCTTCCCAGTCCAAATGCCAGCAGCTCAGCTGCCCCGTGGCTCCCGACCCTTCCGAGAAGAACGAGGTCCTGGGACTTCCATCTTGGCGCCCCCAATCTGGGACGGACAGGAGCAGAGGGGGGAATCCAGCGGGTGTGGTGGCCCAGCTAAGGCCTCTGGAGCTCTGCTTCCTTCTCGTGGCTCTGAGCCTGCCACCCTCTCCATCGTAAGGGGACGCTGCGGAGCAAGAGGGGCCACCGGGGGCTCTGAGCAAGCCTGCACTTCCTCTGCCACACCCCCAGCAGAGGGAGATGGAGGGGCTGGTGGAAATGCAACTGTTCCTGAGATTCGCCTGGCCAGCGCCAACTCTCAGCCCTGCCCAGCTCTTCCTGGTCTTCCGGTGGGGCACCCTCAGGGCTCCTGGTGCCTCCCCCACCTGGCTGCTGCCCTCCAAGCCAGCCTTGGCACAGAGGAGCCCTCCGGCCCACCACGCCCAAGGTGGCTCCTGTCCCTTCTCCTATGGGGCCCACCTGCCCCGGACCACGCTGGCTCAGGAAGGAGGAGGGTGCTGCTTGCGGAAGGCGCTTTCGAGGAAGGCGGCCAGCTTGTCACAGTCGTCCTGGGGGAGAAGAAGAGGCAGGGTCAGCGGGGGCTCCCCTCCCGCTCCCCCATGCTGGGCCTCAGTGGCAGCCCCCCTCCTCCTCCCAGTTGGCCCCTAGGGGGAGGCTTCTGTCCAAGTGCAGCCTGGGGCATTTGCCCCACTGCCTTCCGCCCCAGCTCTTCCATGCCCTTTCTCTCTGCCCCCAACTTCCAGGGAACCCAGCAAGAAATTGAACACAGGGCTGGCTCTGAGCTGGCTCTCGGCTCCCTGCCAGGTGACCTTGGGCCAGTTGCCATCCCTCGCCTGGCTGACAGGGTTGATGCAAGGATGAAATGGGGAGGGGGAGCACCGTGTGTGCCACTTCTTGGCAGGAAAGGGGGGGGATAGAAATGTAATAATCAAAATAGATTTGAAAAAGAGGGTGGAGAATTGGCAGTCTGCCTCTGCAGCTTTGCATGTGGCTCATCAAACCAGCCGCCTGAGAAACAGTTTTTATCCAAATGCGATTTTGGTTTTAAACGCAGTGTAAGGTAGTCTCTGTGGGAGTATATTGTATTTAATTATGGGGTATCAGAGTTTTTAGGGGGTTAACTAGGCTGGAATAGCTGGGATAGCAGGCTTGTTGGTTTTTGAATGTCTGGTGTAGATTTTTTCAATTTCGTTGTTCTGTTCTATGGGACAATAACAATAAAGATTATCGTATCGTATCGTATCGTAACCTGAGTTTGAGAGGGTAGCCCTGGAAGAGGAGGGCCTTTTGGTGCCCCCATGTCAGCTGACTGAGGGGGATCAGGAAGGCAGGAGCCCACAGCCCAGCAGGGGTGGGGGGCTGGAGGTGGGGGCTGTCGCCCTCCCGGAATTGTTGATCCACAACTCCCACTGTAGCCACTGGCCACGCTGGGTAGGGAGGGGCAGAGGCTACGCAGAAAAAGGCACACAAAGAGAAAGGGGAGAAGAAAGAAAGAAAGAAAGAAAGAAAGAAAGAAAGAAAGAAAGAAAGAGAAAGCGCTTGTGGAACTTGACAGCTTGGATTATTTTCCTAGGCAGACAGAACTGACTGAAAAATGCAGCCCCACCTGTTTTTCACCTGCTTAATCCCTGGGAGGAGCAGGACCAGATCTCTTGCCTCAAACAAACCTTCCTTTTCTCTCTCATTTGCTTCCCTCCTCCCCCCTTTCACCAGGGGGTGGGCCCTGAAAAAGCTCACCGGGCTGATGAATCCATAGTGCACAAGCTCCACAGCCAAGTCCTTGGGATTGTCATCTGCGGAGGAGAGGAGGAGGAGGAGCTGCTGAAGGGGGGGTCACCAAAGGGCCGGAGGGCCGGCTGGTATTTCAAGCCTCGTGGCAGTGAGTGAGAGGCGAAAGGAAGACTGGCGTGGGGAGGGACCCCCACAAAGCGTGGGAGGCACAGCTGACCCCAGGCCAACAAAGCAGCCCCCCAAGGCCATGGCTGTGCCACTGGGAGCCCTCCACCAATGTCTCGGGTCCAAGAACCAGGCAACTGTGAGGGGTGGGTACCGGGGAGGCCCACCTGCCCTGGGGGAATGGGGAGTCCACTCACTTGGCAGCAGGTCGTAGCTCAGCTGGCGGTGAAGTTTGTCTTCCAGGACCAGAAGGAGCGTGAGCTGGGAGGACACACATGGAGAGTGTATGGGGGGGGGGAGCTCTTGAGGGAGAACCTTCCCCCCCCATGTGTGAGAAGGGGAGGCTGGCTGACGGCACCTGCAGGGCACCCACAGAGCTGCCGCCTCTCCTCTGCCCCACAGCCAGGGCTCCCTCCTGCCCTCTTCCCAGCCCTGCCCAGGAAGGGGGGGGGACGTACCCGCCATTGCCTCTTCTCCTCGCTCCACTCCATGCCGCACTGCATCTGCACCACCTGGGGGGGGAGGCAGGGACACTCCTCAGGAGGGGGCTCCTTGGCCCCCACCCCACGCTGGAGGGGAGGCTGGGGAAGGGGGTCCCCTGTGGGTGCTGAGGCCAGAGCCTGGGGGGCTCCACCGAGCCTACACTGGTTTCCCCCAGGGATGCAGGCTGGGGACTTTCCAAGCCCCCCACCCCAAAGATGCCCTTGGGGGGCTGAGGTCAGGATATTGCACATGTGGAGCAGACCCTCTGGCCGCTCCGTTGCAACTCTGCAAGGGCTGCTCTTACCTTTCTGGTCTCCACATCAAAGGGCTCTGGCGTGGGCGTCTTGGCCTTCTGAGGGTCCTCGGGGGGCTGGGATGTCGATCTGGGAAGCGTGTGGGGGCGGGTAGCAGCAAAGTTCATCAGGGGATAAATGCCGTTCCTGGGGTGAAAGGAGAGAAAGATAGGCCCGCTAGGAGCATCAGCCCCATGGACCCCACAGCCCGGTGGAGACTGGCAGCCAGAGCCCAAGAGGGTAGGGGGAGAGGGGGCTCTGGGGCTCAGCCCCCTAAGAGAGCAGCAGCTCGGCTTCTTCATCCATCCGTCTGCCTCACCCCCCATTCCTGGAAGGGGGGGGGGAGGCAAAAAGCAGGGCTGCTCCTCTGCAGTCCCAGAAGGCAAGGGAGCTGCACCCTTGGAATCCTGCTGTGGGGCATGAAGGGGGCAGGGGGTCCTGCACAGACCCACATGTGCAGCCCATGCACAGACTCACCTCACATCCTCCAGGAACTTGTCCAGCTCCAGGAAGGAAACTTCTGAGTATCTAAAGGGAAGAAAAGGAATGAGTTGCTGGCTGGCTGGCTGGCTGGGGGTGGGGTGGGGGTTCCCTTTGCCCAGCCCCACCCATTTCCCTGGCTGCCCACCTCCACTGCACAGGCGGGCGACCCTCTCGCTGGATCTCTGCCATGACGATGCTGAGGTCCAGCTGCTTGGTTTTCTCTTCCACCACATTCTCAGGCCACAGGTCTGCAAGAATCAGGCAGGCAGGGCTGGTTGGGGCTGAAGCAGGATGGCCCGGCCGGGGGGGGGGCGCCCTTCCCAGGTGCCCCCACTCCCACCCCCTCCCCAACTCACACTGGTTGCTGATGAAGCAGTGAGCGGCCAGGAGCTTCAGGGAGTGGACCTCAAAGAGGACGCGGTGGAAAAGGAGGTTGTGAGCCGTAGGACGCCGGTCCGGGTTCAGGAGGAGGCAGCCCAGGATGAACTCCTGCAAGGACACAGGGGCAGCGGGGGGCGGGGTCTTAGGGGAAGCTGGGCTCAGCGCCAGCCTCCTGCCAGGAGAGCCGGGCACCACAGCCAAGAGGCCGGCCAGGAAAAGCCACAGATCAGTGGCCACAGTGTCCAGGCAGAGCAGGAGAAAGGGCAGGGAGCGCAGAAGTGGGCAGCTGAGACGCTGCCAGGGAATTGCCACGTGGGACACACATTGGCTCCCCCCCCCCCCCGAGGACCTGCCTTGCCTCCTGGGAGCTTCCTGGCTCTGGCCTCTGAGGCCCTGCTTGACGCAGAACTGGGATTGCCAAAGGGGCTGAAGCATCCTCTGCATGGAGGTGGCTGGGCTCTGTCTCCACAGCTGGGGGCAGAGGGGCTTCTCAGTTCCAGTGGGTGGAAACCATGGGGCAGGGGGCAGCAAACTTTTTCAGCAAGGGGCCGGTCCACCGTCCCTCAGACCTTGTGGGGGGCCAGACTATATTTTGAAGGGGGGGGGAGGAGGAATGAATTCCTATGCCCCACAAACAACCTAGAGATGCATTTTAAATAAAAGGACACATTCTACTCATGTAAAAACATGCTGATTCCTGGACTGTCCGCGGGCTGGATTTAGAAGGTGATTGGGCTGGATCCGGCCTCTGGGCCCCCCACGCCATAGGGGGACAGAACCCTGCTTGCAGGTTTCCCACAATGGGCACCAGGTTGGCCACCATGAGAAGAGGATGCTGGACTAGATGAGCCCCTTTGGCCTGATCCAGCAGGCTCTTCCTCTGCAGTAAAGCTGCCCACCTCCCCCGCAGCCATGGGGCGTCCCAATCCTTTCACGATGGCTTGCTTCAGGCGTGTCCAACAGGTAGATCATGATCTACTGGTAGATCACGGCATATTCCTGGTTGATTGTGGTTGACCTCTGGCCCCTCAGCCATCTCCTTTGTTGTTGTTGTTTATTCGTTTAGTCGTGTCCGACTCTTCGTGACCCCCTGGACCAGAGCACGCCAGGCCCTCCTGTCTTCCACCGCCTCCCGCAGTTTGGTCAGGCTCATGTTTGTAGCTTCAAGAACACTGTCCAACCATCTCATCCTCTGTCGTTCCCTTCTCCTTGTGCCCTCCATCTTTCCCAACACCAGGGTCTTTTCCAGGGAGTCTTCTCTTCTCATGAGGTGGCCAAAGCATTGGAGTCTCAGCTTCAGGATCCGTCCTTCCAGTGAGCACTCAGGGCTGATTTCCTTCAGAATGGATAGGTTTGATCTTCTTGCAGTCCATGGGACTCTCAAGAGTCTCCTCCAGCACCAGAATTCAAAAGCATCAATTCTTCAGCGATCAGCCTTCTTTATGGTCCAGCTCTCACTTCCATACATCACTACTGGGAAAACCATGGCTTTAACTATACGGACCTTTGTTGGTAAGGTGATGTCTCTGCTTATTAAGATGAGGTCTAGGTTTGCCATAGCATGTCTCCCACGGAGCAGGCGTCTTTTAATTTCGTGACTGCTGTCACCATCCTGCAGTGATCATGGAGCCCAAAAAGTAAAATCTCTCACTGCCTCCATTTCTTCCCCTTCTATTTGCCAGGAGGTGATGGGACCAGTGGCCATGATCTTCGTTTTTTGATGTTGAGCTTCAGACCATATTTTGCGCTCTCCTCTTTCACCCTCATTAAAAGGTTCTTTAATTCCTCCTCACTTTCTGCCATCAAGGTTGTGTCATCTGCATATCTGAGGTTGTTGATATTTCTTCCAGCAATCTTAATTCCGGCTAGGGATTCATCCAGCCCAGCCTTTCGCATGATGAATTCTGCATATAAGTTAAATAACCAGGGAGACAATATACAGCCTTGTCGTACTCCTTTCCCAATTTTGAACCAATCAGTTGTTCCATATCCAGTTCTGACTGTAGCTTCTTGTCCCACATAGAGATTTCTCAGGAGACAGATGAGGTGATCAGGCACTCCCATTTCTTTAAGAACTTGCCATAGTTTGCTGTGGTCGATACAGTCAAAGGCTTTTGCATAGTCAATGAAGCAGAAGTAGAAGTCTTTCTGGAACTCTCTAGCTTTCTCCATAACCCAGCACATGTTTGCAATTTGGTCTCTGGTTCCTCTGCCTCTTCTAAATCCAGCTTGCACTTCTGGGAGTTCTTGGTCCACATACTGCTTAAGTCTGCCTTGTAGAATTTTAAGCATAACCTTGCTAGCGTGTGAAATGAGTGCAATTGTGCGGTAGTTGGAGCATTCTTTGGCACTGCCCTTCTTTGGGATTGGGATGTAGACTGATCTTCTCCAATCCTCTGGCCACTGCTGAGTTTTCCAAATTTGCTGGCATATTGAGTGTAGCACCTTGACAGCATCATCTTTTAAAATTTTAAATAGTTCAGCTGGAATATCATCACTTCCACTGGCCTTGTTATTAGCAGTGCTTTCTAAGGCCCATTTGACTTCACTCTCCAGGATGTCTGGCTCAAGGTCAGCAACCACACTACCTGGAGTGTACGAGACATCCATTTCTTTCTGGTATAATTCCTCTGTGTATTCTTGCCGCCTCTTCTTGATGTCTTCTGCTTCTGTTAGGTCCTTTCCACTTTTGTCTTTTATTATGGTAATCTTTGTACGAAATGTTCCTTTCATATCTCCAATTTTCTTAAACAGATCTCTGGTTCTTCCCATTCTGTTGTTTTCCTCTATTTCTTTGCATTGCTCGTTTAAGAAGGCCTTCTTGTCTCTCCTTGCTATTTTTTGGAAATCTGCATTCAATTTCCTGTATCTTTTACTATCTCCCTCGTGTTTTGCTTGCCTTCTCTCCCCCGCTATTTGTAAGGCCTCATTGGACAGCCACTTGGCTTTCTTGCATTTCCTTTTCATTGGGATGGTTTTAGTTGCTGCCTCCTGTATAATGTTACGAGCCTCCATCCATAGTTCTTCAGGCACTCTGTCCACCAGATCTAAATCCTTAAACCTGTTCCTCGGTTCCACTGTGTAGTCATAAGGGATTTGACTTAGATTGTATCTTACCGGCCCAGTGGTTTTTCCTACTTTCTTCAGTTTAAGCTTGAATTTTGCTATAAGAAGCTGATGATCTGAGCCACAGTCAGCTCCAGGTCTTGTTTTTGCTGACTGTATAGAGCTTCTCCATCTTTGGCTGCAGAGAATATAATCAATCTGATTTCGATGCTGCCCATCTGGTGATGTCCATGTGTAGAGTCGTCTCTTGTGTTGTTGGAAAAGAGTGTTTGTGATGACCAGCTTGTTCTCTTGGCAGAACTCTATTAGCCTTTGCCCTGCTTCGTTTTGAACTCCAAGGCCAAACTTGCCAGTTGTTCCTTTTATCTCTTGACTCCCTACTTTAGCATTCCAATCCCCTATAATGAGAAGAACATCCTTTTTGGTGTCATTTCTATAAGGTGTTGTAAGTCTTCATAGAATTGGTCAATTTCAGTTTCTTCAGCACCAGTGGTTGGTGCATAAACTTGGATTACTGTGATGTTAAAAGGTCTGCCTTGGAATCGTATCGAGATCATTCTATCATTTTTGAGATTGCATCCCAGTACAGCTTTCGCCACTCTTTTGTTGACTATGAGGGCCACTCCATTTCTTTTACGGGATTCTTGCCCACAGTAGTAGATATGATGGTCATCCAAACTGAATTCGCCCATTCCCGTCCATTTTAGTTCACTGATGCCCAGGATGTCAATATTTATTCTTGCCATCTCATTTTTGACCACATCCAACTTACCAAGGTTCATGGTTCTTACATTCCAGGTTCCTATGCAATATTTTTCTTTACAGCATTGGCGTTTCCTTTCACTTCCAGGCATATCCGCAACTGAGCATCCTTTCAGCTTTGGCCCAGCCGCTTCATCAGCTCTGGATCTACTTGTACTTGTCCTCCACTCTTCCTCAGTAGCATGTTGGACGCCTTCCGACCTGAGGGGCTCATCTTCCAGCGTCATAACTTTTATATGCCTGTTGCCTTTGTCCATGGAGTTTTCTTGGCAGGGATACTGGAGTGGCTTGCGGTTCCTGCTCAGGTGGATCACGTTGCATCAAGACTCTCCACTATGACCTGTCCATCTTGAGTGGCCCTGCACGGCATAGCTCATAGCTTCTCTGAGTTATTCAAGCCCCTTCACCACGGCAAGGCAGTGATCCATGAAGGCAGTAATCAAGGCAGTGATTACAAAAAAGCATTGTTTAATGTTTGGATAAGATACAAGGATTTACTAGAGAACAAAACTCCAAGGTGGCTGTCACCAATGGAAGCGAAAGCCTTGAAAAAGCTCAATATGGAGGTCAAATGGCCAAAATATTGGGAAATTTTGGAACAAGATGGAGACAGATTGAAATTGCAGAGTTTTGAAAAAATATAAAACAAAGTGCCAGACAGGCTTCATTATTATCAGATAATGGAGGGATACAATTTGGATAAGAAAATTGGTTTCCAGGTGGAAAAATCAAAATTAGAAACAGAACTGTTAGAATCCAAAACTAAGAATTTGTCAAGAATGTATAACTTGCTGCTGAAATGGGATACTCAGGATGAAACGGTGAAATCTGCTATGATTAAATGGGCACAAGATGTTGGACATAACATCATGTTCGCTGACTGGGAACAGCGTCATAACTTTTATATGCCTGTTGCCTTTGTCCATGGAGTTTTCTTGGCAGGGATACTGGAGTGGCTTGCTGGTTCCTGCTCCAGGTGGATCACATTTGCTCAAAACTCTCCACTATGACCTGTCCATCTTGAGTGGCCCTGCACGGCATAGCTCATAGCTTCTCTGAGTTATTCAAGCCCCTTCGCCACGGCAAGGCAGTGATCCATGAAGGCAGTAATCAAGGCAATAAATTACAAAAAGCAAAAAAACCACCCCAACTTTGGCTTCCTAAAAAAGCACCTACAACTTTGGGTAGATCACTGCCAGTCTTTTTACGACAATGGGAAGATCACTGCCAGTTTTTTATACTGTGAGTAGATCGCAGTCTATTGGGAGTTGGACGTCCCTGACCTAGTTCATGCATCACGCAAAGCCCAGCGATGGCTTGGCAGGGAGAAGGCGCAAGCTCCATCCGTCCATCTGTCCGTCCATCCTGGTGCCGCCAGCACAGGCCCCAGACTCCCAACACAGCCCTCCAGCTGGAGCCAAGGCTTGTTCCTCCTTTGCTACTCGTGGCTTGTTGGGAAGCCAGATTCCCCTGTAATGTCCAGAGGTGTCCGGGCTTTGCCACAGCAGCAGGCAGGCCTCACTTTCATGCTGCTCACATGCCTGGCAGCATTCACCCTCAGAGAAAGGGCAGTGGGGTGTTCCAGGCGTCTACAATGGGGCTGGGGGCAGAGGGGTTGCCACAGCCACCAGACGGGCAGGCAGCCTGATCCCCTGCTGTGCCACCCGTGTGGGGAGGTGGCCAAGCGGCTTTCTCACCCGCATGATGGGGTCATCCAGAGAATGCCTCGCCCGCTCAATTGCCTCCTCCGACACGTAGGTGTCCCCATTGGACTGGATCTCCAGCACCGCCATCTGTGGGGAGAAGCAGAGGGGAGGGGGCAAGGGGGTGCAGCTGGGGCAGAATGAAAGGGGCAGCACGGCTGGAAGCAGCCCTTTTGCCAGAAGACAGTGCCTGGCCCTGGGAAGGAGCCCCTGCTGGAGAGGTGGTGGATGTGGGGAAGGGAGCCACCCCCACCCCCGAGGGCAGGGTCATCAGGACCCCTGGGTGGCCATCCGCACGCCCCAGCTTCCCTACCTCCAGAGCGCACATCCCAAAGGAGAAGATGTCCACAGCCGTCCCATCTGCCACGTCTGAAAAGCAAGCACAACCAGACCCAGCTGGCCAAAGCCCCGCCTCCAGGGAAGCCCCGCCTCCAGGGAAGCCCCGCCCACCCTCCAGCGGGCTCTTACACCACTACTCACGCCCGTACTCCGGGGGGAAGAAGTGCAGGTTGCGCTGCTCCTCTCTCTCTGCACGGATGGGGCTGCGGAGCTCAGGCGGGATGGCTGTAGGTGGGCGAGAAGGGAGAGGAAGGCTGGAGCATCCAGGGTGGATACAAGGATTAAACTATGGAACTCCCTCCTGCAGGAGCCAGTGGCAGCCACCAGCGTGGAGGCCTTGAAAAGAGGGTTACACAACTTCACGGAGAAGAGGGCCATCGATGGCTGCAGCCACCATGGCTCGGCTCTCCCTTCCACAGCCAGAGGCAGCGGTGCTTCTGAAGGGCTTACCGTAAGTGACAGCACAGTCTAGAGGGGCCCATCCTCCCCCAGGCAGCAGGTTGCGAGAGATCCCACAGCCTCCAGGAATGGACTGGGGCCAGAACAGAGGTCGGGGACCCCCCCAACACCCACACACTCCATTGCCCCCGAAGCCCAAGTGACCCAGAGAAGGTCCTCACGAGGAAGCAATCCAGCACTCCTGGAACTTAAGGGGGCTGTGCTGCCTCTGGTCAAACACAAGACCTGGAGCCCTGAAGAATGCGGAGGAAAACCCGCCTGCCGCTCCCTATGAAACAGGACAGGGAATACATTTGGGGGGCAAGAGGAAGAGGCAGCACTTACCCTTCGCAAAGACTCTGTGCCAAACTGCAGGGAGAGAACAGGGAGGGAGAGTTACTGAAAAGCAAGTGCTTCTGTGAAGCAGCAGAGGAAAGGCTTTCAAATGTAGCCTTGAGGCCCCTGCCTGGCCACTGGGGCAGCTGTGGGGCCGGACTATGTCCTCCCGTGTCAGTTTGCTCCACGGGTAGCAAAGCGGTTCTTCCCCCCCAGGGGTCCCTCCTGCCAAGGCCCAGGACCTGCTCCGTACCTGACCCGATCTTGATGAGCCCATTGTGCTGGATGAAGATGGTGTCACTGGTGAGATTCCCGTGGATGATGGGGGGGGTCGCAAGAGTGCAGGTAGCTGCAACAGGAAGAGAGTCGAGGGGCATTGGACTGCTTCTCCCCACAGAGATGGTGGGGCTGAGGCACTGCGGGGGGAGCAGCAGCAGTGGAGGCTCACCTGAGGGCCGAGAGGATCTGAGTGCACCAGCGCTTCCAAGCCTGTTTTGTTTTTTGGTAGGGGGAGCAATGAGAGATCAAGTCAGCTCAGGAGACACCCACCCCCCGCCACCACATCGACTCAGTGCCTTTTTCGCTCAACAGGAGCAGCTTCCACCTGGACAGGGCAGCCGCCTGCCCTGAATCCACCTTCACCCACCCATCGGGGGGGCCCCAGTCAGCCTGTGGGGAGTAGCTTCCTTCAGAGGAAGATATGTCTTGCCTGACCTGCTGCTCCTGTTGCAAGGGTTCCTCTGGCTTTCCCCCAGCCCCCCTACCTGCCCTTGTACCACACCTGTCGCCCTGGGGGACAAACTGGAGCATCTCTGCAGGGGCCTGGGGGAAGTGGGGCCTGGGGGGCAGGCAGGGGTCCTACCCGGGCATTCATAGCCTTGTGGTTCTTCTTGGTCTTCTTGAGGAACTGCTTCAGGCTTCCGGAGGAGACGTACTCTGTGATGAAGATCACCTGGTGGGGGGGACCAGGTGGGTGAACCTGAGGGGTTGACCTGATGCCCCAGGAAGCATCTCAGGCACCGCATTTCCCACAGTAGCCCCAAGGGGGAGAGGCTCCTCCATCGGCAAGGTCTGGAAAGGGGCACCCAAAGACAAACCCAGCCCCCAACAGAAAGAAGGTTCTAGGAATCCTCCCTTCCGCCGGGCTCTTACTATCCTTAGGATCCTGCCCTGGACCTGCTACCTTTCTTTCTGGGCACCAGCCAGGTGGCTATTTCGTACACAATGGCTTTGCCGAAACCAGGGAATGGGCACCAGACTTTGGATGTGTGGGGCTCCCCTCCACTCTGACATGACCAAGTCAGGCTCTCGGTCACCTGGCAGGAGGGTCTTGCCAAGTCAGCCCTGCGCTGGCAGCCTCAGCAGCTGCTGCCGCTCCAGCTGAGATGGGAGACACTGCCAGGATTGAACCCAAGGGTTCCCATCTGGAAAGCAGTTCCTCTGCCCCTGAGACCCCTACACAAGCCCACCTCCCCAATGGTGGTCACCCTCAACCTGTTTCCCCACTCAGGGTAAGGTCTGGGCCCGTATCGTGGAGGGCGTATCCCTGGGGCTGCGGGCAGCCCTGCCAAGCCTCCGTGGGGGCCCCCTGCCTCACCTGGGCCTTGATTTCCTTCACATCCAGCCAGTACTTGTGGACCTTCACGATGTTGGGGTGGTCAACGACAACCAGCTGCTCAAACATGGTCTTGATCTTCTCCTGTTGCCAGAGGAAGTGGGCAGGGAGGGGAGACTCAGCCATGGGGAACAAGCTGGGGGTCTGGAGCTGGGCAGGGGGAAGCACCGCCTTCTTTGGGGAAGAGTGCTTGGTGTGCACCACCCCCAAGGTCTAGGGGGTTGCCAGCCTCACCTCATGAGCTTTGAAAGCCGCCTTGTCCGTGAACTGCAGCTCATTCCACACGACCTCCACGCCTTCCTCTGTGTCCATGGCCAGGAAGGTGCTCTGCAGTCCAGGCATGTTGCCCTGGTTGACCTGCGGGGAGAGACGCAGCTTCAGCGCGCAAGAGGCTCAGAGCGGCTGCAGGACGTGGGCCCTGCCCCCCCAGAGCACAGTGGAGTCACGGCCCCAAGCAAGCACTGGGAGACTGCTGCAATGCGTTGCGCATGGGCCTGCCTTTGGAGACGGTTTGGAATCTGGCTAGTGCAGAAGGCAGGGCTCTGTGGCTGATGGGAAGAAGGAGGAGCAGATCTGTTTGCAGCAGGGGACGTGGGCTATTGCTTCATTTTTGTTTTTGTTTTGTATTCTGTGTTATTTATCTTGTATTTTTATGTTGTGAACTGCCCTGTTATCTATGAATGGTGGTGAACAACAACAACAACAACAACAACATTTAACACTGTTTCTTGTGGAAACTGCTCTGGCCTAATTCAAAGTGATGCTTTCAGCCCTTTAAACCTCCCACAGCTCCTGGACTTCCGGGGTGGCGCCATTGGCAATGGCGGGCTCCCTCTGAACCGGAGGGACCAGCTCCGCGCGAAACGGGTCTTTCCACTGCGGTGAAGCGGGGACCCTTTTAGAAATCACAGGCAGATGAAGCCTGTGACCGTGGGACTCGGCGGGCACCCTTAGCGCCCCCCCAACCCGCAAAGGAACCCACTAACGGGCTCCGGGCGAAGAGGGGAAGTGGCGCGGTGCTGTGAGTCAATTGCTTTTTCCGTGGAGCGAAGCCGCATAGCCATTGCCAGAGAGCGCTGCCTTTTCCTGGGACAATTTGGCATCTAAAATAATCACCCGTGAGTACTTAAACATTGAACAATTGGACTTCAAATAAGAACTGGCGATTAGAAAGGAATTGGACTTAAAAATTTACCTTAATTTGGTACTGAAACGGGAAGGTCTAAACAGGAAGTCAGCCTTCCGTTTCCTTGTAGTCAGAAGAAAGCAAAGACAACGTAAACTAGAGCTTAGAAAATCACTTTCAAAGGATTGGTTTTCACCATTTAAAATCGTTGAACCCCCCTTCGGTAGCAGGAGAAGAAGGGGGATCTTTTTTGGACTGTTTAAACCTGCAGAAGTGAGTTTAAAGTAAAGTAACTTTCCACCGTCCTGATCCTGGAGCGGGGTGTCAGAATTGACGTTTGAAGCTCATTGACCAGACACAAATGTTTTTGACAGATAGTTAAAAGAAGAGTAACATTGTGATTCCACTGTTTCCTTTCGCATTTTAAAGGAACAAATATTGACAAAATATCCTAAAAAAGAAAGAAAGAAACTTTGTTGCTATTGTCCTTAAAAGAAAGAACAACCAGAAGTTTTCCCCCTAGAGGGGGACTGTGAAACTGTAACTAATTTTAGGGAGCTTGCAGCTGCCACAGATTACAACCGTGGGAAAGGACTTGTGACCTTGCAGGACAATGTTTTCAGAAGCACTGTTGGGTGCTTTCTGTAAAATAAATGCCCTATTGGATCAGTTAAGCCAGAAGATGGATTTGATGACTAATGCGGCCAGAACATTTGAACAGGTAGTGGGAAACTATATGGAGCCCACCCAGGAACTTAAACAGGAGTGTGCCATGACAGAACAGTTGAGAGAAGAGGATGTTGCTGAATCTTGGGCGCCAGAAAGGGAGGAACTTTTGGCCCTGCAGGAAAATGAGCCTTTGGATCTGATAAATGAACTTGGAAAAAACCAGATTTTGAAAGATAAAGTTTGGATTGATTTGGAAATGGGGGGTTGGACTGACCCCCCTATGCAGAGATGTTTGGACTTTCCGAGTCTGGCAATGGGCCGTCATATGATTGGATCTGTTGGGTCTCTCAATTTTGGAGGGAATTTGAAACATGTCTTAAAATACCACATGGAGTCTAATCTGGACTATGGGAAAGGGGCTGATTTGTTGAAAAGGGTCAAAAACACTACCAAGCTGGAGTTCCCACGAGTGAAAGGAAAATATGAAGAAGAGCTGCGGAAGGGACATGGAAGAGACTTGAAGGCCTCGGATATAAGATCACCAGGTTAATGTGCCAGACTAATGGGATAAAAAGGACTGACAAACCCGGGACCAGGAGGAAGGGACGCTGGAAGAAGATTGGATTGTTCTTATTTCTTTTTCTATCATTAGGAATGTTTTATAAAATTGATGAATGTTAGAAAAATGTTGAAATGAAATTACTTGGCTCTTGTAAAAATGTTTAAAGAATTAGGTAAAAAGGTAATGGTTATGAGAAGTTGGTAAAAATAAGATTTAAGTTTTAAGCTTTAAGGTTTTTTATAAGATAAGATGAAAATAGAGTAAGGTAATGTAATGACAGAATACTATGAATTATGGAAAGGATTTGCTGTGACAACTATTAATCAAGATACAAGAAAAGGGAGGAGGAGAAGGTCATAGAAAGAAGGTAATGAAAGTGGAGAATTTGAAAATGATGGTTTTATTTTTTTATTTTTCTGTTTTGTCTTTTTTCTTTGTAATTTTTTAAAAAAACTTTTTTCAATAAATATCATTTAAAAAAAAACAAAAAACCCTCCCACGGCTCCTGACTCCTAACCCCAGAGGACTGTCTCTCTGCACATTTACCTGCCTAGCCCCAGAGATCCTCACCTGAGCCCCTTCTGGGTGTGCCATCTCCTGGGAGAGCTAAAGGAGCAGCAAAGTGATCTGGGGTGGATCGACTCCCCCATGAAAGAAGGTTGAAGTATTTGGGACATTTAAGTTTAGAGAAAAGGCGAGGAAGGGGCAGCATGAGAGCAGCCTCTGAAAGGATGCCTGGCACAAAGGAAGTGGAGAGAGGAAAGGTTTTCCTCCCCGTCGTAGCGCTGGAACTCCGGGACATTCAGTGAAGCTGAATGCTGGAAGATTCAGGACAGATCCAAGAAAGTCCTCCTTCATGCAGCCCAGAGTCCAGCTGTGGAACTCTCTCCCACGGGAGGCTGGCATGGCCACCAACTTGGAGGCCTTCAAAACAGGATTGGACAACCCCCCAGAGGACAGGGCTAGTGGAGGCCCCCAGTCCTAATAGCCAAGCTCTGCAATTCTTCTGAATGCCCCTTGCGGGAAAGCGCAGCAGGAGAGAGTTGCTCTGGAGCCTGCCTGCAGGTTTCCTACAACAAGCATCTGATTGGCCACTGTGAGAACAGGATGCTGGACTAGATGGGCCACTGGCCTGATCCTGCTGGCTGCTTCTGTCCTCAGGGCTGGTGAGGAGAGAATGGGCCTTTTCTGCAGCAGCTTCCCAGCTAGAAAATGCCCCGTCCCCAGGAGACCCAGCTGCCTCCAGCTTGTCTTATTTTCAGTACCATGCAAATCTGTCTTTGCCTTTCTGGGCAGCACCAGCGACTGGATGCTTTTATTTTGGTTATGTCTTAATATGTTCATGTATTTTCTTCTGCTTCGTTGTATTTTATTCTTCTAAATCGTTGTGGGACCATCTGTTGTGGGAAGCTATTAATAAATTTGCTAAGCTAACCCCCATGATCAAAGGCAGTATATTTCCGAATACAAGGAAGGGTGTGCATGTGTGTGTGGGGGGGAGCCTATTGGGCTCCTGTCCTGCTACTCAGCCTCTGTGGGGGGCACAGAGCTGATGGGGATGGGGCAGGAGGCACACTTTCCCAGCCTCTCTGGGGGTGGCATCCAGGGCAGGCAAAGGAAAGTGGGATATCTTTTAGTAAACACTGAGATTCCCAGGATGCTGGGGGGGGGGATGTAGCCAGTGGTTCCCTGGGGGGAAGAAAGATCGCCATGGCCCCCCAATTGGCCAAGCTACCTGCGCCCAGACCCAGCACATCTCCTTGGCAGAAATGGGTGGGAAAAACAAGGCCCCGGCTGTTGCTAGGCAAGGGCAAAAGGCAGCCTGCTAGCACAGCCCTGGGCTCTGTCCTGCTCTCCTGCCTGGCTGGCCACTCCTGCCTCAGGGGAAGTTGAGGCAGAGGGCTGGCGCCTGGACACGGGACCGCGGGTATGCCCTGCAGGGGGGCTGTGCCAACCCCTTGGCCCTTGGGCACCTGCCCGCTTGCTGTGGGGCCTCCGACAGCAGCAGGCACTGGCAAGGGGGGGGGGAGGCAAGAGCTGGCCCAGCACCTGCTGAAAGGCAGGATTGTTTGTGGCCCAGAGAGGACACCCTGTCCCGTCCGCCTGCCAGGCCTTGGGGCATCAGCAGACGTCTGCCTTGGCAGGCCAGGAGGGACAAAGGCCTCCAGCCACAGCGCCAGCCCGAGTTCATTAAGAGGGGAAGATGGAGCCGTCCTGGCAGCCGCGCCTCATGACCCAGTTCCTGCCAGGGGAACAAAGAGGCCCCATTGTCCCCATCCTCCCCCCCCCCACGCCTGGCCACCTGCCTCCCCCCAGGCCAAGGAGTGGGGTTGCCAGGGCCAGAAACCAGCCACCTTCACCCTGGGGTGGCTCCGCTGCTGGCTGCCCGGCTAGCTGGCATGGGGACCCCCTCTGTAAAAGGCCCAGAAAGGTGTGCCTGGGATGACACACTGGGGCAACTTGCAAGAACAGGGCACCCCTCACATGGGCACCGTGCCAAGGAGACCCACCAAGAGGGAAGGGGGTCTCATAGGCAGCGTCTGCCAGGAAGGACCCTGCCTGCCCCCTGGCCAAGGTGCAGAGGAAGCCACAGTTGGGCCAGTGGCCAAGCCCAACCAGGGAAGGCCTCGGACCCCACTGCCCATTGCCACTGAAACAGGTCGCAATCCGCCCACCTTCCCCACAGGCGCCACCCTCTTGCCAGTCTCTTAGATGGGACTGCAAAAGGGGCAGCCAAAGTGGACGTGAGACTAACTCCCCCCCCCAAAAAAGTCTTATTGAAGGTCTGTGTCCCCCCACAAGAGGCCAAGGGGGAGTGACTCACGCCAGAGCCAGTCTTTGTGGCACCTTTTTATTAAGCAAACCCAGGGCAGGGTCCCTGGGAGCAGAAGCCCAAAAAGGACTGGGGGGGGGGAGCAACACACAGGCATTTCTTCATCCAACAGCCCCCACCATTGTTGTGCGGAAAAGGCTGAGGCTGCTTTGCTGGTGCAAAAGGGTTCATTGCTCTTTCGCCTCTGGCTCTGTGGCCGGGGGGGGGGGGCATGCCAGGACACGGGTGGCATCGCTGAGAAGAGGAGGAGCAAAGGGCAAGGGGGGGAGAAAGAAATCAGGGCAGAGAGAGGGGACAGCTCAAAGCAGAGGAAGCGTGCTTTGCAGAGAAACACACAGGCGCAATAGGGGTCGAAGGTTTTTTAAGGCAGGGCAGGTCCCTGTCCCCAGAGGTTTACAGTCTAAATTTCAATGGGACAGAGAAATACGCCAGCCTCCTGGACGAGCTCCCTGAGAAGAGAGGGGCCTGGAAAGAGGGTGTCCTGGTCCCTGTGGGGAGGCCACTTCCAGACACTGGGGGTTCCTGCTGGGCACCTGAGCTGCTGCCCTGGGTTGGGGTTACAGGCTGAGGGGGTCACCCAGGGATTTGCAGTTCTGTGGTCTCAATGAGCAGGTGGCACCCAACTCTGTCTCTTCTTTCATTGTCCTGCTAAGGCAGGCATCCCCAACCTGCGGCCCTCCAGATGTTTTGGCCCACAACTGCCATGATCCCTAGCTAACAGGACCAGTGATCAGGGGTGATGGGAATTGTAGTTCAAAACATCTGGAGGGCCGAGGTTGGGGATGCCTGTGCTAAGGCATCTGGGGAGGTCCTGATCTGGCATTGGGAGGTGGCAAAGAAGCCAAAAGCCAACACAGACCTGGCACAGGTGCTGGTGGAGCAGGAATGGGGACCCCACCTGTACTGGCTGAGGCTGCCCCTCCCCAGGAACCACAGGTACACACCCTTGAGGATTTCTCTTGACCAGGGTGGGGCAACTTTATGTCTGGGGGCCACATTCCCTCCTGGCAACCTTCCAGGGCCACATGTAAATGGGGGTGGAGCAACAGGTGGAGCAGCAGCCACACTAAGGTTCGGCGTTTCTGCACAATGACATCTCCATCCTGGCAGGCAAGCAGCACTGGCGCAGCCCAAGGACCCAGCTCAGCTGGGCAAAAGCACTGCAGGAGCCCAATGAAGGGCATGGCCTGGGAAGAGGGTCCAGAGCCAGAGAGAGGCCAGAGGAGCACACTGGCCCGCAGGTCGTGAGAAGAGCCTGGCTGCTGGATCTGGCCACTGTCCAGCATCCTGGTCTCTCAGTGGCCAGTCAGATGCTCCAGTTGGAGCCCCAAATGCAAGACTCTCCCCACACATCCCATAAAGCCCTGCTCAGAGATGTACTGCCTCTCACCATAGAGACAGAGTTGCCATCCATCTGAGACACCCCCCCCTTGAGCCTGCAGGAGGAGAGCTCAGCAGAGCCCAGGAGGGCCTTTGCCTAACAGACTGGTGTGCCCACATTGCCTCCTCCGGAAGGATTCAGGGCTTGCCATGGCAAGACGGACACACCTTTGTTGCATCCCATCTGGGGGGCTGCCATGCACCTTCACTGCCCTGCCCCAGAGGCTACAGGGGGCCCAGAATGCAGCCACATATGGGGGCCAAGTGACCTCCCCACTCCACGTTCACTGGGGGGGGGGGCAGAATTCAAAGTGTTAATGATGAGCTTTAAAGTCCTAAATGGCTCAAGACTGGGGTATCTGACCTTCTTGCCACCCGCCCTGTGTATCCCCTGAACCGCCCCTGAAATGCTCTCTGCTAGGAAGCAGGAAGGAGCCGGTCTTTCCTTTGGCTCTGGAGCGCCTGCTAAAGGAAGACCACCCTTTTGTGCCCCCCTCCCCTTAAGCAAGTAAAAACCTTCCTTTTGCAGAAGGTTTTTGGGTTTGCAAGTGGTTGATTTATTGCATATGTTTTACTCTGCTGATTTGGAATAACTTCAGCTGCTGGTACTCGATTGCTGCATTAACTGCTCTTTTTATTGGTCCTGAAAAACTAACATTGGCTCCCAGGAAAGCCCTAAACGGCCTCGGTCCAGTATACCTGAAGGAGCATCTCCACTCCCATCGTTCTGCCCGGACACTGAGGTCCAGCTCCGAGGGCCTTCTGGTGGTTCCATCACTGCGAGAAGCCAAGTTACAGGGAACCAGGCAGAGGGACTTCTCGGTGGTGGTGCCCGCCCTGTAAAATGCCCTCCCATCAGATGTCAAGGAAATAAACAACTATATGACTTTTAGAAGACATCTGAAGGCAGCCCTGTATCGGGAACTTTTTAATGTCTGATGTTTTACAAAAAAATTTATATGTACTGTAAGTGGCCCAGAGTGGCTGGAGAAACCCAGCCAGATGAGCAGGGTACAAATAATAAAATGGTTGTTATTATTAATGTTTATGGAAAGGGGACTTGAAAGGGTTGAATGGTGGTTTGCTTTTGTTGCAGCCATCTTGAGCTTTTGATGAGGAAAGGCAGAGGACAACCGTTTTAAATGAATGAAGGGTGGGGAGGCACAGCGAGGACAGAACCTGGGCAAGCTGAGCAAATTCATTTCCTGGGGGGGAGGATGGCGGGGTCCAGATGGGAGACTGACGGTTCAGGGAGGGATTGGAAAGGAGGCAGGCAGCATCACACAGACACCCTGGGGGGCAGCCGCAGCCGGGGGGAGGAGGGTCAGTGGCCAGAGGCAGGTTTTGGGAGACCCTCTGGGAAGTTCAACCTCCTCTTTGACAGCCTTCCAGGAGGCGGGGGGGGGGGGAGGCAACAGCTCTTTCCCACTGGCTCTGCAGCTGACTTTCAGTGGCTGGCTTTGCGTTGGCTGTTGATATAACTGAAGCCATTTTGGTTTCCAGCCCTGCTTATAACTTTGGTGTGCAGTTTATAAATGTTTTAATTTGAATTCTAATGAGCTTCATTTTTTTATCATTGATTGCCTTAAGCAACATTCTGTTGGGAAGGCGTGAGATAAATGTCCTTAACAACCACCCTCTCTGGGGGAAGGATGCCTGACAACTGCTACAAGAACATCGTGCTGATGCTGGTGAGAAATTCCTCGGGCAAAAGCCCTGACTCAGGGCAGCTTACAAGAATAAAAAATACTAACAACAACATAACAAAAGTGGTCATAAACAATAAACGAAATACTAAAAAGTACATAACCAAACTGAACAGTTTCCACATAAATCACAAGATACAAAATAAAGATACAAAAAACCAACAGCAACAACCCTGACAACAGCAGAAACCCAAACAGCACCCCAGCCCATGAGTCTGTTCAGCAGCCTCCGCTTTCGTAGTTGGAGTCAGTCTGAACTCCATCCTCCCAGGCCAGGTGGAGAAACAGCCAGCAAGGCTGGGAGCAGGTTCACCAAAACTCACAACCAAGATAGTCTCTGGCCTCTTCAGAGGCTGGAGGTGCTTCCTTTCTGCTCCCCCCCCATCCCAGGCAGCCAATGAGGAGTGAGAGGGCTTGGCTCATCAGCCAACAAGATGCTGCAGGGCCATCTGGCTGGGTACCACAGCTGCTCTGGAGAAGCTGTAGCCATGGCAACTGCATTGCGAGACCCAGGAGGCAAACAGGACCAGGCATGTGGAAGCCTTGCGACAGCATAAGATCGAGCTGCAAGCGAGGCAGCTGCCAAGGGGGGGGGGGCTGCTCCTGGGCCTTTAAGGGTCATTTTGTGAGGGGACACTATTGCAAAGAAAGTCCCTTGAAGTCCCTTTTGCAAAAGGCGCTGGAGATCCCCCCCCCGAGGCTACCTGAGACCACGAGGGCCTCCGCACCACGCCTCCATTTCCCTCCTCTCTACCTCTCCTGCCTTCCTCAGACACGCAGTCAGGCCACAATCCAGGAAGCAAAGCCTGCACCCAAAGCTGCCAAGGAGGCCCTCCCTGGGTCCCACCACCCAGCCAGGCACGTTGGGTGGGAACACGGGAGAGGGCCTTCTCGGGGGTGGCTCCCACCACTTTGGGACCTTGGAAGCCAGAGGGGCATCCTCCTTGCACTCCTTCCACAGGAGATGAAGACGGTTTTATTTTGACTGTTCTTTAAGGAAAGGGCTGGTCCTGCGGTGGTCATATTCTAATGATGCTTTAGTGGTTCTTTTTATGTTCATATTGTTTAATTGTACTAATGTTTAATTGTTTTTAAATTATTGCTTTCCCCCCTATATTTTAGCTGCTTGTATTTTATCTGTAATATGCCCTGAGACCCTGTAGGGGAAGAAGGCAGTAATAATAATAATAATAATAATAATAATAATAATAATAATTCCTCAACAGGCCTCATTCCAGAGCAAAGTGGAGCAGGCTGGGCAGGCAGGCAGCAGGTCTGGAGGGGCTGAAGGCCGAACTGAAGGCCAAAGCCCCCTCCCCCCTCCTCTAAGCCTGGCACAGCAGGAGGCCCTGATAAGCCAGCCCAGAGCCCAGGTCTGCTGCAAGATAAGCAGCTGTTCTGCAGAGGTCACCTGTGGGCCTCCTGGCTTGCACAAGCACCCACTCCCTCCACCCATGGCACCCCACCCATGCTTATTCTAGGATCCTCCACCGAGGAGCAGAAGTGGAGGGCGGCTGGCGGGAGGCAAAGCGGAGAGGGAGAGAGGGGCAGGCCAGACCCACAGCTTGTTCTAGGCATTTTTTCCATGAATGGCATATATTGCTTGAGTATATATATATTTTTTAAAAAAACCCTCCAAGCTTCCCATTCTCTACACTGACATTTTCTTTCAGAAGACAGGGATCACAAATCTGGCCCTGTGGGGCTCCAGAAGTCTGCCCCAGCCCCAGAGGGAGTAGCCCCAGAGGGACACCAGCACAACTAGGCTTGTCCCCAGAAGCCAGAGCGAGGAGCCCAATGAGTGGGCCAGGCTCCTGAGGCAGCTTTGGCAATGGTGGTCACCCCCATGAGGGAGAAGCCCCCCTGGGCAGGAGGTGGGTCATAGCAGGGACTGTGGACACTTCAGCTCTTGGTGCCAGTGGCATCAGCCAGGCCAGTGGCAGGCGGTTCCATAAACCCGTTTTGTGCCAATGGAAGCCTGAAGCTGCCAAGGCTTTGCAAACAGTGGAGGTGGGGAGGTCAGCACAGAAGAAATCGCCCTGCCTTGCCTAGGATGCGCCAGCCTGTCTTTGCATTCTGCCAGCAAAGGCCTTGGCTCCTGAGACCCTTTGGACTGTGATGCAGCCACTCTGTGCGCAGAGGCCCGGGAACGAGCGACCATGAGGGCAAGAGCCTCTCTGGCACTGGGTAGAGCCAAGAGCAGGAGCCTCACCCTGTGCCTCAGAGCGGCAGCGAGGCCACCTGGGCAGGATCCTCTTCCCTGGCACTCGGAGAGCGTGGCAATGGCAGGGTCCCAGCAGCCCTCCCTGCTGCAGAGCGATCCTGAGACAGGCACTGGGGGAGGGCAGAAAGGAGACCCCGGAAGAGGAGAGAGAGCTCAGTCCTGGTCAGCTGGCCAGCAGAAACACAGACAAAATCTCAGGTGTGTCTCTGGGCGAGTGCAGAGTGCAGCTCAGGGAGCCACATTCCCAGGCAGGTTAAGCCACGCTGAGCCTCTCACAGTTTTCCAGACTCTGCTCTGACTAGTTCAGGGGCGGCAGCACAAAGAGGAGCCCCCCCCCCCGCAATGTTGGCAGAGGGAGGCATGATGGGGCTTGCAGCGATAAGGAGGAGGGGGCCACACTGCCTGCCTGCTGTGGGGCAGGCCTAGCCTAGGAGGAAGTGAGATGGCCTGCACTGAGCAAACAGATCCCACCAGAGCCCCTCTTCCCAGCTGCTCTGTGCTGAATGCTGTGTGACCAGCTGGCTCCCGGCTGCCCCCGCCACTATCGTGGCTGGGGGCCCATGGGGCAGGACCCCCAACACTGGGCAGGCAGGCCTCCCTGGGAGCCTCCCCTGAAGGTAAACATGGGCCTTATCAGGAGCAGGAGCACCAGAGGCGCCTGGGGGAAGGGCAAGGGGGGGGGCTCTGCACCCGTGCGATGAAGGTGGGTCCTCTGCCAGGGGGAGGGCGCCCCTTCTCCAAATGGAGGGGGACTCGGAGGCTTCCTCCTGATCTTGTTGCCTTTAGACGGGTCCTGACAAGGAGAGATTGGTTCAGGTAGGCAGGGACCCAGTCAAAGACATGCTCTGTCTGTGTGCAACAGGAGGGAATATGGGGCGAAGCGGGGCTGGCTAAGGGGGGCGCAAGAGCCAAGAGGGCAGAGCCCACTGCCGCCCCCAGGACTCTGCCTCTCCCTCCCGGCCCCACTTCGCTTCTGGGGCGCCACATCCAGATAAGCAGCCCACGAGAGGCCGGGACAAGCGCCCGAGCGGAAGCACCCCTCTCCCCGGCTCCGCACCGGGGCTGCCCCGCTGCCCTGTTTTGCAGGAGCCCCGCGGCTCCCCCTCCAGGCGGGGGGCGGGGAGGGGAGGCGACTGCGAGGTGCTCCGACGGGTCCCGGGACCCCGCTCTGCTGCCCCCCTCGTGCGCCCACCTCGCCGGCTTGGCGCGGGGACCCAGCAAGCCAGAACAGCGACGCCGCCGAGGCGAGGGGAGTCGGGCAGGGAGGCACCGGCGCGGGTGCAGACCCCGCTCGCCCGGCACCCAGGAAGCCCTGCCCGGTCCCCGCTGCAGGATGGGGGGCAGCCCGGGCGCGCCGGAAGCGCAGCGCAGACCCTCGGGCGCCCCTCCTGCCGCTGGTGGGGGCGGCCAGGGGACCCCGCGGCCCGGTGTCTCCGGGAGCTGCCCGCCCTCGGCTCCGCCGCCGCTACCTGCTCCTTGCGCTTCTGCCAGCGGCCGCAGGGACTCTCCTCCAGCACCTCGCTCTCGTCCTCGCTCTCCTCCTGCGACGCCGCCGACACCGGCGCCGCCGCCTCCGGCTCCGCCGCGCCCGACATGCCGCCCGGAGGACGGACGCGCCGCTGGCGCAGCTGCAGCCTCCGTCCCGCCGCTCCGCCGCCCGAGCCCCCGCTGCCGGGGCGGGCCCGGGCTCAGCTCCGCCCGGCGCGGAAGGCGCGGCTGTCGCGGCGGCTCGGGAAGCCGCCCGGGTCCGAGCGCCGGCCTCGGCCGCCGGAACTGCGCTGCCCTCGGGCGCCCCACCGAGGCCTCCGGGTCCTGGCGGCGCAGAAGCCGGCCCGGCCCGCCGGAGAAGGGGGCCCGGGGCTCGTCTGCCCCCTTCCGCAGCGGACCCCCGAGACGGGAGCCGAGGCGCCGCCGCCCTCCGTGGCCAGAGGGGACCCGGCGGGACGGTCTCCTGGCAAGTGGGCGGGCGGGCGCGCTGCCTGCGGGCGGAGGGGAGGGCAGCCGCGGGGGCCAAGCAGAGCGAGCCCCCCACCTCCGGGCTCCGGGAAGGGGCTGTCGTGGCCCGCGCAGCTTCAGTCCCCTTCGCCAGCCTCCAAAAGTCCGAGGAGCAAGACGCAGATTCTGGGTGGCGCGCAATCGGTGGGCTTTGCACGAACCCGGCTGCGGAGCAGGGAGAGGGGGCATCTGTCACCCCGGGGGGGGGGGGCTGCAGGTGTCCGATCAGGGCCGGATTTAGGTTTGATGAGGCCCTCAGCTACTGAAGGTAATGGGGCCCTTTCTATGTCCAGCTGTCCTTTGTCAACAACAAATTGTCGCTGTTTTTTTGTGCTGAATATATGCTATATGGTAATGTATGGACCTCATAGGTATCTCAAGCCATTTGCCCATGTTGCCCTGCAATCAGTCCATGCAGAATGGAGGCACCCTATATATAGAAAGGAGCAAACCAGTGATATTTGAGGGAGCAGGCTAGCAGGTGGGGCCCATGACTTACATCACAGGAGCCTACACAACACAAAACACTGTTGCTGTAGGTAGGCTTTATTTTAGTTGTTTTTTATCTTATCTTTTGGAAATGTACACCCAGTTTTTACACTTTAAATTTTTTGGGGGGGGCCAAGAGAGTGGGGTCCTAAGCTATAGCCTTTTTAGCTTATACTTAAATCCGGCACTGTGCCCATCTGAGCCCGTGCAGAATGAAATTGTGCATGCACATGACAGAAGCCCCCAAACAGCACCCATGACAGAATTCCCATAGTGCCCCCTCCCCAAGTCTGTCTGTGGAAGAGGGTGAATTGGTCAGGCAGAGAAATGTGTGTGGGGGGGTGTTCTGTGATGTGCGCTGGCACAAAGTCAAACGAGGCCCCCCTTTTGTGCGGGGAAGGATGCTGCTGGATGCGACTCAGGAAGGCAGGCCGAGCGAGATGTCCAGTGGCCGAGGTAGGAGGACCTGGGTCTTGAAATCTGCCTGTTGCTTGGCAAGTGCTCCTTCCATGTCCTGCTACAATTCTGACTGGCTAGTTTGTCTTTCGTAGAAACATCTGTCTTGGAGAACAAGTCCCCAGAATGGCTGGAGTTCAGTCGGTAACAGAAGCTGCAGGGAGGAGGAGCCTTGCTGCGTGTTGCCCCCCTGGACCCAAAGGGGCTGCCCTCTGACCAGCCAGGGAGCCACCAGCCCTCCCTCTGCCAGCTGCCCCACTGGTCTGCAAGGGGGCAGAGAGCTGTCCTGCAGGTTTCTACCCTGGAACCTTTGAGTGAAGGGCAGAGAATACCGGTAATCGTAATGAATGCAATCAATAAGAGAGACAGAGGCAGAGAGACTCCCCATTGCAGAGCCGCTCCCTCGGGAAGGCGCCTGCTTGGGGGGCTTGGGGCCTGTCTGGGGAGCAGGGTTGGGGGTGCCCTTCAGCCAGAAGTTCCTCTGGAGAGGGCCCCAGGTTCTGTTGCTGCTTTAACAGGGAGCCCAGGGTCTGGCTAACTCCACAAAGCTGCCTGCGGCTTGACCAGGAGCAGGCTGGGTGGGATTCTAAGTCCCTTGACCCATCCAGGCAGCGGCAAGACAATCTCTGAAAAGGCTCCGCAACATGGAGGGCACAGCCCCCAAATCTTAAATGTGCAGATAAGCCCTAGGCGCTTTCTTCTGGTCAGAAACAACAGGGCCGTGATTGTGCAACTGGGTTGAGGGTCATGGGATCCTCAGATGTTTGGCCTGTTCTTTGGAGCATTGTGAATGGGGGAGGGGGCCAGGTAGCTCAGGGAGAGGCCCTTGCTCAGCCTACAGAAGCCACCCCCCTCCCCGGGCACAAATCCACTGCCAGAGGGCCGTAACTCAGTGAGAAGAGTGTCTGCAAGCAGAAGGTCCCAGTTCAGCCCCTCCTGGCATCTCCAAGTAGGGCTGGGGAGGCTCCTGCCTGAAACCCTGAAGAGCCGGTGCTGCCAGCCAGAGTAGACAGTCCTGAGCTGGACAGATCAATGGTCTGACTCGGTATAAGGCAGCTTCCTATGTTCCTGGCAGCCTCTTCTGTTGGAAGGCCAGACTCTGCTGCAACTCAGCGAAGGAGGCAGCTGCCCCTCCCCCTCCTCTTCTGGGACTCCTCAGCGACAGCCAGGAATTTGGTCTTGGCAAGTCCTGGGCCTCTCCAGCTCCTTGAGGAGAGGAAGGGAACCTTTTGAGGCCCTGTCATGCCTCCTGCTGAGTCTCCTCATTTCTGGCGGCTGCTGGATGGGAGCAGAGCACCCCACAAGGACTAGGAGCTTGGCCTTCCTTCAGTCCTCTGTTTGCCTGGGCTCTGCCAGGGGCTGTGGCCACCTCAGGTCCTGCGTCAGTTGCCTCCAGGGCCCATGCAGCCGGTCTCACACACCTCTCTTGGTCCTCAGGAGTGTATCAACCCTCCACTCAGGGGACCACTTTGTGGTTTTGGTGCAGCGGACACAGGCTCTGGCGCTGCCGGCCGCAATCCGTCTCTTTGGCTTTATGGTGCCACTGAGGCTGCACACGCCCCACACGTTTACAGCACATTCACACACCCCTCTCCGAAGCGTGAAGGAGAGAAGGGGGTGTTTCTGTGGGTGAAAAGGTGCTTCATTGTGCATTCTTCATTGTGCATTCCACTTCTGTGGAAGCGCTGGCACTCTCCCCCTCTTGAAGAAGCAGGCTCTGTCCCATGACAGGAGCTGTGTTTGCAACAGGAGGGGGCCGCTCCTGTGCCAGGAACACCTCTCTCTGCTCCTTGGCAGAACCTGCCTCTTTGTGCGTGCATCTTGTCCAGAGCTGATTCCTGGAAAGGCTTTCATCCTCTCCACATCCTTGTTTCTCCTCCCCACCCCCACACTTTGCTTTCAGGCCTGGAATAGCTCACTGTCCCACCAATGGAGAGAGGAGACGGGTCTCCTCCTCCTCCTCCACCCACCCCACAAGGTTTCTGGGGAAAGCAAACAGTTTGCAGAAGGAGACTGGAAGCAAAGCTGCTCCTGTCCTTATGAGGAGCAAAGTCATTCCAAGCTCAGCAGCCTGGTCCTGGGCACCTCCCTGCCCCCCTCTCCAATATTACACTGTGCTTGCTGCCTCGCGCCATGGACCCCAAAGCCAGCTGAATTCTTGCTCCCTACTTCACAGCCCCTCCAGTGTTCTTTGCAACTCTGATGTGTTCCAGTCTGCCTTGAGGCAGCCACTCATGCCTTGGTACGAACGCGGCCTGGTTTCTACTGACATGAGATTTGATGGACAAGGGCTGACTCTTGTCAGGCACTAAAATAAGGCTGTCCAGAGCTCCAGGCTGCACCATCCTACACTGAAGGAGGAAGGTGCTGGTGTGATGTCCCTAAATGCTCTGGGGTCCAGAGGGCCACCTCCTGCTGGAGACCTTCTGGCGCCTTAGGTCTGGCAAGAACCGTCAGTCATGCCAACAGCTCCAAGTTCCATTGGCCAAGGCAGCTATTCCAGATGCCTTTTCTGCACCTTTTCTGGATACATCCCCATCTTGAGGTGAGGATCTTCAACAGTGTTTTGTGCTGATATTCCAGATGAATGAATGCTGTTCCCAATCTGTGCATTTTTCAGTTCTTGATATTTTGGACAGGATCGACTCAAGGTTTCTCCAAGTTGTGCTTTGTAGGACCATGCATGACGCCCTCCCAAGCTGCCCAGACCCTCTCTGCCTGCCATCCACCAGGCACATTTTCTGGAGGCAGCTTCCTCGGAGTGGAGGATCGCCGGCAGAGAGCGGCTGCCCTTCTCCTCAACTGGGCTGCCCTGCGCATAGCTCCACCACAGCGGAGAGAGGCTGCTGGCCACAGCTGCTCCATCCCTGGGTCAAGCCTGAACCAAGGGGCAGAGGGGCAGCAGGATGGGCTTGGCAGTTGCAAGGTGTGGCAGCCCCCTCAACACTGGGGAGGCTGAGCCCCCTGCCCCAAAATACTAAGGGGGCTAAAGACCACTCCACCCTATACTCTGTGTCCCTGTGTGAGACTCTATCCATGATGGACTCTTCAGCTGTTCCTCTCTCCCCCCCATCTCTATGTTATAATAATTCTATGGTGTCAGAAATAAAATGTAAGTGAACAAGGTAAACACACATAAATACGTACACAAACCACATGTCTGAAATAGTAGAGGAGAGCAATATTGAAGCCATCTTGACTCTTAATGGCTTCAAACATTTCCTTTGCAGAAGGAAATACCTTACTTTTCCATTGTTAGCGGAGAAATCTGAGGGCTCCCTTGGACAAAAAACAAGGACACCAGCCAGGAATACCAGAGCAAAACAGCAGCCAGTAGGCTTGGTCTTTATTGATGACTGTCGTGACAGGACTCCCACCTGCCTCAAGGTGGAACAAGATGGGAGCCCCGAACAAAAGAGAACCCCAACTTTTATTAGCTGCTAATCCCCATATTACACCCTCCCCAAACTACATCACTCATACATCACTGTTACATCATGAAAGGGGAGGTCTGGTGGCAGTAATCTGAGCATCCTGGACCCTGCCCCATGGTTCTCCTTGCCCTCCGCCAAACACCCATCAAGTGTAACAAAAGAGATGTTTATATTTCCCTGTTTCCCAGCCAAGTTCATCACACCCTTTTGTCTTCATCTGG